CAGTCTGCTCAGTCTGCCCAGTCTGCTCAGTCTGCCCAGTCTGCTCAGTCTGCTCAGTCTGCTCAGTCTGCTCAAGTCTGCTCAAGTCTGCCAGAACCTTTGAAACTGATTGGGGCGGGAGCCGTCTTGTTCCGGTTAAGCCTCGACATACCGCCCGCGCTTAGGCTGATATGATACTCGTGCCAGTGTGGGTATGCGAACGATCTGCTCCGCCTCTGTGCAGAAGTCGTTAATTGCAGAAGTCGTTAATTGTAGAAGTCGTTAAACAGTTGAAGGATGCATAGAACAAGATGTCACGTTCATGGGAGTCCATGTGTCCAGTCTGGAGTATATATGAGGTACCAGCTCCTCCAGGATGAAGAACAGACGTGGTTCAGATCTTCCATCTTTCTCAAAGCAAAGCAAAGCAGATCCGTCAAGTCCATCGATCAAATCATCCCCCACTAGACTTTTTCTTTTGTCAACAGCCTGCCTACCTGACCCCTTCCCGTCATTGGGTTCTGGAGAGAATACAACCAAGAGTCAGAAACACCAACATACCTGTACCGACACCTCCCTCAACCCCATCACGGCCTAAACCAACGACGGGCTCCCTTGTGTCTGAGTCTCTCCTCATAGCGAACTCCTTGGCCATCTTTCCCATCAGGGGCCCTTCCCGTTCTCAGACCCCTGCCGCACCGCATTCGCATCTGGGCCACTAAGGTCACCCACATTGAGCTTGACGGCCTACTAGTAGCCCAAGCTGAACCTGACCATACAAAAGTCCCCACCCCATCCCATCTCAGACAATGGCACTTTCCGTCGAGGCCATTGTGTCGATTGTGTTCGGCGTCTTTATGGCCGTCCTGGCCATCATAGCGCTGTGGCAAGTGGCATACTATGCCGCACGGACCTGTCGAAGTGAGTACTACTCTACTTCAAATCAAGCCTGCCTCTGTCATGCAGATGACATTATTGTTGCGTCTTCTCAAGCAGTGCCTGTTGTGTGTCGGTTTCTGACGCGTGAGTGCGCCATCTAGCCCACGATTCCCGAGCCAACAGCTTTGAGCTCGAAGCTTGAAAAACAAAAGACATGATTGTCCACCACCCTCGTAACAAGGTTTGAGGAATGGACTGGAATTCTGTTGGCGGTGTTAGGGCGTTTTGGTATAGGAGGACTGCTTTTGAATGTGGAGGGTCAGTACCAAACGGATCCGTGCTGTCTGATTAGAGTTTTGGGTCAAAGTTTGGTTCGCACTTGTGCAGTGACGGGTTGGGACGACACCTGTAGGAAATTCACCTTATCACATTCTTCAATAGCTAAACAAATGTGACAGATCGCATCGACTTCAGGCGAACAGCTGCCGGAGTAGTAGTGACCAGATACTGGCAGACACGCGGTGAAATTAATGCTTTCATTTCTCTTTCTCAGATCAGACCACTAATTAGAATAAACAATACCTATTAGCAACTGCCCTGACACTGTAATCCGAGTCCGTATGGAAACATTTCTGGTTGCCATGGTCTCACACAAACTCCCAATACCAATACCAGAGATCTGAATTCGAAAGAACCTGCAAATTATGCACTTAGACAGACTCCATTCATTCGCGGCGTCTCTTTAACGCCGATTCTGCCGCGAGCACTGGAACTCAAGAGTAAATCTCCGCCCACCTCTTAGACACCATACTCTTTGTCAGCGACAAAGCTTCCTCTGCTGCGGGTGCTCCTGCTTCGACGGCCTTTGAAGAATCCACGACGAGTGGATGTTGTGGTATCCCGACGTGCTGAACCGGCCAAACAGAACAGGATGGTTGAGAGCAAAAAGCAGGCGAATGCTGCCCATTCGAACCCAAAAGCGTATCGACCGAGGCGTGCGGATTGGCCGTTCCTGTGGAAGTTGTTCTGACCCTTGACATATGCGGCGCTGTGTAATTTCAATTAGCATCAACGGCTTTGCAAATGAACCAGCAACTGAATACTCACGTCATCAAAGATACCTGGATGGCCTGGAAACCCATAGCGAGGGTTGTCAGAAGACCGCTCAGGTAGCTGCCGAGTCTGGTGCACAAGGCGAGAAGTCCGGTAAACAGCGCGCAGACGCCGAAAAAGAGGGCAATCAGCATGAATGCAAACATGAACCTAGTCATGTAGAAATAGTAGGCGTGGTGTTTGACAAAGTCCGCTGGTACGTTCACTGTAGTGTCGAAAGTGCGATGCGACGAAGGATCCAGCGGGAATGCTGGGTGCACATCCGAATAGCTCTCATTACCACACACGGTACGGCCATTCTGCACCCCACACACGTTCCAGTATGACCAACGGGAGACTGGAGGTGCCCCGGGTATTGCTGAAGTGTTCGCCTGCAGGATGTAGAATTTGTTTACTGGAGAGTCTTGGATTGCGCCGGCAAGAAGGATAAAGAACATTAACAGTAAGCCGCCCGCGAGGAGTATTAGGGAGATGAGGCTGAAAATGCCGCCTGCGATCGCCGTTAGAGAAGTTCGGCCGCGGTTTCAGTGGTGTCTACTTACGAGCTGCCATGGTGCGCAGATTTGACGAAAGCTCGTCGCAGGTTACTGTAGAAAACAAGTGGACGCGATGGAGGTAGATTATCGAATTATTGACGAGTCCGGGGCTCGAGGCGAGAGCGCTGGTGAAAGTGAAGCAAGGTATTAACGTGATAACGATGGGGTGTGAGTGTGTGGAAGAAGGAGGAAGATCGGTAGGCAAGTGTTTTGTACGCAGCTGAGCAAGGATTGGGAGGCAGTGATGTAGTTGTTACCAACTACCGTGCTAGTCCCAGGTGTCTTTGCTGCTATGACATTGGGCGGTGCATTGCCAGTGGGGGGACCCGGAGCTGCAGCTGGAGCTGTGCGCAAATGTCTTGGATGAGGTCACGCCTGCAACCATCCACAGGCACCCACAATTGCCCGCACTGGCACTGACCGACGCCTAAGCAGCCTAGAGGCGCCCGTCAATTATTGGCCCCTAATCTGCAAGTGGACTTGACTGTGGCAGCAACCAAGCCTGACACCTGTAGCCCTCGCAACTTGAACCCTCACAGCCCCATGCAGTGTTTACTTTCTACAGCCTTGCCGTCGGATCTAACTCACGGCGTGTACCGAGGACAAGGGAACGATGGTACCACATGGTTTGAACAGAGCATGTTAAAGTACTAGTACAAATCTACCCTCTGCACAGGATACTCTGCCAGTGATAGTACCACGGTAGAAACCTTGCCATTCGTGGTGAGCGGCGACGGTGAAGGAAGAAAAACATAGCAAATCTGGTTGTTGGGGGAGCTCCCGCTGACAGCAAAGCCACCACGTCATCCGCGCCGAGTTGGTGCCCATCTGCTGAACTTAGTCCGCCTTCAGCAAGAAAATCAGCTTTCTAACTGTATGTGGTTAAATGCCGGAATTAATGGCAAATAGCCGCAAACTCTGTCTGGCGTGAAAGAGACGAGCAGTCAGGTGATAAGCCCATCGTCACCTGACTCTGATGTTCATTGCTGCCACCCGCGCTGCTTGAGGCTGACCTCAATCCAATAGCCTCGTCATTGACAGTCAATCAGCCTCATCCTTCTTGTTCATCCTTCCCCGCTCAGGCTATTGCAATGTCCACTTGGGTGTATCCTCCCGTACCCCCAGACGAACTCCGAAAAGCTGAGGAAGAGTCCTTGGTAAGGCTGAACCACCCTGACTGATACCTTCAGCCTTGCCTTTGCTCCGTGTGACTGATTCATTGCGCAGAAGCTCGAGCTTCAATGGCTTCTGCAATCATTGCAGCACTCTCTTCAGGCCCTCAAGGAGGGTTTGGAAGAGTGTGACGCCCTGCTGGCACCAAAAGAGCCAGGCTCTACCTTGGTGTTGTCCTCCCTGAGATCTGAAAACGTGAAGGGCTTCGTGACAAGAGTCGGCACTAGTCTTGTCAAGGGGGTGAGCTGCAATGGCATAACCATCTCGAGCATGCAAGCCCTGATATATTCCCTAGGACATCCATTTACGTTTGACGACACTGCCTCCCAATACCCCTAGAGGCACTACAACGTCTACTCCATCCACTCGTCATTTATTTCACTCTTCATCATCCTCGTCCGACATCCCACTACCACAACTATCCACTGTCAAAGCATTGATCAACGACTCCATGGACGTCATTGATGTTTCTCGATGGACCGGTCAATCGACTGACTCGTCCTTCATCTCCGGCCAACTGAAGCTGCTCCACGATAATCTTCGGGAGGCCAAGACCTGCCTGAAAGGATCTGTCACGGGCACTGATTTGGAGTCAATCCCAGGAGCGCAGTGGTGGTTGCATAGTCCGGATGAGAACATCTTCCAACCCCCGTTGGGTGAATATCTTAGTCTGCATTTTACTATCCAGGATGCCAATCTTGTTCTTACTGTCAGAACCTTGGCTCCTGCATCACCCGGCGGCACTCCAAGTACGCCCCTAGAGTCTGGCTTCTCGCTCTCTGGATTCAATTTACGATCAAAGTTGTTGGGCCTTGGTCCTAGACCTCCGCACCACGATGAAATGGGAGAAGTGTTTGAGTGGCGTGGCAAGCAAGACGTCATCGTACGCGAAAAGGTCCGCGTTGAGACAAGTGACCCGAGTCTATTGAGTGTTGCGGCAAAGTTGAGTGCTCTTGAGCATGAAGTTGCGCGATGTCGACTGAACCTGAGAGTCATCTTGACGGGGAGCGTTGAAGAGGATTGAGTTATGAGTTGCAGCCAGCTGGAGATCTGCACCTTAGGCTCGAAGGAATATGCGTTGAACCCACATTTTTGCAGTCACTGAATGAGATGGCTTCCATGCGCACCAAATGGGGACTCGGTAGTCTACCATCTACCAGACTTGTGGCTCAAGAAGAAAACCTCACAGTTTGATTCGGTGAGATGATCCGCGATGAGCTTCTCCATGCCTGCATTGACCGAAAGGTGATGTGCGTTGATCTGGCCTTCGTAGTGGTGTTCAGATCCAGAAAAAGCTTTTGAAACTGTGTCAGAGGAGAAACAATGAGCCCGAGGCAATGCCACCGCGATGCTTGCAGTTTGGAACCAACAGACAAAGGTACCACAATTGAACCAGGAAACCCAACTGAGACAATGCGGTCTTTCCGATACTTCTTTGTCTCGTCAATGGCACCAAAAGAGGCTCGCTCCTACGTCGAGAGGTCCTATTTTATCGTCGATGTAGCCTGGGAAGGGTGATACTGAGCACCAAATGTGCCATATTATTCTTTTCTTTCACGGCACGTCACATCTCCATGCATACAGACAATCACAGACCGAAAGGACTGGCAGGCGCTGAGCCTCTCCACAATCCAAGCCTTTGCAGGCAGACTTTCAACGAGAAGCGTCGGATCACCATCGGCGGGTCCGACAGGTCTTTTGACGAGGACTTGACTAGCTGCTGTAGCAGTTCACTCGACAATTCCGCGGAGACCAGCTTGACCAGGGCCAGCGTCACAGTCACACGATCATCCTCTCGACAGAGTGATCAGCCTTTCTCGAACGGTTCGATTGAGGGCTTACACGCAGAACGCAAAAGTCTAGCTTTCACAACGACGAGCGATGATGTCGCCGAATATCTTTGGAACGCATCGAGCCAGGCGGTTACATCGGCCACAGATAGTAAGACGGTCTCCCAGCCACAACGTCCGAACCATTATTATCCTCCCAGCAGCTGGAAGCATTCATTCAACGTGGAAAGTGCCCGTGTGGCGCCTCAAGCGCATGGGACTGAGGAGATAAGGGGTCGTTCTGCCGCACCTGGCGAGAAGCCCCAGACTGGCTGTGCATCCAGATCTAATCCAAGAAGCAGCAACAACGCCAGCAATGCATATTGCGATCCAGCTGCGGTGGGTTCGACCGTCAGCGTGAACAATGTGTCCCAGCCGAGTTTGACTCGACAATCACCGATGAGGGAGCCTGCGTCTTCTCCAATTATGTCTGCGTCAAGCCCTGTTCCTTCAGCTGTCCACCAATCTGACGCATTCGCGGCACAGCGATCGTCGGCTCCAAGCTGTATCTCCCAAGAAACTGTCTTGCCAGAGCCCGGAATTGCATATGCACATACATACTACTTCACAACGTGCCCTCACACTTCACCTCCCTTACCTCGACCACTGAATGTCCAGCCGGAATTGGTACCGTACCATGACAACCTACTCGCCTATCCACCATACCACCTCCGAGCATATCAGAAGCCAGACGCGTCTCACACGGAAGATGTCTACGTTATCGAGGGCCCCTGCAGCCTTTGCGACCTGCATGCACGCCGGGAAGCCGAATCCTTGGTTCTGGAGAAATATGCTGAAGATGTACAGCGACTTTCTGAACAATTGGCACGGTTGCAAATGGACATAGAGTCCACATCTTCTTTTGTTATACACCCAGAACCTAGAATGATGGAAACGGCGCCTCTAGGATCATCATCCAGTCTATCTCCCACCACACCAGATGCCGATCTTTCAACCGGTCAGATTTTTGCCATTGTCGAACTCGAAGACCAGCTGGACTCGATCATAGACAGGCGTGACCGTGGGGTGAAATCCATTTGGCGAGGGTATTCTAGACGCTGGGGTCCAGGGACACTAGGGATCCACCACGATCCCAGCGAGTCAGGAGATCGACGACGAGGACGAGGACGGAACAAGAAGAAGTATATAGGCAGCTCTACTAATGGGAGCGTTACCACCAAGGACAATTACTCTAGATCTGCGAGCTCACACGCTTCCACCTACACCATCAGCTTTCATGAACTGGAGATGTCAACGGTGACTCTTCCAGCAGCAGCAGGAGTGACCGCCGTCTCGAGTGAAGCTGTGTCTACGACAGTTTCGGATTGTCAGCGGCAAGAGCAGAGTCCGTTCTTAAGACGGGCCAGCATCAGCTCCAGCAACGGACATCGAGACCGATATTCAGATGGCACAAGACAAATCGATGTCTCTTCGTCAGTGGACGGGATCAAGAGCGATGGTAGGATGGTCGTGGATTGGATCCGGCCTGTCCGAGCAGATATAAAATGCCAGGATCGAAGTCGGAGTCGGAGTAGAGTCGAAGTTGTAGTCTGAGTACAGGCTCAGATTTGTGGTACAGTAGTACCATCATCACCCAAGACGACTCCTGTAGTGTCAAGTCTTGTGTCGATTAACATCTTCGAGCTTGCATTTATATCCTATAGAGCAAGAGACCAGACCAGCGAAACAGATCAGCAAATCTTGAAGTTCTTCACCCTTAAGTTAGGTACCGTTCGTTTCGCATGATTGAGTGATGTGACTACCTATATCCTACCCCAGTCCTCCCTGTATTCTAGTACTGTCCTGTGGCATGGGCCTGCAGGTTCCGGCCTCTTCGACACCCTCTCAACGGAACGTATGCACATTCGACCGTTCGTACGAACTTACAATCTCCCAATATGGCTCTGCCTGGTCTGTCACATCTCATAATTTGGCCCTTCCCAGCTCGATGCTCGCCCATGCACCCTGATCCAAAGGCTTGAACCGCTCCTCCTCGAGATTGAGATAGTATCGGTTTCCGCCATTGCCAGTGCTGCTACTCTTGCCAGCCCAATCGATATTTTTGACCACCATTTTCGCATGCTTAAACGTATCCCCGACGTCAATGAGGCCATCTGTGCGAACCATGACGAGGCGCGGGATAGCGTAGCGCGGGAGACCTTTTGCCCGGAGGGCCTTGTAGAGAGACGCCATGAACTTTGCTTCTTTGTCTCCATCTCCAGACGTCACTGCGACAAGACCCTTTTCTTCTGCATCCACCTGCTGTTCCGTCTTTGCATCTGCACTCGAAACCTGTGCCGTCTTTTCGCCAGTACTGGTACCACTAGTATCCAGCACAACCAGCGCAGTGCCCACCTGGCCATCATAGCGGTCCAATCTCCTCCCCACGACAACAACGTCCCTGACACCAGGCAATTCGGAGATCAAGGCCCTGACCTCACCGGCGGAGACGTTCTCGCCCATCCACCTATACGTGTCGCCGATACGGTCGACGAACTTGACCCAGCCATCTGGTTCCTGAACCAGAAGATCACCACTGCGCTGCCACAAATCGCCAGGTGCAAAGACATTCCTCAAAAGTTTCTGTTCGGTCGCGTCCCTATTGGCATGGTAATCGGTATATGTGTCCAAGTTGTGAATACGGGCAATGGCCTCGCCGGGCTCGCCTCGGTCAGCTACCTGACAGAAACCCGTTTTGGGATCTCGCAGCGGCATCTCGGATTCGTAGTCGAATTTGACGATGAACTGATCCTTTTCGAGAAACTTTTTCCTCAACACGCCCAGGTACCCGACCTTGCCGGCGCCGGGACGGCCGCGACGGTGGATGTTGTCGAATTTGACTAGGCCCTCAGTCGAGCGGTAGAACTCACGCACCTCGTCGACCCGGAACCGCTCCTGGAAGGCGACCCACACGTCCTTCTGGAGGCCGTTTCCCGCGGCCACTAGCACCATGTGGTCGCGGTCGTAGCGTGTAGCTGGCGTCGCTAGCAAGAACCGACATAGTTCGCCAACATACAGGATCCGCGTCGCCCGGCTCTCGTGCACTTCTCGCCAGTAGTTGCGTGCCGAGAACCGGCGGCCGACGCAAAAACATCCGTTGTTGGCTACGCTGTAGCATAGGCCCGTGAAGAAGGTCGTTCCGTGGAAAATCGGCATGCACGAGTATATTCGTAGGTTGGCCAGGTATTTCTGCGGGTCCGTGTCGTCAATTGATGTGCGAAGTGATACACCGCAGATCAATGCGTTCTTCACCCGGCAGGCTTTGGGCTTGCCCGTCGTCCCGGAGGTGTAGATCAGTGCCGCGACCGAGGATAGAGATTTCGGTGGTATAGGGGGTAACACCGGTGGTTGAGGACGGGTGTGGTCGGGCAATGGGAAGTCTAGGATGTTGTTGTTGTTGCTATCCTCGTGCAATACTGTTGTTGGTCGAAACGAGCCCAGATTCAAGCTGACTGTCTTGACGACACCTTGATTGTCCAGCAGTTTGGCCGCCGTGGCCGCGTGGACGGCGAGATCCGGCGTTGTCAGAATCAGCTTGGACGACGGCAGACGCACGCAATGCAGCAGCGTCTCGTCTCGTAGCGCGTTGTTGATCAGAGCCGGGGCCGCTCCTAGTCTGGTCAACGCGTACACGGTGAAGACCATCTCGGGCGAGTTGGTCATGAAGACCGCCACAATGTCCCCGTTCTTGACCTGCAGCGTCTCATGCAGCCCCACGGCCAGCTCGTCGACTTGCTGCTTCATGGCCCGATAGTTCCATGATCGTCCCTCGAACCATATCGCCTCGGCTGTCGGGTCCGCCAGCTCGAGCATTCGGTATAGATGTGGTGATTGTGGACCAAGTTTTCCCACGAATTCCGGAAACCGCTTAGCGAATGACTGCTCCAGACGATATTGTGTTATGTCCCGCGACACGCCTAGTTTACGGTCGGCGTAGAAGAGCCCTGCTGCCGCCGCGGCTGCCGTGGCGGCGACGGTGGCCATTTTGTTGGCTTGTAGATTAGTGATCTGTGATAGTGATCACAAATAGTTGGTGAGCGTTGGGCCGGCCCTGAAGGTCGTTTACCAGATCTTCTGACGGTATGGAACGCTTTGCACAGAAACAGGGACTCTGGTGATAGTTCTGGGGGCCTGCTGACGCCGGCGGACAGTGACTTCTTGTCGACAGCTGTGACGATGAGAGAAGGGAGTCGTAGCCACCTGTAAGGAGGACTGCCTTAGTATTTCATCAGACAGCTAGTATATTGTATGAGTATTGGTAGCAATAAGAAATGCCTCGGCGTCTCAAGTAGACACCATATGCCGATGGAACGTGTCCGGTAGATCGTTATGGGACTTGTCGCAAGCCTGGGAACTTCCGGTTCCGTGAGCTTGAACTCAATTGCCACAAAGCCAATTTATAAACCGTCGGATTGCTACCTAGTGTTGTTGAGAGTCGCAACGTAAGCTGTGGGGTGCGAGCGAACAATTATATAAAAGTGTAGCTATACTCCGTGTCTCTGATTCTAACGGTGTTAGGAGTCGAAAGACAATTCTGCTGTTATGATCATTGATCTGTTTTCAATGTGAGCGTGGCTGGACCCTAGGGAAAGTTTGGGCCTCAAGTCGAGGATTGTGTTTGTTCAACCAAGGTTGAGCAGTCCCGGCCCGGGGATTGATCTGGAGAAATAAAGGGGAAAGGCAGTTGGCGGCGGATGCTTTAGCTGATGTCCAGGCCGAGGGGGCCCCATAGAGACGAGAGTCTGGGGATACAGTATCACTGACAGCACGCCCCCGGACAAATCATGCGGAGAACATTGGTGTCGAGATCTTGTTCCTCTTGAAAAGCCTTGAAGGTTAAGTCTATTACTAGTATCACTTCTGTAATGCGCGTTTTATGGCAAACAGCTCCGAGTGCCAGCAAGAAGAACGCCAGGGGACAGCAAGATGGAAGATTGAGGACGCGACAGACAGTTGGGATGTGGGGCTGAGATGGTGTTGAAGAGCAAACTCAACCCAGCGACCACTAGATGGACGAGGATAGGCGGGAGTCTACCTTCAGTTCGTAGTAATGATAAGCCAGAGTATTGTGAAGTCCCCGGTGAGGCATCTGAGCTGGGGAGTGGGATGAACCGTTGCGGACTCAGGCCAAGTCCCAAGCCGGCGTTGGACAACGAGGGTCCACAGGCATAGATACCTAGGTACCACTGTAGTAGTAGGGGCGGTTATGGTTGTCGGCAGTTGTAGCAGGCAGTCAGAGACCTCGCCCAACTATCCAGCTTGGGCTAGGGAGGCCACCCCGTGGAGATTCGAGATCCCAGATGGGCCCGGAACGACAAACCGTGTGGCTGGACGTGGTTGATGCCCAGGGTGCCGTGTATGTGGTTTTCACTCAATCGATTGAACCGAGGCATCAAACATACAGTTCTGACTTCATGCCTGAAAAGTCAATAACCACAACAGTTACGAACGCTCTGGATATTTAGCTAATTTATTTGTTCATTACTGTTTCAACATCATATCAATCACCCAGGGACAGCACTCAGAACCCTCATTTGCTGGCTTGTCTTCTGCATCAGCGTTTCTGCCATCATGGCCGCCCAACAACGCCTCGACGCCATCGCCGGCCACATCAACTCGTCCGCCACCACGACACAGTCTCCTGGTGTCAAGAAGACCCTGGAAAAGAACCCGGACGACATTGTAGGTACAACCGACATTGAACATTTAACACTTCGCTTTTAGCTTTCATCTTCTCTTCTTCGGGGGATTATTCACTAACGATTCCCAGGTCATAACATGTGCGACACGAACACCGCTCACGAAAGCGCGCAAAGGCGGGCTCAAAGACACGCCAGCCGAGGAGCTCATGGTGCACGTTCTACGAGCCATCAAGGACAAGTCCGGCATCGACCCTGCGGCCGTGGAAGACGTATGCGTAGGCAATGTCCTGCTCACAGCCCCTGGCTTCCACGCCCGCAGCGCCGTACTGGCCGCCGGGTTCCCCGAGACCACGGCAGCCAGCGTAGCAAGCCGATTCTGCTCGTCGGGGCTATTATCGATCCAGACGATCGCCAGCGCAATCGCAATCGGGGCCATTGAAGTCGGGATCGCCGTCGGATGCGAAAGCATGTCGACCAACAAGGATTCGCCGCCTCCCATGAGTGAACTCATCACCAAGCATCCCGTGGCCAAGGACAATCTCCAGCCGATGGGCTGGACATCGGAGAACGTGGCGCGGGATTTCCACGTCTCGCGTGAATCCCAGGACAAGTATGCCGCGCTCTCGCATAACCGAGCCGAACACGCCCAGAAGCAAGGCTGGACGGCCGACGAAATCACCCCGGTCACCACGCACTGGGTCGATCCCAAGACCGGGGAGAAGAAAACCGTCACGGTCGACAAGGATGACGGCATCCGGCCCGGCACGACGTTTGAAGGACTCCAGAAAATCCGCTCGGCTTTCCCGCAATGGGGTCCCACCACCACTGGCGGCAATGCTTCTCAGATCACCGATGGCGCCGCCGCCGTCTTGATGATGAAGCGCTCCACGGCAGAGAAGCTGGGCCAGCCCGTCATCGCTAAATATGTCAAGAGCACTGTCGTCGGTCTGGCCCCGCGCATCATGGGCATTGCCCCCTCGCTGGCCATTCCGAAGGTCCTCGACTTGACTGGTTTGTCTAAAGACGATATTGACCTGTGGGAGATCAACGAAGCTTTTGCGTCAATGGTGAGTATGACGGGACAAGTCTTGCTGTTGTTATGTTGTCTTGTCTACCCAATCCCCAGGGGTCTGCATCTCGCTTGTCTTGTAGTTTGATTTGACAATCGTCAACTCGGACCATTTGGAGGTTTTTGGTCGGCCTGCCACTTTGAGATATCGACCTAAATACTGACTTCTGCCACCTTGTGCCCATAGTACGTCTACTGTGTCGAAAAGCTCGGTCTGGACATCAACAAAGTCAATGTCCGCGGAGGCGCCATGTGAGTCCTACTTCTTCCCTCGAGCACCAAGATCCAGCAGACGCCCTGAACCGCCTACTCATGTGCCCCATTCTTCCTTCAAATCCACCCTCTGTCCATCCTCTGTATCCCCTCTCACCGTCAGGTGCTTCGTAACGCACGGAAACTAACATGTTATCTCTTGTTCCGCGCTCCAGCGCAATCGGCCACCCGCTAGGCTGCACAGGCACCCGCCAAGTCGTCACCGTGCTATCCGAGATGCGTCGCCGCAAAGCCAAAGTCGCCGTGACCAGCATGTGTGTAGGCACGGGCATGGGCATGGCTGGCGTTTTTGTTTATGAAGGGTCATGATCCAGTAGTTCAATTCAGACCGACGACAGCAAGATATGATATGATTGCATGAAATTTTGACAAACCATGGCAGAAATATCACCGATTCTTTTGATGGCGTAGCGTATGGTGTTCCGACTCGACATTTCCCGTGATTTTTTATCACGCTGAGATGGGCCACCCGAACACTTGAACTTCCATTCGATTCACATTCTCTTACATATACTCGTCCGCCAGGACCAAATACTCGAGTATAGTAAATATAATCCCCTCCCAACAAAAGACTGAAAAGCCGTAGGTAAATCTTCAACTCATGCTTTTGCTTACGTTCCGTCGATGCATTCCTTCCTTAGCCACCGTCTGCATCATATTTGACACAATTCGAGGCAGCCAATTCCAACTCTTCGGCGAGGATGGTGGAGAAAAGGCCCAGTCGTGGAGCGAGACTTTTTTGTTAATGGGTTAGCCACTTACAGTGACGTACCTCAAGCTGTGGCTTTCTTTGTCTCTGTGCCCACCGTTTCCTTACTGTCCGTCTGTGTCTTCCCGAAGAACTGCGTCCTGTCCACTTCCATCTCGTCGTCCGAAACCCCAATGGTGGCAAAGTACTATTCATTCCCCATGTCAGTATCAGTGTCACTTGTATCAGCTGGAAGCTAGCTTCGCGTCGAGAGTTGCGAGCGTGCAAGTGTGAATGGGGCCCAGGCCCAGGGGACACTCACCGCCATAGCCTTCCTGTTCGCCTCCGGATTCATTGGTTTCCCAGCCTCGCCCAGCGTCGCCAGCAGTTTGAAATAATTTATATAAAATGCCGGCGTGTACGTGTTGAAGAACTTGGCCTCTTGATCGTAAGGGTTGCTGAACGTATGCGGCGACCGCGTCGGGACAGTCACATAGTCGCCGGTTTTGGCATCGATGGTCTGGCCGTTCAAGGCGTGGAATCGTAGTGTGCCTTGGGTGACGAGGAAGGTCTCATCGTGCTGTGAAGAGGAAAGGACGCAGGTCAGGTTTCACATAGACAGTCCATTTGATCATGCTGTACGTGGAGGAAATCCAATTTCACGCCAGGCCCGCCCACGGTTCATGTTACGGAAAGTAATGAAGACATGGTCCACGCTTCCATCTGATCTGATTGAATGCAATGCTGCACTTACCATTTCATGCCAGTGCGGTGGAGGTCTGCTCAGGGACCCGTGCCCATGTCAGCAGGAAATTCCCAGCCAGGTCAACTAGAGTATAGACTGAGATTGTATGGAAGCAACATCGAGATAGCTGGCACTGGGATGGGGACGGGCTGTAACGAGTGACCAGGAGTGTCGGGGCTTTTTTATGTTCCTCCTTACCCCGAAGTATGCGCCGGGACTGTAAACTCTGCACTGCCGATCCGGTTGTCTGGTAACAGTAACATTGGCAAGTCAGCCGCCGTTTTGGATAGCTTGCAGGCCACCGGCTTCAAAGTGATTCAGATCTAGGCAACAAATGTGCGATTAAAATCATGGGTGTACCTGGAGACCGTACTGCCTTCAAGTAGGTGGACTGGTGGGCAGGTAAACGCATAGCCCAGCCACACAGGAGAGCCTAGCTATCATAATGACACCCTGGGCAACAGGCTGCCCATGGGGCCGCAGCCGCCTCCAATTCGAGAGGCCAGCCGGTCAGATACGGACATGAGCTTTCCTGATCAACACCGACAAAGCATTTGAACGACATGAGGACCAAGGCAAGTGCACCATCGCCTAAGGAAGCGCGAACATAAAGAAAGCCGACAACCAAGAGGTCGCCCAACTTGCGGTGGTATAGCATGCCTGACTGCATGGCAGCCACCTCAGTCGGACTAATGATACTGAGACATCTCACTCACCCGTTCTTGACCCATCCTCCATGATACGGATCGTGATGGTCCCCAGTTTGAACGTTTCGCCGGCTGTGGCGGGGACGAAGTTGATAGGGACGTTGGGGGTTTCCATGATTCTCGTGTCCGAGTCTGCCGGCCAAGTCTGTGTAAGGCAGCCTTTCGATTTCCAATGCAGTGTAATACGCCAAACTGTGGTACACGGAGAGTGAAAGGACCGAGCGCCAATCTATTCCTCAGGGATGCAAAGATCAACGTGAACAAGCCCTGACCTGAAGACGATTTAGTGCTTCCTGTACAGTAGGTAGGTAGTACTTGGAAGGCCTCCTTAGCCCGGAAGAACCGGCGCGGCAATGGAAGAACATGACCTGCTGCACGCAATCTCCACTGTCTGACACCGGAATACCCGAGGTGCACAGTATGATGCGGATTTTGTTGAGCGTTTACCAATAAAAGATTTTGTCAGGCGAGTGGATGTCTTCAGTCTGACACGTCCCGCGGTCCACGATTGCGATAGATACCAGGTATCATGAAGGGGGCATAAATTCCCTATACCTGATTCAGACCAACGCCGTCAACTGTGCTACAGTTAGGTATGGACAATCATGACCCCAAGCCCAAAACCGCAATTGCGGCTCATGCTACTAGCACTCCACCCCGACCGAAACAGATTGGCGGGCAACAAGTAAGAGGGCACCCAAATCCTGTGCCAGTGCCGCATGCACATGACATGCTTTCCAAGGTGCCGCCTAACAACTTGAACCGTGAACAATATATTCATATACCTCATGCTGTCGTGGACGAGAGGAGCCGACATAGGCGTTGTCATCATGGCCATAAACATTCGGGAGACCACACAAACAAAACACACGACAATACAATACGCCGTCTACACCTTGCCAATATACGAGTCGAAAATGTTCTTCATCTCAAGGGCGCTCTTCTTGGGATACCGCTGCTGCCCATTCGTGTAGTCGACGTACGTAGCGCCGAAGCGGGTTTCGTAGCCCTCGGCCCATTCGAAATTACTATTAGACACCAAATCGTCAGCAAATTGAGCACTTCGGAAATTCCACACTTCACTTGCACCTGGTCCATTCGGGACAAGGGCAATGCAAACAGAAAGAAAGAGAGAGAACAAACAACATACTCCATCAAACTCCAGGCCATATAACCACGACAATCGCAGCCGTCCTCGGCGACAGCCTCCGCCATGGCCTGGACATAGTCGCGGAAATAGTCGAGGCGGAAATCGTCCTGCAGGATCTCGTCCTTTGAAAGATCGTTCTCGCCCTTGATGCTGGTTCCATTTTCGGTCACATAGATCTTGGGCCGGCCATAGCGGTCGCTCAACCATTTCATCAGTTTGCGGAATCCCGGAGCATGCGGCCTCAGCCAGAAACTCTGGGTTTCGGGTCCAATCGGGTTGCCGTACTTGTCTTCCATCAACACGTCGACATTGCCTGAAAAGTCGAACGCGTCCGCGGGGGTGTCGTGGTGACGGATGTAATTGGCGCAGTAGTGGTTCATGCCGTAGAAGTCGTTGGACCCGGCCATCAGTTTGCTTTCTTCCTCGGTGAACTTGGGCAGTCGGTCGCCGAGCTGTTTGACCATGGATTCTGGGTAATGGCCGAAGTAGACGGGGTCCGCGAACCAGCAGATGGCGAACTCGATCTTGCGGTCGCACGCGATGCGGTCTTGTTCGTCTTCCGGGTCCCATGGTTCGGTCCAGTCTCCTAGAATTCAAAGACAGATTAGAACCACCTTCCCATGACTGGATACAAGGCAACGACATCCGCTTGGGAGAATAAAAGGGCCAAGGGCAAGGTCAAAAGCAAGTCAAGTCTTACCGTTCAATGTAATTCCAATCTCCCCACCATATTGCGGCTTAAACTGCTCGCGATAGATCTTAACCGCCGTGGCATGAGCGAGGAGAATACTGTGGCCCACGATCCACGGCTCAGTGGTTGAGTCTCCAACGGGGCTCTTTGTGCGATCACTCGTGCGCCCGGGGGCATGTACACCCATGTGATACGACAGAATGGAACTGCAGAACGGTTCGTTGAACGTGATCCAGTGTTTGACCCGGGACCCCAAGGCGGCGAAGACGACGCGAGCATAGTTGGCGAAGTCGGCCACGAATTCGTCTTTGTTCAAGAACCCGCCGTACCGCTTGTCCAGCTCGTCGGGGAGGTCCCAGTGGTACAGTGTGACAAAGGGCACAATGCCGGCTTCCAGTAAATCGTCCACAAACTTGACATAGTGGTCAATCCCCGCCTGGTTGACCGGGTCGTTGCGTCCGCCGAGCGGGATAATGCGAGGCCATGAGATGGAAAACCGATACGCTTTGGCGCCCGTTTTCTGCAGCAGCTCAATGTCCTGTGCCGTGCGGTAGTACGAGTCACAGGCTACATCGCCGTTGCTGCCGTCGGCAATCTTATCTGGCTTCTCGCAAAACGTGTCCCATATTGAAGGGCCCCGGCCGTCCGCTTTCGTGGCTCCTTCAATCTGATATCTGGATCCGAAGCGTCAGTTGATCCGAACATAACAAGAGCAAAGAGACTGACGCTGCCGTGGCAAATCCCCACAGGAAATCGGCCGGCAAACCAGCCTTGGGGGCGATGTCCTTGACCATTATCGGCGGCGAATATATGCAGAAGATATATCACTGTCAGGTCTCTGCTGCTCTGCTGCTGCTGCTGTGTAACGTGTGGTGTCCTTTCGTTCGGTATCTTCTTCGACCAGCTACGACCGTTGTGGGCCGAGTTGTACAAGATACTGTCCCTTCGTGGTCCAAATAATATCTATTTTATATCAAGTCGACGTCACCCAGTCCGTGCGAGTGTACTAGGTACTAGTACTTGACTGTCAGTAACACCAAGAGGGAGTTTCACCGACTTCAACTGTTCACTGACAGGGTCAACTCACAATATGTTGCAAACCAGACAATCGATATGAGTTGCCTGGGGACATACTGCAAATTACCCTGGTGCCCCGAGTATCCAAGTCAAGTATATGTACCCTGGTGCCCTCTTGGTGTCTGCGGAACAAATGCCATGGTTTACCCTGCCCCGGCCGGTGCAACATGTTTCGGTACCTGATCCACCCCATCGAGGCTCGGCTTCCGTATTGGTCGCGGAGCGAGGGCGGCCCGCCAGCGTGGTCTCGTCTGGTGCTATGCTGATCGGGCTGCCGAACTTTAGCCTAAGAGCCTCGAACACGCCGACGGCCCTGGCTCGACGGTGCACGTTGCATTCGCGCGTCTCCCGGCTGCTCTTCGGCTCCTACAGTCAACCGCTCCAACTACGGGCGTCAATGAGATGGACGAATAAACCGAACAGAACCAGGGCAGGATCTGGAGATCGAAGAAGCCGATAGCCGGTAACAATTTGAAATATGCGACGAACTACAGGGATCCTCCAAGAGTCCAAGAATGCATGCGTTTGTTCATAACAGTATTGTACAGCTCCCGTTTCCCGGCGGCTAGTATAAAGTGTGTCTATGAGCAATCGGTTCCGTTTCCTCTGCTGTATCGGCTGGAAGTCCATATACCCAGAAAGTAAAGAGCGCCGATCATGGCGTACGGATCTTGTGGAGATCATTCCGCATCCTCTTCGCTCCCGGGTTCCTTCATCCGCCATGTGATAAACGCCGCTATCAGCGTGGCCATCCCGCCGATTCTCAATGTCCACCCCACGCTCACATCTCCAGGTTCATTTCTTGGCTTCTGCAGGAATTTGAAGACAACACTGCTGATCAAGGTCGCCAATATCTGAGGTGCACTAATGGCAACATTGTGTAGGCCTAGAATGATGCCGGCTTGATCTTCCTCCTCCTCCTTCATGTCATCTCCCGAGTCATCATCCCCGTTGATCAGCCGCTGCCGCTGTTTCTTGCGGCGCAATTCGTCGCGTTTGGATATCTCCGCCGAAATCAATGCAAAAGGGGCCCACAAGGTCAAAGACCAGGATATTCCGACCAGTGCCGTCATGATCGTGGCGGCTAGAGGTGTAGTGATGAAAATAGTGCTAAAGGTACACAGCGAAAATAGTAGTTGAGAGAGCAGCCATGCACGCCGAAGGGTCAGTCCCGGGATCTGAAGCTTGGTCAAAAACTTCTCTATGAAACCAGGATGATCCTGGCCGAGAGCCCGGCGAACCCGAGCTTCTTCGGGCGATTGAGGAAATGTGAGGGTGCTTTGCGATCCGCTATAAGGATTGTCGCCCCATGAATAGCTCCTCGGTCTCATCCCGGGTCTCGAAGAAGGCGGCGTTATGGGACGATCGAAGTCTTCCACTTCCTCTACAGGCTGCGCTTTGTAGGTGGAAACAACCAAGAACGGTAGAATGATGTTGGAGACGAACGAGGTGATCGCGTAGATCAACAGTGCAAACGTGCCAATCCGCGTGGCCTTGCCCCATAGCTTCTCCACTTCATCGTCCGAGAGCCCTGGTTTCAGGTAAGGGTCAACATAGAGCTGCCCAATATAGGTAGTGATGTAGAACAGAAAGGGAAACCATCCCATCCAGTGGAAGAACTGTATCTCGCACACTTGCCGGATCTGCGGCGGCAAGCGTTTTATGGACACGAAGACCTGCTTGAAGAAGGCTAGCAGGCCACCGGATTCGTCCACCCGAGATGGGGCTTCGAGTTGCGGGTTGCGTTCTTTTATAGCCAGAGCACTAACCAGAACCGTCGAGCTGAGCGCGATTGATGCAATGACAACGAGGACCTTGAATTGGGTGTTTCCAAAAAAATGGAAATATCGAGGGAGGTTGAGATATCCAAAGACGTAACCGAGCACATTTCCAACGCCAGTCATTCGAGACGCCCACGCGTTGGCCGACTCCTGTTGATGAGATGGTGCATTGTCAACGATAAATGCACGAATTGCCGCTTGGACTAGGCTGCGTCAGTACAAGGCTTGGTTTTCGGCGTAAGAATATACGAACCAGTGTTGATGGAGAAGTCAAGACACCACATCATAATCGTGGCGAGAATGATCGTTGCAGTCTGGTATCCGCCTTCATATGGTGCATCAACCCCCAGCCGACCAATGACTCGGATGATGTCGCGTGCATAGGCCAGTGTCATGGACGACGCGACCGTGCCCAAAGTACCCGCAATCATGAACGGCTTTCGCTTTCCCCATGAGATGCGACATCGATCACTCCGGATCCCAATGTACGGTTGGACAAGAGTGCCGGTGAGAGGCCCAGCAAGCCACACAAAGGCAACCAGAGCCTTGCTCATTCCGAGCGACAACAAGTAGGGCGATCCATTGGACAGTTCCACAGACCAGACAATCTGAAGTCCGCCAATTGATAGCGTAAGCAGGATCAAATACCACGAGGATTTGTTCTCTAAGGTCGAGTCATTGAGGCCGATAGTTTCAGAGGGTGGTCGTTCGCCTTGAAAGAACCGCTCTTCGCGCTCAGACCCCGGTGACGAGGACGATTCCTCTTCCTCCACCAGAGGCCGCCCTTCGATGTCGCTGTTGCGCGCCGTGTTGACGGCTCGAATGAGCGGAGAACGCTCGTCAGTGTCTAGACTTGGACCGCTGCGCGGCATGAATGGACCAAAACACGTCTGCTTGTGGACGCGCTGTGGAAGCAGCGGCAGAAACGGAGAGGTGTCCTGGCCTTCAAGTTGTGGTAACGTAGCCTCGGCACCTCATTCGAGGAGAGTGTGACGTCGTCGCAATGACCGTGAGTAGTAGGTATGGTAGACCACGAATATGCCAGCGACAATAATGGGGCTCTTGAGAGAGATCGAGAAGATAAGATGCAGAGATGAAAGGAGAAGGAATGAATGTATAGTAATACAACGAACGGTCAGATGAGATGTGTTGCCAGGAGAGTGGTTGACCAAGTCATGGGGGACGAACCCAGAACAGGCTGAAGACTGGCGCTGGCAGCCGCGCTCCTCATTGGTCCGCCGACCTCTGACCTTCGACGAGCGCATCAGATCGTGAACACGGTCATGGACGTTGGACTGCTGCACCTCCTGCTGTTCCCACCATTAAGTCGTACTTCTGACCGCGCGCCAGATCAAGTCACGAAGCCATCCTCGTCCTGATATCCTACGAGTGAAGGGTACCATTTGTCAGTCGCGCAGCTGCTCCCGAGAGCCCCTTCAGTCCTTCATCTCGTGCGGCGCAAGCGGTTCCGCAAGCGAAGACTTCGACAGCCTCCAGACATTCATCGCTGCTTACGACGCCAACAAAATGAAGCCCGTTGTATCCGCCTTCAGTGCCTGGAGCTGGTCAGTCCTTACGGCATTACTATCGCTTGCCACTAACCCTTGGACAGCACGGTTATCTCATGCTTTGCCGTAGTCATTCTGTCCATCATTGGAGGCCTCTTTGCGGTACGACCCTTCCCGACTTTTATACCCTTAACCACTTATTGCGTTGGATTTGGGTGCTAATGGCTCTGGCTGCAGAGGGACCATCATATGATGATGGGGCTTGAAGAAGATCCGGAAAATGGGGCTGCAGTTGCAGCTTCGATATTCATCGCCGTGGCAGTTTACGCCGTAAGTGGTCTGCCGACCCCAGATTGTTGAACACATACTAAGTCATACAGGGCTTCCTCGTGTTCTGTGGATTCCAAGCCTGGCTGCATGTCCGGGCAAGCCGACGAGGGGCGATATCCCTATAATAATGACCGAGGCGTTATGATGAAATATTGTATACAAGGGTAAATATGCATAAGAACGGCGCTGTTTGAGAATTTCCGACAATCGAGGCAATCCTAGGGACAAAGGACTACGTCCTGTCAAATGTCAAGCACGAAGCAGAAGATGCCGACATCCACACACAATGCGACCAGCCTCTGCCCCTGACAGATTTAATCAAAATACAATAAACCACTCCTTTGATCCTCGCCTGTCCACATTGCCGGTGCACAAACCACTCAAAGCCAGTGCCGCTCAAATGAGATCCCGGTTCACAAACTGCGCGTGCAGAGTCTTGCCCAACGCTGCCGGACTTCGTTCCACAACCACTCCGGCTGCCTCAAGCGCAGCGATCTTAGAATCGGCTCCTCCTTTACCACCGCTGATGATAGCACCGGCGTGACCCATCCGTCGACCAGGAGGGGCACTGATGCCGGCAATGAAGCTCACCACAGGCTTGTTCTTCTTGTTCTCGCTCTTCAAGTATTCGGCCGCATCTTCTTCCGCACTGCCTCCAATTTCGCCGATCATGATGATGCCTTCCGTCTCGTCATCCTCCATGAAGACCTTGAGGCAGTCAATGAAGTTGGTGCCGCTGAACGGGTCACCACCGATGCCCACAACCAATGATTGGCCAAGTCCGGCTTTCGTAGTCTGATTCACCGCTTCGTAGGTCAGAGTGCCCGATCGGGAGACGATGCCAACTCGGCCCTGCTTGTGAATGAACCCGGGCATAATTCCGATCTTGCACCGACCTGTATTGTTTTAAAGATTAGCGGTGACGGAGCCGACAGGTCAGCTAGGGAGATACACACCTGGAGCAATGATACCGGGGCAGTTGGGGCCTATCAAACGTGTTTTATTCTGTGTCTTGAGCATGTTTGTGATCTGTTCTTGCTGTTAGTGGTGCTGAAAGACTGGGAGCCGTCTGGGGACCACTGACCCGAACCATATCGTGCTGAGGGATACCTTCAGTGATGCAGACGACGAGAGGGATTTCAGCTGCAACCGCTTCTTCGATACCGGCCGCAGCCACAGGGGGCGGAACGAAAACGACCTGCCGAGGTTTAAGATCAACAATTTGTTTTGTAAGAAGTCTTGAACAAGATTACTTACACTCGCATTGGCACCAGCCTCTTTCACCCCTTCGGCCACGTTCTTGAACACGGGAAGACCCAGGTGTTGTGTGCCAGCCTTCTTGGGGTTTGTGCCGCCCACGACTTTGGTGCCATAATCAATCGCTTGCTGGGCGTGAAATGTCCCCTGTTTACCTGTAATTGATTGTCAGTCATGACCAATTGGTAGCCATGACAGAGGATATACCTGTAAACCCTTGGAAGAGGACCTTGGTATCGGAGTTGATCTTCAAATGGGGAATGGTAGCTTGATATTGTGAGCTGGCCGAGACTGTCGCGTAGCCTCTGCTGGCTTGCCGAAGCAACGAGAACCTGAAGGCCTGCATAGCTGCGAACTTTGCACGAGCAGCCCACAGAAGATCAGCAGGTACTTGAAGGTTGAGGCGTTGCGCAAGTTAGGGTCAGCGACTTCAAGTTGTTCATCGACTGGTATCAAAACGGTCGTGACAGGCTGCGGAGCTCGGCTGCTGGTGCCAATGTCCAACTCGGACTTCGCGCAGCGTACCTAGGTATGCAACGTGCTGCAGTTCAAGTTGCAGCTGGGCGGATGACTCAGCGAGGTACGTTCTTGCCAGACCAGCGGGTCATTTAAAGCGGCGTGTAGTGTCCATGAGGCCAGCACCTAATGTGGTTAGCCAGTCTGCTCTTCAGCCCTGCCGCGGCGGTGACTGTTCACCCAAAACTTTTTCCACGTGATATTGAAATTTCCAGTATCATCGGTCTGCAGAGGCGAGAGTAGATTTCCTCGAAGTCGAACCAACATTCATTTCGGAGGGAGATGCCGACTGTACTCTCTACCTGATTTTACGGAATACCCAGTGCCACTCTTTTGACAATGGCGACAGAAACAGTCACCAGGACCAAGGTCAAAGTGGGCAAGAATGAAAAACTTCCGCCTGAGAATGTTCGGTTTATGGCCGCCTGTGCCGACATTGCTCGTGCGCTGGTGCAAGAATATGAAGCCAGTCTCGATGATTCCAAGCCAAAGAAAGATATCAATCTCAACAGACTTAGGGGTGACATCGCAAAGAAACACAGACTGAGCACACAACCCCCTCTTACCGCCATTCTTGCCGCCACCCCGGAACAATACAAGAAACATCTTCTCCCTAAACTGATCGCGAAGCCTGTACGGTCAGCAAGCGGGATCGCCGTCGTGGCGGTGATGTGTAAACCACACCGTTGTCCCCACATTGCGTTTACAGGGAACGTTTGTACCTACTGTCCCGGTGGCGTCGATTCCGATTTCGAGTACTCGACTCAATCATATACCGGCTATGAACCCACGTCGATGCGTGCCATCCGCGCTCGGTACGATCCTTTTGAGCAAGCCCGCGGGCGGGTTGACCAGATCAAAAGTCTCGGACATAGCGTCGACAAGGTGGAGTTCATCATCATGGGCGGCACGTTTATGTCCTTAGACCAGGCCTACCGCGATAACTTTATCGCCCAGTTACACAATGCTCTGTCTGGTTATCAGACCGAGAACGTCGATGAGGCGGTTGCTGCCGGCGAAATGTCCAATATCAAATGCGTGGGGATCACCATCGAGACCAGACCAGACTTTGGACAGATCGACCATTTATCAGACATGCTTCGATATGGATGCACACGTCTGGAATTGGGTGTGCAGTCATTGTATGAAGACGTGGCCCGAGATACCAACAGAGGCCATACGGTCGCGGCCGTCGTGGAAGCCTTCAAATTCTGCAAAGATGCTGGGTTCAAGGTCGTCTCGCACATGATGCCGGACTTACCCAACGTCGGCATGGAGCGAGATCTGTTTCAATTCCAAGAATATTTTGAAAATCCCGACTTCAGAACAGACGGTCTGAAAATCTATCCCACTCTGGTCATCCGCGGCACTGGCGTCTATGAATTGTGGCGGACTGGTCGATTTAAGAATTACACCCCGAATGCTCTCGTGGATTTGGTGGCCCGGATCTTAGCCTTGGTGCCTCCTTGGACCAGGATCTACCGTGTCCAACGTGATATACCTATGCCACTGGTCACTTCCGGTGTCGAAAACGGCAATCTACGGGAGCTGGCATTGTCGAGAATGAAAGATTTCGGCACAACATGTCGGGACGTGCGTACCCGGGAAGTCGGCATCAATGAAGTCAAGAACAAGATTCGGCCGTCGCAGGTCGAACTTGTCAGGAGAGATTACATGGCCAACGGCGGTTGGGAAACGTTCCTGGCATATGAAGATCCAAAACAGGATATTCTCATTGGTCTGCTGAGACTGCGGAAGTGTACCACTGACTACACCTTCCGACCCGAGCTGACTGGTCAACCGACCAGCATGGTTAGGGAGTTGCATGTTTACGGTCTTGCTGTGCCGATCCACGGCCGTGAAAAGAGCAAATTTCAACATCAAGGATATGGCACCCTTTTGATGAAGGAAGCTGAAAGAATAGCTCGGGATGAGCACGGTAGTGAGAAGTTAAGTGTGATCAGCGGTGTCGGGGTGCGAAGTTACTATGCACGTCTCGGATATCGCCTTGATGGACCATACATGAGCAAGATGCTCAGCTACGACGATGAGGATAACGACTGAAGAAGACTATGCCAACGACAACATTGTTCAGCGACACGAGTTTCTTTACAGGCACACAAGTGATATCAGCAGCGGAACACCTCCCCACTCCCGTCCACGATGGAGAAGTACTCGAGAGCTGTTAGCCGCATTCCATGTTGTCGAGCATGAGAACGAGTGCATCGTATGGCCTGATCAATCACATGGCGACACTCGATTCGCATTATCCTCTGATGTTCACACCACCCGAGGCCACCGACCTGTTGCGAGCTGACAGAGGGTACGCTGCCTGGATGGTACTATATCAGCACTCGAATCCTTCAAGACAGCAAGCATCGCAGACGAGTCCTCCACTGAAGCTGATTGAGCACAATGGAATTATCAACGTTGTACCAAGTCAAAGGTCATCAACAGAGAGTCCTGCTCCAAGGGTACCTAGATACCGTTCAAGCCGCTCCGTATGGAGCAAAGAGACAGACTGGTGGTACACTTGTGCATTATTATCTAATCCTATTGGGGTCAGGGACTCGGGACCGGGGAAAGACGGCGAGACTCCGCGGCTCCACCAGGCGTGTAAAGGGGAATGTGTGATTGGCTGGTGATAACGATAACGGCAGTCGGTCAAATCGCGTCATCGCGAATTTTCAAATAATTTTGCCCGATTTCCGTCTTTGACCTGCGTTTCTCCAAGACGGCGGGCCAATTTTGATGGACTGATTGATTCTTGAGGGTTTGCGGCGTCCTGTATTATTTATTACTCCTGGGCATGGCATGAGATGGTCTTCTAAGGCCAGCTCTCTCTTCATTTCTTATCTTCCCTTGATTTATATCTGCATAGCGATGGTGTCGCTGGGTTTTGACTGATCTGCCATCGTTGCTGCGGCCGTCTCTTTTGCTCTCTTCAGCCCATTTCACTCTGCTTAGTCGGTCTCCGTCCGCCGGACACTGAAGACACATGACTCCTTCACTGCTTACGGCGCAAAGCTGCGTCGGCCAGATTCATCTGGTCCTGGGGACCGGCCCGCTTGCGGCTTCGAGGTGCGCGAAATCACTCGAGGTCGGCGCCCGCCCTGTCATTGTCGCGCCGGGCACCACAGACCTTCACTTCACTTTAGCCAAGGCAGTCGATGACGGGAATGTACTTTGGATACAACGAGACTTTGAAGAGCAGGACTTAAGGACACTGGGAAGAGAAGAAGTCGATGGGTTTGTCGACGCCGTTTTCATTACATGGTCTGCGAAACATCCTCAAAGCAGCCACATATCCAACCTTTGCAGACGCTTGCGGATACCAGTGAACGTGGTCGATGCACCTGCACTTTGCACCTTTACATTACTGTCGACATATTCCGATGGACCGTTGCAAATTGGCATAACGACGTCCGGGAATGGCTGCAAGTTGTCGTCGCGCATTCGAAGGGAAATCGCCTCCAGTCTCCCACCAAAATTTGGTACTGCAGTTGAACGACTTGGAGCCATGAGAAGGCGAATATGGGAAGAAGATTGCAGACTCAATGCGGCAAATGGGAACGAGGCCATGGACGCGGATGTTGGAGACGACGAGTCTTCGGCGCAGAAACATACATTCAACTCACTAGTCAAGGAGGACGACCAGGATCCGGCTACGCTGCGCACTCGTCGCATGAGATGGCTGTCTCAGATATGCGAGTACTGGCCTCTTAGCCGCCTCGCTGCCATCACGGATGCAGATGTTGCGGCCGTTCTTGAAGCTTACCGCTCACCCGGTCAAGCGTCTGCTCCTGGCTCAGCCTCTACGGACCATATGCCACTCAGTCGAGACTCTCGAAAAGGTACCATTACTTTGGCCGGTTCGGGACCTGGCCATCCCTCTTTACTCACGATTGCGACCCTGGCGGCCATCCAAACGGCGCATTTCATTCTGGCCGATAAGCTTGTGCCGGCGGAGATCCTCGCGCTCATCCCACGGAGAACCCCCGTCCATATTGCAAGAAAATTTCCCGGAAACGCAGATGCGGCTCAGGAGGAACTTCTCCAGCTGGGTCTTGATGCAATGAAACAAGGCAAAGATGTCCTGCGCCTGAAGCAGGGAGACCCGTACCTGTACGGTCGCGGAGCCGAAGAAGTCTCGTTCTTCCGCGACCGTGGATATGAAGTCAGAGTAATTCCTGGAATCACCAGTGCGTTGTCGGCACCGCTTTTCGCAGAGATACCGGTCACCCACCGCGCAGTCGCGGATCAAGTGGTCATCTGTACTGGCACAGGGAGGAAGGGCGCCGCTCCAGAGCCGCCGTCATACAGAAAGAGCAAGACGGTAGTGTTCTTGATGGCCTTGCACAGACTGGAGGGCTTAGTCAACAGTCTGACGAGAAACGCCGAGGAAGAGCAAGATCAAGCAACGCGGAAGCGGGAGTTGTGGCCGTCGAGTACGCCATGCGCGGTGATCGAACGAGCGAGTTGCCCAGACCAAAGAGTGATCCGGTCAACTTTGGAACATGTCTGCCAAGCTGTTGAGACGGAAGGGTCCAGACCTCCGGGGCTTTTGGTGGTCGGGCATGCTTGCGAGGTGTTGCACAAACTAAGCGAGGGACAGCGCTGGTCTGTCGAGGAAGGGTTTCGAGGTCTCGAAACGACAGAATCTACCGGCGAAGGATTGCAAATTCTGAGGGAGATCGAGGTCTCTTCGTGCAAGGATGGTGTGAGAACAGTTGGATCAGATCTTGCGCCGGTTCAGATTTCAGTATAGCGATGGAAAGATGGTGCATGGTTCATGGATTCAAGATACCCACAAGATGTTTAAAGATGTTATATTCGCGATGTAAATTCATGAAAAACACAGTCTCTACACCCTACATTTCTTTTGAAATTGCCCCTTGTTGACAGTTGCGCGATCCGGCCCTACCCAACGGCTGTAGCAAAGAAATGTATGCGGGTCTATCTCGCTTATCGAACTTGAACTGTAATAGCGAGGGTACCACCGCTAATGACAACCAGCCCCTTTCCCCCAACATCTCCAGGTTTCGGTACACATAGGCATTACCCTATTCACGGTGAAGCAAAAGCTGGCAAGGCAAGAGAACTGTGAAATGTCGCTCACGTTGTACATTGTGTATCCAAACCAAATACAGAGGCAGAGTGTTAAGGAGATTTAGATGAAGAAAATCCGTATATCCAGCACAGTAGAAGTTGTCTGAGGAGTTCGCATTGGAACTCGAGGCAACGTCATTACATTCCCTGTTCAAGTTGGACTCGACTGCGGCTGCGCGTGAATGATCTGGAGTAATATATCGTGCATTTTATTGCCGTGTGTTATAAACACCACACGCAAGCTGCGTCCTATGGCTGGGGAAGCCGCTACAGCCCAATTCAGCGGTTAATACGACCACCACCACCACCACCACCACCACCACCACCACCACCACCAATCCTCCCAATACAATCCCATCTACATCAGCAAATGCCAACATCCAGCATCGCGCTGGCAACTCCTGCCGTCATTCTCATCCTCCGTCCGGCTTGCTATCCATGACCACGGTTGTGAAGGATCTGTCTTGCTCACCGTACACGATCGTCACCTTCTACCATGGTTGCTGAGACCCAACACCATCTACAATGACGCGCCGCAAGCGCACCCCTTCGCCATCTCCAGCCTCTCCACAGAAACGCGTGGCATTTGAAATTCCTCCTTCACTCCAGCAGTTCTCGACCATTTCACGATCCCTTGCTAACAGCAGAGACTCGCACTCGGCGCCAACTTCTTCGCAAGCGATCTCCAATGGCCCAAGACAGACCCAGCCCCAGCCGAAGGGAGTTTCACAGTCATCCGCGCAGGCTGGCGCAACGTTGAGTGCTGGCACTAGAACTCAAGAGAATGCGCGATCCGATATGCACTCTCAACAACGACATTCTACGGGTGCTCAATCATGGCCTCAGTCATCGCTGAAGAACAACCCTAATTTGGCCGGCTCGAGGCGAGTGGACGAGTCGGGGAAACAACAAGGTGTTAACAACTCCTTTCCATCCTCTAATGTTGTGCAAAGCCGAGACCCTTCCGCGAACCCTTCTACTACGAGCCCTCAATTGCGACGGGAAAGCATGCCGACTCGATTTCCCGCCGCGCCTGAAGAACCTCCCCTAAAACCGGGCGAAACTCCCACCTTGGCGACCCATCCCAACCTAATTGCGCAACTGGTTGCGAAAAAGAGAGCGGAAAACGAGGCAATGGGGGTACGTGAACTATGGGCCAGAAGGCAGGCCGAGTACCGAATGTCAAAGTCGCCGGCGAGTCAGTCACTGACCGAGCCGAACAAAGATTTGGCCCGCATTGGAAACCAACAGCCACCCCAGTCTAGAGCCTTCTCTAACCCACTGCCCGCCCGGCCACCAATACAGCCTCCTGTGCCCGCATATGCCCCATATGCTCCGGCAGCATCAAGGATAGAAACCCGTGCCCCGGCGACAGAAAATAGGACAGCACCTGCTGTGGAGGAGTCTGGCAAAGGTACTGACACGTCCAAAGCGCCAAGGGCGAGTGGCGAGACGGATTCTCTTTTTGGATCGCCTTTTTCAGAATTCCTCGAAAAGGCGACCGACAACGCCGGTTTGAAGGATGGAAATGAACCAAGCAGCGCAGTATCAGCCGGGAATTCAGCCGCACCAACACCAGTTCCACAAGGACCCGATGCGGCTCAGTCACGACCGGCTTCATCGCACCAGCCCAGTGAAACAAACAAGCCTCCGACCGGAAACGTTACCTCAATCCCTCCTCTCTTCTCAGATAAACCCAAAGGCACAGGCACAGGCACAGGCACAGGCCCTGGCGTACAAGCACCGACGCCACAAAATAGACCATACCATCGTGGCAGCGGCAATTCAGGGCCCACCGTGAGCACCCCTCAACACCAGAATACCAGCATGATGCAGCGGCAGTCTCAAGCGCATGCGACGGTCCCTTCCCAGCCGCCGTCTGGACAAGCACCTCGACAAGATGTCTTCGTCATGACACCATCAGTGGCCTCATCGCATTCATCTGCCGGTGCAACGCCGCGCCGTCATCCTTACTTTGAGCAGACCCCTACTCCTGGGGGATATTACAAGGTCGATTTTCGGGTGTCGGCTGACGGAACGACCTCGACTACGGCCATACCTGCAGGTCATGCCTCTCTACCATACGGAAAGCCGCTGGGGCCACCCAATGCAGGGTATCCAGGTTACGTGATGGGCATGATGCCTGTGTATCAAATACAACAGCAACCGCAACCCATGCCGGGTCAAGTTCCGGTCCAGAGGCCGGCATACGGCGGTATGGCTGTCGGTCCTGCTACGGGCACCGTTGCACCTGCGGCTGCGGCCCCAGTAGCCGCCGCACAGCCGTCAAAGCAGCAGCAGCATTCATCCGGCACCAATGTGATCACCCAAGCGGATAGGGTTGCGGGGATCAATATGAGATTCAAAATCTCAACGCAGAACGATTTCTCTGTGCCGAAGCGGTAACATTGGCGTCTATGTTGGCCGCATATGCTCCGCACGGCAGAACCCAATGCATGACGAGGAACCCCAAGAAGTGAGGAATAATTGATTAAGATGAACATGACCCGGGACGACATAATTGCCGAATATGAAATGGAGTGTACTGTATGTGAAAGCTGAAGGAGCAATGGAAGAACGTGGTGGCGGAACCCGCATATGTTTGATTTTCAGTTCCTGCCTATCTAGCCTTGCATGAGGCAGGTCGAGGAGAGGACACCATCTCGTCTCCGCCACTGGCAGGAAATGACCACAGAGGGAACAGTTGACTTTGACGGTTGTACAGCATTTAAATTACGTTTCTTTGTACTCTTACTACGCTGGCTGCGCGGGTGGTGGTGCGGTTTCTTGTAGCGTGTGGGGACCAGATCTCTCAAGGTTTGAAGGTGTGATTCAGTAAGGTACTAGTAGTAGCGAGTTGTGAGCGAGTTAGGCGTTGGGCCAAATGATCCCTCGATTATGAGTATCTATCTGATTGACAAGCAAATACGAAGAGGGAGTCTTGGTTTTTAGGCCATCCTTGATTTTCGGTTGACCACCATGTCACCTCGTGATGCCGTTTTTAGAAATTGTAGGTAGATGGCCGCGAGATAGGGTTCTTGAATTGTGCCTGCCCTTTGACGGCATCGCTCAGGATGTATGTATGATAAAAACATGAGATGAATCTGATTTACTCGCTTCCCACCTTCGGTAGAACCTGAGACCACTGGCAGTCACGAGAACCGCATAGGTCGCCGCGCCAAACCCTCGACCAAGTCGGCCATAAGCTCGCGCTTGCGCTTCCTTCGACGATCTGCATCCTCCCCCGCGTCTGCCGGGGCGGATTGCGGCGGAAGTGTACCAGCAGGGGCCGGCGGAGGCTCTACTTCTCCTGAGTCTGCCTCTGCCTCTGCTTCGTAGTCTTGGTCCGCGGTACCGAGACCGGTACCGGCAGGCCGCGGCATCCAAGCGCAAATGCTCCCATCACCGTGCGCAGTGTACATCTCAACAGCATCGCCAGCAGGAGCATTGGAGCGCCAGACCATAGCGTTGATGCGGCCGCCGCTCGTCAGACGGCCGAGACTACTGCTGCCTGCCCCAGCACCACCAACACCACAACGACCTCGTCCACGACCAGCTCCACCTCCACGTGATTTGGCAGCTGCAGCAGCTTGGATCTCGGCGAGCTTGATGCCTTGGGTACGTAGGGATTTCAGTAAATGGCCCTCGCGCAGATGATGCTGGAAAATGACGCCGCGGCCGTCGTCGTTAGGCCAGAACAGCGACTCGTGACCAGGGCGATGGGTGCCGAGCGGCGAAATCAGCGGTTTCAATTCGCCGTGTCTCTCGTTGCGGATGCGCGGGCCGAAATGGACCAGCTCATTGCGGCCTGTGCATGTGTCCCATACCCGGATGCGCTGGTCGTGGCCCGTTGTGACTAGACGGTCGCCGCTGGGCGTCCATTGCACGCTCGTGACGGGTCCGTTGTGCGCGACGGCATGGAAGTCGAGAAGCTCCGGTCGCGCCCCAGCCCCAGTTGAAGGAAACTCGCCTACGACGCCGACTGCGTCGTCGAGGTCTAATGAGGCAAAGACAGCGTTGGCCCGGCGGATGTCGTAGAATAGGACCCGGCCGTCGGCGGAGCCGGAGGCCAATAGGAACGATTTCTTGGGTGACCATGATACCGTGTACACGGCTCCGTTGGGCCCGGATAGAGAGTGAGTTGATAATCCCGTTCGTAGGTCTAGCAGCCGCACTGCTGGGTGAGCGGTGCCCACGGCGATCAAGGGCGATGCATCGACCACCGTCGACATGCAGTGCGTGTATGGCAGGAAGTCGAGGTCGAACGTATGCACTGGCACCAGCGATGTGGGCGTGATGGACGTTACCTTGAGCGTCTTGTCGTAGCTCGTGCTCAGTAAGGTCGTCGGCGTCGGGTCGAACGGGTAGATCGAGATGGATGTCAAGGCGTGCGTGTGTGCCGCTGCTGCCGACCCACGGGTCAAGGACGCTGTCGGCCGGTAGTACTGCAGGTATTGTGGTTCATTGGTGTTGGTGCCGCCATTACCTGTTGGTTGGGAGTTGAAGGTCGGGGTTTCTCTCTTCTCTAAATCCCATAACCGGATCGTGGAGTCTGCTCCTCCGGAAAGCAGGTAACGAGCTGAGACGGGGTCTATGGCCAGGCAGTTGACGCCAGCTTGGTGCGCGATCCTGGAAGATCCAGATCCAGGTCCAGACCCGGACGCTGGCGTAGACTGGGCCGTTTGACTCCTGGGCACATCTTGCGCATCGCGCGCGGTGGACTTTTGAAGCGTGAATATGATGTTGTTCTGATGGCAAAGGCTGTTGATCTGACTTTCGTTATAAATCCGCCGAAATGATGGTGCCGGTACCGTGCCCAGGCACTGGCCTAGGCGAAGATCATTCATGCATCAGTGGGAGCCTGGTGCTTGCTTGGAAGAGCACCAGAAAGTCGGATTGACTTGATCCTACTCAGCTGAGTCGGAGCGTGAATGATGATGCAGTAATGGAGAGAGAGGTTGATCGAGTTGATATGGCGGCTACTACTACCAGTACATTGTAGTAGTAAAGTCAACCACTAGTGCGTTTTAGCAGCAGCATAGCAGCATTTGGAAGGTATTGCGAGCAGCTGCGTAATTGAGAAGTATACTCCGCTCTACCTTTGCTTTATGCTCTGCCGGACATATTCTATGTCCAAAGACGCGTTTTTGCGGTTTGGAATTCCAAACTGGAACCCTTGGGGGCGTGCGTGCCCTTTACTCCCTGTCGTCAATTGTCCTCCCGGTACGGCAAGAAATGGTGCTGGAATTGCACATATGGGGCCCAGCTTTTGACCTGCCCTCTATCGATGCCCCATGTCTTGCGGCGATTTGTTACCTGCGCAGCTGCCTTCCTGCTGACGCCTGGTCATTGATCCCTTCTAGCGATCCGGCCGTCAGCCCTCTTGGAGAGCTTCCAGCCCTACGCAATGGCGAGACTTGGGTATCAGGGTTTGACAATATCGTTGCGTACTTGAAACATGTCTCAGGCGGAGAATGGGACCTCGACAAAGACCTCGACGACAAACAACGGGCCGATCGCGCCGCCCTATCATCCTTTCTCGAATCTCGCGGCCAGCCTCTGCTCGACCTGTATCTCTATGTTAGCACCGACAACTATCATGGCGGTACCAGGCAAGCTCTTGCCGAAATCTTGACGTGGCCCAACAGCTGGTCTGTGCCTCATCAAGTACGAGCAAAAGCAAAGAAGAGATCGGAACATTTGGGGCTCAGCGGCCTTGATGTGGACACTGCGCAGGAAGACAAGAAGGAGGATGCAGTGTTAACGGCACAGATCCCGAAATCCTTGCGGAAACCAAGGCAAACTGTCAGTGGGCTGCTTGGAAGGAACATGCAGAAGAACCGATTTCGTTTAGATGGCATCACTTCTGACTTCTTCGAGCCACTGCTGGACGCCTTGGGAGAAAAAGAGTGGTTTCTCAGAGATCAAACTTCCAGCGTGGATTGTCTGGCATTGGGGTATCTTGCGCTTATGCAGAGCCCTAATCTGCCACAAGCGTGGCTGAAGGACGCTCTTCACAACAAATATGCGAAACTAGATGGTTGGGCTCGAAAGCATTCGGGAGAGATATTCGGTGGACCGGTTGATGTATCCGTGGTGCTGGGCCGCAAAGATGGCCTTGCCTCTGCCGGGTCTGTATTACCCTGGCAAGTTCCAAGAAAGAGGAATTTGCCGCAGGTCTTGCAAGCAATCTTGGAGAACTGCGTGACTCCAATCCCTATTTTGGGTTCGTGGTTTTCGATCTCGGATATCGGGCAGGACCAGTCGAAGGATCTTGTACGTCACGACGTAACACAACACAGGTTGGCCCAATTACGCCGACGGAGGGATATATATGTCCAGCTTCTGGCGTCCACTTGTGCTATTACAGGCCTAATGGGATGGATGCTGTACAAGGGCATATTGCACATTCCTCGTCGAACACCGACAACACCCAAGGGCCGTAGCTTCGGTGAAGCAGGGGCTCTGCTGGGACTTGCCTGAAAACTGAAATGAGACATACCGAGAGCCAGGTAGGCAAAAGCGCACCGACAGCCTCAAAGGTCACGATGCTCTTGGGGAAGAGCATGGCAAAGCTGTTGGCGAGGATGCACTGTTTAGTCCCGTTTTACCGGCTACACCACATACACCAGCTTGATCAATTCTCCCATCAACCGAGCCACATGTGAGGGGGAAGAACCTTCTTGGGGACTCGAGCGAAGACCCGATGATGCATCGACATGGAGATCTTGACGTCGAAGATCTTTCAGATGCCAAGCCATGGCATCCTTGCACCGGGCTGCTCATTATTGTTATTTGCCAGTGCACTGCAGTGCTTCTTCACCCGCCTTATCTTCAACGCCACTAGCAAGACCGCTCGTTTGGGGTTGCTTCTTCTGGTTTTATTTCTAGTCGACCGGCACGCAGCGTCAGTTTCGAGACATGGATGAGCAAGATCGCCCAGAGGCGGTGGTGGCTCTGTACAAGTACCCAGGTCAGGACAATGATGGCCATCGTTGGCTTTATATATTGCAACATCAAACTGCTACACATGGGGAGTTTCAAACAGGTCCGTCAGTAGTGCTACTGCACCTGTGCTACGTACAAACTCCAGCTTGAACTGTACATCTCCAATCTACAATGGTAGATACAGTAGGTACAATAGTAGTAGCACTATCGCTGGAAAGCTGCCGGATGAAGTTACTGTAAGCAATACGGATCTCCGTCCGCCAGTCCCAACATGGTCCATGTGGTGGGACATGGACGAATAGAAACTGTCACGTACCTGGCCTCTTGGCGACCTTTGCTTCAGCCGACAAATCACAGGCCCCATTTTCGGTTTGAGTTCGGTGCCTTGCTCATTATGTGGTCTGCTATTGGCTCCCGAGTCGATAGCCTCTGGAGCACCTTAAGGTCCTCACTTTTGATATTTTGGGAAGGTTCGAGTCTCCCTCAGCTTGCTGCACCAGATCAGCGCCTTCTCGCCTAGAAGCAAGCATTGGCAGAGGATGCCGGTGCCAGTGGGAGCAGCGAATGCTCTGCGCTTGGTCCAGGCTGCCTAACTCGAGCTGCAGCAGGATCCCCACGACAGCCACGCTGAAGACAACCTGCCATCGGCCGTTCTATTTGCACCCGCTCCTCCCTTTCTCTACTTCATCCACCCGATGGAGAGTTTTTCGGATTTTGATGTGGAAACCGCAGGATCCTTCTTTTCCTTTTTAATTCCATAGGACTCTGGGTCCAGTGATATTTTCGCGTTGTGCTCTTTCCACTACATTGACGCTCCACCAAAGAGGACCTCATCTCTGACCGACTTCCTATAACAGACCTGGAAAGTCAGCAAAAATTTCTTGCGACGCAGCCAGCGCCAGATATCTCCACCGGATAAGGTAGCCATAAGAAAAGTCAAGCATTCCTTAGCTACGCGTTCTAACATAAAGCAAGCATTGTGCTACTCTTGAATTCATCCTGGATGTACAACAGCCGTTCAACCACGCCGTTCAAACGAGTGTAGCAGACCGATCACTACACCCTGCCGGTAACCGCCGTTCCTCTACCTGCCGGTCACCGCTTTTGTCTGCCACTGTAATACCATGGCCAACCTCGAGACGTTCGCCCGTCTGGTGTTGCGGGATGATGACGACGCGGAGCCTGCGCCGTCCTGTGACACTGGCAATGCATACGATGGTCGGATGGGGTTGCGGATAGCTGCGCTCTTCATCATCTGGGTTACGGCGTCCATCGGTACCGTGTTCCCCATTTTTGCCAACCGGCATCGCGGGATGAAGATTCCTGACTGGGTTTTCTTCATCTGCAAATACTTCGGCTCCGGCGTCATCGTTGCAACAGCCTTCATTCACTTGCTTGGGCCGGCCGAAGAAGCCTTGACCAACGAATGTCTCACTGGTCCTATCACCGACTATTCCTGGGTCGAAGGAATTGTTCTGATGACCATCTTCGTTCTCTTCTTCGTTGAGCTGATGGTGATGAGGTATGGCAATTTTGGCTCGGGGTACAATGATAATCAGGCACACACACATGGCGCTGATGGGAACCCATCGATGGAGACCGAGTTGACCAACACCACGGCTCGTGAACCATACAAGGACACCGATCCTTCAGTGACAGATACCGATGCCGTCAGGCAAGACCGCCGCAGTATCTCAGTGCCTGGTGAAGATCACCTTGGACACTCTCGAGAACATAACGACATCGAGGAAGCCGCCAATCCGTTCAGCTTCGAGGACTACAAGGCTCAGATGACGGCCATCTTCATCCTGGAATTCGGCATCATCTTCCACAGTGTTTTCATTGGCCTCACTCTTGCCGTAGCTGGTAACGAGTTCGACACCCTTTTTATTGTCCTGATCTTCCACCAAACGTTCGAAGGCCTTGGTCTCGGATCCCGACTTGCCGTTACACCATGGCCGAAAGACCGCAGATGGACTCCTTACGTTCTGGCTCTTGCCTACGGTTTGAGCACGCCCATCGCCATTGCCATCGGCCTGGGTGTCCGAAAGTCTTATCCTCCCGAATCTGCCACCACCCTCATCGTCAATGGTGTGTTTGACTCAATCTCCGCAGGCATTCTGATCTATACTGGTTTGGTGGAGTTGATGGCGCACGAGTTCATGTTTAGCAGGGGCATGCAGAGGGCCAAAATTCAGACGGTGCTGGGAGCCTTTATCACAATGTGCCTGGGAGCTGGTTTGATGGCCTTGCTTGGGAAATGGGCTTAGTGGGCTAAAATGGTTGCTTCGCTGCAACGCGCGGTGAACGGACAATGACATTGGGCTGCCGGGTCCATCAGCGCCATCCAGGTGGAGTTCCCTACGTCGCTCGCCGGCCTGCGAGCGCAAGCACCACTGCCGACTACCGACAGAGACAACGGCGCTGATACGATTGTGCAGTTTTCTCTTTGTTTTCTTTTTTCGAAAATGCCTTCAAATGCGCCTGCGTACACGTTAGATGGGTCATGAAGAGTGGATGACAGTTTGGCGATACCCCCAGATAAGCGGAATGAATGAATGTTGTGTTTGGTGGTTCAGGCGTGCGGACGAGAGTCAAGAAGTTGAAGTCGAGCATTTGCTGGCGTAGAGGATGAAGAGCACTTTTTGGTACATTTGATACATGTACCCAATCAAGGTGAAGGCTTTGAGTAGTTAATCGACAATAGTACTTTTATTGACATTCAGAAACAAGCCTTCTTCCTGTTCAACATGGTCGTGTTCTCTGCATACGAGTCTACCGTTTCCAGTTGTGATTCCGCATGTTCCCAACGAAGCTGACACTAAGACATTGCTGAGGAGATGAGAAGTACCGAGTTCTCAATTTCCATTCCTCTTGCAACACCGAAAGGAGATACAAATGCCCGAACACCAGCAGTTTTCTTCGGGACTCTACGTCCTTTTCCCACTTGAACCATAATGAGCCGTTCACTATTGGTGTAGACGCGAAGATCCTCGCTGGCTCGCCCTGCTTTGTCAGCGGCTTTCGCAGCGCAGTCAGCCTCATCACGTGATGACGGATCCTGACCCGTCTGGGAGAGCAACGAACGAGTTTACATGGCCATAGAACCTACGATGGGGAATCGAGCTAGAAAATAATTGAAATTGTGAAAACGTAGTTAGCTAACCAGCCACTGATGGAAAATGGTTATCCTCCTCTGGGGGGGTGTGGTGCGGGTGGGACAAGCGAGGCTAGAGAGCCTCGATGGTGAATTGTGGATGGTCGACGGTGGCCCGAAGGTAGTGCGAATCTGAGCAGTGTTACACGCGTGGTGCAGAAATACCAATAGTAGGCTGGTATTGTGCCGATCGATTCCAGTGGAGACGCTTCGGCGTGTAGACAAGACACAAGTCTAAGGAAAGAAGTAGAGGGGGCCAGAGAGAGGTAGATGGGGACAGAGGGGGAGGGAGATACACGGAGATATAGAGAGGGAGAGGAAGAAAGAGGGAGGGAGATAGAGAGACATATAGAGAGGGGAGAAATGAGAGACAGAGGTGGGAGGCAGCGGATCCAAACTCCAAGGAAAGGGGCAAAAGATTCTCGTAAGATCGTAAAAAGGTACTCTGGTTTCTGCCGTCGCTGCTGAGCCTGGCATGCCTCCTGTGCCTCTATAAACCAGGAAATGATCCGTGTAAGCGAGGCGGGAGTCCGCCCTCTGCTCAACCGTTGCAAAAGCCGAGAAAGCAAAGGATGAGACCTCTCGTTCTCCTGGGCCAGGACTCTTCCGTCAACATCACCCGAGCACAGAGTAGTACAAGTAGAACTGAAATGATCCTCGGCCCAGCCGAGGGCCTACGTGCTGGTATTCATCTTTTTCATGTTGTTGTTATTTCCGAAGTTCCAACCATATCCACTCGAACACTTCAAAACAGGCCTGTCTCCTGTCGCCCGCCCCAGGTATCTTAACAATACGCCGTGGAAATCGTTGCTTTGCCATGTCGCTTGGTGTTTCATCAATCCTTTTCTCTTTTTTCTCCCAGTTTTGTTCGTGACATCGTGTCGTCGTCGGAGGAACACCCTTTGAACAGCAATAGAGTGGGGATGTATGGCATTGCGAGAAGAGGGAAAACGGATGACTAGATGACGGTGATGATTATCAATAACCTCTGCCGTACATACCTCCTGGGGCTGCGCCAGCTGCGCCATGAGGAGGAGACATGAATCCAGCCATGGGCGGCGGTGGTCCTTGAGGAGCGGGAGGATGTTGTCTTGCGGCGCTGGGACTGACGGGCGCTGCCATCTGGGGACGATGGAACATGCTGACCAAGCGACGACCTACAGAAGGTTCGATCTCGGTGCCGTCCCGCGCAATCTTGACCTCACGATTCGAGTTCCAAGGGTTTCTCAGACCTCGGGTCCGATAGAACGGCAGGCGGTCGGTGGACATCCACTTGATCTTGAACGGTTTTCCGAAGCTTTGCGGCGTCGCAGGGCTGGTGGACTCGTAGCCTTCGCCGGACAGGTTCCCGCTATCCTCCTCTGCCGTGTGTTGTTCCTCTTTTTCTCTGTTCTCCACATCCGCCTCCCAGAAGATCGTGCCGCGTGCAGAGTCGTCAATGATCCGACCCCTGGGTGCCGTGGCGGTAGCCGGTGTGTAAACCGTCAATGGGACATCGGAAGGACTGGGATTTGGCGCCTCTGGTCGTGGTTGGTAGTCGAGTTTGGCAGCAGACTCGGCATCGATTGCCGACTCCATCCTGGCGTAGCCGAAGTATTCGCCGGATTTGTTCGCCGAAAAAATCAGATACACGTTCTCGGCTGTCTGCTGGTCGTTAGAAAAGGCAAAAAAAAGACACATTTAAGATTGTGCCGGAAAAAGAAGAGAAAGAAAGAAGCAGAAAAGGAAGGAGCAACTGACCTGATACGCCTTATTGAGCGCCTCTTCATTGTGCGCCTGAGTGGCCCATATACCACTGACGACACTACGTTCCAAGTCCTCGACCGTCAGGCTTTTGACAACAAAGAACTTCTCCTTGACCTTCTTCATAGGTTCAGGCTCGGCTGTGACTGCGCCGTCGACTGTCACAGCTTGCTCCCCTGGCACACCGTCAGGCTGCTTGGCCCCGGCCGAAGCCGAAATCTCGGCCGGCGCTGCATCGACACTTTGCGGTGTGTTCGCTGCAGAAGAGCTGCCGCGGCGCAGTCTACACACCAACCTGACGCCTTGGAAGCGCGAGTCATGGAAGCGGGTCATGGCGGCTGCGCAGCTGGCCTCGGTTTTGTAATTCACAAAGGCGCAGTTGCTTTTCGATATCAGGAAAACACTTTCAATGTCCTCTGTGGCGTCTTTTGAAAAGTGGTCTTTGAGGTCGATTATGTTGGTAGACGGTGGGAGATTGCCCACCCAAAGGGCGTGCCCGGACTGCCGTGGTTTTCTAGGCGGCCCTCTGAGCGCAGATGTCTGTAACGACGAATTCGAACTGGTTCTCCTGATGGCTTCTTCACTTAGTCTTGTCTCCAACTCTCGAAAAGAAGATTGCTCTCACCTTGAGGGTCGAGTTGCTGATAGAACTGCTGTGCCTGCGGATGCGCAAGGCTACTATTCACACGCAAATGTGGTAAAGGATATTGGGGCGCGACCCTGCCAGGGTAGTGGCCCATGTACGGCGCAGGTACATGAGATTGGGCGAATGGTGACTGGTGGTGCTGCTGGTGCTGATGCTGTTGATGCTGGACTGTCGCACCCGCACTCTGAAGCATCGATTGTTGCAACAAAAGGGCCTGGCTTGGGTATGCCTGCGGGCCACTCACCCCGGCCGAGCCGCCGATGAACTGAGGAAATGCACCTTGGCCCTGTCGCGATGGAAGGCTTTGCACATATTGGGTTGGGTACTGTTGAGCAAAGGTCTGGCTGTAATTACCGGCAGTTTGACCAGCAAACTGCGCGCCTTGCTGATACTGATACATCATTGACTGGTTCGCAGATCCGGCTGTAGGAAATTGGTGAGGAAATGGTTGTTGCTGGAACTGTCGCATCGGGTATTCTGGCAAGGCTGCTGCCATATTTGACATATCGAGCGCTTCCGCACCAGGGAAATGAGCCATGCCGAAGTGTTGTCGAGGATAGGATTCAAACTCCATGTCCGGCACTCGTGCTGATGGGGTTGTCGACACAGGTACCGGTCGCTGAGGAGAATGTTCTGCTACTGTCAGTCTTGTCCAGAACATGTATGGGCGTGGAGAACAAACACACCTCTCAAGCTCTCCTCATTCTCATGAGGTGTGGAAATTGCTGGGAGCGGTGGTTCATCACCCATACCTAAGCCTTCAAATATAACAGGAAGTGTAAAGTATTGCTGGACCCAGATGAAGGCCATCAGTCAGCCATGTTGCTCGGGGTAAGACATCAGGCCCGGACAGAAAGAATACCTCAAATAGATACAGCTAGACTCTGCAGACAAGATCGTCCTCTACCAACAGCGAGGAGGCTGAGCGCCCGGGTCGCCCCTATCCGAGTGAGCTCGTTGACTCTGGGAAAGACGTTGATTGAGGTTCCTGATAGTCAGGCACTGGTGTATTCGAGAAGGGAAATGAAACATCCAGCCGGCGCCAAATTTGGAAATGAACGTGAGCTGCCGGGATCCTTCTGTTGTTTCACAGGGCTAGATGAGGAAGCCTCTTCGCTCGTGGCAGTGTCGAACGAGGGGATTAAAGAACGATTGGTTTGCGGCTGGCGTGCAAAAAGAACGAGAGTTAAGAACGGCATGCGTATCCAACCGTGTCTCAAATGTGGCATGACCGGGGTGAGAGTTAAGGACTGGCGGCGATAGCGACGCACATTATACTAGAGCCTGTGGGACACAACAAGTGAAATTCGACAACGGCGCCAGGGTCCACCGCAAATCAGTGGCCAAAAGGAGACCAACAGGAATGATTGGAAAGGACTGGGGACGGTCCCTTGTCCAGGTCAGGGTGATCAAGCCTGGCGGAAGGAGGCCAAACGATTCGGGGAAACCCAGAGAAACTAGGGTTAAGCTCGACCGAAGCGGAAGGTTGATGGTCTACCACAATACCAGAGCCACATCTCGGTGAGCTAAGAGCTCGAAATAAGGACCATGGGTTTTGCCGGCGCACAACGAACATAACGGAGGCCGATTTTGCTGGGCTTCGTTGCATTACGGTCCAGGGCTGCAGCCTTATTGGACGGATCTTTGATGCGATGTTCAGGACCCAAGATGGGTAAAGCGTGGAGATCAGAGCGACGGTGGCATATCTGGCACCAGGCTAGGTCCGGAATGAAGAAGCTATGATCTGGGCCCGGTATTCCGTTTCTCGCAAGCGACCGTGTGTGGCTGAGAGCATCTGTCCGCACGCTGGCAAATAACAACCGACTTGACCAGTAGAGGCATTTCCACAGGCATGAGTGGAGGACAGAACATGGGCTTTCCCATGTGCACACCAGGCATCGATTTTTGTTCGCACCGTTTGAACTTGTGAAATTTAGCCGGTGGGTCATTCAGAGAGTAGTGGCTGTGTGTGTACTCCTCTCTCGGAAAGTTGGGCCGGTTCCGAATACAACAAACTCCAACTGAACGCTCGAGAAATGTTCCGACTTGACTCGCACCATCAAGGCGGGTAGGCAGTGCGTAGTCAAACGGCGCGCTATCAGTGTTGCCGGAGCTCGCGCGGTGAGCGTAGGGAGAAGTGGTTCGGTAGCGGAACGTGGGCGAATGAGCTCGCTGATTCCTGGCTCTTGAGCTGTGGCGACCTTATGCATTCGACCTAGGGATATCATCCGACAAGACAGCTCGCTGTTCCGGGTGTCTCAACTGCCAGGCGATACCAAGCTTGACCATCGCTTAGCTGGAAGGGCATGCATTGTTGCTGGAAGTTCCCCACTCAGTCGCAATAACGCACATTCATTTTCAAGGTTGAAGTTCGACAATTGACCAACTGTCGCATCCACAATGACGCGGGCACTCCAAAGCTATGCACGTGTAAAGCCTAGGGAACCCTGCATCTGCCAATCCATAGCCATGGAGGTGCAGAAGCGAGCTTCCGCTGATGGTTGCTCAACGAGGAGTGGCACCCAGCGCGGGAGGCAAAGTGATGTTTGATGGTTCTGGACTCTGCAGATCTTTATACCATTCTGGTTAAAGCCTCGGTGCGCAAGCCACAGCCATCTGCGTCTGCTTCCAGGGTCCAGCATATCGCCTTCGGCTTCTGTGCCTACCGGTTAGCGAACTACAATCGTACAGAGTTAGAAACCGTGAGTTTTCTCTTAGTATTTTTGTGTGCAAACCACGGTGGGAATGGCCGGTCCTCGTCATAGCATTGTCTGATGTAGGACCCCTGGCGAGACTCATCGCAGGAACTGAGGTTTTTACCCAGGCTATGCCCTGCCACCGGATAAGGCGATGAAAGCACAATCATGACAATATTCGAGTCTGACAATGCTAGAATATCGCTGGATACAAGCTTTTGCTGGGACACAAACGCCTTGGAAGTGAGACTCTCGGCGAAGCGCGTGTAGATCCTTTTGAGACATTCGAGATGGTAAGACTTCGTCCTAGATGCAATGCATGCCATGAAACAGTAGACCAGATTATCTTTTGAGCTGTTGGAAGCCAGCGGACCGCTATGAATTGGTGCTCATTGTCTCTCGAGGACCAGTTTCCCGCATGTCGACAAGTCGTTCTGAGACAGGCGTACAAGGGTGGCCCGGCACCGACAAAAGAACCATCACGCCATTCCCAGCTCCTGTAGTGTCCTGTATACTGCACGACGTTGATTCTGCCGACGATCGTTCTATGTATAGAGGACGACGTGTTTGGTGCTGCTATTAATACTGAATGATGCGAGAATGCATCCTAGGCTCGCATATCGCGAAGACGATCAATCTGTCTACATTCAGCTTGAGCTCGACATCGGCATTGCAGGTGGCGAAAAGCGAAGGAGTGACAATGGGCGGTGTACACGGTACAATGTTCAGGCAATATCACATTGCAGCATACGACGAGGAGGAAGTACAATGGTACCAGTAGCGCCTTGGACCCTGATTGTGGCTGAGCAGATGATGGTGCTTGGTCTAGCGACCGTGGGCATCGTGGGGCCGCAGTAGAAGAAGGATGGAAGATTGGAAGATTGGAATTGAAGGGTGGCGGGTGGCAGGCAGATGGGAATTTCTGCGAATCCCCATTTTCAGGGGAAATCCCGCTTGAGGCTTAGCGCCATGGAACCGGAAAAACTTGACGCGCACTTTCAATTGGGTCAATTCTCGCTGCTAGCCTTGGCGCTCCACCTGTTCTTGTTCCAACCTCACTTGAGCCCGGCTGCCCACATCCTGCCCGGCCTGCGCTTCCCCCCGACCATCTTTTCCACATCTCGCTTTCCCCCTCCGAGTTGGTCGCTTCTCGACAATTCGAGACAAGCCCTCTACATGGTCCTTCCGAGCTTTGTGTCTTTTCGCTGTGCCTGAATGTGTGCCCAGAATAGAACAACTACGCCATCAGTGTCGAGCCGAACGGCACCCGGTCGCTCCACGTCCAGTCACTTATCGAGCAACTGAAGATCCTACTACTTTGTACTGTACCTCTTCTGACGGCGCACAAGACCTTGAGACAGGTTGCCCTATCTCGGGAGTGGAAGTTTTGGGCTCGCATCCGATTGGGTTTCTCAGCCACTGCAGGTTGGGTCCAAGCTGGTGTGGAGGCACTACCAGAGGCTTGAAAGCAGGGACCTCAAGATTGCGCTAATGGTTCTAGCCGCATTAGTCGTCTCTCCAAGTGGTCTTCTGGTGCGGGAGAAGCAAATTTTTATGCCACCACCTTTCATGTGGACAGCTTTCAACCCCAAATTTCTTTAGGATAGACACAGGCGAGGCGCACGCGTCGCTCTGCTCCTTATCAAAAATGACTCGGTCCTGCCGATTTATCTGTCACCTCACCCCGAACTGTTCGAGATGCGATTGGTATCCACTACGCCAGCGGCCAGTCCATCGCTCGTAAATGAGCTTGGGCATCAATGGTACTTTAGAACCAAATGGTATGGAGCCTAGGAGTGCAGAGCTATGCTAGGAACAATTTTCCGCGTGACATACCAGGAAATGTCGGGCCACGTCGGCACAGGACCCAGCACGGGTCGGAGCGGCAACGTCAAAGCATCTACCGTTGTTGGAATGTTTCGGAGGCTTTCTGTCCAGGTCAAGTTGACGAAAAGTCTGGACCGATGTTCAGAGGTGATATTATGCAGGTACTATTCACCGCCTATGGGTCGCGGCATTGATTAAACAATGGTATCTACGCCATCGTTTAGCACGCCATCATGACGTACCATTCAGACAACATACCGTCTCTTGATGTTCATGGGATTGTCGTTCCATTCTGCGAATCAAACCACCCCAGCTAACCCACAGTCCGAGTCAAAGGAGTATTTGAAGGTACATCCCCTGTACCCTCTATGAGGTTCTGCCTTGGGTGATATTCCGCTTGTCCCTTGCTAGACTGGTTGTTCTCTGGCCAGGCTTTCGCCGCGGTTTCAGACCGTCAGCCAATCATGTCTGAAATGGCTGCTCTGTCAAGACGTTGTTGCCAGACTATTACCATGTACCAGAGCTAGACTTGAGGGTAAGCGACCCTGGGGTTGATTTGGCGTAATGACGGCGCGATCGCTGTGTTGCAATGTTGGTATCTCATTGGTTGCAAGCCGATACACTGGTCGCATGCGTGCTGTCAGGGACGGAACTGTCAAGACGATGGAAAATATGCTCCCTCATCTCTCCATTGGATCTGGTACCTCAGGTCGACAGTCACGTCTCAACAATCCAAGCAGAAGACGTATCTCTTGTCCACTCCTATTCACTGCTTCAAATTTCGCTTGCGTTCATGTCCTTGTGCGATCTGCCGCGCTCCCAACCGCTCTCATCTACCTCTCAAGATTGTTGACCTCTGAGTCTGGCCCAATCAAATGACCAACTCTGTATCTTGGGACGGGCTCCCCCGAGATCTCCCCACCAGGCCATACAAACGGGCACGGCACGGCACTACATTGGACCAGATGCTCCCACAGCCTACCGGGCCATGACTGGTCGGGAGCCGGCGCTTCTGGGTTTCGAGGTTGCATCTGGTCCTTTCCACCGGATATCAACCGCCCGGGGGACTGTTCCTTGTGGCGGAAGCCCCTTTTGCATATTGGGACTGTGCACTGGCTCTAACTTTGGTCCAGATGGTACCTTATGTTACAGTCGCTTCGAGTCCACAGACCTTTGCACACTCGTCCCGACTCAACTGCCGGCGTCTCTACCACACGGCTGATTCCTTTTCATTCCATTTCCGGTGTATTGGTGGGTACCGTTGGCTGGAAATCTAGCATCCACTTGCCTGCCTTCTGCAGTAACAAAGGACGCAGCGCATCCGAACAATGAATATTTTCTTGAGGCCCTCAATGACTGCGATGGCGAGCCCCCTCCGAGCAGCTTCTGTTCAGAAACTCCTGTCCCTGGTGAATGACGGGAACTAAGTCTTGAATCCCCTTCATCAACCCACAAATCACAAGCTCAATGTTTGATCCCGTCTGAGGGAGAGGCGCACCTTCTCCTTGGTCAATTTGGATTTTCTAACCTGCGAAGACTCGGCTGACACTCCCCACCAAGTCCCAAATTAAGAATGCCCCCGGTGCATACGTTGCTGTACCGACTACCAAAAGAACACTTACAATGTCTGAAGTGCGAACAGAGCTCTGGAATCCTTTTTGTTTCCCCGTCCATTTCCTTCCCAAATCCATCATCAGGATCCCAGATGCGACCAAGACGTGGAGAGACAATGACAGAGGCGATCAACAGCCAGCATTAGAACAATCTTCGAAGCAGTTCTGAAATAGGAAATACAGGTGATGCAGGCATCCTGGGTCAGAGGTCTGACTAGCATGCATTTGTTTATACTCTCAAAACCCGAGCTCTTTACGGGAAATATGTCAAAGGTCATACTCGTGCGAAGAGAGGGGCCGCGAAGTGTCTCTGTGAGACTGTGAACCTTAACGGGACTTGAAAACCATGGAGAAACATCCATACAGCAAGAGACAAACGGACGGATGGGTACTGGAGAAAGTCGAAACATAAGTATATATCAGAAAGAGGCCGCTGGGACATATAGACGATGACCTATGGCCAGGCGGTAGCTTGTTGTACTTCCGTCCCCTGCAGGACAGGATCTTCTTGCGCTGTGTTGGACCACGATTACCACCATCACCTCCTACGTGACTACCTTACCTGGTAGGTAGGCATCTACCGCAATAAACAAAACATCGAGTCCCTTGATTCAGTCACGTTCTCTTACTCCAGAATGGTACAGCTGCCAGTGATTCCAGCCAAAGCCAGACATGTAGATCAATGAATGATCTGTCTAGTAGTAGCTTGGGCCTTATTACTCTTGGATGGCCTTGCTCTTGTTCTTGCTGGGATCTCGAAAGCTAATGCCGTGAGACTCCGGAAGAGGAGCGAGTGAAATGCTCGAAGGATTCGTATAGCCAGGGCGTGCTTCACCCGCATCATCAAGCTACCTGATAGTGATTATACAATATTGAGCCAGGTCACAACGACCAGTCCGCTCACTTTCGCGCCACAATTTGGATCATCGGCAAACCACTTAACGAACTCTGACGGGGTATTTATTACTTTCATTGCGCTCCAACAACTATTAGTGACTGCTGATGCTGGTGCGGCTGCTCAACAGTCGATAGTACTAGCTAGTATCCCAATGCAGAATAGAGATAACAAGAGCCACACTAGTGCTTCTTGTATCCAAGCGTTTTGGATGACCCGGGACCTGCCTGTCTTCTGCATTGTATCAACTCATTTTTCCAAACAGCACCAAGTACCACTGGCAGTCGATACCGAGCCCAAGTCCAGCAATTCGAGTTTCCCCAACAAGCCAATGTGGATATTATTCCCTCCTGTGCCGGTCACTCTTCGCAGGGAACCCAATCCATTTTTTGTACACCAAACATCCTAATCGCATCTCGTTCGTCGTCTTCATCGTCATAAGTTCTCATCACTTGCTGAGTCTGCAAGCATGCGACCTGATCCATTAGGTGCTGCGCAAAGCATTACAAAGTATTGTTGCAGCAATATCGACTTGTGCCATATTTTTGTAACGGCACTAGCGTTCTCCCAGCCCCGTAACCTTGCCGGCAAACCTGGCACCGGCACTACCGCGTTTTTGCAGTCTTGCGGCGGTCTCTGGAAGTGGGAAGGGCGGAGCGCGGGACATGACTGGGAGAGGACCCAGCGTGTCACCTTGGCCAGTGGGCCCGGTGGAAGCCCTCGTGGTTCGTTGCTCTATATAGAGCTGCGCAGCTGGCGACAAAGGGATCGCGGGCGGGTCGACCGGAATCTCCGCACCATTTTGAACCAAAAGCTCCGCCAAAGGGAAGGCCTTTAATGCGGGAGGGCTGGGTGTAGCAGAGTGAGAGGACACAGGTCGAGCAGGGTCGGCGGCGGCCAGCGCAAGAAACACCGCGTGTGTATTCCTCGACCGATCGTGAGCGTTGACGTTCGCTTGTTGGGCGATCCCCAGCAAAACTCCAGGGATATCATGTTTCTTAATCGATGTCACTAACATGTCGTCGGCAGTGCCGTACTGCGATACAGGCTCGACAAAAGCCCGCTCGACGTACTTCGCCGTGATGAATTTTAGCCGCTGCTCCCTTGTGGCAGGAGGGCCAGGCTTGATGCTCGGGTCCAACAACGACTCCCAGACCTGGTTGCTGATCCGATTGCCGATGAGCATCAAAAGTTCGACAATATCGACGGTGAAGGAATGGACGTCCAGAGTTAGTGACCGAATCTTCGAGACATGTGTCCCCAGAGAACGATGGATGCCTCCACATTCGATACACAAAATAATTCCAAGGTTCAGGGAAACCCAATCGACCTTGGAAGTAGAACCGCAATCGGCGCAATACTGGTTGCTGGGATCATTGCTTCTCAACTGATCTAGCAGTTTGGATGGACTTTCTTCGTAAGTGTTGCTGCTTGCCCGGATGTAGGCTGGTCTGGAACCCACTGTTGTCCGTCTTGACACGCCGAGAGCATCATTTCGCTGCGAATAACCATGGGGACCGGATTGCGACGAGCTCTTCCCAGTCAGCATCGCTCCGTACTCGCGTCCACTAGCCTCTTTACGGGGCTGTTGGGTTGCATGAGGACCAGTCTCAAAAGCGCTTTGAAGAGCGTTGTTGATGGCATTGATCCAATTGTTCATCTCATCTTCTGTTGTGGCTTGATAAATTCGTTTGTACTGAGGGGTGATCACTTCGAAGCAAAATCTTCGCTCAGCATCTCTTGCAACTCGGACGGACGCCATCCGCAAATCAATAGGATCCCGATGTAAATCCAGCTTGTCTTTCCAATTGCTGTACTCTGAGAGTTTGCCTTGATCAAGCACGATCCAAAACCTGCGATAGTCAATTACCAGCCACGAGCTTCAGATCAGGGAGTTCATACTTGTGCCAGGCTTGCTTGTTGATGCCTTTTGGATCTATATGGGAGCCCGGTCTGCTCAAAGCCCACAATAAACCTTCCTTCCTATGGGGTCCATTTTGCGACTTGTCAGCGAACGACACCGAGCTATCGTCAAGATCACGGATCCCTTTGAACTTGTTCGGGGTTGGCGCTATCGATGAGCCACCAGGTGATGTTGACAAGATGGAATTTGGTCCTCCAGGCAAGGCAGAGTTGCTAGTCGGCGATAATGTTTTGACTGAAGGCCGGCCAAACTGGGAGCTAGTACTGTCTGCCCTACTCAGGTCAGTGTCAGAAGTATATCCGCCGAAGCCATTCTGCGCTGGTGGTTGGCTGGTAACGCTCGTAGAGTGGTGCAGAGTCTCAGGCTCCACTGGGATTGGGCCGTTCATTTCGAGATTCCTGCGTTTCTCCTCGCGCTCAGTTCTCTGTAAGTTGTACTCCTTGTCCATTTCAGACACTTCCTTGACCAAAGCGTCCAAGCGTGGTGTCAAGCTTTCAACTCTTCTCGCCGCAGCAAGAAACGACTTTGCTTGACCGTCAGCATACTTCGTAAGCTGGGAGAGGAGTTCCTGCTCCTTGCGGCCGCCATGAAGGTCCTGCATGAAAGTGGAATAGTCGAATCTCTTGAGCTCAAAGTTCCTCTTCTTGGTCTGATACTTCGAGTCGCTCTCTGCCCGCTTCTTCTCTTTGAGCGAGTCTTGTCTCTGGCCGAGGTAGCGACTGACATAGGCATAGTAGTCTCGACTTTCGTCCTCGAAGTCTTTCTTCTTGGCCTCAGCTTGCTTTATGTCGAGATTGTAGAGCTTCGAGATTGGCTCGATAATCTGCTTCTGCAATAGCACGGCATTCTCCTTCTCGTATTTTAAGATCCGTTGCGCAATGTTCGTGAAGTAATGGTCCAGAGCCGGTTTGATAGCTGTGGTATTGGAGGCAGATGCTTCCTGAAGAGCCCCAAGAAAGGCGGACATGGCTTGATTGCATTCGACCTGTGCTTGTTGTGCGGCCTCGGCCTTTTTCAAAACCTTCTTGATTTGTACCCTCATGGTACCTGTCTTCTGTTCCAGCGACTTCATCGTCGCTCTGAACAATGGGCCATCCTCCACTGCACTCACGTCCTCTCCCGGTCGTTGGCACTGCACGTCGATTATAGGAGCTGGAGGTGCCACCGTCGAAGCACTCGAATTGAAGTCCACCGACGGAACGTTCGGGGAAGGCGGATTGACATAATCAGAAGGCCCTTCCGAGTCACTGACTGCAGATTGGTACGACTGTGATGAAGCCAGACGTTGCTTCTGCGGCGGAACCATAAGCTCAACATTAGGAGACGCAAGCGGTGTGAGAGTGGGCAGCGTCGCGTTGTGGACCCAGAAGGAAAAAGACGCCAGGGTATTCAGTCGATGCGCTCTGGAGTCATATTCGAGGAAACTGCAACAGTTGCGCCATCCCCCACCTCGGTCCTCATAGGCTTTTGGAGGTTTCCAACGCCAATTCCATTCGTAACTCACAGAAGGACTCCCGTTCGTCCCAAAGTCCCCAATAAGTTGTACGTTTGAGTTTTTGTGTAGGTTTGGATCTGCGTGAAACTCTCTTGTGATCAAGGTATCCAATTCTTTGCCGTTCGGGGCATATGCAAAAGTCAGGCCGCTAATGGTGGTGTCGACGGCTGAGGTTGCAGTGGATGGTGTAGCAGGTAAAGGCCCGGAGTTCTGACGAGTGACGAACGTGAAACGAAAATCCAGCTCGTCTTCGAGATCCAGCCGAGGAAGGAATGCGAGGGAGGGCGCATCGGGGTCCTAGTTGAGTGGTTAGAGAGCATTCAACCACCAAGGCAGTAAACGAACTTGAATGTATGAAATTGGTCGATAGTCCGTCGCATCTGGTTTGCCAACAAGACGTGACGCAGGATACGCATTCGGCGCGACACTGAGGATCACTCTTCCACGACTGTTGCTCACGATGATAGAACTAATGAAGACTAGCCAAAGTCAGCCGCTGGTCTCGCGACAAAGAGTGGACGCATACATCTTCCTTGGTCTTTCAAATACAGCAGGGGCCCTTCATCGACCCTGCTGCTCACATTGCCCATGACTATGAGCCTGGCGCCCAGGCCGGAGCGTTAACATGCGCCAGGGTCGGTCGATATCTCGTCGCAGGCGTTGTTCGTTTCAAGGAGGCTCTTGTGGGTCGGCCGAGCGGAGTGGAAATACTTGGAGAGGATACAGGCTTGATGGATACTGCGAGGATAGCAAATGGCCAGGTTAAGACAGACTGTATACAGGTTGCGGAGAAGACTCGTCTGGGTCGGAAGAGGTAAGATGGCCTATGTTGACTGTGGAGCGGCGACAGTTGACATGTTACCAGCAGGAAGCGACAAGATGCGCTGCCGGTGCTGCGCCTTCGACGTGAAACTGCGGCCAACACGGGCACGACCGACTGTACAGCGCATGCACCAATTTGGACTTGGACTTGACAGCGCACCAGCGACCCGCAGTAGAGGCTCCGGTGGAGTGCGCAGCCATGGATGGCGGATTGCCAGTGCCGAGGCCTGCCAAGTCCTGCCATTTTAAGCTTAACGGAAGTGATGCCTGATTCAACTACAGCGGCGATAAACATGTCTAAAATGCGGCGCGGGGAACAGAGGCACTTCAAGGTTTGGTCTCTGTTCAACAACCACCAGCATGTAGAATATTCAACCTCAGCAGATAAGCTCTTCAGCCGCAAGTCTGGTGGCGCTTGCGAATCCCGTTGCAAAGCTTGTCCTCCGCACTGAATGCGTATTAATTGCCGTCAAATGGCCGGAGCCGAGAACAACGAGGTCACTGGCATGTCATCACGAAGATCGAGCGCTCGATGTTCGATCCCGTACAGCGTTACACCCGGCACTATCCTCAGGTTTCCAGTCGCCCTTGTCCGTGGTCTTGACCCTCCCAGGTGTACGATATGATAAGAACATACAGTAGGTACCTGATAGCCCTCGTGCTACCCTCGACAAGTCCACCGCTTCGATACTTTGTGCCCTCCAACTGCCGCATTCCGCTAGTACACTCTGTCTAGCGTAGCCGGGGTTTCCTCGATACTCCAGCTTATGGGCACCAAACCGACCCAATGTACCTCTAGTCTCCCAGCCTCTACTATCGGTGGGGAGCTATACTTCTACAATGCAACCTCAAACCCCATGTTCATGGCAAGGATCACCTGCTGATGACCAAGGAATCCTTCCAAGCTATGTATATGTCCAATGAGAGATGTACCGTATGGCGAGAGATCGGCCCCGCCTCGCGAGTGTCATGGGTAGCTCAAGTCGTACCTGACGCACTCGAGTACCATGAGCCAGGATTCAATGCAGCAGAGCTCCAGGGTAGCTCCCAGGTACAGAGTATAAACAAACTGCGTGCCCCTCACTTGATTTCCTGGTGCCTTGAGAAATCTCTCAATTTCGCTCGCTGCCAGTCAACATGGGACCTTTGAAGAGCGCCATACTCGCTTCTCTTACTCTCCTTGCAGGTGTTGTGACCGCACAAGTTGGCTCTTTAGACAAGAACGGGCGGCCTACGAACTACACAGCTTACTACTTCGATCAACTCATTGATCACTTTCAAGACAGCCCTCGTTATGCACCTAACACGAACGCAACCTTCACCCAGAGGTACTACTTTGACAACACCTACTACAAGCCTGGTGGCCCAGTATTCCTATACATTGGCGGCGAGACCTCGGGGCCTTCCCGGTTCTCGAACCTTCAGACCGGTATAGTGCAGATTCTTATGAATGCAACCAACGGCCTGGGTGTCGTAAGTCATCATGTTCTCATACAGCTCGTGTACTCTGGAAGCGCACAGTTCGGTGGCTTCGTGATGGGTAAGGAGATCACGGCTAGTCCAATGCTTACCGTGACACCAGATCCTTGAGAACCGGTACTATGGAGAAAGTTATCCTTTCGAGAATACAACCACCGACAACCTTCGGTTCTTGACTACCGAACAGACCATTGCCGACAATGCCTACTTTGCTCAGCATGCCGTGTTCCCCAACGTCACTGGTGGGGATAACCTCACTGCTGATACCACTCCTTGGATCCTGTATGGTGGCAGTCTTGCAGGCGCCCAGACCGCTTTCTCCCTTGTGGAGTATTCGGGGCTGCTCTGGGGCGGCATTGCCGCTTCAGCTGTTGTCCATGCCGTTCTTGGGTATCCGGAGTGGTACAACCCGATTCAAAGAAACGGGCCACAGGATTGCATAACGAGAATCAACAACATCATTGACAAAATCGACTATCTCATCCAGAACAATGAGACGCAGGCTATCCAGCAGTTGAAGGAGATCTTTGGACTCGGTGCGTTGGAAGATCCCAGGGACTTCGCCATGACGGTAAGTTTGGACATTTGTACTCGGAAACGTGAGCGGTTCTAATTGACTCCAAATGTAGATCGCCTTCCCGCTCGGTGGCCCGATGAACTACCCGACCAACACCTGGCAGGAACTCAACTGGTATCCAGCTTATGACCACCCAGACTTCTTCCAGTTTTGCAACAACATCACGGATCTGAATGCGCCCGCGAACATCACTGCGGTTGATACACAGTTGGCCAATTACACAAACGGCTCGGCGTGGACGGGTCTGGGTGCGTACGCCAACTACGTCAAAGAAGTGGTTGTCTCGCAATGTCCAAGTGAGGACTTGATCGGTACCACTTCGTGTTTCTCAACGCAAAATGGTAAGTCCACCTTCTTGTCACAGCTGGTGATGTTCTGACATGTGTGTTTCAGAAACCTTTTATGCCCTGACAACCAATTCGGTTGCACGCTCGTACCTATACAGCACCTGCACTGAACAAGGTGCTTACCAACTGCCACAACCCTACGGAACTCCTTCGCTGCTCTCGCGAGTGATTGACCTCAGTTACACCCAGCAGTGGTGCACCTGGGCCTTCCCTCCTGGTCCTCTGGCGCCCCAAGCCGTGCCGTCACCCGATGGACCAAACCTGACATGGTATAACAAGTACGGCGATTTCAACATCTCGGCACCACGGCTGGCGTTCATCGACGGTGGTAGTGATGTCTGGCGAGATGTATGCTACCATGGCCACAATGCCAGCGAGCGATATGGCGAAAACCAGCAGCTCATCAGCGGAGCCGGGCATCATTGGGATAGCTACGGTATCCTGAACATCAGCGCTGAGCCGGACTTTATCAGGGCAGCCCATCAATGGGAGCTGCGGCAGGTTCAGACATGGCTGAACGAATGGGATGAGACACACGGGGGTAAGAGAAAGAGGGATGAATTGTAGATGGCGGACTGCGGTGTAATGCGGCATTGAGCGAGGCGGATGTGAAGGAAGGCATAAGCCACATGGTAATAGCTTTTGTCGACTAGAGCAGTAATATCTACCTAGGTAGGTAGGTAATAATACTTTGAGGTCGATGTCATGTCGGCACGAGGCTGATTATTGAGGGCACGAGCAAACAACTTCAAGGCTGCCAGAGAAAGGAAACTTGAAGGTCGTTGTTGCTCCACCGTAGAAAATACATCACAGTCGCGTATGCCAAGCCAAATTTTCCAGCGCTGGCCATTGCATTGGCCGTGGCAGCTGGGGAAGCATCGCGAACTTGAAGGACAGGCTCATTTTGCGTTTGGATCTTGGTCTCTTATCCTCTACAGACGTCCCGCGGAATAAGGATGATTGGGCGTGAGGCAACCGACTTTGCAGGGTAATCCGTTTCTGAACGGCAGGTTGTGCAGCAGCACCCACGAAATATGGCGACAAAGGCAGCGCCAGATGCGCAGAAGGCCAAAGATGCGCCAAACGCAGGCACTCCCAACCAGACGTGAGTGTCCTCCCGGCAGTGATACGAAAAGATTATGAGTTTGGCGTTGCTAACTTGTGTTGCAGTCTATACGTCAAGAACCTGAATGAAAAGATCAACAAGAACGAGCTCAAACGGGCTCTGTATATGCTTTTCTCCACCTACGGCCCAGTTCTCGACATTGTCACGACGAGGGTGGGATCGAAATGCCAGAACATGCGTGGTCAGGCTCATATTGTCTACCGCGATATCCAAACAAGTACCCAGGCCATGCGCGCCCTGCAAGGGTTTGACCTGTTTGGTAAAGAAATGGTATGGCCCTCTGCCACGTGGAATAGCCCCAACTATGGGACATGTGTACTAACACGAGCTGGCAGGTAATTGTCTATGGAAAGGGCCAGTCACAGATTATTCCGAAACTGCGAGGGACCTTTGAGCCACCTTCTACCTCTTCCTCCAATATTCCTGAAACCACTCAGTTACAGAAGTCGATATTCAATGCTCCGCCGTCACAGTTACCCAGAAGTGCGGTGGAAAACGGCGTTAAGCCGACGGAGACGAACATCAATAACGCCGCTCACGGAACCAAGAGACCCCGTGAAGAGGAAGAGGAAGATGATAATGAGGTGCCTATGGAAGAGGATGAGGACGATGCTCCGATGGAGGAGGATGACGATGATTGAGATGTCGGAGCAATGCTAGCGACTGGCTTTACATCTGAGGACAGATTACTCCTGCATGGAAGCTGTTACCAGTCGGACGCGAGGCGGGACCCGGGCCCCATGCACATGAGTCGCTCGAATCATCCAGGACTGGAACGTTGGTCACACATTGGGTCAAAGCTGACGAACAATCTACTCCATGATCCGAGAGGCGTCCATCCTCATGATCACTCTGCCCCTACCAGTCTACTGGGGACATGGAGGCCGACAGCCGATCCGACCAAGCCAATCCATAGGACCAGGTATGTTTCTGGGGTCAGGGAACTGTTCGAGCGGAGCACCGAGAGAGCCTCGTGGGTGTTGCATGGATGGATGAAGAAAGCCGGTCGATCCCAGACAGGATGATGCTGCGAGGAACAATGAATGAAGATCAGCACTGCTGGGACTTCGGTATCGACACATGGAAGAATCACTCACCGCCATACTGATTCCGCCCATGACACCGACATTTCCCAGAGACATGCGAAACCTGTGCGGCACCAACCAATCGTACACATGTTCGATACTAAGCGGTTTATCTCCCGATGAAGGCGTATGGCACGAAAACCAAAGGACGGGAACATAGTACGTCGGAGACAGGGTTATGGAGAAGTCGACAGTCAGCGACTGGCACTGGTCTTTGGGGGGAACAAACTATGAACTGTCAATTGATGAACTCAGATGAGCTAAAACAGCTCGCTCATACAGTTTCAGAAAATGCTTCAGCGTCTTCGATGGGTTCGACATCGTCCTCACTTGGGTTTTGGTCATTGCTCGGGTTATTGTTGTTCTCCTGATGCTGTAGACTTTGAATCTTTCGGTTCTGTTTGATCAGAAGCTCTTCCCCTGTCCATCGCACACTCAGCCAGTCCGTACCATCCAATCCATCTGCGCACCGGTCCTCGAGAGCTTTGCAAGCTTGACCGAATTCTGGCCGAGTTAGACTCGGAAATGCTTGCAATGTGGCCATAGTAGTAGCTCCAGCTGAAGTTCTCGATGAAGAATCATCGTCCTTCACTTGTAAATGAATGACAAGCCCCGAGCCTGCTTCCGATCTTCTGCAGCCGTTCGTGTACGGCGAGGCTCCCGAGAGTATCGAAACACTCGTTTCAAGGTAAGTACCTGAGGTACCTTCTAAAGGATACCTGTAGATCGCCCATGGTTTTCTGATTAGTACGAGGTCGGTAGAATCGGTCGCCTGAGGTGGCTACCGGGTATGGCATTTGAAATCTCCCACCATCTTTACAGCACGAACACAGCGCGCAGCACTAACCCCGAGATGGAATTCTGCGATTAATTGGAACTTTGCGATCGATCGCGGGGAACAAACTGACTTCACCTTCCCCAGTCTTCAGTTCTTGAGCCAAAACGATCCCATTCATTTCCAAAGTTCGTGTCCCGCTGCACCGCATCACAGATCTGTGGGTTTTTCATTCTTCTAGTATCTGCATCGCATTTTTGAGTCTTATTGACCGATCACTCTAACGCCAACCCGACGCAATTGATCCGCCGCGAGTCAATCGCAGAATCCTATCCCCCGACGGCCGGAGAGGACAGCCAGTCCACGAAGACAGGCGCGTCTGTCTGTCTGTCTGTACTTTTGCTTTTGCTTTTGTCGCGTACACAATGGCCAGCCAAAATCCGCAACAGCACAATCAGCAGCACCATCAGCAGCAACAACAACAACAACAATCATCATCAGTGCGCGAAGCACCGCGAGACGTATGCACGCCCGCCATAACCTGACCTAGTCTTTCCTTTAAATTCTTATCCTTTTTGTTTATTTCCCTATAGCTTTCCGAAATCGCCAAACAAGAAGAAGCCCTAATTCTCCCGCGCTTCACGGCCGATGATGCCCTCGAGATCGGCCTGGCGATCCGCAACCGCCTGCGAGCACTGACGCACCTGTCGGCAGTCGTCAACATCACACTGGCCAACAGCAACAACCTATTATTTCACGCCGTGTCGCGACCAGGTGTACAGCCAGACAACGACATCTGGGTGGCGCGGAAACGAAAAACCGTGCAAAGATGGGGTGTGAGTACGTGGTTCATGCATAATAAAATGCATGGTGATGAGGAGGCGTTTAAGAAAAAGTATATGCTTGGTGAATCGGCGGGTGAATATGCAATTCATGGGGGCGGTATGCCTGTGCGTGTGAGGGGGGTTGAGGGTGTGGTTGCTGTTATTGTGGTTAGTGGGTTGAAGCAGTGGGAGGATCATCAGGTTATTGTGGATGCGTTGGAGGAGTATCTTAGTGATGAGGAGAAGGCCGAGGCGAGGTCGCCGATTGATTGAGGTAGTTCGGTCGACTGGTCAACCGAGACGAGACCTGATGGGATGGGATGGGACGAGACAAGCTTAGGGGTCATTGAATACCACCGTTCTGGATAGAGGGGATCCGAGTGAAAACTAGTGGGAGGAGGATGTCTCTCACAAAGGTAGGTAGGTATGTGGTACTACTTTCTATCTGGCTTTGGTCTGCCTACCTGATGTGGGGGTTCGAGGAGCTGCGAAAGCGAGGCCGATATGGCTGTATACAGTATGTGCACTAGATTGTACGTACAATGGTGTAATGCAATGCGACCGGCACTAGGAAGTCTTCTCAAGCTAAGGTAGTTTTGATCAGGAACACTGGTGCTTGATATATAACCCATCTTTTGGGGGGTTGTGCGATATAAGTGGCCTGGACCTGGCAGGCTGTATACTTCTCACATTGCTTTTGACGAATACTGCACCGTTGCCTTGGGTGGTAACACTTGCGCATAAATGACAACAAACCATCGCACTGTGGAAGAGGACGCCCCCCCATACCATGCTATCTAGACACAAAACCACTATTTACCACACAAAGGAAACGCCATGCCGTGCTGCCCTGGAAAACATCTCGTTTGTACCTTTTGCAGGTCAATCCGCAGCAGTCGAGCGACGCGGGCTACGGCTGCGAAGCCGTTCAGGGGCAGTGTTGACCTCGAGAGAAGTGTTTGCAAAACTCTCCCTTGTTGCTCTAGGTTCAGCGGCGTCATCATCCCCGAGGATGGTTGAGCTGCTGCTGCTGCTATCCGAACCCGCCAGACTATGCAGCTCCAGCTCCTCTTCTTCATCGCGGTTACGGTGCCTCTGATGATGGTGGTCCAGCTTACCGTCAGGCTCCTCATGCTGATACAGCTTCATATTGACAAACATGGCGTACAAGCCAAAGTCATACGCCAAACGGAAGACGCCGGCGGCGACAAAGGCGATCCAGAACCGATGGTTGGCGGCGAGGATGCCCGTGACGGACGGCCCAGCCATGGAGGACAAGGTCCTCAGCATGCCCGTGATGCCCATGACAGCGGTGCGCTCCTCGGACTTGACGACGGCGGCAATGAACGCGGCACGCGGCGCTTGATCCATGTTGTTCAGCCCAGCGCGGACAAACAAGAGGGCCGCGGTCAGCCAGAAGCGCGGAGGAAAAGGAAAGATGAGCACCGCTGCGGACGATGGCACGTGCGTAAACACCATGGTGTTGATAAGTCCAATTTTGCGGGCCAACGGCCCGGCAAACACCGCCGCAATCGAGCCCAGCAGGTAACTCACGGACTGGACATCGCCCAGGGTCGACTTGGCCGGATGGAACTTGATGTCCATGTAGTAGTTGGTCAGGGAGTATGGGACCATCCCGTCGGCCAGCGAATCCACCGACAACAGAAACCACAGCTTGTACATGATGGATCGAGTCGGGGCCGAGATCTCGGTGAAGCGTGTGGTGAACCAGTACTTGATCTTGCTGATCAAATTCTGCTGCTGATGCCCGCCTTGGGCATCGACATCATCGACATCTAGCCTTGTAGTTCTGTGCTGATGCTCGCGCTCCCGCTCAGTATCCTGCTGCTGTTCGTCTTGCGGGACCTGCGAGTATGTGGTTTCTGTTGTGCTTGAAGAACCGTGCAGTTCACAGGCCTCGGTCAACAGGAGCATCAGCAACGCGTTGACGAGGCCCATGGCTGTGTAGACCCAGAAAAGGGCATGGTAGGCGTCGACGGCGGTCCAGCCATCGCGCGATTGTAGAAAATGCACGATTCGCCCAGACGCCTCGCTTCCAATGCTCGAGCCCAGCGTCGACGTCGTCACATACCATGCCAGAACATCGGACCGGGTCGAAGGCGTGGTGAGCTGTGATAGTACCGATCTGGAAAGGGAAGCAAAAGAAGATGAGCGCATAAACGTCAGTCAAACGGGTGGTAGATCAAGGATTTGGTGCATGGGGACCTTTTTGTTGGCATCGGCAAAACTCACTCTTCTATACTTCGAAAGGGCCCAAAATCACCACCGGTGACGCTGATGACACCCAGAACAGCCGCCAGGAGCAGAATCCAGAAATTCTCGAAGAAGGCGAAGATGGCGCCGCTCAAAACCATCAGAAATGAACCAGCCATCAACACCTTCCGGCGCCCGACCTTGTCCGCGATCAACGTCAGAAAGGTCCCTAGGAACACATCTCCCAGCAGCGTCAGGGTCATGAACGCCCCAATTTGATGATCTGAGTAGTTGAGTGCGGAGAAGAATATCGCTATTCGCGATACATGTCAGCCAACTCATTCATCTGCTGGGGGCAGGGCCGCCGTGGTAGTGAGTCATTTCCACGTTATATCCGTCCGGCATTCGAGGGCGTGACATGCAGTGTAACATACCCAAAATCAACGAGTTGGTGCCATACGCAAACATGCGGCAACTCCGTGCCAGAATGATGAGGTATGCATTCCGGCCGGTCTCTTGGATAGAGGCGATCCCAAATTCATGATAGAACCATTTCACAGGCCGGAAAAGAACAGACATGGCCTGTAGAGTGATTCGTTGTACTGCTACTGGTCCTTGCACGGTCAACAGTACTTGGCTGCGAACATTAACATGCTTTGCTCAGCGGCTCGAGTGTGTGTGTGTGTGTGTGGAAGGTGACAATCAGGAAGCACGGTTTACAAACAAACTTCCAGTGACTTGTGGGCTGGTTAGACTTTTCCGCCTACGCCTGTTCGGCTCACCAGCAGCCCTGCCTGGTAGGTTGTACGTCGATGAGATGAGGAGATGTGCGATTCCCGGCGCCGATTGCGTGCCAATGGTAATGACCCGATGTCGGGCACTCGTCCAGTCCAGTCATAGTAGTAGTGATGCCGATGATGCGATTTGGAGATATCGTTGTACGCGGTACAATGTACGCGCGAACCGCAGCACGCGATTACACAACATGTGTATTGAACACCGCTCGGACTTGTTGAGCAGCACGTGGTTCAAGTTGTAGGATCGTAACAGCGCTATCGGGTTCCCGCGCGACCCAATGAAAAGTATATGAACTACGATGTATGCTGTTGTTCCGAGGGAGCAATTTTGGAATGAGCGCTACCCCTATTCAGATATTATCCGATTTCGAGGTCCTAGATGCAACAGTTTGGGAGAATCCTCGATCCCAGTCGGCGCGTCCCATCCAGTACTGATGGATCGTCCTGCTTCTCGCGAAACAGTGTTCCAGAAGATCAGAATAGACAGAGCTGGTCTGGTACTCTTCCGTTGTATCACTGGAATGGTAAAGACACAGCCTAGGCTTGGAGAATCCTCCACCGCCCACTGGCCTGTTTTGCTTCGTCTATCAGCCAGCTCGCCAGACGGCAATATGTACAGATCCGCAGTCTATCAAACATCCAAGGCTTTCGTGCTCCGTTCCAGTCGAATGGCGATGAACCACATCTGTGCATAAGAGCAGTGGCCCCGCGCTATGTCGCCGCTTCAGCGGCTCAGGAAGTGCCAGATGCAAAGGAGCGCCTGTGCCATTTTGGTCATCACCAGATTATTATCTCGAACATAGCTACTACCTGGTAGGTACCTAAAATAATAATAACTCTCAACGTAATGCCAGTGCTGCCATGACAGTACCAGTGTAATCGTAAGGGCACTGATGAATTATTGCACAAGTACCCAAATGATCTGCCGTAGGACTTGGAACGCTTTCCCATTGGCCAAATAATCCAAGGCTCACCTCTTTGACGCGGCTTCTGGTTCCTGGATCATTATGAGCGTGTCTCCAGCTCAGTTTAACAGCCGCCCGTCCATCATCACTTTCACTTCCTCCTGTTGCCGTCCTCGAACAAGTCCTCAAGATGAACCACTTCCCCCAGGCTTGGGGTCGAGTGAGTGACCTCCCTCTCCAAAAGCCCAGCTTGAAGACTAACCCAAGCACAGCCCAGAGACGACGTTTACGGTCCTTATGACCGTTCATACCTGCAAACATCTGCGCCCATAACCCATACTCAGTCTCCCGCCGTCACAGGTACATCAGTACTAGGAGTCAAGTTCAAAGATGGCGTTGTTCTCGCCGCAGACAACCTAGGTATGTCCAGCGGCAATTCGCCCGTTCATTGCTGTACTGACGCCGCGACCAGCTTCGTACGGTTCCCTGGCTCGTTTCACCGATATCAAGCGCCTACGCACCTTTCCTCCAAACACGGTCATCGGTTTCGGTGGCGATGTGTCAGATATGCAATATCTCGACCGGTTACTTCAGTCCCTCGACATTCGAGAGAACTACCTGTCCTCTTACGGACACACCCTTAATGCCAAAAACCTGCACACGTATCTGTCGAAGGTGCTTTACAAGAGAAGAAGCGAGTTCAACCCGTTATGGAACATGATATTGGTGGCTGGACTGGACGACGACGAAAAGCCGTTCCTCGCCGCAGCCGACCTTCTCGGAACCACATTCTCCAGCCCGACATTGGCCACAGGGTTTGGTGCACACCTGGCACAACCCCTGTTGCGCAAACTGATGCCGCATGACGAAGACAGTGTAAAGGACATTACTGAGGAAATGGCTGTCAATGCCATCAAGGAATGCATGAAAGTGCTCTTCTACCGAGACGCCCGGAGTTTGGACAAGTACAGCATTGCTGTGGTGAGGAAGGACGGAGTGCAGCTCAAAGAAGACGAGAGACTGGAGAATCAGAGTTGGGCGTTTGCGGACCAAATTCGAGGGTACGGGACACAAGTCAATTAGACAGAGATGACATGGCATCGCTCTATGGCATGCATTGTGTTCTGGATGCACGGAGTTCAGGCAAGCCGAATTCCGTTAAGGTGGTATTGATTGCACTTGCGAAGTACCCGGTAGTAGTGGTAACAAGTCCACCTACACTACACTGCACAGCCATTCCAATCTGGGGGCTTCCTGCATGCTGCGCGCTTCAGGTTCCATGCCAGCAGCGCATTAACCGTACGAATCTGGCAACTGGAACGAGGGCAGTGGACGGCCGAAACACGGAGCCTGGGGCTGCACCAGCTGTGATTGGTCAGCCTTGCGGTGAGTCAGATGAGATGGACCGCATGACGTCCCGCGCAGTGAGATTTGGAGAGTCCAGAACCGCGCAGTACCTTAGTAAAGAAAAGTGCCAGCGCCACTGCAACTGATCAATCAATGCCTTGAATGCTCGCTCGTTTCTTATATTCCTACCACTACGTTCAACTTCATTTCTTCGTTCTACGAAAAGTTTCTAACCTCTGTTTCCTCTGTTTCTTGAGGGCTGTTTTTTTTTTTTTTTCTTTTTTTGAAGCCACTCACTTTTCTATTCCACCAGCGCCCTCGCTGTCCGCCGTCTTCCCAAACTGCGTGGCACCATGGAGGCCCCTTTGCCGCAGCAACCTTCCACAACAAATAATAGAGGTCAAAGACATAGACGGAGAGGCTCTCCGAGACGGCCACAACCCGGTCCTCCATCAGATTCACCCAACCCACTGAGAACTGCTGCTGGAAGGCCTTTTGGCGGACAGCTCACGCGATTACACCCAGAAGCACCAGCCTTCATTCCGGCTTCAGTGTCTCCCGCCCCTTCTACTACTCCCAGCACTTCCCAGACCAAGGAACCCAAGTCTCGTCCCTCTCGAAACAATAGGAAACCCTCGAACCGACCCCCACCACCAGCGCAAACCAGGAAAGGCTCGGTCTCCCGCTCGACCGCCCCTGATATCGCCACTCGGATTCATGAAGACATTACAAACAACATCTACGAATGTGCAATCTGCACCAACGAAATTGGTCGCAATTCTAAAATCTGGTCGTGTCGGACTTGCTGGACTGTCTTCCATATCGGATGCATAAAGAGATGGTCGAAAAACGAAGGTTCGGCCGTGCAGCGGTCAGGCACGCAGGAGGGTGAGGAACCCTCGGTCGGAAAGCAATGGCGGTGTCCAGGCTGCAACTTGCCGAAAGATACTCTCCCCACAGCCTACACATGTTGGTGTGAAAAGGAGTTGGACCCTAAATCGATTACTGGGCTTCCTCCGCATTCCTGTGGACAGACCTGCGGAAGGGAGAGAACATTTCCAAAACCATGTCCACACCCCTGCGATCTGTTATGTCACGCCGGACCATGCCCTCCGTGTACTGCCATGGGACCTACCCAGCCTTGCTTCTGCGGGAAAGAAGCGGTTACGAGACGCTGCGTTGAAACCAACTACGAAGCGGGCTGGAGCTGCGGGTCGATATGTGGGGATCTTATGCCTTGCGGCCTACACACATGTCCCAAGCCTTGCCACGAAGGCCTGTGCGGTGCATGTACCGCCGAGATTGATGCCCGTTGCTACTGTGGCAAGGTGGAGAGGAAGATCGAATGCCATGAAAAAGGAGAAGAGAAGGAAAGCTTGGACTGGGTCGGATGTTTCGACTGTGGTCTGCCGTGTGGGCGGGCCATGGACTGTGGAATACACCAATGTGAGAAATCATGCCATCCTCAGGAATCAATTCCGCCACATTGTCCACGGTCGGTGGACGTTGTCACACACTGTCCTTGCGGCAAGACAGCATTGGCGGAGCTCAACATTCCTCCACGTACGTCATGTACCGACCCAGTACCTAGCTGCGGGAAGCAGTGCGGACGGAGGTTACCCTGCGGACATCATTGCATGCAGCCTTGCCATACAGGCGAGTGCAAGCCATGCGAGTTGAAGATATCGACTCCGTGCCGCTGTACTCGGTCTTCATTCGAAGTTATTTGTCATGAGGCGACCAATGAACCCCCGCGATGCACCCGTATGTGCAAGGCCACGCTGAATTGTGGCCGGCACGAGTGTGGTGAAAGATGTTGCACAGGCGAGCGCAAAGCAGCTGAGCGGCAAGCTACAAAACGAAAACTCAAGCCACTGGGTGCGGTTACCAGGTTATTCGACGAGAATATTGAAGCGGAGCACATATGTACGCGGGCGTGTGGCCGGAGACTAAAATGCGGCAACCACAACTGTACAGACCTGTGCCACCGTGGACCTTGTGGCAGCTGTAAAGAGGCCATTTTTGATGACATATCCTGCAGTTGCGGTCGGACTGTACTTCAAGCTCCCCTCCCCTGTGGTACTCAACCTCCGCCATGCAACTTTCCGTGCACGAGGGCGAAGGATTGCGGCCATCCTCAAGTTGCGCATAATTGCCACCCAGATGAGGAGGATTGTCCGAAATGTCCGTTTTTGACTGAGAAAGATTGTCTTTGCGGAAAGAAAACACTCAAAAATCAACCCTGCTGGCGGGCAGATGTGCTTTGCGGTTTGGTCTGTGGCAAAGTGTTGAAGTGCGGCTCCCATACATGTCGTACGACGTGCCACAAGCCGGGGGAATGTGAAGATGCTCGTCAACATTGTCAACAGGAATGTGGCAAGGCTAAGAAGACTTGTGGGCATCCTTGCGAACAGCCGTGCCATGCCCCGTCTGCCTGCAAGGAGGATAAACCGTGTCCGTTCAAAGTGATGATTACCTGCGACTGTCAGCGCAAGAAGGAAGAAGTGCGATGCAATGCTCGAGCCAATGCGCCTGAGCCCGCGTTGCGACAGACATGCCTCAAATGCGACGAAGAGTGTGCCCGGCTCGAACGAAACCGGGCTCTGGCCCTTGCTCTGCACATTTCGGATGACCACACTGACGACCATGTGCCTTATTCAACCACGACGCTGAACATGTATCTGGAAGATGTGGCATGGGCGCACAAGCAGGAAGAAATTCTGCGGCTGTTCGCAGCGGACGATTCTGAGAAGAGATATCGGTTCAAACCAATGAAAAGTCGACAACGTGCTTTCATCCACAGCATCGCAGAGGATTTTGGGTTTGACAGTGAAAGTCTGGATCCTGAGCCCCATCGCCATGTTGTGTTGTTCAAGACCCCCAAATTCGTGTCGGCACCCATGAAAACTCTGGCTCAAGCGGCGAGGATAAAACGGGGACAATTGAACGTGGCCGCACCGATTCATTCGACCGCTGAAAAGAAGGCTGATGAAGTCAAGCACGAATACAACGGGTTCCTTCTACTCAAGCCCAGGTTTGCCCTGACCGAGGACGAACTACGGCCAGTGATCAAAAAGTCTGCGCCTGATACCAATTTCGACATCTTCTTTCTACCTCAGGATGAAGGTGTTGCACTGATTCCATCCATGACTTGGGACACGCCTGAGCAGCTGGTCACCCGCCTGACGAGCCTCCAACCCACCATTATCGGTGCCGTGACCAAGGATAACCTGGCTGGGTCGGTGGTGCTCTGTCATTTTGACACAGAAGGACCAGAACCCAAAGTGCTCCGGCAACAAGGCAAACCGGTCACAAATGAGATAAATGGATGGTCACAAGTGGCAGCGCGGCGAGCCGCTCCCGCTCAAGCACCCCAAGTCAAGCCGGTCGGACAGAAACCAGTTTACACGGTGCTCGGTAGTCGATTGGCCGAAGCCAAAAGGAAGAAGCAAGAGCATGAGGAGTTGTTGCGCAAGAAGGCTCAAAAGCAGGAAGTGGTGGATGACTGGGAGCAGGAGGTTGAGCGCGAGGAACAAGTTGAAGCTGAACGAAGAGCCAGTCTAGAGAGTGCAGATGGTGTTGATGAGGCCCAAACAGCGGAGAAAGCATGACCGTCAGGGGCCGAGTTGTCTGCTGCTGGTGGGGCAGGGTTCAGCTTGCATTGTCAAGCTGGGGGTCCACATAGGAAAGTGTTTGATAACGAGGCTGTGTGCAGTTTGTAGGAAGCGAGCGCGGGAGACAGACTGGTGGAATCTCAGTAACCAGCTCGGAACAATCGATAGGCTGTTGTTGAGTAGACGCGGATCATGCCGTCTCGGTTGTTCCGACTCGGCTAACGTCACTATTGGAGATAGCAAATAGCAGTTCTATGATGCCATCCGCTCCAAGTCCTGATCCAAGTTTCAAGACGCCACACTTTCATGCCATTCGGTGGGTGGGCATCGATTTGACGTGAACGCAGATCGCTCAGGGTCCGCAAGGGATGAATGTTTCGCTGGATCCGTTCCAAGCAACTTGGCCATGTCTGAGGTTGCTAACAGCTGAACAGGCTGAGCTTCCCTGGCACTGGGACTGGAACTGTGGCACTCAATGGCAGGCAGCCTGTCACTGTGTCACTCCGCAGCTGCGCTCGCTGTGGCCTCTCTGCCCCTCCTCCTTCACCGATACCTCGTGTGAATCGTTCCCTCCAAGTTGCAGTTGCATCGTTGGTCTAGTCCACTGCATATAAGTCCAAGACCGATTCCTTCTGACTCTCCTACGACTTACCACTGTATTCATTTCCTTCTTTCCCCCAACCATTTCAGCAACTCCCAGTACTTCGATCAATTGATCAATCGTAGCCCATCCCCATCGTGACCTCAGACACGTTATCGTTTCGTCCTCCTTCATTCTATCTTCGCTCCACACAATCATGGATCAACTCAAAGGAGCCTTGAACAGCTTTACTGGTGGTGACCAAGAGCAGAAGCAACAAGTTCCCGGAGAACAGACCCAACAGGGCAGTTCCAGCGGAGGTGGCTTCCTGGGAGGTCTTGGTGACAAACTCAACTCGGCTGCTGGTGGTGGAAAAGAGAGTGAAAAGAACGAGGACTATCTCGACAAGGGTAAGGCTGTATAACTCAATACATGGACCATCTTTCTTGTTGGGGCACGGCCGCTAACCACACGGCATGGGCGATAGGTGTTGATTTCGTCCAAGAGAAGTTCCTTGGACAAGGACCACAAGATAATGAGAGTGCCGTCGAACAAGCCAAGGACGAACAGATCAGTGACTTTATCCGGAGCCAATGTAAGGACTACCAGCACAGATGTTCACCTCTTACTTTCTGTCCAACCCCAGTCTCCTATTTGTGTTGTTTGTGATGTGGCTGACGGGTGAGCCCAATGCAGACAAGAGTGCGACCGGCAAAGACTTCCCCGTCAAGGACAAGGAAACCAAATTCTAGTGAAATTGGCCCTGACGGACAATGTGATGCATTCCAGGTAGCATGCTGTGTTGGAGCGAGAAGAGAGCCATACATCTGCACAATGTGACATGACCTATGGAACACGCCAGCGGTATGCTGTTAGCGGAAACACCACCATCCTCTCACATGGGGAGTGGGAGGGGTATCGTGCAGAAAGGCCTTTAAGAATGCTGCTGAAGCACGCCCTGAAAAGCGCAAATAGCCCGGGTTGCTTCTCATTGGAATTGTCATCGGCTGGGTCAAGCCTGGCAAAGCTCATCAACTGTTTCTGCACATCAGACGAATATCTCTATCAATGAACGCCCTTGGACAATCCATCTGCTATTCTGCCTTTCCATCCAATGACTACGTCCAGGTAGCCTCGCCATCTTCATTAGGTATTCTGTTCACATGAACATTCTCCATTAGGTCCTGCTTGACAGTTGAACTTGCTATTCCGTTGTAGGTCCAGGAGATCGTCCGACTCCGTCCTCGACGGTCAAAACTGACTCTAGTTCCCACAACGTCAGCCTTATTTAAGAAAATCTAACAAGTCGGCACTCAATTGTTGATGAGCGACGGGGATGCGGACGAGATACAGTTCCCGTACGGGGATGACTTCGTTGAGTTGAGAGGCTATACTGCTGCATGGCCCGTCAACGGAAGCTATGAAGGTAGAATCGACTGTACCTGTGGAAAGACGCCGCCAGTCGAGCCGGTCTCTTGGTTTGGGGGCGAGAAGGCAATATCCGCATGCAATGCCACAGCTTTACCCCTCGAGAAGATGTCCTGGTCGGGAGGCGAGCATAGAAGACGGCACAGCCATTCCAGCGGCCACCAAAAGCAACCTGGCATATTCTTCCTGGAATATACCTCGGTACTGGCGTGGCAGCATCAGATCATGTACGACGCCATCATGCCAACGGTCTCCTCATCACGTTTTCTTATCAAACCGACTGGACTCCCTCAGCCAACGTTCGAAGTCTTGCATCTCTGGGAACTTTTCCTTCCACTCGTTCGGATCGGCTCCAAACCCGTCGGTTTTGAACCAGTCAAACATGACCCCGAGTTGTTCGCGGAGAATCAACTTAATCAAGCGGCCCACAAATGGATATGTGGTCGGCATATCGGAGCCGACGACACGCTTGAAGACGTCGTTGGCTTGTCGAGCCGTCAATTCGTCGGTCGCGATGGAAATAGCTCGCCCCGCATAGGTTTCTGGATGCTTGAAAGCGTCCGCGGCAAGAATGCCCACGTCGGTCGCGGAGACAAGCTGTAACTTGCTATTGCTATCATCATCCATCCCGTTCAGCTGCCACATGGTCGCGAACGCGCGACCAAGAAAGTCCGGGGTCAGGTTCTCCATGAACGCCACGGGGCGCACGATTGTCCATTTCATTCTGCCGTCCAGTTTCTGCGCAGTATGCTTCAGGTGGGTTTCAATGGCGAATTTCGAAGCGAAATGTTTGACTGCGGTGGCATCCCGATCAGACCTTTCGGTCCCGCCCCTGTCCGCCGACGTATACACGAAGTGACGGACACCATGTGCTGCGGCCGCATCGATCAGGTCCTTCCCTTGCTGCTCCTCCACCCGAGGCTTCAGGGGCACCTGTACGCTGAAGACGCCATAGAAAGGAGGGGTGTCGGTTTCTGACGAGGCTCTGAAAATAGCTTTGCAGTCATCGAGGTTTCCCTCCAGGAGACTGACGTTGGGGTTGTTTCGTGTCAGGGCTTGAGCACTTTCACTTTTTGCATTGCGTGTCAGTGCCACTAGATGGAACGGCGGAGAGGGAGGGGATTTGAGCAACGCTCGAAGAACGGCTCCGCCTTGCTTTCCTGTAGCTCCGGTGATGAGGATCCGTCTGAGGTCGGACATGATATGACGATCTTGGGCAAGAGTTCAGTTCACGCGCAGAGACAAAACACAGAAATGGACGGATTGGATTTGATTCTAGTTGAGTATCATCTGGGCAAGCCTGACGTGTCCCTTTATGTATTCCTACCGTGAGCCTGGGACGAATCTCCCCATAGTAGTTGGCGACAGAGTGAGGATGTAAATCGTCCGCCGTATGTCCATGGAGTTGAGTCTCTGCACTGCATGCCAGTGGTCATTGCTGCCACTTCGTGCGACAATGTGTAGGCGTCATAGAGAAATGCGACGGACGAAACCCACAGTGTAGCGATCGAATTTCGTCCGTGGGAGCAAGCGAATGATATCCAAAGGTCCCGGTTGTGTTGATAAGCGACTCGGGGAGGAATGAGAACCAGACGCCGGGGCTTAGGGCAGTCGGGCATTGTTGCGCCGAGTCTCCGTCATTACTGGAGTGCCAGTGCCAATGCGGAGCGCCAACTTGAACTTTTTGCGCAAACACTGCAAACAGCAGTTCGGTTCGGCTCGCATCTCGAATAGAACACGAGCTGCAGTGAGTGGTGTCGAAACGGGCTGCAACTCGCGATGCCTCCTGCGACTCCTCTGCGTGCTGCCCGGCGCTCCCTGTATATATGCCAGAGCTGCCGTCAGCATCTGCGCGCGAACGAAACCGCGAGACTTGCGTCCAACTCGAGCCACCCGCAGCAGAGATGGATCTCGAAAGGCCATGTTCGAAAAATCCAAGAGGCGGAGAAAGAATGGCGGACAAGAGCCGAACACATCGAGGCCGGGCAGATAAGGCCGTTTTTGAGTCTGCTTGAGGAGAGAGGCTACATCAACCAAACCGTCGGGTGAGGCCAACTTCCCGAATCCATGAGCGCCCAACGTTCAATTGCCTAATGTTCATGATCACAGTTCGAAGGAAGACTTGAACCGTCTACTCACCCATCGCCGGGTCGGCGTGTATGCGGGAATCGATCCTACTGCGCCGTCGATGCACGTCGGTCATATGATACCGTTCATGGTGCTGGCATGGTTCTACATACACGGCTATGATACCCATTTTGTTGTAAGGGCTCTACGAACTCGAGATTTTTGAAAATGGATTAAGCTTACAAGTCTGAAGTTGGGAGGTTTCACTGCCAGCATAGGTGATCCGACGGGCCGGTTGACCGGTCGCCAACAACAAACGCCCTCTCAGCGAAAAGCCAATATGGCTGCCATGCACGCGCAGTTAAAAAGACTTGGAGTGTCCATTGAGAAATATGCCGCCCGACGGGGGTACGTGAAGGAGTGGGCCTGGCACCGAGCCCTGGATAACAATGTGACTTGGTGGAAGAATACGTCGGCGAGAGACTTCTTGGCGATTCTGGGTCGGCATGTCCGCATAGGTCCTATGCTGGGCAGAGATACGTACGCGCGGCGGTTCGAACACTCTCGGATGAGACGACACTGACGAGCAGAAACAGGGTCAAGAATAGAATGGAAAAGGGCGATGGCATGTCCTTCGCCGAGTTCAGCTATCCCCTTGTCCAAGCCTGGGATTGGTGGCATCTCTTCCAGAAAGGAGTCCAAATCCAGGTTGGCGGAGCGGATCAATTCGGCAATATCCTCGCCGGGGCCGAAGCCATCAAACAGATGGCCAAGGAGTCGCATGAGTATCAGCAAGCGCTGCGACAGACGCAGTTGATCGATGAGGAGAATGGAGTCAATGTCACTCCGGACCCCATGGGATTGACGGTCCCGCTGCTCACCACGGCTTCTGGGGAGAAGTTTGGCAAAAGCGCTGGAAATGCCGTTTGGCTGGACCCGGAGATGACCAGCATTTTCGATCTCTATCAAGTAAGTGGCCCAAACAGCGAATTGATTGGTTTTATGCAAGCTGACTATTGGGGGAAAAGTTCTTTTTGCGAACCGCCGACGCCGATGTGGAAAAATACTTGAAGCTGTTCACGTTTTTGCCGTTGGCGGAGATTCGCGCGGTGATAGAAGAACACGAAAAGGATCAGTCCAAGCGTGTGGCTCAGCACAAACTTGCCAAAGAGTTTGTGGAACTCATCTACGGGCATGAAGCTGCAGACACTGCCGAGGCGGAACATCGACAGCTGTTCAACAAGAAGCTCTCCCTCAGTGATATCACGGCGAGCTTGGCTGAAGCGAGATCGACTCAGCCTGCAGCCGCTGACAGCCCAAGTTTTATCAATCCTTCGTTGAATAAACATGCGCAACCGCTGCGCCGTGAGGATAATGCCGCGGTCCATGTCAAATTGCCCAAGAGCCTGGTCATTGGAAAACCTTTGAGTCATGTCCTTTGGGCCGTGGGCCTGGCAGGATCTCGCACCGAAGGGCAGCGACTGATCAACGCTGGAGGTGCCTACATTGGAGCCAATGCAGACGCAAAGAGCGGCATGGATGATGCGCTCAGCTTCACGCCAGCTAAGACTGCCGCGTGGGAGGAGCTCTCCAAATTCATCATTGATGAAAAGATCCTCATCCTCCGAGTGGGTAAGTGGCGGTTGAAAATCATAGATATCGTTCCGGATGAGGAGTATGAAGCTGCCGGATTGACCTGTCAGGCTTGGGAGTCGCTCAAAGAAGCTCAAGCCAGAGAACAAGAACAACAGCAGCAGCCGGGTGCAGAACCTGCTGGGCAGAAGGCACAGGCATCCTGAAGTCTGCTGTGCGGACGCGAGAGAATAAAATTGGGACAACCTTACGTGTTCTTGTATCAAGATTATATCCTCACTTGTACCAATATTATATCCTCTCAACTGGTTCTTGTACAGCACCTACGCGACATGGCAATACGCGAGCAGTCTGGTACTTGCTCGGAACGGATTGTAGGCGACAAGGCTGAAGCCGCCCCCAGGGGTCCGTGGGGAATCGCGTTTAAGTGCACATTGTACCGTAGACACTCTACGCGTCCTCGACGCGCTAATTCCTCCCCGCGCGAGTTCCATCACTTTCGTCCCTGAACTTGAACACTTTCTGGCATTGTATGTTCTGTCTTCCACGCTGGAACCTCATCCTCTTTCTCCAGCACGGCTTCATTCATTGATGTGTCTCGGTCAAGGCTACAGTTGTGCTAGGCCTTGCGAGAGGCATTGAAGCAATCATAATGGCCAAGAAGACTTCGACTCCCGCCGCCTCCACACCTTCATTGAAGAAATCGTCCTCATCCGGCGGGCAACGCACTCTTCTAGGCTTCTTTCAGAAAACACCGTCGTCCACTGGTTCTCCTGGGGGCCTCCCCGCCCGGACAGCGACGACCTCAACACCTGCTCCTGTAAAGCTTCCAGCAAAGTCTGGTGGAACGACCTCGTCAGGGTCTTCCTTGACTCCCGTCCCCAGCAGCGATGCGGCCGAGCCAGAAGTTGACACCGAGGATGATCGACTCAAGGCAAGTCTGCCTGCTGCTGCCAAAGGTCTGCTGTCGCCAGTCTCAACTGACGAGGGGCAGACTAATGGAGTAGAAGAGCTGACTGCCCGGGGGACGCCTTCGCGAAGGGTAATGCTGGTCCCTTATGCCTATTCTGTTCGTGCACTAACTCCCCCTTTGCCAGGCGAAGAAGAAGGCCGTGAGATACATCGAGTCAGATAGCGAGGGCACCGACAACGATGACGACGTATTCAAACCTACACCTGTAGGTCGCTCTAGACGGACAAAGCGCCGGCGCCTGTCGGATAGTGCCGAGGAGGATCTCTACGAGCAGGAGAATGATGCCGCGGAACAAGAGGATGATGGTAAGCATCCACACCATTTCAACTGCAAGTACGTACTATGACAACCTGCTAACCCATAATAATTAGATATGGACGATTTCATTGCCCCGGACGATTCGGAAGACGACATTCCCCGGCCCTCGAAGCGTAAACGACCGTCTCAACCGGCATCCCGAAAAGTCTCGTCGCATTTTACTCCCACGGCTGACAACGTGGACATTGACATGGACTTGGAGGCTGCTGAAGGCTCGTCAACCGCTCAACAATGGGCGTATGATCCTGCAAATCCGCAGCCTCTGCAGGCGCGATCCTCCAATATCCCCTCCAGGAAACCGGGCGGCCAGGATGGCAAGAAACAAAAGGCACACATGACGGAGCCGGAACAACGACACGCATGGCTAGAGGACATTCGGGACATTGACCGCAATCCACCCGGTCATCCAGATTACGATCCTCGGACATTATACATTCCCCCAATGGCATGGACCAAGTTTTCTCCTTTCGAAAAGCAATACTGGGAGATCAAGCAAAAGCTCTGGGACACGATCGTTTTCTTCAAGAAAGGGAAATTCTATGAGTTGTACGAGAACGACGCGACCATTGGTCATCAGCTGTTTGATCTCAAGTTGACAGACCGCGTCAACATGCGGATGGTGGGCGTCCCAGAGTCGAGCCTGGAGATGTGGGCCAACCAGTTCGTGGCAAAGGGCTTCAAAGTCGCACGTGTTGACCAGCAAGAGACCGCTCTGGGCAAGAACATGCGCGAGAGAGATGAAAAATCCAACATGAAGAAGGGTAAGGAGGACAAGGTCATCAGGAGAGAGCTTGCGTGTGTTCTCACCGCGGGGACTCTGGTCGATGGAACCATGCTACAAGATGACATGTCCACGTACTGCGTGGCCATCAAGGAGTCGGAAATCGACAATATGCCAGCGTTCGGGGTGGCCTTTGTCGATACGGCTACGGGACAGTTCCACATTTCACAGTTCGTCGACGACTCCGACCTGACGAGATTTGAAACTTTCGTCGCACAAACGCGACCTCAGGAGATTCTCCTCGAAAAGGGCGAAGTCTCCATGAAGACGTTGCGGATTCTGAAGAACAACACAGGCCCAACAACAATCTGGAACTACTTGAAGCCGGGCAAGGAGTTCTGGGAGGGGCATATCACCGCAAAGGAGATCGAAGCGAGCGATTACTTTCCCATGGACTGGCCCGAGGTCCTTCAACAGGCTCGTGAAAAGGATCTCCTCATGTCCGCGTTGGGTGCTCTGATTTGTTATCTAAGAACACTGAACATCGAGCGCGAGTTGGTCACTTTGGGCAACTTTACGTGGTACGACCCGATCCGGAAGGCCACCAGCCTTGTCCTAGACGGGCAGACCCTGATCAATCTGGAAGTGTTTGCCAATTCGTATGACGGAGGTATCGAGGGAACACTTTTCCAGCTGCTCAACCGTTGCATCACTCCTTTCGGCAAACGCATGTTCAAACAATGGGTTTGTCATCCGTTGATGGACACGAAGAAGATCAATGCTCGTCTCGATGCGGTCGATTCTCTCAACCGAGACACCAAAGTCCGCGATCGGTTCACCTCGCAGATGACCAAGCTGCCGGACCTGGAACGACTGATCTCTCGGGTCCATGCCGGGTCGTGCAAGGTGCAGGACTTTGTCAAGGTGCTTGAAGGCTTCGAACAGATTGACCACACCATGTCTCTGCTCCGTGATGGGGACGCTGGATCGAACTTGGACAGCGAGAGCGTCATTGGCCAACTCATCACCGCTATGCCTGATCTCCAGCCACATCTTAAGTACTGGATGGACGCCTTTGACCGCACCAAGGCCAAAGAGACCGGGATCTTGGAGCCGGAACGCGGAATCGAAGAGGATTTTGACAATTCGAAGGACACCATAGACGCCATTCAGGACGAGTTCAATGTGCTCCTCCACAAATGGCGCAAGGAGTTTGGGTCTAGTGGTATCTGCTACCGCGACAGTGGCAAAGAAATCATGCAACTGGAAGTCCCTCTCAAGGTCAAGGGCATCCCCAAGAACTGGGACCAAATGTCTGCGACGAAGCAGGTCAAAAGATATTATTTCCCTGAGCTGAGATCCCTGGTTCGCAAGCTGCAGGAGGCTCAAGAAACGCACTCACAGATTGTCAAGGAGGTCGCGGGCCGGTTCTTCGCGCGCTTCGACGAGAAGTACGAGATCTGGCTGGCTGCGATCCGCATCATCGCGCAGCTCGACTGCCTGATCTCGCTGGCCAAGGCAAGCAGCAGTCTCGGCTACCCCAGTTGTCGGCCCGAGTTCATCGACGATGACCAGGATGCGGCTTCCACTAGATTGGGCCCAAGTCGCTCGACGCTCGAGCTGGTTGAGCTCCGTCACCCATGTCTGCTTGCCAAAGTGGACGACTTCATCCCCAACGACGTTGTCCTTGGTGGCACAGGCGCGAATCTCAGCTTGCTGACGGGCGCCAACGCCGCGGGTAAATCAACGGTGCTGCGCATGACCTGCATCGCCGTCATCATGGCCCAGATTGGATGTTACCTACCATGTCTTTCGGCACGCCTCACGCCATTTGACCGGATCATGTCGCGCTTGGGAGCCCAGGATCATATCTTTGCGGCGCAATCGACCTTTTTCGTCGAGCTCGCCGAGACCAAGAAGATCTTGAGCGAAGCCACCCCCCGCAGCCTGGTGATTCTGGACGAGCTGGGCCGAGGAACCTCGTCGCACGACGGCGTCGCGGTCGCCCAGGCCGTGCTGCACCACTTGGCCTCGCATGTCGGATGTCTCGGGTTCTTCGCGACGCATTACCACTCCCTGTCGGCCGAGTTCAAGGGCCACCCGGAGATCGAGCCGCAGCGCATGAAGATCCTGGTCGACGACGAGCAGCGCCGCGTCACATTCTTGTACAAGCTCGAACGGGGCGTCGCAGAGGGCAGCTTCGGCATGCACTGCGCCAGCATGTGCGGCATTCCAGCGAGGGTGGTTGACCGCGCCCAGGAGGCCGCACGGGAATGGGAGTACACGAGTCTGATGGCTAGAAAGTTGAAGGCTGGGGCCAACAACAAAAGTAACGGCCAAGACAGCGGCAATGATGGCAGCGACAGTAACGGGAGGAGCAATTTGCCCGTGCCCCTGGGCATCCTGAGCGATGTGGCTTGGATCCTCAAAGAGGACAGCAAGTCTGCCACGGGTGAGGACGTGGTGACGGAGCGCAGCATCGATACTCTGGCCAGATATATCGAAGCCTTGTAGAAGGTACACGATGTCGTGTGTGTGAATACGCAGTGCAGGGTTGTTAGAGATGTACCTCAGGGGACGGTCAAGGGAGGGCCAAGCCTACCATTATCAAATAGACTTTGACACGGAGATCTCACGGACAATTCGTTTTCGGGGAGGAGTAATGAGGCAAAAGGTGTCTTGGGCGATGTCCACTTGTGCGGAATTTGAGAATTTTTCATTCTGAGCTCAGCAATTCGAACTATTATTTCCTTTCCACAAGATGTGGTTTTTGCTCTCTGCAACATCTGGATTCCATACCTTCGCCCAATTACATGGAGTAGTAGATAACCCATGTGCGGTGACCCGGTCCAGATACCACGCCATCCCTCCGTGGTCTCGGACCCTCAACGAGTGTCCTCACTCAGCCTGTAAACAGATGTTGCCTTCTTCATCAACCGGAGAAGATCAAGACTATTGTGCCGGTAGAGACATTAGATTGCTTGACTTTACCGCCTGTCGCCTTGCCCAGCACCTTTGCCCTGGGGTTCGACGGATAATTGCCCTTAAACGGGTTTTTTTCTCATTCGCTGAGCTCAGATACTGACCGCGGGTAGTGCATGCCAGCTTCGTGTTGTTTTTCCTTGAATTGAATCGCCGGCCCTCATGTCCGTTTCTGCAGTGTCAGGTTGAGAATAAGGAGAAACGGGGCACGGCGGCAGGAGGTGGCTGCTAGGAGGTTCCTTTATGCCGGGTGCTGCAGTGGGCATTTATGTAACCCAAGAATTGAATCTGGCCCCCTGCGGCGTTCAAGCAACGTGGTTGCCCATTGAATCATAAACGGGGCAGTGGGAGTTTAGACTTGTGGTCTCAGTGCACTGCGAATGCAAACCTACGGTGGATGGATCGGTTCTTTGGCCATACGACAGGTATGCAAGGCATACACTTGTACCTACCTTTCGTCGGCGGACATGGCAGTACCGAAGAAAACGTACCACTACCCGACCCTAGCAAGAAAACCGTTTGGCCCATTGTTTCGTACAGGCGACCGTGGTGGTATGACGATCAAGGTGAGAGTAGGGTAGGCCAAGTCGGTCCAGGCGAGTCCATTTTTGCGCCGTTCATCCGACTCTTCTGGCGTCCAGCGAGTCATGCCCCGTGCTAGAATACCGACCAAAGGGGTTCAGTAATATCAGGTCGATCCGGGCGCATTCCGCGGCGTGTTGAACTAGCAGCAAAGGAAATGGGGGTAATCCCGCACGTAGGAGTCCAAGCAAAAAATGAGGACATCTGAGTCTTCATCCTGGGGCCGGAAACCCCGGTGAAGTGGATATGCATAAAGTACCCCAGAGGTGTATGTGCATAATGCAGATTCCTCGCCAAGGCGAGAATAGGCGAGAATACGAAGAAAAGGGCTCCAGGACCCCATGGGAGGGTAACTCAACAACTTTTCAATGCTCCAGAGTCGGGACGGAATGTTTGTCGGCGACCAAGGAGGATGGCTAGTAGCCTCTAACTAGCCGAGCATTGCACATGGCAGTGGGAAAGAGATCGGATGGATGAGCCCCAGGTATTGTTCGGCAACTTCGGATGGCCGTATAAGGAGTCAGCCTTCAAGTTTGGGGAGGGTCGGAAAGTGGTGTGATTTTGTTACGCGGACCGGGATGTATGTTGAATTTATGTCCATTAGGCGAAAGCTGGAGTGAGTGTGGAGGAAAGCAGAATCGGCGGAGCGGAAGTCAGGGGTCAGTTGGCCCTACCGTAAGCACACCACAGCCTTGCCTTACCACAGGCGACGGGAAAGAGGTTTCCGATCCAGATAGGCCATCACGGTGTTGCACGGTTCTTACTTCAAGAGCAGGTTTTGGTGGATTTGTGAGCGTCGAGACAGGCAGGGTGAGCATCTAGCACATGCCAGCAATAACAAGCCGACTGTTAGACTCGGCTGTTTTGGCTGTCAGATGCGGCATCTGGTCTTCTAGAACAGGCGGGCCGACTTCTAGTTTACAGCTTCGCGTCCGGGTAGACTGACGGTTCTGCTAGACCCGCCGAGAGGGCGGGAGGATCGTGAATAAGGCGACGGCGACTGGTGGAGGTGGAGGTGGACGAGTGGGCGCCGGCGTGTTGATTGCTTGGCTGGTGGCTTTTTGAAGCAGAGTACGTACGTACAAGAAATAATAATAGTTGTAGACAGAAATAGACAGACGGATTTTCTGGCGGCGCCCCAACAGCACAGCTTGTGATTTTGTGGTGGAGAGGTCTAATTTCATGGCGAGCCTGATGTGCACATACTGTACTATCGACAAGGAATATTGAGTCCTGGCACAATCGAGTATGGCGAATATTGAAATGTCAGCAAGCAAGGACACAGGGCAAGATTGAATATAGAAGGATCTCGAGCGTGTTGTACTCGGGCGGTCCATTGTAGAGAACTGTCAGCGTGCAGAGTAGCTCATGTACAAAAGCACCTCAATTGTGTCCAGTTGTTCTGGGTGGTTGTCGTTAGTGAGATATCCGGCACTAGTTGCCGAATCAACTGCTTCTGGCAAAACTCCGGGCGATAAATGGACGGCAGTGGATCGCTAGGGGACACTACCAGGCACTAGCAACAACCCGCCCACTGCAGGCTCCAGTCACGCGCAGCGCGATCGCCTGGCACGACCGGAAGAAGCACGGACAACAACCATGATGCTGACAAAAATATAAATATTATGACACCCGCGAATCGTCCCAATCCACCTTAATTTGCGATTGGCACTGCACTGCACTGCACCTGGTCAAACACCATCAAGCAATACACCAGGTAGCTACTACAGCATGAAAGCGCACGAATAGATAATCGAACTTGAAATGCTGCGCAGGGGCCGCAGTCAGCAAACAACAGCATCACGTGTAATAATATCCCGCTAGGACCTCAGCTATCGACCTCGGACGGTCGTCGATCGGCAGTGGCGTGACGGGCGTTGGCTTGGGTCTTCTTGGGCTTCTTGGGCTTCCAAATCGCTTCTTGAGATGGCATTTTGTAGCTGGGCATGCAATAATGGCCGTGAACCTCGTCAAATAACGGGTGTCGCCCTGCACAAGGGTCAGCTCCGCTCGCCCGCCATACGCCATACCAGTAGCAGCAGCTGAAGAATGCAACACTGCCATTGCTGATGTGATATTCAGACCACCCTCGAGTTCCGCCCGTTTCTGTTGGGCGAGAACATCAGGCTAATATGAGCATCCTCGCCGTGATTTGCCTGGCGCGACGGGGATGTTCATCCTGGCACTTCTCCATCTCCGATGCCTCGATGCTGCATTGATGCTCCATGATGCTCCACGGACAAATCACACTCGGCGCCGTCCCAAAACGGTCATACTTCCTTTTCCCAGCCGTCATAGCTTTTCCACAGTCCTCCCAGAGACTCTCACACAGACACACCACAACAATTGAACAGTAATGACCTGCCCTGCCGAGAAGGGATTGCCGGTTTCGCCTTTCCTTTAGCGACACGCAAGTCGAGACTCCCTCGCCTGTTGTCCGCGCGAGCCTGCTCGCAACGGCCACCCCTGTCGTGGTGGTCGAATACGATGTCCTCATGGAAGCGACGAACCAAACCACCTGTCAAGGCTCAACATTGTCATCTGCCCCCATGTTCTGCCGTGCGCACTCCTTGACCCTCTCCGCCCCGTCTCCTGCTTGGCTGGGCCCGAATGCCATTCGCCCTCCAGTTCTGGAGTGTCGTCTCGTCTCCAGACGCTCCAACCCTTGCCTCGTCTGTACAGCACGTCCACCTCCCTCCACCCACTACAGCTCCGCCCAATCCCGGGACTAGCTGTCCCTTTTCCCCAGAATGGACTTGAAGCAAATCACAGACCCCTGCCTGGTGTTGGGTTTGAACCCCGTAGTGGCCCATCAGATACATAAACAAACCCAATCCCCGTTCAAGTTCCCCAGTAGTGCTCCTCCTGTCCATCAGTCAGTCAGCCATCCACCCCTCGGCCGCCTGTTCGTGCTTATACTGTCGTCTTTCCCCTCTGGAAAAGAACCTTGAACAAGAGCGACTTCTGTCTTCCTCACAGTTATCCGCCATGGCGACCAACGCGACTCACAATGACTTCCACAACGACGCCAACCTTACCTCAGCCAACGGTGGGAATCCGGACACCACGGCCCAAGATTTCGAAAAGGCCACTCGGGGCATGAGCCACGAGGAAAAGCATACGGCTCAGCAAGCCGCTCGTTTCGGCTATGGTCCTCTGGCGCATATGCGAACAAACAATGAAGCCACTCTTCCAGGTAAACAGACCTGACGCCAATTCGCAAACGGTTGAGACTGACATACTTCGTCCTGTGTAGCCTTCGGTGGTGAGTTCCAGCCTGGTCTGTACCGATCGGTCGAAGGGCGCAAATTCGCCAACCCGGCGCCTCTTGGTCTGTCGGCCTTTGCCTTGACCACGTTCGTGCTCAGCTTGATCAACTTGGGAACTCGAGGCGTCTCGGTGCCCAACATCATTATCTCATTGGCTTTTGGATATGGTGGTCTGGTCCAGCTATTGGCCGGCATGTGGTAAGTTACTGGTCTATGCAGCCCAGCGCGGACGGCACAAGCTGTGCGCACGACTCCCCGCTAGCTGGACATAGTGCTGATTCATCGCTTTCTTGCGCACAGGGAAATGGCCATTGGCAACACTTTCGGTGCCACCGCGCTGTCCTCGTACGGCGGGTTCTGGATTTCCTTTGCCATCATCCTGACCCCAGGCGGCTTCGCCATTGAAAGCACCATTGAGGCAGCAGAGGGCGGCAAAGCTCTCTTGGACTGTCTAGGCTTCTACTTGATGGTAAGCACATTGGAATCCTCCGGCGCACCGAGGTCGTTTACGGCCTGTTACGGTCTGTTTAGGATACAATCATGCTAACTTTTTGTCTCTTTAGGGCTGGTTCATCTTCACCACGATCCTTCTTTTCTGCACCCTGAAATCCACCGTCGCGTTCTTCATGCTCTTCTTCACCCTCGATCTCGCCTTCCTCATGCTCGGCATTGCCTATCTCCAGCCCGAGAACGGCGCTCCTCGCACCAGCTGCCTGCGTGCCGGCGGTGCCTTTGGCATCATTGCCGCCTTTTTGGCCTGGTACAACGCCCTGGCCGGTATTGCCGACACATCCAACAGTTTCTTCATCATCCCCGTCGCCCACTTCCCGTGGTCGGAGAAGGGTCGTGCCAACCGATCCGCCAATGCCAAGACGGAGCATACGGCATAAAGGACATGTTGCTGCAGTGGTCGTCATTACAGCACCACCTACTTTTACGCGTTGGGTGACAGTTACTATCTGGGACAGCAACCGAAAAGAACCCGCTATCAAGAATGCATGGCCAACACAATTGGCTGTTTGACAACACGAATGGTTGAGAACGCAAAATTGTACCGGATTATCAACGTTATTATTATGGGATGAGGAAAACGCGATCGGAGAAAATTGGATATACCTGCAGTGGTTACAACGGCACTGTAGTTAGGTGCCTTGTTATGATATCTACCTTGGGTTGTTTCAACGCAATGCGCTCTCTGGATACCCCTGCACAGATGCTATGATTTTATGTGCGGTCTTGCGAATGACTGGATGGAGAGATAAATTCTGGCCTGGCCACAGCTTTAATATTCCAGTCATCTATCTCTTGTAATGAATGTCTCTTCTATCCTCTGAAAATACGGCCTCGATCCTGAACGATTCTGTCCATGGTGCCGCGCAGGTACTTGCCTAGGTACCTAGGTAAATCATGTCCACGAGATCATTTTGAGATTCCCGGCAGATGTCCAAGACCGAAGTCATCAACGTCATAGATATTTTACTGGCGTTCAAGTTTTCCCCTACTAGCAGTTATCAGTAGTCCTAGTACTAGTATTTGACTTGGATCCTCACCGCCGTCGATCCGTCTCCACGGTCGGGGGCACAGACACTGCATGCTCCTACTTAGTGCATCACATCGCATCGCATCGCATTGCGGATCGCCGGCACTGGCATCATGGGGTATTACTATTGGCATGCGTGAGCCATTTTCCGTGAAAGCTCTCTGCTACACCAACTAGTAGTAGCCCTACCACTGACACATGGCCTTCTTTCATACCGTGACTGCCATCCACCTTTCCGTCCCGCGTAGACAAATCTCCGCACAAGTTCCGAAGAGAAATTCTACCCTCGACTAGGTGCCACCGCAAGGTGAAATGAAGTTTCCTTTAGGTACTAAGGTATGCACAGAACCGAACTTGATTGCCACTGAGATGAACCCATGCCCAAGCCGTTATGTCCGAGGCTGGGGTTGATCTACCTTATCTTTCCAACTTGAAACCCCGAAAACTGGGGCTGTGTTTTGTTCGGGCGCCTTCTCACTACCTAAGTATCTGCCGACTTGACCGTTTCCTTCAAGATCTGAACGGACGGCTTCGTTGAAGGCTGCAATAATGAAATGTGACATCCAACAGAAGCGTTCAAACTGTCGTCCTGGGGTAGGTACTAACTGTACGTCCCAAAGAAGTTGGAATGATATAATTTCAGCGCTGGAAGTGGAAAGCATTTCCGAAGTTCAATGTCAATCGAGGTCACGCCGCGGTGGTGACCGATCCACAGAAGCTTTTTGTCGTCTCTATCGCTGCCACTGCGCTTGACCTGAGTTTGGCGCCTGGATCACTTTGGATACGGTGAGCTGGTTTGATGGGCTTAAGGCACTGCAGGCGGAGAAATGTCCCATTTCCAATTAATGCCATGCCATGCCATGCCGGTAAGGCCAAAGACTTTCGAGTTGTAGCACTCAACACCCCCCTTCGGCGTCCGTTATTGAACGGCTCATCAGATTTTGTTTTTTTTTTTTTTTTCCTTTTCTGGTGAAATCCTGATTGATTGCAGCAATGGGTCAAACCAGCCAAGTGAGTCGGCTGTTCAGTGTCGAGGGAATTGTTGCTGTTGTCACAGGCGGGGGAAGTGGTAAGTCTGATCTACTGTACTGTGTACATGGCAAAGGGGCCCGCCGCGCTCTTCCAACTTAAGGTGCCCTGAGCTCTTCCATCACTGATCGTCTCATCACTCTGCCTTGTTATCTGATTGATTTACTGAAGAGAAGATTTGACCAACTAAAGATCGTGTGACTGCGCAGGCCTCGGGCTTTTCATGACTCAAGCATTGGCCGAGAATGGTGCCAAAAGAGTCTATATTCTTGGACGGAGGAAGCAAATCCTAGACGAGGCAGTCAACAAGATCGTAAGTTCAACACACACGTCTACTTCAACTTCAGGCTCCCGTCCTCACCAGTGTGTTTGTGTCTTTTTGGTTTCTTTTACAATTTTCTTTTCTTTAACAGAATTAAATCAGGGTCTGGACAGTGTCGTCCCTCTAGTATGTGATGTAACAGACATCGAAAACCTGCGATCGGCAGCGGCATTCATCGAGAAGGACGTGGGATATATCAATTTACTAGTGGCCAACTCTGGCATTTCCGGTCCTTCGGGCACCGTTGCTCCAGGAGCGAGCATTGCCGAACTCCAGGAGACGTTGCTGGCCATTCCGATGGCAGATTTCACAAACACCTACCACGTCAATTGTACCGCCGTCTTTTACACGACGATTGCGTTTCTGGGCTTGTTGGATCAAGGGAACAAGCAGCCATCGGACTCTGCCTATCAAGGAGGAAGGAGTCAGGTCATCGCCACCAGCAGCATTGGGAGCTTCAACCGGAAAATCACGGCCGGCTTTGCCTATGGGACAAGCAAGGCCGCCACGACCATGTTGATGAAAGTCCTGGCCACATATTTGGTGCCATATAGGATCAGAGCAAATGTTCTATGTCCTGGCTGTAAGTACTTTGACTCTTACTCTTGCCACTGGCAGCCCTTTTTATAAAGAATGCGAAACTGACCCGAGTATGGCATTACTCACTGCAGTATTCCCAACGGATCTTACTACGACTCTGATCAAAGAAGGCCAAGATCCCGCAACAGAAGGCGCATTCCCGCTGGACCAAATCCCGGCCGAGCGCGCAGGGCAGCCAGAGGATATTATGGGTCCTTTGCTGTACCTGGCCTCAAGGGCTGGAGCCTATTGCAATGGCAACTGTGTGATCACAGATGGTGGTCGTCTGAGTGTCACACCGGCCACGTACTAGTCGAGAACATAACTATTGTCAGCCCAGTACCTACCAGGTAAGGTACCCTTTGGTTATTGTGGACCTCAGCTGTGGAGGAGGCGATGCTGGAAACCGGGGGTGGCGGGCGGGGGATCGACGTGTCATTACTAGGTACTACTGTACAACGTTGTAGTAAGTTGTAGGAGCGAGTACTAGTAGAGCTAGCTACCTAGGTAGGTAGTGGCATTCACCACGCTACCTACCTAGGTAGGTATTTTTCTACACGTACAACCATTTCGACAACTTGAACACCATGAATGCCCTTCTCTCGCTCAAAAATTGCATCTCATCACGACTGCGAGGGTCACGGTCCGAGTCGCCAACACCAACAATCGCGTGCCAGAGTCCATGTCCACCCTCGGTGCAAGTCCAAGCCGGACGAACCTCAACCTCGACCTTGGTGACGTTGCCAGCCGAGATTCTATTGTGTATCGTCTCCTTTTTGCCAACGAGCTCGGTCGCCTGTTTAAGCCTAACCTCAAAACGGTACCGCGAAGCCCTCTTCGACCAATTTGATCCAGAATGGCGAGACAACGATACAGAAAAAGCACACTTCCTTCGCCTTCTGGAGGAGGATTTACCCGAGATGATGGTATGCTATAGCTGCAATATTCTGTACCGTTGGGGCAAGTCATCGCGATATCTATGTCCTAACCGCTATAATCGCCATAAACACACGCTGTCGAAGCGTGGCGCACCTTGGTGCTTTACTCATGAACCCGTGATGATCTACCGTAATATGGTCGATGCGTTCCTGAGAGGATTTGCCAAAGGCTCGCGATACGGTCCGCAGCTCCAAGAACTAAATCACACCTGCAAGTCGAACGTCCTTGCGCTCTTTCCCGAGGGCGTGTGTATCAACAAGACGATTGAGGCTCGCGTGGTCAGAGGAAAGCTGTTCCTTCACAGTGTTCATAAGCTATCCGTATCATTACTACTAGCTCAACCTGAACCATCGAGCACTCCGATTTCACGAGTCGACTTAGGTCAAATTGTCTCTAGTCGACTTTTACCTGCAATCCATAAATTCACCGCCAGAATCGGCTGTACTCATACCCCACAAAGAATCCCTGCGGTCATTTTATACGCGTTCCGGCTCCGGGTAGGCTGTTCCGGCGATCGGACGAGAAGACTGGATCTGTTGAGCTGTGGTCGTTGCGCCACCGACCTACGAGTCCGGGTGGAACTCGACGGCGGCGGTACGCGCGTCCAAATTGAACTCGAGATATGGCAGTCTTTTGGAGGTCGAGACTTTGACAACAGGGACGAGGCAGAGGATGCACATTTCTCTGATAAACCTATGATAGATGAACCCTTCGACATTAATTATCCTCCTGTTCGCGACCTGGAGAAAGTGTTCAAAGGAGGAGTTGAAGGAGAGTGCGTAGGATTGTGCTCCCCGAACCAGCCTCGAAGGCGCCAGAGCTGGATCCAGTTGTGGGGATGGCACTATGACCCAATCATGGCTCAATTGCGCAGGTACAGTGTCCCCTGCAATGATGACAGGATGCCAGCTCGAACTCAAGACCAGGCGCTGCCCTTGCAATGGTGACGGGATGCCAACCCGCAAACCATGGGCAAATCCCTTTGTACCTTCTCCTTGAATCGCGCTCTCGAAGGTGCTTGCTCGAAGAGGGGTTTGAAAACATCCAATAGAGGGTGAGGCAGACAAGCCCGATCGCTGGCTTGGACAGTGGTTCGAGAGGGGCGAGCCTAGAGTGAATCAGTTAGCTTGATGCTCGAAGAGTGAGGAGTGAGAGATCATCCAAGAGCTGGGCTCGGCTTAGTTTCACTCTAAGAGCTACTTATCACCAGCACTGCGTAAAAGTGCGAGCCCGCCGCTGGTGTCCCACCCGCCCACCTCGACCTATAGCTCAGTCAGCCTCTTCTCTCACAGCTGTGCCATGCAAGGAAACCGTGAACGATTGCCCAGCGGCGAGTCGCTCAATCCAATTGAGAATCTCGACGATCTCAATCTGTTCGGCGATCACTGATGCTGAGCTCTCGTCCAAGGCCTCCCGCACGGCAGCCTTGACCTTAGCGATAGACTCGTCCGAAAGATGGACGATGAGAGGTGCAGGGGCAGGAGCAGGAGCAGGAGCAGGAACAGGAGCAGGAACAGGCTCGGGTTCGGGCTCAGGCTCAGGAGGGGAGACGTCTTGTGGGGAGATCCACCACAAGACTGTACTCAAGGCAGAGTGTGCGTGCCTGGCTAGGCGGTACACCCAACCAGGCAGAAAGCCGGAGATGAGGGTGGCGATAATGGATCCGCGATCCATTGTGCTCAAGAAGAGAAGAAAAAGTGCCGAAACTGTCAAAGAACCCGGATGTGGGAGAAGAGAAAGGTTGGGAGAAGTGAAAGATTGGGAGAAGTGAAAGATTGGGAGAAGTGAAAGATTGGGAGAAGTGAAAGCTGCAGAGTTGACTGAGTCGGACAAAACCAAGCCGCTCTTTCCAAACAACGTCCCTTCCTTGCTCAGGGATTGGCCGATCACATCAAACAAACATTTCTGTATACAGGGAAGGAACAGAGAAAGTGCCAGAATTCAAAACGGAAGCCGTGGTTGAGCCGTATCCCCTCAGCGATATGAATGGCGCTTGGATGAGCGAACAGGAACACCGAGGTTCTGTCGTTTAGCTCCATATATTGATTCCATGCCCGCCATGGTTGCTCTATCGACAACTTGAACACTCGACACCGACAGCTCATCCTCTAATAAGTCTTCTGGAATAATGATAGGCCGGGCCACTGCTTGAAGCCGCACCTCGACAACCGGAACCTTTCCGCCGTGAAGATATGATATCTGTATGACTGCAGCCATCCCATTCGAGACGTCTTCTTGTCATATTCTCGTTCCTTCGTTAGAGTACCGCAAAGGCACTCACATAACTGACACTGCTGTCCTTGGGACTGATGACATCGCTGCTCCTCTCATACCGCATAAATCTGAATTTCCCTCGGGTTGGATCCGTGGTGTCAGGGTCAGTGTCAGCTTTAGCATGCTCGCCCTTGTCCCTTTTGTTTCGCTCAACTTCTTCAACGCCCGCCATGAAAACGCCAATGGGATGCCTGCCACAGACGGTGTTGCCAGTGATGCGGAGCACACGACAAAACTCCGAATGGCTGCCCGTGGCAATGGCGCACATGCACGCTCTGTCCACATGTGCTATACTCTCATATATCTGGGGCCCGCCTTTTGGGATTCTGGTGTTTGATCTAAGTTCCTCTCCTTGACCGAGTGTAGGTACTTTGTGCACATCTTCGTTCGTCGACTCCTTGGCCGTCGTGAACTCGCCTCGAACGCCGTTGGGAAGCATCAGCGGCGACAGCGCCGGACTTGGAGCGTCCGGCACGTAATAGGTGTATCCGAATCTGCTCCCCCAGTGACAAAAGTCAGACGAGATGACAAAGGCGTTCTGCTCGTCCGCAATGTACGGCGCAAGCATCTTCCCCAAGGTCTGTTCGGTGGTCACACTCGTCCCGCCAACCATGATTGGAACCAGTGGTGGATATGAAGATTCGGGTTGACCCGGGTATAGTTTCTGCAGCAGTCGGTGGATGTAGGGCAGTTGCATCTCTGCACTATGTTCAGCCTCGTCCACGGATTTGGACATGGTGGTGAATTTGACGGTCTCGCCGTTCTCGTTGGTGGCTGAGAGGCTCGATAGCTCGTGGATCGTTTCCCGGTCGAGTGGTAGAGGTTGGTCGGAAAGAGGTGTCTCATACGCATCAACCACAGGCAAGGCAGCTGTGCGTAAATGCCGATGATGGGAGGGGTGGAGGATGAAGATGCGCTTGGCTTGGGACAGGTCCAGGCATTTGTAGGCCCATGCAGCACAAGGTCCTGAGTATGCGTATCCGGCATGAGGTGCTATCACCGCTCTCGCACCCGGCACCGGTAGCTTCTCGATGCCCGGCAGTATGTCCTTCTCTGGTACTCTGGACAGCCAGAGGTCCAGCTGGCTTGCAAGTTGGCGGCTGTTGTCCGAGTACCACGAACCAGCGTGCGATGCTTCTCTAACGGCCATTGTTGGACGGGGAGCTTGGGGAAGCTCAGATGAGAACACGGTTAGAACAACTCGACCTCGAGGAATCAAAGCGGACTGCGTGAAAAGTATAACAAAGTCATGTTGTAGTGGTAGTAAGGAATGGGAATGGCAAGACTGCGTTGGAGTTCAACAGCATCCGGTGAAGTTGATGCGGTCACACGTGGGGGTATCTACAAACTACGATCTTATCAACTCCGAACCCCAGGTGAGAGGCACTACTAGTAGTAGCACTGGCAATGCCCTGCGTGGTATTATGCTACCAACTGTGGAATGTAAATAGGACTCAGCAGTGTCCCTCATCGTCAGCTTCCACTCGACGCTCTCGTCTTCTTCCACTTTGAGTCCTATCGACGATGTGAGGAGATGGGCGAGAGTTGATCCCAGCCTGAGCCTCCCTAGCCCGCCAGCCCCGGCGCTCACGGGTGCGGGCACGCGACGCGTAAATTGGTTTCTGGCCGCAGCTTTCCACACGCGTCATTCCTCGTCTACTACACTTACAACTACAACTACTATCCTGTCTACTAGTATCTGAACCTGACTTCGTGCTACTCTATTACCAGACTTCTCGTCCATATTTCTATATCTCCTGCTCCTCTACGGCAGCACACAAGACTATCTCGGTGGTCAAAACCCATATCGGCAGTACTAGTACAGCACAGAACACACAGAACTTGAGACAACCATGGGCATCAAACGCAAAGCATCAGTCCTCATCGAGGACTTCAATGCTCCTCCAGACACACTGCCGGTCTACGCACCACCAGTCTACAACATGTACACCAATGCCACCGCCGGCAGCAGCAGTCCCCTGACATCTCCATTACCCACTCTATCGTCCCCATCGTCCGCGAGCACGGTATCCGAGGACGCGTCGTCATCGTCACTCCATCATCATCCCCCCTCCTCCGTTTCATGCTCTCCATACAATTTCTGGACGAGACTCAACGACCAAAGCATCCCATACCTCAACAGTCGAACACGCAAGAGATACCGCGATGGCCGACCGGACGACGAAACGATCCATGAAACCACGTTGAAGAAACTCTACGATGCTCAGAGACTGCATTTGGATGAAACTCTGCCCATGCCAACAGACCTAGACCGAGATCTAGACATGGATATGGATATGGACATGGGCTTGGACTTGGACGACAATGTCGGGATGTCGCTGGATGTCCGTAACAACCACTACTACCTCTACCACGAGCACAACCATCGGCATTTAATCGAGCGACGACATGGAAAAATGATCCCCGATAATGGCAACTTGGCCAATGGCATGATAGGCATACAACATCGACGCAAGGACCACGGCCACCCACCGGTTCTTGTTGCCGCTGCAGAGGGTGGCGGTGGGCCGAATCAGACGACCATCGATGCCTTTTTCAGGCGAAAGGCAGCAGTTTGAGGAGGTGGTCATGTCTATGATGTCCAGGAGGTCTGGTTTGGCGTAGATCCCAGCGGCAGCCAGGAGCCAGAGCCAGAATTTGAACCCAGGTTTCTGATGGTTTGGCGGCTGACTCGAGTCGGCCACGGGAGCAGCAGAAGATAGAAACATATGTTGTCCTGGGGCAGGCACAGTGCGATCATGGATACCATGATAAAAGTCCCGAGAAAGAGAAAGCTCTTGAGGTTCATCTCAGAGGGTTGATTTAATGGGGCTTGGGATCTAGACTCGCCCGCCCGGACTTATTCGACAGAGTGGAACAGGGCTGAGGACCTGTGTTGGGCTGGACGTTCCATACGTGCGGTTGTCATCCCTCTTGCTGGGATGAACGTCCACAGTCTGTGGACATCAATGCCAGCGAATTTGATCAAGGCTAGATCGATACAACGCCAACAAGTAGCTACAAAGTACTCGCCCCAAGGGGCGTGGCTGGACTGGGTCTCGTGGTGATTATGATTATTGCTCGCCAAAGATAACCAAGCTCGGCATGAACTGCACCCCCACCGTCACCAGTCGTGATTGTCAAAAGCAATCTGCGCAAATATCATACTCGTACTATTGGATGAATAAGAAAGACTCCCACGCAAATCCCAGTTTACCACGAAACGCCTCCCATGCCGATCCAGTCTGCGCCCGTAAAAAACCCCATGCATACCGAATGACACTCTCGCAACTCCAAACGCCTCCCTCTGCCCGTCATATCATTAGGTCGCTGTGCAATAAAAGACACCCCTTTCTCCCCTACCACTCTACCATGCGCATCTCCGCCCCTTGTAGCAAGGCTTCAGCTCAACGTTCGACCTTTAAGCGAGTTCTTCTCCGCAGTCGCTTGGCAGTACGCAATTCGCCAACTTCGCTGGCTGTCCATGACAATCTGGAAGCCCCATCCCCGAACACTTTTCTTTTTGCCTGCTGCGAATAAACAGCGGCGTGATCGGCCTTTGTGAGCCCTTCTTAAGCCACGTCCCCATCTTGGGCCGTTTAGGAGGATGATGAAGGAAAGTCCAGTTATGGAGAGATGGACATTCTCGTTTCAGCTTCGGGAGTTTCGACCGGCAGGGGTAAACCTTGACTAGGCTGGTCTGTGGCAACTCTGAGTCGCTGCTGTTCTCTCAAAGCGTTCGCCACCAACGTGTTCATTCGTTCCATTTGGGTGCTCTGCAATTTGACCAGGTCGCCGTGAAGCTTTTGGTAGTTTGCAACGGCCTGATCCTTTGCCAATTTCTTCTCTTCAGAGAGTCGAGTCAGTAACGCCAAGTCTGCCGAGTCGCCAGAGTTTACTGCTGTCATTGCTGCCAGGAGGCTCTGGCGGGCATTGATATCCTCCTCAGTTGCTCGACTTTGTTCAATGTATGCAGCACGCATTCGACCTTTCATCTCGTCGAGCTCGATCATTTGACCGTGTCGTGCTTGAGTTAGAGCTTCACGTGTTTCGGGGGTCAACGTGGCAGGCAGGACGATGGTGGCTCCTCTTGATTGGTACGCCGTCGTGTACTGAGGGAGCCCTCGGGGGCGTCGATACGAGGGTCGAGTCGGTCTGGTGCTGACATTGACGTCGATTTTATTATCGCCTTTCACATGTTCCGGAGCGTCGAAATTTCCACCTTCATCCCAGGTCTTGTCATTCACGGGCGGTACCACATGGTTCAGAGGGCGTCTTGCATCAATACTGCGGCGGCACTTCATGCATGTCTTACTTTTGGCGTAAGTTTGTGAATTGACCCAAGCTGACAAGCAAGCCACGTGCATGGCGGTGTCGCAGCAGCTTATGACTGCCATGAAATTGTCTGGCTCGAATTCGAGCTGACACGCCGGACATTCTCTCTTGTGCTCTTCTAGCGATCCGATGCTTTCTGGCGTAGCTCGGCTTAGCGTCACAACGATAGCTGCCTTCGAGGGGATGGATGCTGGTGGAAGCGAACGTTGCATGCGCGTGGAATCACCTAAGACGGGGGCGGGAAGTTGTGCGGTCCTATTTTCGTCCTGGGGCAGAGGGCCAGTCCGTCCAAAGTGAGTAGCCATTAAATACCTAGTAGACTCCGACACGCGTCCGGCGACTTCTCGTAAGCGCTCGTTGGTGACACCACTGGGTAAATGCTGAAAGAAATCCTCGGGGAGGGCTTGGTGCTGCGGAGGAATTGCAGGGGGTGCACGTGGATGCTGGTAGACTGGGTGGCTGGTCACTTCAGACGTCCGTGGAGGTAGTTGACCAAGCGGAGGTCCCACGGGAATATTGTAAGGAAGTGCGAATGTCGGAACTAGGCCTCGCAAGTCTTGGGCAAAGCCATTACCGGAGGCGAGATATTCCAGTGCAGCATCTTCCTCCCAAAATGCGCCAGAAGACATGGACAAAGGCGGTGCCGGTGTAAAGGAGAAACTGTCACTGCCAAGGCCGTAAAAAGGCTGGCGAAGAGGTGGAGGGAATCCAGAGACGTTGGGAGGCCGAGGAGGGTCAGGCATACTTTGAGGAGCACTCGGTCGTTCTTCCAGTCTCCGACGCTTATATTGGTGATCGTCGTCCAAATCTTCCCGGTCAGGGCGATCAAGAGATCGGCTGGTGGGATAACCCTGGGAGAATGGTGGCGGCATGAAGATAACCTCGTAGTACGATCACAAGCCCAGCTCGCCGAAACCGTCCCACACACAACTCTGTTTCTAGGATTCCTTGATCAAGTCTCCGCACTTGGGCTTTACCTCTTGAAGAAAGACTTGAGGGTCTGGAAAAATTGACCTGCGGTGAAGGTCAGTCGTACCGGCGAGGTATTGCGTAATCACCGCCCACGGAGGGGATTGCCTCAACGGCAGTCGGGTATGCTACGGAGCAGTGAGCCTGGAGTTAACAACGGCAGACAAAGCCGAATACGCAACGGCAGTCAGGCAGGCTGATCTCGCTCGAAGGAACAGAGAGGACGGTCAAGCTGAAAGAAAGTAGCATGAAGAAGCTGGAGGGGGTCTTGGACGAAGAAGTGTAGTGGAAGTAAGGTTGGGCTGGAATCGGATGGTCATGCGAGGTCTGTGACAGACGATGGACCATGGATCCAGTTCTTTCGACCGTCGATGGAGTGGCAGATGCAGTGGTTGCAAGGGACTCGGGCCTTGACCGGGATCGGAAGCCTTTAGTATCCAGTCGTAGCGGTGGCCTCAGACTCGACCGGCGGATGTCACGGCGTTAGAGTTAAGAAAGCAAGGACTCGGACGGGTAAGGTATGCAGAAGCGGCGGAACTGGTTCGCTTGGCCTTGATAGAGGTCCAAGGTTGTTTGTTAGACTCGCAGTGAATGGAGGCAGTGCGCCCGCATGCTACAGCAGTGAAGTACTAGTACTAACAGTGCTGGCAGCTGTGTACTCTGGGTGAGACATTTGGGTGAAGACGGCAGACAGAGGCTGCACATGACAACAATCGCTGCAGACAGTGCCAACAGTCGCGGTGAATTGCAGTCAGCGCGTTCAAGTTGGGGAGTGAAGAGTCGGAGTGTGGCAGAGCGGACCGAGCAATGAAGGCAGTAATTAGTGCGCGGCAGCTGAGGGCCAAAGGTTTCAACTCGTTAATAATTCCCTGCAATTATTAGGCATGTCAAGGGCTTGCAAAGCACTCCTCCTGGTCTCTTCCAAGGTCCCAAGTTGCCTGAGGCAGTGGTATCATATTACTAGTACTGCCAAGTGGGGTACCTTTATACTACTGTAATACGTGCTGATATCAGACATGTACTCCAGCTGTATTGTACCTACTACTGTACATCCCACCGCTGGATTACAAGGAACATCTGCTGGCTGCGTGACCTGGGGTGGTTCTACATTGTCTTCCTCACAAATGATCGGTATCTACTGTAGCTGGTACAGTCCCAACATTTACTACTTGACCCTGGCGAAAGGCAGCCTTGCATCTGATGTGATCAGCACATTATTGTTCTGCTAGGAGGATTGACGCCTGTTGTGGGACCAGCAGGGTCATGGGGCGTGTTTGGGACGAAACCTACCAGCACGATCCTTTGTTTAACTGTGAACGTGAACGCGAACCAGAATGTATGCAGGGACCAGACTCATTCTTGAAGTTGGCGTAGAGGAGCCGCGTCCTTAACATATCTTGTATAGAAACCCCGGTAGACAGCCACGTAGGTACCTAGGTACCTTTGGGTACGCAACTCGTGCCCTGCAGTGGTGAGGACTGATCTGTATAGGTAAGTGAAATACCCGTCTTTTGAAGTGGCCGCCACTGACGCGGACATCGTCCCCAAACTGACCCTCCTACGGCTCTGGATCTCCACAACACGACAATATTTATATTTTGTGATAGATATTCCTCGATCTGCAGTCGAGTAGACCGGTTTACCACTATGGCGCCTTGAATGTGAAGCCTTTCGCGGTGTGCGCTGGCATCATGCATGCGCTATATTCTGCCTTTGGTCGCCTCCCGCAATCTCGATAGGAAATGGATTGGCTTGCTGTGGCATGCTGCACTCTCATTGCTGGATACGTGCTCTACAAGTTCCTCGCCCAGCAAACTGTGAATCAAGGCCCGGCAGCGCTCATCGACGCGAGAACCGACATCGCTTCCCCCGTCAAGGTCGAGTTGGAGGAAACCCCTGCCTCTGCGCCACAGCCGACACTCGAGATATCGGCGGAGGAAGAGCCGGTGTTCAAAGAGGTCTCTCAGGTTCACACAAGGCTTCCGGAAACAGGAAAGAGTATCAGCGCAGGTGTACACGCGATGGAGGAAGAGCCTGCAAAACGGTTGGAGACGCCGCAAGCGTCGTTGAAGCCCGCGCTGCCACCACCATCTATCAAGCCCAGGTCTTCAAGTCCACCGCGATTGAAGCCTGCAAGTTTCGCAGCTCCACCTCGACCTGGCAATGGCTTCATGCGTCCACCACCCTCCGCAGCGGCTTCACTGCGCGTACCTCCCACTAAAGTCCTCTCCAACGCATCCATGGCGCCAACCTCTTCTATCATGCCGCCGGGTAAGCAAGTCTCCCAAAAGGTCGTCCTAGAGCCGGGCCATTCACCGCTTGATTGGGCTGCCCTCACATCCAACCCCAACAGTCGCCTAAGGGGCAAAGACGCTCCAGAGAACCTGATGCGAGTGACCCCGGCACGGCTGAAGATGCAGAATGGGAGAAAAGGAAGAGATGCCTGGACAGTCTATAATGGAAGGGTATATAATATCACACCGTACGTTCCATTCCATCCTGGAGGGGCAGGCGAGCTTATGAGAGGCGCGGGCAAAGATTCCGTCAAGCTGTTCATGGAGGTGCATCCATGGGTGAACTGGGACGGCATGCTTAGTGAATGCTTGGTAGGGATCTTAGTTGGCGATGAAGAAGAAACAGATGATACAAGTGGTGGGCTAGACGACATGGATTGAAAGACTTTTGATTTTGTGTTCGCAGGATTGCTGTACTAGAAGAGACAAATTCGGCATATTGAATGATGCGAGTCTGGACGGGACTGTAGACTGCTTTGCTCGAGGCGTTTCAAATGCTTTTCAGTGCCGGCCATCGACTTTGACCGTGTGAAAGACTAAGTCCGCGAAAGGCTCCCCGTGTTCTGTCTTGACATATCTCGTCCGTCCACCCTCCTAGCCTTTTTATGGACATTGTCACTTGTAAACAACATCACAAGTCATCTCTTTCTCCATCATTCACAATTCATCCTTCTTGACACCCTTGATCCCCACCAATTCCGTCTCAAAGACCAGCACACTGTTGGCCGGAATCGGTCCGATGCCTCTCTCGCCGTAACCCAACTCAGGGGGAATCGTCAACTTCCGTTTCTCGCCAATGCACATGTCAAGAAGGCCCTCGTCCCAGCTACAGAGGTGAAATAGTTTGTCAGCCAAAAGTTACGTGCATAGGTCGGCCAGATACAATACTGCACGCTATCCACCGCGGCTAATAGTACTCGTGCACTCACCCCTTAATGACAGCCCCTGCGCCCAGTTTGAAAGGCAAAGGCCGGCCCCGCGAATAGCTGGAGTCGAATTCCTCGCCGGTGCTTTGTAAGGACCCACGGTAGTGTACCTCGATTTGATCTCCCTTGGTTGTCTTGCGTGTGCACTCAATCTCGGGCGTCAGGTATTCGATTTCCAGACCGCTGGGAGTTCCAGAAGCAAGGTGGGTAAGCGAGAGCGCGGCTGCGAGGAGGGTTGGAAGGAGCTTCATTGTCGGATCAAACAGTAATATGGAGGGATTTCTTGAAGTCAGGACAGAAGGTTCAGATGGCGATGTGGAAGGAATCAGTCGCTTTATCCAAGTAATCTGTAAATAAATCCACAGGCGAGCAAGGCGATGTGGCACGTTCAAGTTGGAGATACAGTTGAAGTTGCAAAATAGAATGACGTCTTCCCTTTTTTGTTGTTCACCTTGAACTTCAATCAACTTTTACTTCCTTTCACTCTTGTTGATTGCCATTATCAAAGGGTTTGAAAGCAACGAAGGAGAAAATGTTTGATGCAGACTGACTTTTTAAGCAAGCAAATGATCAAAGCACACTGAAACCCCAAAGATCCCGGCCTGTTGAACACTGGCCCCTTTTTTGCCTGGCTTTATATCTCATGCCAGCAAATGAGGTTTTCCTCACTTCTCTTCTCCCAATCCTCCACGGCCTCCTGAATCTTGCGCTCGCAAAGCTTCCTTCGCTTTGATTGACGAGCCATGCAAATCCACCATTCCTCCACGAACCACATAATCCTCTTGAATTCTGCTTCCTCCACGTCCAACTAATCCTCCACGAACTTCAAGTGTTGACAGGGCTGGGAAGGAGAGGTTCAGCTTGTGTGAGCCGTGGCTGACCGGATATTCTAACAGTGCGCAAGCTGTAAAGGATGAACTGAAAAGGCCGATGCTGGACGATGCTGTACTGATACGACTCCGACAATGACCAAAGAAAAACTCAAGGCAAGGCCAGCGAGAGTGTCGTGTGGTGGCTGAGCATACTGCTAGCTCACCATCTCCGACCATAAATTGCCGACTGTAGCAAATCCTCCTCCGTCCTGGCTGATTTGTATTTCGAGCCAGCGGTGGTGGTTGGACTCTTTTTCAATTTCCGAATGAGTCGAGTTGTTTTTCCTTGTCTGCCAGCCCGGAACGGGTCCTGGCGAGAAGGAATTGGGCTGTGAGAAGGTGGGAGTACCTTCTTGTTCTTGTCGCCCTTCTTTTCTGCCGGCTTGTTGTCCGCATGCTTCTTCTCTTCCGGCTTCTTCGCGGCCGATTTCTTGTCTGCCAGCTCTTTATCTGCTGGCTTCTTCTCTGCCTGGGCTTTGGCAGGCTGTGGGTCTTTTGCCACCTTCACCTGCTTTTGCACCGGCTTCTTAGCCGCCGGCTTTGGCTTTGAGATGCCAGCCGTGGCTGACATCTTTGTCTTTGGCCCAAGCACCGCGGGCCGCTCACCCTTGGCCGGTTCCTTTGCCGGAGCCTTGGGCTTCTCGAGCTTTGTGCTCTTGGCGGCCCCTTGCGCAGTTTTCTTTTGCCCCAGGTTCTCCTTATCGGATTCTGGGCGGACGATGTCGAACCGACGGCGTCTCTTTTGTGCCAGCGGCTCATCGTCCGACTCGTCGGACTCCTCTGCAGTCTTTATATGATATTTTTATCAGAAACGTCCGGTGGATGACGATAATTGGTGGAATGGTGCTGGGAGGGGGGCGACTCACTCTCTTGCGTTTCAGTGTCGAGGGGATATCGGCACGAACGACAACTGCCTCCTTCTTGTCAGCTTCCTTGGCCACCCGAGCCTGCTTTGGCTTCGGGAGCATGTCCATCTCATCTTCCGTGTCGACGACCATTGGTCGCCAACGGGAGTTGCCGTGAGAGAGGCGAGCCTTCTTTGGCTTTGGGCGTAGATCTTCCTCATCATCCGAATCGACGACCATTGGTCGCCAACGAGAGTTTCCATGAGAAAGGCGAGCGCCCCCGGTGACGACAGAGTTCTAGTCAAGGTCAGTGTTGATAGGGCATGATAGGTCGCTGTTGTCATCGTCGCTTACTGTCTGTCCGTTGGCGCCGCTGGTGGTCGCCTGGCCGCCGGTCGCTCGCTTGCGTTTGGCGTTGGCTCGGACCCTCTCTGCAGTCTCTCTCTGCCGGCGCAGCTGCTCCTGGCGCTCCTTTGCCGCCTTCTCCCGGTCGGCCTTGCGCTTGGCCAGGTCCTCCAGCCAAGCCGTCTTCTCTGCCTCCTCCGACTCCCGGCGCCGCTTCTTGCCGGCCTCCTCTGCCTCCGCAGCCTTCTTCTCACGCTTCTCCTTGAGCCGTGAGTATTGAGGCGTTGGGCTGGCCTCCATTTTCTTGATCTCCTCAGCGTCCCGGAAGTGCGGGAGCTGGTACAGGTCGACTTCGGGCACGTAGCCCTTGGGAAGCTCCTTACCCTTGGCTGCGAACTCGGCTTTGGCGTCTTTATATGCCTCCTTTTTGAGGTGGATGAAGCTCTTGCCAGATTGTTGAGTGAAACCAGACATTTTGAGTGATTATTATGTTCTGGTGACTGTGTATTTGTTGTGAGTGAAGAGGTTGTTTTGTATGGGAGTGAAATGGTGAGTGAGTACGCTGTGACCGGTGACAGAGTACACAAGAGGTGTTGTGTGTATGTAGGAGAGGGAGTGATGGATGGTTCTTCTTCTTGTTTCAAAGGTTGTGTTGGACGATGGAAGGTGTTATCTGGTACCAAGGTGCGGTTAGCCAAGGTCACAAGTCACTGGAGGCTTGGAAAATTACCTCTTGGCTGGAGATATTTCTCTTCGGCACAGTGATGGAGGGTAGTGAGGTGATGAGAGAAGGAGAAATGGAAGAATGTTGTGGTGATAGGAGAAGAGAAGATGAATAAAAGGGTGTCTCGGTGATGAGACAAGAAGAACGTGTGGATGACCTTCGAGGATGAATCCCCAAGTTCAAACCGCGTCACTGAATAGGATATCAAGTCTCTCTCTTTGATGAGAAGTGATGAGTCCTTTCAATGATCAAAGTCGATGTATGAGTTGTTATGATGCTTGAAGATGAATGAGTCGAATCAATTGCGAGTGTTTTGATCGTTTGAACCTTCAAGTCCTTGGTGATGTTGGTCAAGTTGGTCAAGTTGATGATGTTGGGTGATATTGGGTGGTGGGAAGAAAGAAAGGAAGGATGAGAGACCGCATTCTCGACAAGGGATATTTATGCCCTGGTGACAACAGTCGCGATTGCGACTCTATTCACTGAGTCTTATTGTTTTCATGGCTTGGCTGAGTACTGCCTCTTGATTCACTGTGTTTATCAATCGCTGGGGAGCGTCAGGGCAGCGTGTCGATCGACATATTCACTCGACGAGGCTGCGATGGAAGTGAATTACCTACCCAGTCATGCCAACGGCATAATACGCAGTTGAGGTCCAGGAGGGTTAATGGTGTGGATTTGAATGGTACTACTGACTGACTCCTGGTTCATATTAAGTACCACTACTACGCACAGAGACGCGTTCCTCGAAGCCAGAAGAGAGAAGAAGACGGGAGGGTCAACGAAGAGAGAAACTTGGGTGTCAATCAACGGAGTTTCATTGATATCGAGAAGAGCAGGATCTGTTATTTCTCTACTACTCGTAGGGGGCACGCCAGCTATCAACCTTTGTTTTGAGTCGTTGGCCGCCAAAGGAAACCGCAGCTCATTCTTCCTCAATCTTCGCAGCACCCAAATGCCAATGGCCTAGTAGAACATGCCATGACTCCAAGTCTCCCCATCCTCAATCTGCGTCACGCGGGCCCTGATTTCCCTCATTTCCATGCAACTGATGCCCTCGTGGCTGGTTGTCTGGCACGCCGAGCACAACAACTCGCGGCAGCCAGGACACGAGACCACCAGCCCCTCCCCGCCGGTGCCTTCCACATGGACAACCGGCAGGGTTGTCGGACAGTTCGGGGTCGGACAGTAGTACAATTGGGCAGGCCGGGAAGAGACAAAAGAGCGGAACGACTGGCTAAGCACCTCTTCATAGTCGTCGTGGCTTGTATTCACACTGTGCGCAGATTGGCCCTGACTAAGCATGGCGATAATAGTGTTTCGCGTGTGTTCATAGAGACTGGCTGGGCCGTGCATGATTAGTTGGCGTGTTCGTAGATCGCGGTGGACAAACAACAGCCTCGGCTGGCTTAGTGAGTTGAGAAACGACAGTCCCGCGTCGGTCAGGAAGAAGTCGTGCCACAGGGATTTGTGCTTTGTGTCCGCGAAAATGATCCGGCCTGCCAATATTTGTTCAATGGCGACTCTTAGCTCAGCAACAGTGTAAGGGTGTTTTCCAGTGATAACGAGCACAGCCTTGTCTGCTTTCTCGTACCGGACCCAATTGTGTATCGTCTTGTGGCTTTGTCGCCATTTGTTTAGGATCTGATCACTTAATGCGAAATAAACCTCGGGCAGAGTTGGTATTTCCACCGTGACGACTTGCTCCATAAATAGCCGCGATCGCAGCTCAGGAAGGTATCTTCCACTGACAGAAAGAGCCAGGCCGGTATCTGTGGGAGTTTGGAATCGAGCGTAGGCTCTCCAACGACGACTTTTCCCTGTAGGAACAAGTTCAACGGACGCCAACTTGCTGCCGTGAGCACTGAACCTACTGGCGAGGAACGAAAGGGTCCAGTTATGCTGTATTGTCGATTCACGGGGAGCTCTGCTGAACGCGATGTTGTCCGGGGCAAAGCCACGTAGTATGTCCTGAAGATCTTTTTCCTCTGTCTTCGGGCTAAGGTTTCCCACCTCGATTGTCTGTATCCAGTCCTGAGATGTAACATTTTGCACTGGCGGCAACAGTCGGCAATTCAGTCTCCTGCCGTTTAGGTCTCTGTGGAGAGTCTTCCAGGCAAGGCCGACCGATGTTCTGTTGCGGTACTGAAGGTACGCCACTCCCGATCTTTTGAACCAGTTACAAATGACGGTGCATCCTGGCATGATCGATGTTGGGCTGGTCATGGAATCTGGGAACTCGAGATTGAGGACTTCTGCCGCGGAACCAAAAGTTACCAAAATTCTGTCGATCTGTCGTTGAATGTAAGGGATAGACAACGGTGTTGGCACGGTATTTGTCATCTGTGACTGTCATCCTCGTTCTATACCACCGGATGGTGTACTCACATTCTGAGGTTGTAGATCGGTAGACTGGTCTGCACTGTTCATGATGATTGTGGCCTCTGTTGAGATCTGTGGAGTTTTCACAGCGCGGCAGGAGAAGTCACCAGGTAGCTCAGTCTGGATGAGGTGAGGGTGCGCAGGCAAAGGCGGCAGAGACTGCGTCAGAGAAGGTGTCTCCAGTTCAGTCGATCTAGCCTCAGGGTGTGTCTCTCGCGCAGAGTCCCGCGCTCCTGAAATATGCTCGAAGTTGCATTTGCTGCCATTGTAACAATGACCCCGTCGAAAGTACTTGCAGACCGGCATTGTGTAGTTGTTAATCTGCTTTGCTGAAGTGTTGGTGCGGCTCTGGGATGGAATGGAAGTAAAGAAAATGGGACAGAGTGCGATAATGGAGGCAGTGCAACAATGATTAAGCGTCCGATGGTGATAACAGATATATCTACCTTAGGAGTGCAGCTAGGAAAGGACCCACCAGGTGAACCGATCTATGTCGGACATAAGGTGTAAAGGTGAGGTCTTATAAGACCTTTACGTCTTAAATACGTGTTCAAATCCAGATAGTTTGTTGCTGCAGCACAAGCCCTCTCTTTCTTGTAGCAAACCTAGACCAGCACCTGTATCTCAACATTGTGCCATTGCTTCCAGCTGTATCGTTGTTGTTTGCTTGAACAACCATATTGTCGGACACTGGCCACGAACTTCCCTTTCGAACATGCTCAATCGATGAACGTCTATGTCTGAACGGGGTTGTGGTAAGGGAAGATATCCTCCGAGGAAGAACACCCATTGTTCAGTGTAAAAAGCAATCTGGCGCAAGGGATGCCATGTCCGATCTTCATTTCATCGGCATCGTCAATGGATACGTTCAAAGCGTCGTCCGCACCGTTTGGCGATGATCCAGACAAAGGAGCAAAAGTGCTGAGGTATCTCTGTGCCATCCAGACAGCATAATGTCGGTCGCTTCACCTGATAATCTGCTAAAGCCTTCGCAGCTCGGATCGTGACCATAGCACTTTTTCAGGTTCCTTCCGTTGACGATCGGCTGGCTTGATCCGTCGAGGCTGTTTAATTGCAAGCAAGTACACTCAGCTGCCCGCTTTGGTATTGGTACAGCCAAGCATTGCGCCAAAACAGTCCTAGAGCGACATCATCTTATCAAGCGCAAGACTGACGACAAGGAGAAGATGTGATGAGGTTGAAGTTGATGATGACAAAGCAGCTGACTTTTGTCTCGCACGTGACTCGGAAGCCACGCTACCCACAAAAAGGGGAAAGCGCAAGACGAGACATTGTGTGGGACAAAGGAAGGAACGAAAAACCGGGGAAAGAGCCACAGGGGTCCACCTTCCACTTTCCCCAGCTACGTCACCACAAACTCCTCTGGCTCCTCTTTATTGGCACGCACTCCAAGCTCAGCTCCTCGCGGCTGTCTGAGGCTTCCTTCCTGAAGGCTGCGGTTGGTCTCGTCGCTTACCTGGACCTTGTTCTTCAGAACGCTCGTATCTGGAGGGTGTATGCCAAAGATTCCGGGCGTCCTTGGCCCCCAATCATTGACCACAGGATCCAGACTCTTTGCAAACTTTGGGCGGGGTTGATGTCGGCGTTACTCGAGGTCAGCCGACAAGGGCGCTCAACCAAGCGCCCTAACCTCGCGATATCTGCGGAATGCATGAGTAATTTGGGTTTGTTGTACTGCGTGGCTTCTTGCGATGATGCATCATCCCGTCTGCACCTCTTCTCGCACGCGACAGGTTTCCCATGTCACGTAGTGATTGGCACGTAGGAAAGAAGTCGACGGTAATGCTGGACTCCTTACGGCACTAGTCGGTCGCTATATATACTTCCTCTTCCCCGGCTATCCCGCCTTTCTTGGGTGAGGCTGAGTCTGCGCAGTTTCTTGCTTCCAACTTTCGCAATGGTCGGTACAGCAGATCCGTACTACAACCGCAAGCAAGTGCCTGGTAAGACGGCTAAGACTGCACTCTGTATTGCTGTAACCTGGACGCTAATCCTCGCCCACTTAGATGAATTGATCAGAGACGTTGGCCTGACTGGGCTGACCCCGCAAGAAGAGCACTGGAACCGTGAACGCAAATACAGCGTCAATGGAGCGGATGTTAGACGCTTCAGCAGCGGTAAAAGGGGTAGCCTGGAACCACGCGACGATCCATACTATGGCCGGAGACGGCTCTCGAGTTGGTATATCCGTTACGCACGCAGCACGAGAGCTAACCCTTTATCGCCAGAGGCTGAGATCGCGGACGTTGGAGAGACTGGTCTGACACCAGAGGAAGAACATTTGAACCGAGAGCGAAAGTATAGCGTCAATGGCATCGATGTCAGAAAATTCAGCATGAGTCGGAAGGGTGGTCTAGAGCCTCAAGACGATCCGTATTATTCACGGAAACGAGTATCGAGTGAGCAGCGCCCCTTCTCCCCAGTCTAGGAACAAATCTGAGGCAGCAGTCGTAGAAGCCGAGATCTCCGGCGTAGGCGAGACCGGCATGACCCCTGCCGAACAGTTCGAGGTTCGGGAGCGGAAACAGTCCCTCTTCCAGCTGTCCGGCGACCCTTTCGACCTTGTTGCCGGCCGGCACCGACAGTCGGTGTCAGGAGTGGCGAGTGGAGCGTCAGACGCCGCCACCCGACGGCGAAGCTCTGCAGTCGCTCCAGATATCGTGCCAGCCATGGCGTCGCACAGCGGTTACCATGGTGAGAAGCTTGCCACGATCCAGAGTCGCCCCGAGGTTCCACCCCAAAGTTTTAACACCACCGCCTTCGGTGACAATGGTGCAAGCAGTGGCTCTTCTGGTAGTCGAGATCCCAGTGCCCTTGGCAATGGTGCAGAGGGGCAACATCACATTTACCACGATATCGTGACGAGCGGACGCCCTCACCGAGCTCACGTCGACGACGACCCAGATAGCGTGGCCCCTGACGAGGTTAGGTGACATGGGAGACCAAGCAAGGGAAGAGAGCCTGTTTTCTGTCGGAGCACACTGCAAGTGGTCACACCATGTATTAAGCACCTTATGAAATACCGTTGTAGTAATGGCGGACACTGTTCTTGAAGGAGGATTCCAAAGTTTGCTCGACCATCATGCATTGCGTGGTACGCCGTGAGTTAAGGCTCCTCGCGTCATTCTGTGACAATTTTGTCAATTCAGGCGCGTGAGATCTAGCCCTTAGCAGCTCTCTTGTCGTTCGAAAAGATGACAATCGCATCTTTCGAAGCACTGTGCCAGACTAAAAATCATTGACGCACATCGTTCCAGCGTATGGCCCTCCAGCATCGACGGCACTGATCACACACAGAGTTGATAGCCGTAGAGCAACACAACAGTAGACAAAATGCATGATCCAGGATCCAAATGATAGCTCTGCGACCCAATTTGGCGGAGTTATAAATCTTTCCCAATCTCGTTGGTGAGCGAAGGCCATCACTTGTCAACCCTTCTTCTAGATAGAGTGGGCAGGCGACGACATTCCCACCCTCATAGCAGCCAGGTGCAAAGTTTTCGCCTCGACACGTCTCACAAAACAACCCGCTGCTGTCGGCCGCCTTTGAGCTGCACCATATTCTGACGAGGTGCTCGTATTTGGCCTTCGTGCTCATTTTGTCCCAGTCTTGTTTGGAGCAATCCACCTCGCGGAGCCACCCAGGCCTCTTCTTGTATGCCAGCCTCTTGCGAAAGTAGGTTTCGTCACGCGGCAGGATCTTGTCACATTCACAGCAATAACGCATCTTGTCCTTGGGGAGCCATCCATGAGCTAGCCGAATGACGAGAGTATTTGCGACGGGACGTTTGCCGAAGGGGGAGGCAAACGGGCGCCATGTCTGTTCGGTGAGACGAGGTGCAGAGACCATCGCCCTGGCCAGATTCTTGCATGTCAAGGCCACACAGACCCGGTCGATGGGATGGAGGTATTCGGCAATTGCATGGACCACTTCGGCAGGTAACTTTGTCATGCTGCCTCGACCAGGGGCACGAATGGCGGTCGTCGCCGCGTCGGGCAAGACCTGGCCATCATCGTTGAGAGCAGGATTCGTCTTGACATTGCCAGAGGAGGCCAGACCTAGGTCAACCTGCGCCATAACTCCAGAGTTAGGCGGCCATTCCTTGGTTGTAAAAGATAACACTGCTGTACTCAGTTTACCTACCTTTTGCGGGATCCGAAAGAGAACCAGACGGTCCTGCTCATCATAATTCCAGGCTCTGGTTCTCTTCTCCATCATGAGCCGGACGTCCAACCACTCCTCGGACCATAATGGCCAGTCCGGCCCACATGTGCCGATGATTTTTATGTGGGGAGCTAAAGGCATAGACACCGAACTTGAAGGGCGCAATGTGAAAACCAGTTGATGATGGCCTTCTCTTCGAATAGGCTATTTGTGGAGAGTAGATCTGTACTGTCTCGCCTCATGGCATGGTACGACGAACCGCACAGGGTGGACGTGGACACCAGACCTGAGACACAAAGCGGAAGTTGTTCTGGGGCCTGACATGGGGCACTGTATATCAACTCAGCGTATGGTGGGCAGACATGATCACAAGCCTCGTTTGCATGGTGGTACGGGTGTCATAAAACGGTCAGAGTGACCAGGGAGTAGATGGACGAGTAGGGAGGGACATATGAAGGAGGCCGCCGCCAGGTCCTTCCTAAATCTTGGCTGCGCTTGAGCAGGCTTGATGTGGTGCATGTACCAAGCAGCAAGGCCTCTTAGTCTACAACATTGTCCTTAGTACTGAGCGACCAGCACTGGCAAGGAATGAGCATGCGGCGTAGTGGCACAACTACCTAGGAAGCCTGCTTCAAGTTGGTGAGAGGAACTTGAATGGCTGCCGATGACGCCCACGGCAAGGGTTGAAGGGGATGGAGGGGCACTCCCGCTGATATTAAGCCTGAACGAGTACCAATCTGGTTAGAGAACACAATAATGGGTGTACTAGTCTGTGTACCACCAGTAAGAGCCGCCGCCTCAATACTTTAGTAGTACTAGGCACCTACTAAGGTTACCAAACATCGCTACCAGCCTGGCTCACCACTGCACTGCACTGCACTGCACCGGCATGGCAGGTCAGGTTCAAGCTGTTGTATCCAGAGTTCGTCTCACTGCAGGTGGTGACGATCCCAGCATCACGTTGACGGTGGCGCTTGGTCCGCCCAGTCGTCAGGGTCAATTTGTTCAAAGCAGCTAGAAGATCTGTCTCCGGACCTCTACATCACTGACGCTGCCAGCGAGCGAGTGTCATATTTTCACTGAATCGACCGATAATCGAGCCGTAATCGTATCGACTGTGCTGCTGGCGGGGTTACAATGGGTATGACTGGGAGCACAAAGACTGATATGGGTGTCGATAGGCCTGGTGGAGCACGTTACTATTCGTTGGGCCAGTTGCTTGGGTTTGAGTGCCTACCATCGAGGGTTGTCTCAAAACAGTGTCTGGTGGGAAAGCAGATTCATTATTGCAAAAAGTCTGAATTGTGGGCCAAGCACACAGATCCTTCCTGGGCTCTGGGCCTCAGTCCTGACGAGCCGGTGTCAAGCTCCCGCGTTGAAAAAGAGCAAGCTCTGCAAAAGGCAAAAGGAAGAATAGTTGAAGTGTTCGGAAAGATTCACAAATGATGCCGCTGTACTGAACTCTAGGTAATCAGGCTTAGGCAAAATGTCAAAATAAACCCGCACCATCGGACTATCAAATCATAGGGTGGGCCCGTGGGGCGTCTTGATTGGCATGTCGAAAAGATCAATCTCGGTGTCCGCGTCCGTGTTGGTGGGCTTGAAGCTTGTGGAGCTGGAGAAGGCCGGACTGCTGGCCAAAGTGGTGGTGCTTTGAAGCCGCAACGGCAGTCAGAAGCTATCGAATGGGGAGGGCGTCAATACCAAGTTGATATCTCTCTCTGCAACCGAGCTCGAGTCTCGGGACATCGCCGTTGTAATGCGTGCGATGCAAGGATCTGTTTCCTGACTTATGAATGCACGCATGAAGGGATCATTGATCCGGAGATGGCGATAGTCGAGAACTGACGAGCATCGAGGCTGGCTGGATTGGGGTCGAACTGTGGGCCGATCTCGTTCAACAGCCGTTAGGAGAAGATGCAGTACTACAAGGTACAGTAGTAGTGATTTGCTGGACACGTGGAGTCGGGCGAACCGACTTTGGGAAAATGTGAAAACTTTCCCCTAGGGCTGGGTTTTCGCACGACTGAGCTGCGCCACCACAAGCAACAAAGCGCCATCTCATAAATTCGAAATGTCGAAGGCTTTCAGTCAGGGGAAATGAGGATATTTCCCCTTCAGGCGACACGCAAGCCACAAAAGACAACGGGTGGATTGTGATTGGCTATATCTTTACCGGTATTCAACCAACTCCATTTAGTCATTCCGTTTCGGGTCTAGTGAAGGAACCTGCCGGGTTAGCCCCAACCTAATCCAAACTTGACAAACAACAACCCGATGGATTCTCAAGTTCAGACGCTTTCTCCGTTACATTTCAGATTTGGTGCCTCCTTTTCCTTTGCTTGGGCTTGCAACCTTTCACTCCTGTTCCAAAGCCAGAGCATACCTAGGTACCATTCGTTGGTCCCGTTGTTTAGCCGTGCATGGCCGCAGTACTATCGATTGTTAGGCTCATCCTTGCTCCGCTAAGGCCTCGACTCAGGCTCGATTTCGTGGCGGGCGTTGACTGACGCCGCTCCCGCCGTCACTGTCTGTCAGTCTAGCCAGACTCAAGTCTGTCTGGGCAAGAATCCTGCACGGCATTGGCCGCTCTACACGGTGTTGATAACTCTCAAGCGCAGCTCATTTCCGATGCTACATATTCGCGGCCTGACCAGAGAAATGCCCCAATCTGTATGCGCCGCAATGGACGCGCTTCAGGCGCCCTCACATACTGACGGAGGGATGTTCGCCCATTTCGGGATGACGCGGCAAATTGTCTTGAGTCTGATATAGCCTGATATAGCAGATACTGTATGCCTGTCTTCCTTCTCTCTTCTCTTTTGTGCAGCGTGTCGCCGTCGTTGATCTCTTTCTCGCTCACCCAAGTCACTCTTTCAATATGCCTTCCTCATCACTCTTTCTGAGGTCGAGCATCACACTCGTTTCTGCCTTGTCTTTGTTTTCTGCCTCTGTTTCTGCCGCTTCTAGCACCTATTATGCTCTGGATACCGAATATTCCGGCACTTCGTTCATCAATGGCTTCAATTTCCAAAATGTGAGTGGCAAAAGATGCTTCTGTAGGCCGAGCTTGATGACTGACACCATTTGTAGACTGCTGATTTGAGCCATGGTTTTGTTACGTACGTTGACACTCTTGTTGGCTGTGGACCAATTTGGGGTTCGGCGACTGACCGTTCCATGCAGATACGTCGATAAGCAAACCGCGGTGAACTCGGGTCTTGTCACCTTCGACGATGGCTCCGTCCAGCTGCGAGTTGATTCGGTCAACACCTACGATGGCACTGCCGACTACTGGTTGAAGAACGGAGTGGGCCGACCAAGTGTGCGGATTGAGAGTTCGTCAACATGGACGCATGGTCTTTTCATCGCCGACATCAAACATATGCCGACCACACACACCAGCAACGGATGCGGCACCTGGCCTGCCTTCTGGACTCTTGGTGACGGCACCTGGCCAAACCACGGCGAAATCGATATCATCGAAGGCGCAAACAACCAAGATGCCAATCTCGCCGCCGCTCACACCGGGCAAACTTGTGTGATTCCTCAAAGTTCCTCGCAAATGACTGGCACTTCGAATGGGAACAACTGCCAGTACTATAGTGCCACTGGAGAAAACGGGGCAGGTTGCGCTGCATTTGACCCGCGGTCGTACAGCTATGGCCCAGATTTCAATGCCATCAACGGCGGTGTATACGCTATGGAATGGACGTCGCAAGCCATCAAGACCTGGTTCTTCCCTCGAGGAAGCATCCCCACGGACGTCACGACAGGAAAGCCCGATCCTTCTCTTTGGGGCCTGCCTACATCAATTGTCAACGGACCTTTCTGCGACATTGACTCAAACTTTGCCAACCACCGCATCGTTTTCGACACTACCTTCTGCGGAGACTTCGGTGATGCCACTTGGACCTCTGGTGGATGTGCTGCAATCACAGGCCAGTCCAAGTGCTCTGTCTACGTTGGCAACAATCCAGCACAATTCGCAGATGCATACTGGGACATAAACTATGTCCAGGTTTATCAGTCAAAGCCTGTCACGACAACCACTACGACGACGACCACAACCACAACCAGCACAACCAGCAGAACCACCACAACGACAACCGTTCCTACGACGACCACAACCAGCACGACCGCGTTGACTACAACAACTCCCACAACCACGGTCCGATCCACGTCCACTTCCACGACCTCGGCATCCAGCTCTTTGACCAGCACCTCGACGGCTCAGTCTAGCACAACCAGCACAAGTGCCGCCAGCTCCACGACATCAGGAAGCAACGGCGTTGGTCCCATTGGAGGATCTGTCACCACGTCAACGACGGCTGCAGCTACCACCACGAGCGCCAATGTGAACCCGGTGACTTCGACCACCACCTCGTTCCATACATTCGGACCGTTCCCCAACACGACCACAACGACGACCTCCAGCGGAGGTCAAGGTGTCGGACCCATTGGCGGTGCCACCACGACGACCACATCCAATGCTGGTGTTGGGCCGATCGGCGGAGCCACCACGACAACCACCTCAAATGCTGGTGTCGGACCAATTGGCGGAGCAACCACGTCCAGCACCATGAACACCTGGGAAGACTGGGGTTCGCCCACCACAACGACCGCATCTCAAACCACTTCCGCTTCCACCTCCACATTCGTATGGGACGACTGGTTGTCAAGTGCTGTGGCCAATGCACCAAGTTCTACCTCGACATCTGTCCCTGTCACCTCCAGCGCCGCCACCTGGAACGATTGGACCGAAGTGACCATCACGCTTACTGGTGAGCTTTCTCCGAAATAGCACTGCTTTTTGAAAGGCCTTTCCTTCCACCACTGCTTTACCCATCCAGAATTCTCCATTTGTTTCTTGCCTCTTTTCATACCCCCAGTACAGCATGCTAATGTGATTCCCTGTGCAGAAACCTGGGTTGTGCCCTGCTCCACGGGCTACACCATCAAGACAACCACCGTGGTCACCACGCACTGCGGCTGCACCGAGACGCCCGTGCCCACCATCCCTGTGACCGTGACCACCATCACCCCCTCGCCCGGCTGGCCCGTCACCACGCCCGTCGTGTGCACTGTTCCGGTGCCCCAAGCCCCAGGCAAAACAGCTCCCACCGTTCCCACCGCCACGGCTACAACAGTCGTTGGAAGTGGCAGCGGCAGTGGTCACGGCCACGGCGCTGCGCCATCGTCGCCCGCCAAAGCTTCTTCCTCCAGCGCTGCAGGTTGGGGTTCTGGGTCTGGGTCTGGTTCCGGTTCGGGATCTGGATCTGGATCAGGTTCGGGATCGGGATCTGGCTCTGGCTCCGGTTCCTCACAACACACCAGTGGTGCCGCCGCAGCTTCGTCCTCCCCTCTCGTGACGCTAGCGACAACCGTCACCGTGCAGCCGGTCAAATCTGTGGCCGTGGGAACCGCGACACCCGTGGCACCCAGCACCACCAAGCCCTGGGTCGCCACCTACACTGGCACCGCTGCGGGCTCGAAGGAGCTGAGCGTCATGGCGCTCTTCGGCGCCGGTGCTTTGGCATTGGGCGCTGCTGTGGCTATTTAATTCAATTGCGAAATCTGAATTACTTATATACTTTGGTATTTAATAGATATGATCTCATTAGATGCGCAAATCGATATATTGTGTCATCTACAAGTAGGTCTTTGGTCTAATTTGTCTCTTCCCCGGGAATCCTGATCATGATCAGTACATTTTAAAAGAGTACACCTACCTCATATCCATCCCGTTCTTTAAATCATGGTGCCAGCACCGTGCCTAGACCACGTATTGAAATATTTCATAAACAGGAGCCGAAATTTTATCTCCCTCTAGACCCTAGACCCTAGACCATAACCGAAACCGAAACCGTCGTTACTTCGTAGCATTTGTCCTGCCATAATAGCCCGTATATAGAGCGAGGACCAAGGTATTGCACTCCGGGCAAGAAGACGGACAGGTATTGCGAGCCGGACGCAAATCCAAAGGCGATCATTTGTTCTTTCTGTTGTCCCAACCATTCATTGACCGTCGAACTCCCAGCGTCTTCCGGCCCATACCTGTCATTGACGTACTGGAGGAGGTGAAGCCCCCTTGTCCGATTGATGACACGCTTGTCTTGTGCATCGTCTTGGCAGGGCGCGAGAGGATGTAATTTGTCAGGGGCGCCGGTGCTGGTGCTGGTGCTGTTGGTGCTGTTGGTGCTGATGCTGATGCTGATGCTGATGCAGACTTGAGATTTGATGCATTCAATGGCTGTGCGCCAGAGTTGTCCTCTTGGATATTATCCTTTTGTAGTAATGCCCGGTTCTCTCCGTCGTTGCAATCAGGAGGGGGCGGAGAGGAGCTATAGAGATTGGCATAGCGAGAGTTTGGATTTGTGCTGGACTCCTTTAGGGCAGCTGTCGGTCGCTTGTAAGTCATCACATTGCGGAAGTCCGGTCGATGCGAGGACAATTCTGATGGTATCCCACTCTCGCCAATGTCACGACGGATTGGTGCACTTGGGGTCGGGATCGGAGGCACTGGTCGTGGTCTCTGGAAGGGCTCCGGTCTCGCAAGCTGAGGGAGATCCGGCTCGACAGGCAACGTGTTCTGGGATTTTGGTTTCGAGAAGAACGATGCAATGGTTCCCTGCGCTGACGCTGATCGTGACAATTTTACCTTTTTTTGCGGAGGCAGGCTCTCTGGCGGAGACTGATTCGACTCAGCAGCACTACTTTTCAATTGGCGTCTAGCCGTTGTGAAACCTAACGACATGTTGGAGGTGGAAAATGCCCCGATATTGCTCATGGTTGTTGCGACTTGATGAGTGTGGGTAGCTGTCGGTATCGAATGACTCCGTGACAGCGTTGGGTGTTGGGAGCCTTGTTGCTTGTAGCTTGCGGCTAGGACTTCTCCTAATGGCCTGCTAAAATCCGGCATATGTTGCCCATTAGAAGGTAGCATTAATGTCGGCCTGCGAGTGCCGTCACTGGGCCATACATTGTCGAGCTGGCTATCACTTTCAGCCAGACTCTGCAGGCTCCGAACCAGCTCCTCCTGGGACGGCATCGGACGTCCAAGGATGCTTGCAATATCGGCAATCGTCTTGTCGTCGAACAAAGGGCCAACTTGCGCGACATGGTGATGCAGCTTCGGGGGCAGAAATTGAGACAGACTTGATTCCACGTTGTCTCGAGATTGCGTCAGCGGAAATGTTAGCGTCAGAAGAGCTTGAGCCCGAGTCATTGCAACATAGAGCAAACGTCGTTCTTCGTCTGTGTCTTCCGATCTGGAGTGAGGGATTGAGCCTTCGTAGACCGCGGGTATGAAGACGACGGGCCACTCCAGCCCTTTGGCTGAGTGGATGGTGGAGATGGTAACTCTGGGTTTGTCGTTGCCGTCTTCCGAGTTATCCACATCGGTAGACAGAACGATATTGGCTAGGAATTGCGAGAGGACTTCGTGAGCACCATCCGAGGGTTGCTGTTCTATACCATCAACCTGGGCGAGCTGGTCCTCGGTCGTGGAATGCAATAGGACTTCAGAGGCATGAGTAAGGAGTTCTTTGACGTTCTCGATTCGATCTTCGTGATCGTCCTTGTATTTCTTTTTGAGGTAGTTCTCAAAGTCTAACGACTTCACAATCAAATCAATCAATTTGCTCGGGACTGTGGCAGGCATCATCGTTTCCATTTTCTGTCTGGCATTTTTGATCATCGCTATAAGGCGTCCAAGTTCCTGCTCGCAGGGTTTGGACAGTTTCTTCTCGGGCGTCAGATCTCCACATAAGACCCTTTGGACTACAGTCCAGAGTGAGAGCTTTTGTTCTTCTCCAAGCTTGATCAGCTCCGCGATTGTGGCTTCCCCAATCTTTCGGGATGGCACATTGATGATTGCAAGAAGGGCTTGGTTGTTGTCTGGGTGACTAATGGTGCGAAGGTAGTCCACGATTATTCGAATCTCCACTCGGTCAAAGAAACGTGTACCGCCTACCATGCGATAGGGAATTCCAGAATTGGCCAGAGCCTTCTCGATCAACAATGACAGAAAGGCTGATCGAAGCAGAATGGCAAAGTCTGAGTGAACAAGAAGACCTCCAGTCATGACTGTCATCCTCTTGATCTCGCTAGCGATCCAGAAAGCTTCTTCATTCGGATTGGGTAGACGGCGGAGGACGGGTTTGGTGCCCAAGCAATGGGTTGCTTTTAATCTCTTCTGAGGCCGGGCAGTGTCCTGCTCGATGACTTCCTGTGCAAGGCGCAGCACTGAGGATGCGGAGCGATAGTTTTGTTCCAGGTTAATAACAACGGTTTCGGGGTAGAACGCTTTCATGCGTCGTAGGTTCTCAATCTCCGCAGATCTGAATCCATAAATACTCTGGTCGGGATCTCCGACGATGGTAACCCTCCGCGAGGCTGAGGCCAGGAGTTTCATCAACTCGAATTGCACGATGTTGGTGTCCTGGAATTCGTCGATCAGTAGCGCTTCGATATTTGAGGCACAGCCCGGCCATGCACGAAAAAGCTCGACGCAACGCAAGAGCAGATCATCATAATCCAAAAGCTTAGACGTTGCCAAAGCCTCCTCGTACTCATGAAACACAGTGATGAATTCCTGCTTCTCCAAGTGCTTCTGCGGCGTCTTCCGGAGGTCTTCCAGTTTCTTGCCCTTGGCTTTGTGACTGGAAATCTTGGACCGCGCGGCTCTTGGGTCAATGGATAGATTCAGCCTTTTGATGATCCGTTTAATGATGTTCATGCTGTCAGAGGAGTCTGCGATACCAAAGCTTTTCAGAACGCCAATGAGATGGCCGTATGCGACTAGGTAACGTCGACAGATGGAGTGAAAGGTCCCCAACACCAACTTGGCCTCGACTTCGCAGCCGAGTAAGCCCCTGAGGCGTTCCCGCATTTCACGGCTCGCTTTGATGGTGAATGTGCAGCAAATGACACGCTGAGGATCGAAGCCATGGTGGGCAATCAGGTAGGCAACGCGACAGGTAAGTGTCTTGGTCTTCCCCGAACCCGGCGGCGCAAGTACCTGCAGAACCCGTGCCGGCGAGGTGACAGCAGACCTTTGAGCTTCATTTAGCCCCCGCAGGAGCTCGGCCTCCATGGCATTTGATGAGGGTAGAAAAGACAAACGTGAAAAACGCGCTCACGAAACCCACGCGTTGGGGAAACACGCGGGGTTGCGCCAAGTCCCGTGATTTTTCTTAGTCATTTCTCAGACCGATTACAGTTTCGGGCGTTTGAAATTAAGCTTAAAGTTAGTTTGAACTCAGTCAACGCCAAGCAAGCTTGTGAGCACCCCCTTCAGTTGAAGTTCAACGCACCGCAAGCTACTAGTAAGTAATATTGCCCAGCAACCCTGTCGGCATCAACGTCTGGCTGAGCATGGTGTCGTCTGCAATGCCTTCTATATGAAAATTTTCACGTACAGACCTGGATGGCATAGTTCAGCGCTTGATCGAGGGTGGTAAGGATTACCGAGTCCCACTTTCGCAGGCATGGGTGTTGGCTTGCCACCACCCTCGAAGCCCTCTTATACTTTATTAGCGCTTGCTTGATACCATGCGTATCTTGGTCCTCACATCGACCAATGTTTAAACTGAAGCCACCGTGGCAGTTGAGGCGGTTATGCAGAAAGCCTCGACGACATACATGCCAGACATGGAGGGGCTACCATAGGGACTGTGAGTGCACGAGACTGGGCCCGAAGAACCAGATTTGGATCCTTACTGGATCATGCCGAAGCTTTGACTCGAGTGTCATGATTGATTCTCCCAATTGGCTACCAAAAAGCACCTTTCTTGAGCTCAGTTGGCTCGCTGAATTGAATGGATTGAGCTCAGTCCCAAGCAGGAGAAGCAGTAAAGCTTGTGGGCCATGCAAGTGCAATCAGGTGGGTATTTGTTGGATGTGGCCACTTTCCCTCTTGGACACTTGGACTGCGTTCAGACGATTACATTGTCTCGAACAATACCGGAGGTGGGTGAGTTTCGACCTATTGTGTACCAAAATTGAATGCCTTCTACGGCCGATCAGCCGTACAACATGGATACAATAGCAATACTATTGAGCAGACTGCGGTTGGGCTGCAAGGTCCTCTGCGTCCGAAAACCGCAGTGACTGCAGTCACTGCAAAGCTTATTCCGGCTCGCGAGGGTTCAATGGCGGCACCGGACTTCACTGAAAGCATAGTTCAGTCGACTGCGTTCTTATTGATGCCTGATCCAGGTAGGCCCATCGCAGTGAAGCCATGGTTGAGCCGAACAATAGCAATCTGGTAGTCCGAATCATGATTGGGGCCAAACGCGAACACAACGCGCTCCTTAACTGCATGCTTTTTGCAGTGATCTGGTACGAGACACCTCTCTGGGAGGAGGACCTGATGCTCCAAGTATAAGTATCCTCTTCATCCCAGCTCTTTTGCTCTTGCTCTTTCTTTTTATCCATCACAGAAACGACCACTCTCGAGCTACAACAACACAGTCTTCAAGACACAGATCAAGAACGGTCCTCGGTAACGAAGCTCGACAGTCGACACACGACCCGAATACTAGTACTACAACCTTCAGACACAGCTTTCAGCACCGTCGCTCCTTCCGCACGACGAAGTAGCATCACCCCGAAAGCTAGTTGCTCTCCCTCACTCGACCCTCCAACACCTTTTCGTACCCCCACGCCCATATCTCGAGCTCACAACTCCACCAAATCTCAGCACCATTAACCCACCCTACCCACCTCCCTGCATCGATACCGACTCGAACAACAGCAAACATGTCTTCCTCCACTTCCTCCTCTTCCCGCTCCAAAGTCTCAATGAAGGTTGCCAAGTCCTCCTATTTCACCAACGTCAGGGCAACCCACAATAAACTCCCGCTGGGCAAGGCCCAAACCCCTTCGACGCCTTCGTATTCCTCGCCCTCCACGCCCTCCACCGCCTCTAGCTCATCACCATCAACTTCTTCACTCACTCCCGCTTCCTCGAACTCGTCACTCTCACCTTCTCCGTCACGCTCTCCGAAACCAACACTTCCGCAATCCGCCAAGCCCACGGGCGTGATCAAAAAACGCCGGGCCGACCCAGAGAAGATGTTCCACAAACCATCACGACCGACAATCCGACACCCCGCCAGCTCGGCCTCCCCACCTCGGACGCCCTTCCCGACCGAAAAGGGTTATAAGCTGGTGAAACCATCACCAGGAGCGCAACCGTACCGCACCTCCGACGCTCGCCGGAACAGAGGCGGCCGCGGAAAGACGGTGGATGTGGCGGTGCCGAAGACGCTCATCTGCCCGATCCCGGAGAGGAACTCCGAGGCCAGCGTTCGACGGGCAACGGTGCTGGAACAACTCATCCAGGAAGGCCTGGAGAGGAAGCGGCTGGAGAAGGAGGGGAAGATCGCCGTCGATCTTGGCCCGGAGGATAAGGAGCTTGGCCCCGTCAACACCTATTACAGGGGGGCGGATGGGGAACTGCACGAGTTGCCGCCGAATAAATTGAAGGAACTGGAGAGGACTCGTCCCCGCTGGTAGATGTGATACGACGCAGGTGGCGTCTGAATGGATCCGAGTAGATTAGCTTTAGTTAGTAGCCACACTGGGATGGCAATCGAGTACTCTTGAAACTTGTCCATGATATTCGAAACAAATAAGCTGCAGTAACTAGCAGTAATAAGGTATTGCGCCTCTCTTCCCTTTCACTCCGAAGCCAATCGCTGCCTTATGGCGTCCCCTCGTACTCTGAGGGCTGAGGGTCTGTCTATTCTTGTCAATAACAAACGCACAATTACCCTACTTGACTGCAGAGGGCAATGTAGCATATAACCTTGCGGTAGTCAAGGAAGAACAAATAGCAAATACACTTAGGTTTGAGGTTCCCTCCAGTTGAGACCTATATTTACAATGATGGGATTTGTCGGGGAGTGTGTAGAATATACTACAGTGGACTGGGAGTATATAACGAAAATCGCCCAGTTTATTATTATTTATCCACAGCGGGCACTCCGATTATATAGGTATATACACATATCAACACAGACATATAGCACTTCAAGTTGACAGCAGGGCCTTTTGGACTGCAATACTTATTGTAAAAATCCACCAAGCTACCTCCTTGCTATTTCTCGGAATACACGGTGAGCCATCACACCTGCACATAGATACCCGTATGTCTGGTCTCCTCCTTGCTCGTTGTATCGTTCCATCTCCTCTTGACATGGTGGGAACCGGAATTACTCGTGAGTATAGGGCTTCTCTCTGCCATAGTGAGCCATTGCAATGTTTATTGGCCTGTGTGGCTAAGCACACGCCCTCTCTCAAAACTGCGATCGGCAGGCTATCTGTTGAAGAGCCGCGGGATAAATTTACAGTAGAGCAATAGCGAAGTCAAGGCAGCAAAATGATGAGAGAAAAGCAGGATCTGCGATTGACTGATTGATTGATTGATTAACGAAACGCTGTTCAGGGTATCTTCTCTTTTCTGTTTTCCCTTGTAGGTAGGGACTGAAAAGGAAAAAAGCTAATAAAAGACAAGGCTCAATGCCGAATGACCATCCTGTGCACGCCGCAAGCCATGTTAGCACATAAAGCAAAAGCTCCGCTTGCTGATGAGCCTTGCACAAAGCCCAGAAGGGCACGCTCGGCCGAAGGCCTCTCTCGACGGAAAGGCCCTGAAGAACAAGTTCTACCATTTTTTCCATCTGGCCCGGTTTTCCACTGTCCATGGATCATTTATTACAGGAAATTTGCTGGACCGCCGCACACAATTCCGCCAGCACGGTTTGAGATCAATTTTGCCCATCAGCCACCGAAGATGGGCGTCATCTTCCGTGGAATTCGACCGCAAAACCACAAAAGAAGGGAAGGCATTTTCAACCGACCTGATTTGACATCACCTGCCCAGATGGGGTTGAGAGTGCTGCAAATACCAGTGGTCTTCATGGTTGTTGACAAATAGCACAATGTTGAGTGAATGGGACGCTTGCAATGCAATGAAAAGGCTTCCGCAGCTGATGACTTGCATTTCTAGTGAGACACTGGACAGGCAGGTCATGCTTGACCGAGGATCGACTTGCCAAGGGATGTTTTGGCATTTTATGTCCATGGCAGCGGCCTGCTGCCTGGGCAGGGAAGCCACCTCAGTAGGTCTCACCAGCCCATTGCTGAACGGAAACCGGGTATTGCGCAGAATACTGATTGTTCACCGTGTTGGGAGTTGGAGTGGGAGGGACGTATTGGTTTGGGGCGTTGAAGGTCTTCTGGGTGACTCCAAACATCTCTCCCTCAGGCGTGATTGGAGGAGTGTACAGTCCGTGCTGAACCATCGCGGGGAATTGAGGCTTCTGAGGAGTGGTGTATGTTCTGAAATACTCTGGTCCAGAGGGCTTGACTGCTACGCAAGGTGGAGTGAGGTCGTAGGTGGGGGTGATTGGTGCACGAGCGCTGGCAGCTCTCTGGGCAATGTAGCTGGTCAAGATTCGCGAGACGCTAGAGTGTCTCACCGAGGCATATTTGCGGGTCAGTATGGTGGATGGTTCCTTGACTTTCTGCAACAGCTCCATGACCGTAGTGCTGCAGTAGCGTGAGCCAAACTCAGTCGTTCGTGATTGTTGCCGACCCAGAATATGTCGTGCAAGGGCAAGGGCAGAGAGAGCAAGAGTCGATGCCCGCTTAGAAACAAACTCCCGATGGTAGAGTGCAATCTCAAGGATGTACAGTGTCAAACTCTCGGTTTCAGGGTCGTAGACGTTGTCCTTGACGGCTAGACGCATGAAAGAATCCACGGTAGGATGGCCGATAGCCCAGCCCAGGGTCGAGAGAACATGCCACTCCATCTGCAGGAACATATCGTCATCGTAGAGTGAGCAGCACATGGACTTCAACTCCTTGATTGTGGGGACCTTCTCTTTCTTGTCACCATACTTCGCAGCGATGAGGAGCGCAGCGCAGCCAACGAGCTGGTAGTGGCGTTTGTAGACGACTCTCTTTGAGCAGTACCGGTCGAGCAGGTTGATGGCAAGGAACAAAGTCTCGGGCAAGAGCTGAAAGGCAGAGTGGGCTTCGACCAGGAAGTCAAGCAGATATGGTCTCATGAACCACTGAATCTCGGTCTGGATATCAATAGCATCGACGTCGGGCATCGTTTCAATCTGCGGAAACACGTCAATGGAAGCTCAACTGTGGCAGGGTAACAACACATACGTCCATCTTGAGCATGTGCTCGAGCATATCATCTTGGTAATCCTCGGCATCCCTTCTCGACAACTCAGAGGCCATGAGATGTTGTCGGTGCCTGGCGACCTCTTTCTCATGGTCCGCCTTTTTGATGGCTGGACAAGGGGCTTCGTCGAAGACTTCTACGATGCCACTATCGTATCCGCTGTCATTGGAACCGAATGATGGGATTCTGTTAGAGGCCATGGTGCAGGTTGTGTAGAGGAATCTTGGATGGAGGGCGAGTTCGAGTAGAAGAAAAAGCTGCCCACGGTTGGCAACTGGGTGAATGAATGACGGATAAACGTGAATCGCAGTAGTGAATTTGTTGGGTTTGAAAAGGAGTGGAAGTGATTGATGTAATCAAATATTGCACAAGACTGGAGGTGGCCAGGAACCAAGGAGTGAAGAAGAGTTCTTCTAGATTGGAAAGACTGGAGCGTGCAGCACGGTCAGCGACATTTTGATAGGATGTGTAGTCTGCTAGGACTTACCGAAAGGGGGAGACGGCACGACGATTACACAATCCTTGTTACCAGGGATCACCGCGACTGCTTCATCTGGCAAAGGATTGGAATGGCAATCAAATTGGCACTTCGTGCGTGGGAGCAGCAGAGGTCGAATGAACGCCTCCGTCTGACTGAGCTTGGGGCTCTAGGTTGGAATGTAGCCCTAGGAAGACCACGAGATGATACCAGCTCCAGCACACTGAGCCTGAACCGACGTCAGTGAGGATGCACAACAGGCATAGACAGGAGCTCAGACCTTTGGAATTCCGGGAGCACGTTGTCTATTCCAGACCTCCTAATCTTGTCGTGCTGGGATGAGGCTAGGGCTTGCCCGCGACGTGAGATCTGTTTGGAAAATGCCTGTTAGTCGAGATCCATAGTGGAATGAGCCGCTGCAAGCAAAGTTCAACACAAAAGCATGGCCTGAAGGATTGGTGGTCATGAAGGACAGGTCCGGTCCATAGGTATGCAGAAGTATCTCCAGCAGTCAGGGTTCGACGATTGATCGAGGGGCTAAACTCCGCATTCCCATGCTTGCAGGATCGTCTGGGCCGTGTCCTCCCTTTACCACTTCCTTAAGTGTCCAGGGCTGCCTCCATACTGGAAAGCTAGATCGGTACCTCCCCTCCTCTTGCCACGTCAAGACCATACCAACGGCGTAACGCTATCCCTTCCCTTTCTAGAATTTCACTGCAATCTCCTGCGGATGTGATCCTTCTCTTCCTGCTCTGGCCAGTGTTTTCAGATATACCGGCAGTCGAAGTTCTTGGTGGATGCTTGACAGTAAAGCAGGTTGGTGGGGGACCGTGACCGTGGACCATGTAGGTATTGGTAGGACAAGACGAAATTGGACCAGCACTCATGAAGAGATCGACAAACAAGAGATCAGTGAACCGGGACCGCTGGTGAATCAAGGCCATTTGTTGTCGTTGTGTGGTATCGTCGTCGTCGTCGTCTCAATGAACGCCTTCACGTGCAAGCCACCCTTCAGGGAGGCCAGCAATGCAGAAGTACAACCTCACCTTTTTCTTGGCTTGAAATTAGATTGACGTCGTGGGACTGCTGCTGTTAACTCAAGGCAGACGCTATCCAGAACGTTCTGCAAAAGAGTGCACAGAGTTGTCGAGCAGGGCAGGCTGAGGTGTGCCTCGGTGAGGGCTCAGGAGGGTTAGGTGAGAGCTGGTAGTGGAAGGTGAAGGAGAGGAGTAGTCGAGGACATGCAAGATACTCAGATCGGTTGTGATGTATCTGAAGGTCCTACGACCGAGAAGGAGGAGGAGGAGAGAGGGATAAAAGAAACGAGGTCAAGACCTCTGGAGTGCAGAAGACAGTGGAGAGAAGAAAGGACAGGAGATGGCACTGCAAGTCGAGATGAACGATTGACTTGAGCAGTGTCCAGGAGTTGAGAGACGAGTGGAGAGTGGAGTGTGCGAGAGGTTGACAGCTCTGCGCGCAAGTGATTGGGCCTCCAACCAGCCCAGACGCTTGCAGGGTTGACAGGCAGGGGATTATTAGGGATTTGCGGCCGCGGCGACGGGCGACGACGACGTGCAGTGCCAGTGCCAGTGCCAGTGCAGAGCGCGCAGAACAGTGCATTATTACGGTGCGATGCCGGTGCAGCAAAGCGACAGCCAGCCCGCAGGCCGCAAGCCACAAGCCAGACGCCCTTCCCAGCAAGCTCCAGCCCGCAGACGCAGCCAAGTGGGAAGGCCAAAGACCCGATGCCCGCCACGAACCAGGCATACAGTAAGGCTCATACCTTACCTGTACGCATACACCTGTAACATCGTGGTCAAGCTGGTATCAAATATGGTCTCCATACGAGGCACACGACGGTCACAGATGTTGGGCTTCAAGCTGTCTGTCTACACTCTACTGGAGCGATTCCACAGTTCCCACTATCTCAAGAAGAAGAAGCAACTTAAGGTAGGTTAGGTGGTAGGTACCTAAGGTAGCTGTAGGCCGAATTCAGCAAGCTTAGAGTGGCAGCTGTAAGGCTCAAACCAGTTGCACGGTGACTCGAGGACCCCTAGATAACTGCCGGCCAGCGGCTTTTAAGCTCCTCGCACCGTGGTGACAGGGCACGCCTAAAGAGCCTAGAAGGCTGTCTCTTGGGAGGCAAACCACGGGCAATCGTGTGGCCCGAATCAACTGTACCTTCGGACAAGCCACCTCCAACACCACCTCCTATCTGCCTACCACGTACTGTTCTCATCATGGTTCTAACGGCTCATCTAACACACCCTCTAACACCCGCCGCTCATACCCCTTACAGCTGTCACCGACGAACTTTCCGTCTCGATAATTTCCCATTATCGTCACGGCGTTCGTGCTAAGTTAATGTACCGAACGCAGCGTTGGGCGTGGCTGCTTACTGTTGCCCCGTGGCCATTGAATGACGGTACGAAAGCACCGGGCCAGTAACCATAATACAAGGAATCATTTCGGTATGTTTCTGACCATAAGGCCCCTCTCCTTGTAAGTGTTACAGCACATCAGCGGTGGTCGCCGGTCGCGCGGCTGGTGGTTTCCAACAGGAGCGCGTTGTGCCGCGTCGATTGGCCCGGTTGTTGGACATGTTCCTGTTTTTCACCTGGCCTAATGCAAGCCCACATCGTGCCAGCTGCTCGGGGCCAAAGCTGGGCGGACGGCTTGAACGAATGTCGTTGCAGAGCTAGAAACATCATCGATGAGCTGCCCCTGCAACTTGACGTGAGTTTATTTATGTATGGCGTCCTCTCCACCGCGTAGCCATTTCAGCACGGCCCTTAGTCGGCTTCGTGGGGAGATGATATGATGATCATTTACTCGGTTGGCCTACGGCTGACTCGGCACCACGACGACATAGCAGAAGCAACCTTTGTTCGCCGATATCAAACATGATGAAGCAGGACCATGGCCACGACAGATCAATGTCGTGTTGCTCTCTGCCGTGTCGCCTCAAGATTTGGAGCTGTTGAAGATTGTGCAACTGTCACAGCATCGGCAGGGGTTGGCTGTGGCCAATGTGCCCTCTTCGGCTACACCATTTTGAGATCCAGAGATCTGCCCTATCTCATCTAGAGTAGCGTGGCCCCTAAGCTCAAAGGAACGGAGCTACTCCAGCCTCTTTCAATGGCTCCAACTTTGCAAGCGAATGCGAACACCCGACAGCATCTCGGACCCGGCCTGTGGAGAGACAGCCGGTGCCGTCAAATCATCAAGCCAACTTTGCTGCTTCTGGCAGGCTCATTTCATTTTACAGATGAGCGATGAAGTTATGGCAGAAAGCCTACAGTACAGTGCGTGCTTTCCCCTCACGAAGCCCAGTAACCAGGGCCGGTCCAACACTGTGGCATGCATCAGTTCGATTACTGAAGACGTTTCCTTTGGCCCTCAGTCAGCATCCGGCCAACATAAAACAAACCTGGCACAGAGTGACGCCGTGGAGTAGGACTGGTCGCCCACCACCCAATGCCCGGTGGCTCAACCTGTTGGCTCTCCAGAAAGGCTACATGTCCGTGTTACTTGACGTGCATGGAAACGACCTCATCGTTACTCTGGGTGATCCGAAGAAATCCACCACTTGACATCACTACTGCTACGGAGGATATGATACTAAAGCAGCCGCCGGCCAGGCTGGGCCGGAATGGTTGCTCACAGCTGCAGGCCACTGGCACCCATTAAGTAACGATTATTGTTTATTACAATTGGCCTGCGGATGATAGCATGGAAAATGGCTCCAAATGGGTATGTAAACAATGCATCGATCCACGCACGCGACCGATCCAGCTCCGACGTGGAAAGAAAATTTTCCAGAAACGCGTTTCGTGATTCAACAGGGAGATGAAGCTGAGACACCGAATTACAACGATCAATAATTAGGGCAATCTGTAGCATGTACATCGTACGATTTCCCAAGTCACATACTATGAAGATCCAGTCTACAACATAGGCTAGGCTCCTCGGAGTACACTCGCCGGTATTGGTTCGTTTGAAGGTACCTTACTGTTGCTGATATTATATCGGTCCTCCTTTTCAAGTACTGCCACCGTTGAGGGCTCCTTTAGGCTTCATACTACATTCTGCCTACAAATATACAGCAAACATGTAATTGGTGGTTAGAGAATCTTCCGTCTATAGGTCAATATACAAAAAGCTGCTGTCCCTCACCAACCTTACTCACAGCTTGAAATCCCCAGATCCGGGAATTGACAATACCGGCTCCAGGACATATCTGTCCCATCCCACTTGTAGGTTTTTTTTTTCACGGTTATGTCAGAGGCTGTCTCTAGAGCTGGCCGGCGGATATACCACACTGCACTGCACGCCCACTTAGCCACATGTCCGAAACAACCGACGCGTAAAGGACAGGAAGATCAGGTTGTAGGCACGCGACTGCGCATGCTTACCGTGTCCGATTCTCAGGCAAAATCTGCCGGGCCAAAGTGATTGCAGCTGGACGCGTGAGAGACTAGACCCGATGGACACTGCAGCTTCGAGCTTTTTCAGCCCCGTGATGGTCCAGCGGCAGGCTTCGGATCACATCCAGAGGACAGGGAATGGGGTTTAAAGATCCATTCTGCGCGCCGGCAGCTTTGCTGGTGCTGGGTCTCCGCCAGTATTACGACTAGATATTTACGCCGTGGTATGCTTCTACACTGCAGTATACTATTCTTTACGTTTTGTTCGCTCATGACTCCTCGATGACACGGAGAGATCGAAGAATGGGCTCGAGATCATCAACGCGCCTGAAGCGAACATTGTGCAAAAGGCGCGTCTGGCGTCTTCCACCATTCCGGCGGCTGGGGCCACCGCGAGACCACTGGGTGCTGTCGTAGTAGTCGACAGTCATCACTGTACAGTCCATTGTACGGTACCTGCCGTGGCTCTCCATTTACAAATCTAATCGATCGAGAGAGAGCCGGCTGGTTGCCCACCCGCGCAGGAGATCAGCTCCTTCAACAAAACTGAAGTCGGGTCGACAGCCTCTGTGATTTCATGCCACTTGCATCTCCGTCCGCAATGCAGGTGCAGCGGCCGCGAGGAGCCGGAACTTTGACCGTTGTTACGGACAGACAACTAAGCCGCCGAAGCTTCATCATCCCTCATCAACCACCCAAACGGTTCGCGTCTCGAGTGCAGAGACAGGCAAAAGCCAAAGCTGAAGCTGAAGCAAGAGCAATCAGTCTGCACGGACGCCTCTGCTTCTGATGAATGCTGCCAGCAGCGGCGACCCTGCAACGCTCGTGCCTCGTCAAATACGCAGACACTGCAGTGGTAGTAGCTGTACCCGGCCTCTCCAGGTTACCGCCCTTCCGTTACCCTTGTACCCTGACTTTATTGACATATTTCACTTTGATCCGATTCAAGTACCAGTCCGATTGTTCATCTAGACCCTTTCAACCTCAACGGTCCACCAAATCTCCCCGTACAGTTGACAGGCAATGCTAGATCTGGCGTCATGCTGCCAAATTTCCTGGCTCCCCCATTATTTCCCTTTGCTTGTGCTCCATTCGATCCAGAGCAATTGTTGCTAATTCCTGGTAAGCTGATGGCTGGTATGCGAACTATTATTACTGTTGAACTTTAATGCACATACGGCCTGCACTTAAGGAAGCCTTTGTGACGGAGGGGACTATCATCAAGCAGTGGCAGATCGCGGACACGTCGATCCATGTCCGCGTTCACCAAGCCATCCCACTTCATTCGAGATGAGTCTAGATACTCTGTCGGGTCCTTAGCGATGATCACTGAAATTTGAACGCTGAGGCCCTATCCAACTCGGTCACAGTCTGAGGGAAACCCTTCCCGTCTGTGTGGTACTTGACGGCGCCTCAGAGCTTCTCCTGTTCATGGGCCTAAAGAGCTCCTCATCATCGAGAATGACACGATAGTCAACATCAGGCGCCCAGATGCCACGGCCCATCTAACGCCTTATCTCGTCAAGTTTGGGCAATTTCCGTTCAACTTGAACAACAGCCTCTCAAGCAGACCATCTATGGTATCTTGTCGCTGCGATATCGGGTCAACGCGACGTCGGGGCATACGGTACGGCAGGTTAGGGAAGATTACGTGGTCACTGACATTCCCTAAGCCCGGTCGGAGAGTCAAAACGGGCTCTAGCGGGCTGGTAACAGGCTTGGCTGGATGTTCTTCTGGGTTGAGTACAATGCACAAGAAGACCGCGGAGTTTCCTGAACCAACGCTCAGCATCCGCGGACGGAACTCGAAGCAGATACACCGTCGTTGCCACCCCAGCGCTGTGGACTGGCCTACTAGTAGTAGCAGGGTATATGCCAGTGCTCATTATTATTCTCGCCTTCCTTCGGACTCCAAGGCCTGCTGAACCAAACTCCAGTACATATAATGTTTACCAAACTGAGAAACAATCTGTCTCCTGTGCTGCCCTGCCCTCAACACAGGCACTTTCCGGCCAGGAAGCTGATCTTGGTCAGCCCGGAAAGACGGATATCCGCTGATTCTCCCAGAGAAGGTGAGGTAACATGCATGCCGGTAAGGTTGACTACCTTCTGAGCCCGTAGTATTTCGGGCCTACCTGGTCGGTTCACGATGGTTGGTTAGCTTTTAAAAAGAGCGAATGATTGTCTATTCCACTGCAGCCGCGAGCTGCACTTCATGCTAGTGCAGTAGGGTAGCTGCTGTACCATTATTTGCTTGTATGCCGCTGCCTCAAGCGTCTAAGCAACTGTGAGGCAGAGTAACTCAATTCTGTTAGCATTCTTGTAAGTTTGAAAGGACATTCCGGCTGCAGCGATAAATCAACTAACTGAGCAAACAACCGAAGAATGTAGCATACTGGTTGTGACGCAAAGAAATCCGTCAGTAGCACGGACAGATAACAGGGCTACAGTCATGGCTCTTATTTGTCTTTTTAATCAAAATTCTCTGAATTGAACAAACTATGACAGCGGCTCCGGTCTGCAATGTAGGTACTATCAACCCCTTCTGCGGCCACTGCTGCTACTCGGCCGGGCGGACGTGGTGGTGGCACCGCCAGTGCGCAACTTGATACTCTCCTCAGTGAGCAAAGCAGCGTTCCCCTTCTGAGCGACACCCTGCAGGCCAGGTTTGTTCTTTGTGTCCAACTCCTTTGCATGGCCGGCGGTGGTAGGGCTGTTCCAATAGTAGACGACCTGGGCAGCCAGGATGGCGTTGAGGCAGAAACCTGCGACGAAGCTGTAGAGGATGAGCGGGTCGTCGACCTCCTGCAAGGTGGTGTAGATGCGACTGAGGCTTCCGAACAAATAGTTGAAGACGGCAAAGGCCGACAGTTGACCGGTGCCGCCCTGGCGGAAGATGGTGAGGATCTGGGGGACTTTGCTGGCGATGCTGAGAGCGCCTGCGCCGGCCTGCAGGCTGGTCATCTGGGTCGGGGTCACGAGGGTGTCGGAGACCATGAGGGCGTAGACGGCGCCGCCGACAGCAGCCAGAAACGCGCCCGCTTGTGGGATTCTGTTCGAGTAGACCAAGATCAAGACGCTGATGACCACATCCTGGATCGCGATCAGGCTCGTCTCGCCGTACGTGCTGAACGGAAATCCATTGCGCATATTGTACGCCAGCGTGATCACGAAACTGGCCGTCTCTAGCAGGTAGCTTGTAAACGATAGCCCCTCGGCCGACTTGGATCGCACCAGCTTGATGATCTGTGGCACTTTCACCACCACCGCTGCGCTGATAATCGCCACGCCCAATGCCTTTGAAATCGCCAGCGACACGCATTCTGGGTGTGAGGTCACGTCGAGGTCTAGTAGCAATGCGCTGTGGCATCGCTCTCCCAGGAGGCTGATGACCGCATCGTTGACCGGCCCCGGGAGCTGCGACGTGATGGGTAAAAGGTAGGGTTTGAGAGGGTCGAGAACGAGATGCTGAACTTGGTCCATGGCTCAGGCTACCAGTTCAGCTTTGGCCTTCCTTTTGGCGTCGGAGGTTTGAAGAGGATTGTTTGCGGATAGCGCACAATATCGGTGGTAGTGTTTGGGTCGCACAAGGAGAACAATCAATTGCGCGACAAAAGAAGCCTTGATTTGTTTTTTATTAGTTGTTAGGCCAGGGTGGCTCGAAAGGAATGACAACATTCAGTTGGGGTCACACCCCCGGTTTTTGGCAGTCGACGCACGTGCCGCTCTTTGTCTTGGCAGGGAGTGTAAGCTGCACGTGACAGAGATTCAGGGGCACTCAGCCTTGGGCTTACACTGGCAGTAGAAGACAAGGGAGTCAAGTTGAGGTTGTCAGCATTATTGGTAGCTGTGTGTAACCATTTTTTGAAGGAGCATAAAACTAGCGCTGCATCGCTATAAATATGCCTCTATTAGTACAGTACAAGAGACTCCAAGTTTCCAGGAGCTCTAAACCCATATGCCAATGTGACAATAATGTATGGAAATGCAGCACCAAACACGGATCTGCACCTGCCACATCGAGGCCGCCTAGCCAGATCATGCTATGCTTTTAGTGAGATCTGCGGACGTGGCTCGTCAAGATCTCTGTCTACTATGGCAAGGTGATAGGTTGCCAACTGTTCTTCTGTGAGCTCCGATGGCGAGCCCACAAACCGGTCTTGCCCGTCTGTGTGCTTTGGAAACGCAATGACGTCCCGCACACTGGGTGTGTCTGTCAGCATGGCCATCAATCGGTCAAAGCCCAAGGCAAAGCCGGCATGTGGTGGACATCCACTCTTTAAAGCGTTGAGTAGATGTCTGAAGTCTTCCACGCGCTCTGGCTTCATCCTCAAAATTTCTCGGAAAACAAGTTCTTGCATCTCAGCAAGATGGATACGACGAGAACCGCCACCGACCTCGACACCGTTGATTACTAGGTCGTAGTGATCGCCAATAATAGCCAAGGGATCGGAGAACAACTTTGACAGGTCTTGCCCGGGCTTAGGAGCCGTAAATGGGTGGTGAGTAGAACATATCCCGGCCATGCCACCCTGACCTGGCTCGGATTGGTCCGTGGGCGAGAACAATGGGAAGTCAATAACCCAGAGAGCCGAAAAGCCAACCGGAGCAGGAATTAACCCCTGAGAGACTGCGCTCTGATGGATATCTCGACGTAGATTGCCCAATACCGTCGAGCCTCCTGTGAAAGGCGCCTTTACGCGTGACTGCACGATGAAAATGTCTCCAGGTTCGGGCTCAAAGTCCTCTTCAAGTTTGGACGCGCCCTCGTAGCCAAAACTGGAAAGCCCACACAATGGTTTACTTGGGTCGTAAACAGACACCCCAGGTATCCCATCGGGATTATTGGCATAACCGGAGGAGGATGGTGCATCCAGGAAGGATCTGATGAACTGGCCGCTCTCAGAGGGGCTGCAGCCGTGCATGTCAATTTTGATCATCTCGACAATCGGATCCTCGAGCGAAGTAAGCATTCCCTTCATGTTGGATGGCAGCCAATCATCGATGCGAGAGATTTCTGAGCCAAGCCTAGTATCGGGCTTGTCTGAGCCATAACGAGCCATAACTTCATGATACGAGACTCGGGGAAAGGTCAGCCCATCCGAATCAGGGCCGCTCGCTGATTCCGCATCGTCCTTAATCGTATCGGCCTTCCGTATCGCGGCAATGCCCGGGACGCTTGGCCAAACAGCATTCAGGATAATGTCTTCCACGGTTCGCATGACTTGCGGCGCACCAGCGAATGACATCTCCAGATCGAGCTAGAGATAGTCAGCAGATGATCTCAGGTAGAATGCTTGGAGGAGGTTACCTGAGTGAATTCAGGTTGCCTGTCCGCTCTCAGGTCCTCATCGCGGAAACATCGAGCAAATTGGAAGTACCGCGATATGCCCGAAGCCATAAGCACCTGTTTGTATTGCTGAGGGCTTTGTGGGAGCGCGTAAGCCATTCCCTTCCGCCTAGTGGGTACTATAAATTCTCGAGCTCCCTCGGGTGTTGATTTGAACAGCAATGGCGTTTCAATCTCATCAAAACCCAGGCCCAGCATGCGTTGACGTATATTTGCAGCTACTCTTGACCGTAACCGTATTCGGCGGCGGAGTTCGTGGTCAGTCCTGAATTGCAGATGGCGCATCTCGGGTGGGAACACTGTATCGTAAGCCGCTATTGTCTCCGATGGAAAACTGTTGAGAGGTGAAATAGAGTCTGCGCGTATCTCAATGTGTGAAATCAGGTCGATTGACCCTACGAAAGGATCGAGCCTTTGAACTGTATTTTCTTCGCGTTTGCATTCTGTGGACCGGCTCGACTGAGTGGTCTGCTTGGGCGGTGCTTTTCGAGCAACAATAGAACCGACAACCTGTACAGGGGTGTGTGCCTGGATGTCCCCAACCATACTGTCCTCTCTTTCAGAAGCATTTTCGAGCACGGACTTGCGGGTCGTCTGAGGAGGCTCAGCGCCGCCCTTTGCCGATCCAAGGATATGCGAATTTATGTTCGGTCGTGGGAGAACGATTTGTATTGCAAGCTTCAAACTTGGATCAACAAGCTGGAAGAACTCGCACTGCTTTGCGGACCGTTGCGATGTAATGTAGCCAGGGACTACGACCCGGTCTGTATCGACGTTGCTCTTCGAGTCGTTCGTGGAGGATATGGTGCTAGGTTTGTATTTCAGTAGGCTGTCCCAGGTTGTCGAAATTCCAGGAAGAAGGCCTGCAGCGTCAGCGGGTGTCAGAGGTTCTCCATGTGGAATCTCTTACTGCTTCGTTCAAAACGCTCCAAGCAGCCATACTGTTTATCTGACAGGATCTTTCTTTGCGTAAGCGTGCTTCGATCCCCGTATTGTCGACTTCTGTCCGAAGGCTCGGCATTCAATGCTACCGTGTCTTTTGGAATGTTTGTGCTTGCATGTCGTATGCTGAGTGAAGTCCGAGTTGAGAGAACCCTACACCTAGGACTGTCGCATTGAATATGGGAGCGAACGTATCTTGAAATTTCCACGTAGCTTTGTCGCAGATGACACAAGCGCGTAGCAGGTCTCTGGAGACTCATATCCCGAGGGAGTCGCAGATATGTCAGGCTGCGCAGGTTCACAAATCAGTACGACAAGCGCTGCAGACGAAACTACTATGTAATACGTCCAAAAGTATCGCCCTGCCAGTGGGATCGACAGTTGGAGATCATGCCAGGTGCAGTGACGCGCAGGCAGATCGGGGCTCGGCGCGCAACCTCCGTTTTCCTGCTGGTATAAATTTCTGCAGCCGCATCGCACATTTTTCCTGTCTTCATCCCTCCTAGTTTTGGACAAGTGAGTGCTACCAGTGAAATGCTTTGTGAATACCTGCTAATATCCATCTAGATGATGAAAGCCTAGCGTGTACCGTATGATATGTCCCTAACCCGGACGCCAGCAAGCTCTCTCCTCGGAGCCTAAGTGGCCTGCTGGTCGATGGAATTTGGGACAATGATATCTGCGTTCGGCACACCCATCTTGTTACACCAACGAACGCGATGAAGGCATCTCTGATAACAGAAACATGGAGGGATTCAATTCCATTTTTATCCAAAAGTGTACACCCGGTTGTGGAGGCTGCGCGATGATGAGGCTTTTTGGGACTGCGGATTGCTTCCAGGCTGGCTCGTGCTAGTGTGGCTCCTATTTGCTCGACACCGTCGGAACCGACTCATAGTGCTCTTCCATGAATCTGCTCCATGCCTCCAGAGCAGCCTTGAGATCAGATGTTGACCCACCGAAAGCCACTCTCACATGTCCTCGGAACTTCTGCTTGTCGCCAAAACATTTGCTGGCTGGACTGATGAGGACACCCTCCTTCTCAAGGAGGCCCAAGCAGAATGCTTCGTCGTCGACCGGTTTGCCCATTTTGTGGAATTTAATCAGTGCAGTCGTCCCTGCCAGTGGTTTCACCCAGGAGCAGGCCCAGCTGTGGCTGTCAATGAATCCTTGAAGGAGTTCTAGGTTTGTTTGAGTTAATCTGATATTCCGTCCTAACAGCGCATGGATGCATCTATCGCTTACAGCCTCAGCCGCCACAGCTTCGTCAAGCTTTGATGCTGACATCGAGGTGTAGCGCCTGGTTTGTTTGCAGGCGTTGATGATGGCTTTGTCTTTGCAGGTGATCCAGCCAGCACGAACACCCGCAAGACTGTATGCCTTGCTTATTGCACCTGTCACAATGGCTTTCCTATAGCCCATGTTGACTGTTGATGGGGGAAAATCGTCGCTGGAAGGCAAAATGGAATGAAAGAGCGGTCTGTAGGTCTCGTCGGCTAGAAGCAGGATACCCTTTTCTTCTGCCACTTGTACGAGAGCTTCGAGAGTGGGCTTGGGCACAATCGCGCCAGTAGGATCACATGGGCTCTGAATCACAATCATTCTCGTGTTGTCCTTGATCAAAAGTTTCAATCCCTCAATGTCGAGCTGCCACTTCTTTGCTGGGTCTGCATCCCATAGTGTAACCTCGACTCCTAGAGAAGCCGGAAGCTTGTAGAGCAGCTCATCCACAGGATGTTGGCAAATAACATGATCTGCTGGTTCCAGCAGAGAGTGGAACACTGTATAATGGGCTGGTACCGCCCCATTCGTGACCACAATGTCATCTTCAGTGACCCCTCCAGAACGAGCAGAGTAGAGAGCAGCTAAATTTCTGCGGAAGTCAACGTTGCCTGCTGGATGGTCTTTTTCCTTGAGCTTTATGTTGTTCAGGCCAATCTTTTCTTCTGATTCCCCTCTGCTCTCAGAAATGTTGAGGAGCTCGCCCAGCGAAATGGGCGAGACACTTGACGAGGCCAGATCATGAGTAGCAGACAAGCTGTGTGCCTCGAACCACTGTAGACATGTGCATCAGCCACAGATCTCGCCTGACGATGCTCGAAATCTTACCTCGACAAACTCAAGCGGTGCTGCTTTCGACGCCAGCATGTTGACATCCACCAAGTACCTTGCCCGGCGATGTGGTTGGAGCTGCTGCGCAAAAAGGTGTGTCCGTCTTGCTGGTCGGAAATCCTATTGTACAGTGTACAGGTACAGTACATTCCAGAAACAATTCTGGTGCTGAGTCGAGAGGCCGATTGATGATTGACCGCGGGCGTGCGGAGAGGGCAAGAACTTCCCCACAAAGAGACATGAACTCATGACTAAGCCCGTATTTCGTATTCTACAGGCACCGTGACCGCTGCCACGATCGAACGATCATGGCGGGCCATAAATGTGCCGAGCATTCAATCCAACCTGCTTTCGGGGTAAAACGCCTCCGCCTGCGCCTACGCATCTCGTTGCTCCCGGTATCGCCTTCGATGTTTCTTGCTATGGTGTGATATCTTCCGTATCAGTTCCAGAATCAGACCGCGGCCGACAACATTGCTATCACTCGGCCTGGGCTCCAGTTCGAATGTCCGGTACCTGAGCATAAACAGTCTCCTTTCTGCTTCCGCATCTACTTCTCCCGTTACCACTGGCGGACGATCTTGCAGCTGTAGGCACCAGCCACAGCAACTGACGACGCTGCACGTGCGTGACATTAACGGCCTTCCTCAATGTACCTGCGCGGCTGCCCGCCGACCGTCCTCCTTATCGCCTCGGTATTGCTGGCGGCGGTGACGGCTTATCTCAACGATACCTCTGCGGCCTTGGTACAAGATCCCTTCTACCAACTTACCGACGGATGCCCTCCATGTCCGCGTTGCTTCGACTGTCACTATGACGAGTTCAAGTGCCTGCAGTTTGCAAACTGCAGCAGTCTTAACGGAAAATGTGTTTGTCCTCCCGGGTTTGGGGGTGACGACTGCGCCGACCCGCTGTGCGGGTCACTCGCAGATGGCAAGAACAGATCCCCGCGGAAAGGCGATAGATGTGATTGCAAAGATGGGTGGGAAGGAGTGAACTGCAATGTCTGTACCTCTGACAATGCATGTAATGCTATGATGCCCTTAGGTGAGGGCGGGCGCTGCTACAAAGATGGACTGGTTGTCCATGAAATGTACCAGGTCTGCAACGTCACAAACAAAGCGATCTTGGATCAGATTGATCCCAGGATTCCCGAGGTCACATTTTCATGCAACGCTGATCAGGCGACCTGCAATTTCCAGTTCTGGGTGGATCAGAAAGAGTCATTCTATTGCGCCTTGGACAATTGCACGTGGGAGGCTAAAGCCACCACTGCCCGCAACTCTACCAAATACACCTGCGAAAACATAAGGTGCTCTTGTATAGAGGATCGATTTTTGTGTGGTGAGGATGGCTCCGTCAACATCGATGAGTTTCTGGCAGAGGAGATTAAAGGACCCGCGTCCTTCTACACACAACACACCTATGGTGGAAGCTCTAAAGATGGCAGCAGATTTGAAGAACCGGCTATGAACAATCTGATCTCAATGATATTTGGCGATGAGTACATATCTCTCCAATGCCGAGGGGGAGAATGTCTGTACGAGACCGAAGTGCCAGGATATACGCGCCCCGTCAAAGAGATCAACACTCCTCTTATCGCAGGAGTCATTGCAGGATGCGCTCTTTTCGTTGTCGCGCTCACGCTCATTATCTGGTACCTATCACGGAGAGCTGCCTACAAGAGATGGGGCGCCATCCGATTGGGTGATGGCAGTGAGGATGATGCAGCAAAATCCATGGTGAACCACACCCCGATGGCTTTGCAATTTGAGAATGTCTCATATGACCTCAAAGGCAAAGAGATTCTGTCAGGTATTTCAGGTATCGCCTATCCCGGACAAATCACAGCGATAATGGGAGCTTCTGGTGCTGGCAAATCCACGTTTCTTGACATACTGGCTCGCAAGAATAAGCGCGGGACCACGTCAGGCAATATGTACGTGAATGGTGAAAAGATACCGGACGCGGAATATCGAAACGTCATTGGATATGTTGACCAAGAAGACACTTTGCTCCCAACCCTGACGGTGCATGAGACCATCCTCACTAGTGCTCTACTGAGGCTTCCGGCCGACATGGGTCTTCCCGTTAAGGAGCAAAGAGTCATAGAAGTGATGCAGCAGCTTGGAATTTATCATATCAAGGATCAGATGATTGGATCCGAAGAAGGCAATGGTCGAGGGATTTCTGGCGGCGAGAAGCGACGTGTCGGCATTGCTTGCGAACTCGTGACCAGTCCGAGCATATTGTTCCTGGATGAGCCAACCAGTGGGCTCGACGCATTTAATGCGTTCAACGTGGTGGAGTGTCTGGTTACCCTAGCAAAGACGTACAACAGAACTGTCATTTTCACCATCCATCAGCCTCGATCGAACATTGTTGCACTTTTCGACCAGCTCATCCTCCTTGCCAAAGGCAGAACTGTCTACTCAGGGCCGTTTTCAAGTTGCCAAGCATACTTTGACCACATTGGGTACTCGTGTCCCCCTGGGTTCAACATCGCAGATTACTTGGTCGATCTCACCATGCACGCCAGCCTTCCACGATCTCCTGTTTTCGACGACGTTGCAAGAGAGTTCCCAGAACGCGACGGATTAGGCACGGAATCAAGCAGTACGAGAGCTGTCAAATCTATTGCAAGTGCGTCCAACGTCAGCGTCGAAACTCCCAGTGACCCGTCCATTCGCACGAAACCCAAACGGCGCATCTCGTTGAAACAAAAGCAGGACCGGCAGCTCTTTACCCGTAAGAGGAGCGAAAGTGATACCCCTCCCACGCCCAGAACGGACGATGAAGATAACATTATCGCCAAAGCGACAGGAAGTGCGCGGAGCTGGCTGCAGCTGGCCAAACGTGATGGTTCAAATCCTCCGCCACTGTTGGAGGATCCGGACGATTTACCTCCCGACGCGAACTCAGATCTGGACAACCTGGTTTCCAGCTTCAAAACCTCTGATGTGGCACAAACCATTCACGACGAAATTTCCGCCTCCATTCAGGCAGCGTCGTCAGCGAACGGCCACGGCGTAGAAGATGGTAGCACGACCGAAGCGCACATTGGCACCATCAAAAGCTTCCGACGGGTCAGCTTGCCGCGACAATTCCTGATCCTCTCCCTACGAACCTGGCGGAATCTTTACCGCAACCCTATTCTTATGCTGACACATTATGCCGTTGCCATTCTGTTGGCAGTGCTCTCCGGATGGCTGTTTTACGGGGTAACGGACGACATTGGTGGATTCCAAAACAGACTCGGTCTCTTCTTCTTCTTACTCGCACTCTTCGGGTTTAGTACTTTGACCAGCTTGAACACCTTCAGCGCCGAGCGACTCATATTCGTGCGAGAGCGAGCAAATGGCTACTATGCGCCAATCACGTATTTCGCCTCTAAGGTGATGTTTGACATCGTCCCACTACGGCTGATCCCGCCCATCATCATGGGAATCATAATCTATCCGATGGTGGGCTTGTTGCCACAATGGGGCACCTTTTTCACGTTTATCTTGATATTGGTCTTGTTCAATCTTGCCGCCGCGGCCATTTGTTTGACCATCGGAATTGTCTTTAGAGATGGGGCGGTAGCCAACTTGATTGGCAGCTTGGTGATGCTCTTCAGCTTGTTGTTTGCAGGCCTCTTGCTTAATTTGAACCATGATGCTACGCAGATGGCTGCCCAGTGGCTGCAGAAGGTAAGGAGTTCTTTTTTGTCTTGTTTTTTTGTTGGCCAAGCTAACCTGTGTTACAGTTGTCGATCTTCCACTATGGCTACGAGGCGCTGATTGTCAACGAGGTGGCAAAGTTGCGTTTGAAGGATCACCGCTATGGACTCGATATCGAGGTGCCAGGAGCAAGCATTCTCAGTGCATTTGGATTCGACAACTTGGCCTTATGGAAGGATGTGATTTCGCTGGGGATATTCGGAGCTGTCTTTATCGTCATTGCATACGGGGCTATGCATTTCCTGCTTGTTGAAAAGAGATAGCTGTGCCCTAATGATTTCGATGGTATCTTGGACTTACTTCAGGGGCGGTCATCTGTGCACTTCGGGGAGTATGGGTACATAGCTAGGTAAGGTAGGCGGCTACACCGAGACCAAGGGTGACATACACGTAGCGACATAATACATCAACTTGTGAGTCCTGCATACAAGGACGGATTGCCGTCGTATTCAAGCTGGCAAAATGCAAACAGAAGCGTGACTGAGGCCAAAATGGCCCGTTACGGTGCATCTCGGAAAAGGAATTCGAGCATCTCGGAGACCAGGGTATGATGGTACGACCACAGACCCCGATCTCGGAGAGCGGTGCTTTGCGGGGGAGACTCGCGGCCGGGCTTCAAGTTCTCCTCGGCTTCCACCCATGGCACCACAACATAACCAAAACTACTAGTACTCCATGTTTCTGGATATGTAAACAATCACACGACAGGCTCTGAAGCGCTATTATTCAGCGTATATCTTTTCAACTGTGAATGCCCGACCCTTCATCATCAGCTGCTGTGAGCCCTCGATGGCTACCGTAATCCGCAGGTGGCCTCGTTGCCCGGGCTCTCGGCCCTGTCCAGGCGCTCGGTTGGCTGGAAACCGAAGTTTTTCAAGTTCTGCGTCGTCCAGACGGTCGAGCTCATCAGACGCACAATATGTAGCGGAGGCGTTTCTCAACAAGTTTTCCAAGGGACAGACGTTTGTGCGCAAACAATTACTCGATGCCAACCAGCTGCGATTGTTTTCCCTTACTTTAAACCGGCCACATCTATGGCCCAGTTCAGCTTTACTGTCCAAAACGCTGGAGGAGACGGAGCCACTGGCCGGAACACCTGTGCCGGCGGGCTACCATTTAATCTACTTCACACCGGCTCAGCTTGAAGGTATCCTCGGACAAGATGGGACCGATGCATCATTCAACCCAGAACCTCCATTTACACGCCGCATGTGGGCTGGAGGATCGTGTCATTGGCCTGGCGCAGACCCCGGTAACGGTGAACAGGCGCTGCTAAGGGTAGGCGACATCACGACAGAGGTGACGAGAGTGTTGAGTTGTGAGCCAAAGGTGATCAAGAAGACGGGCGAGAGTATGCTCCTGGTGGGCGTTGAAAAGGAGTTCCGCAACAGTAAGGACGAGCTCTGCGTGCTGGACCGACGCAACTGGGTGTTCAGGACGGCCCTGGATCCCTCCACGCCGGCACCCGTGGTGCCTAAGCCTCCCGAATTGTCTCCAGCCGAGCTCGAGGAAGCAGCGAAAGGCAAGATCGTCAAAGAGTACAATCGCTCCGAAGTCACTCTTTTCCGGTTCTCAGCCTTGACGTTCAACGCTCATCGGATCCATTACGATAAGCCTTGGGCTACCGAGGTGGAAGGTCATCGGGGCGTCGTCGTCCACGGACCCATGAATTTGATTGCCATGTTGGATTTGTGGCGCGACGAGACCGTCGACCAGGGTGTAGGCACCGCCCGTAACGACATTGTGTACCCTCAAAAGATCAACTATCGCGCAACCAGTCCCGTGTACGCAGGGGAGCCGTATCGTGTCATGATGAATGCGGATGCGGTCGATGCGAAGGAGGCAGATATCGTAGTGGTCAGCAACGACGGCACAACTTGCATGAAGGGGACAGTGACTGATTGGTAGCTGTCTCTATGGTGTATATACAGAAAATAATATGGCCTGGAATATCAATGAAATAGGCACCCAGCTGTTGATTTGAAGATGATGCCTGGCACCTGCATCCTGAAGCAATCAGCGAGCCCGAGGATGGAGGAAGCAGGCAGCAGCTTGTTTACTGTTTGCCTGCATAGCTGTTACTTTCAATGCGTGCGTACCGTGTTGTAGGGTCTAGTACAGCTGCGTACAATATACGGTGTAGATACTGCTGGTGAGGAAGATCCAATGGCAGCGCACGAGGCTGTGTCCTTATCGTGCTTATCGGACAAGGCTGAGACTCGAGCAGCCAGTCACAATGGAAGGTTCTAGTAGCTTCCACACGGAGATAAACCGCGTGCTGCCCGATGCGTCATTCCTGGCCCGTCACTTTGTCTCTCATGTTCTGCCCAGTTCTGGGAAACACCGCACGATACCTTGGAGAGCTCTCTTGATTCAATGCACAGTCTCGTGCTAAAATAAGGAGATTCCTGATCACCCAGACATACTGCGATCTGACTCGATCATTCTATCACCCACAAAAGACTAAATCCCGCAGCCCCAGCCGACGAAGCCTTGTACCGTCGCTACTGCACCCTCCCGTCCTATTTCTCACCCTTCCCGTCTGTTTCTCTCTTTCCTCCCACACAAGAGTACACACGACTTAAACAACCCTCAACATCAACCAATCACAAACACAAACTCGCCATGGTAGCAGAGACCAAGCTATACGATGCACTCTCTGTCTCTCCTACTGCCTCTCAAGAAGAGATCAAGAAAGCATACCGGAAAGCAGCCCTGAAATGGCATCCAGACAAGAACAAGGACAACCCCGCTGCTGCTGAGAAGTTCAAAGAGGTGTCCCAGGCATATGAAGTGCTCTCGGACCCAGAAAAGAGAAAGGTTTACGATCAATATGGCCTGGAGTTCCTGCTGAGAGGAGGTCAGGCACCTCCTCCAGGTGCTGAAGGAGGCATGCCTGGAGGAGGATTCCCAGGAGGTATGCCTGGCGGCTTCAGCTTCGGCGGAATGCCTGGCGGTGGTGGTGGAACTAGGACCTTCCACTTCAGCACCAATGGCGGCTCAGGCTTCAACTTCTCCGATCCCAACGACATCTTCTCCAATTTCAGCCGCAGCGGTGGCCTAGGCGGAGACGACGACGATATCTTCAATATCCTAGGTGGTGCCTTCGGAGGTGGTGCAAGAGGAGGCGGTGCCAGAAGAAGTGCCGGAGGATTCGGCCAGAGACAACAACAGCCCCAACCTCGGCCTCAGACACCCGAAGTTACCGTCGTGGAACGCCAGTTGCCCGTCAGCTTAGAAGACATGTACAAGGGCGCCCACAAGAAGATGAAGATCAAGAGAAAGACATTCAATTCACAAGGACAACGGACAACGGAGGACAAGATATTGGAAATGGACATCAAGCCTGGTTTGAAGGCCGGCTCGAAGATCAAATTCGCTGGCGTGGGCGACCAAGAAGAGGGTGGAAGTCAAGACCTGCATTTTATCGTCGCCCAAAAGCCGCATCCAACACTCACGCGTGAGGGTGACAACCTGAGAACCACCATCGAACTAGACCTGAAGGAGGCCCTCACGGGCTGGCAACGAACAGTTACAACCATTGACGGAAAGCAGCTGAAGGTGTCAGGCGCCGGACCTACAGCACCGGGATATGAAGAGAGATTCCCAGGTCTGGGCATGCCCAACAGCAAGAAACCCACCGAGAGAGGTGACTTTATCGTCGAGGTCAAGGTCAACTTCCCCAAGTATTTGACTCCCGAACAAAAGGCCAAGATCAAGGAGGCCCTATCATGAACGTCTTGATAAATGGGAATATGCCAACGCCGGCAGTTCATGGCACGACATCCAAAGAGTCTGGTAGTCATGAACAGTTTTACATGCAAGCACCGTTGAGCGGTGAACTGGAGGGAAGACAGTCGCGGATCCTGGACGCACAAGCATAGTCCACATGCGGATCAGGCGGCCTTGGAGGTGGTCAGCGTTGACGCTTGATATGAGCAGTTTTGACAGCCGGGCTTCTGTTTAGATTGAAGCCCATGGTCATGGAATCACTGGGAGTGGTGCTCGCGTGGACTCCTAAGGTACGAGGTTCACGAAAGAGACTGCTCCTCGTTGCTTTGGTTTGGTACATAGGTATCCAATGGTTCACGAATTGCCGTCTTTGTTTAGGTGTTAGAGGAGAGCCAGCCTGAGAATATTAATTATCTCTTGATAATATTTCACTTCTTTGTAGACTTCTCGCCTTTCGAGTAGTACTAGCTGAGGGGTCTTTCTATTCGTCCATTTCTGGTGGCTTAGTCTGTCCTTTCCTTGTGCGATGTTCTACACCAGAGGCAAATATAACCTTGTTCTACATTCCAGGTCGTGCAACACTAACAAAAATATGCCAGATCAATCAGAGACCCTTAGCAGCCATCAGCTGGCGGATAGCTGCTCCCGCCTTTTCTTCGGCGTCCAAGAAAAGCTTCTCGGCATCTTGGAGTCTCTTTTTGACCACTGCATTTCCCTGAATGAATTGGTCAAGCTGCGCTCCCCCGTTGACCACGTAATCAGTCCGAGTCGTCGCCAGGACCCCGTCCCAATCCTCCCCTGAGAGCGGATCCAGGTTTGCCAACGTCTTCAATCGTTCTGGAATCGTGAACTCCGCGTAGGGATGGTCCGGTTTCTTTTTCGTGACTGGCGGAAGTGTATCGGGGGTCTCCAAGAGTGCCTTCAGATTGTGGGCTTGAATCGTGATATGCTGACAGCCCAGTTCGGCCATTGCAAGGATTTCGGCCGTGTTGAAATGACTGCATCGCGCCATGTCATGGCGAAATTGTCAACATGTGCATCCCACGAGGGATTTCAACGACGACTTGGGACTCACCTCGCAATGATCATGATTGGTTGCTCCTCCCCCGTCTCGGCATATGCTTTGGCAAAAGTGTCAAGGATGTGGATGACGCGAGCTGACATTGGATGCTGGGACACCAGATTGTCAGTATCGTCCTGGACTGCTCTGCATGCATCTACCCAGTAGGTGACAACTTACCTCGAGAGCTGGATCGCTAACATTGGGACGGAGCGAAGGGTCCAGATGGGCCGCAATCTCTGGACAGCAAGGTCAATTTTCACAGTGTACTTCTTCTTGGTTGGTTTGAGCAATCCTACCATTATAGTACGGGCTGATGAAAAGGCAATTTGACTGGCTTGCAGCGATGGCTTGCTCCAGAGAAAAGACCGTCGTGGCCAACGTACGAATACCTTCGGCGTTGAGCTGCGCAGCTGCTGAGGCAGCGGAACCCGAAAACGGCAGCTTGATGGCGAAGCGGTCTCTGGGGACACCGGCCCCCTTGAATCCTTCTGCAAACGAACGACATTGTTTGATAATGGCTTCCCGGTCGTTGAGGTGGCGCAGGGAAACCTGTAATAACACCCGGCCGGACAGGTAGGGTACATTTCTGGCGCATAGAGCGACGGCCTAGCAGGAGAAGGCGTCAGTAAGTGAGTATTCTCGCAGGTTCCTGGCGACCTGGGGTTTCTGCAACGCACCGCCATATCGTAGACTCTTTCCCAACCTTCCTTTCCATATTTGTTGACCAGTTCCTCCAGAAGAGGTTGGTTCTCGGGACTCAGCACTCTTGCGTCACGATGGCTTGGTTTGATGTCTCTGTTCGCAACGTACAACGGTCAGTCAATGGACTCCTAAAACTTTTTGTGCATTCGAAAGACCCGCATGCGAGCCTTCCTCGAACGCGGAAAGGGCACAGTTTGACGCACGGTTGTGAGGGGTGAATGGGACGAGCTTGATGACCTCGGTGTTGACATCGTCGACGTCGACGTTGATGAGCTCTTCAAGCCTCTCCAGGAGCGATCGTGTCGGCATAATTGGTTTAGGCTGGTCTTGTATCATATAATTTCGTCGACAAATGCAACAGACATCTGGTGCAGGAACGGCTGTTGATGGGGTATTCATACTCTCCCTGAGTAGCAGGCCGACGGGCCTTGTCGGGCATCATCATGGGGTTCTGCTAGTCTCAAGATTCAAAAGTCCGCTGGTGAGTCTTCAGGGTTGCACTTACCATCATACCCTTCCGGTGGCATGTTTGGACGGCATGGGTGAGCTGAGGGCTGACGGGCCATGTTGCGCCGGTTTGTGCAAGCTTCACACCGGCATGGGGGTCCCATCGCCCGGACCTCCCTATCTGCGCAGGATGATGGCTGTAACTAGATGCAGCAGCTAGGCAAATTGCCCTTCTCAGGATATCAGAGGACGCAATGATGAACTGTCCGCGGTCGTGGTGGGTCCTCTTGCGGCTTTCATTTTTGGGCCTGCGGAGTATACAGCCTTGCCGATGGCCCATCTTTCGCCGCTCGAGTTACCTTGCGTACTACGTGGTTACAGCATGGACATCATGTTATTGGACCGCATCTATGCTGTGCGCTGCGAGCCCGACAATGGTACGCGGCTCGTTATGCTCATGATGTGGTTGTCCTAGGAGTCGCCAACTTTCATGTCAGATGCTCTGAGCAAAGACCACGCTATACGGCATTCAATATCCGGCCGGCCAGTCCCCGGTAACATTCGTCTATCGGTGGTAGGATGTGTCCGGGCAGAAAACTCGACGTGCTCACACATTTCCCGTGGGAAATCCTTCGCTCGATGCCGCGAAGATATAAAAGACAGACAGTGCTCCATTCCCGAAGAAAGACATTCTCTGCAATAGCACTTATTGTCTGCCATGGAGACTGCCCCAAGAGACATCTTACCCCAGTTTGACCACAGAAATGGTCACATGAACGGGGTCCATACATCGAAAGGTCGTCATACGCGGGATCTGTTCCTGCTGGATGGACGAAGCATCATCGGTCAGTGGTTGCAATATATATTCTCTCTCCCCATCCACTCCCTGTTGCCATCCCCTCGCCGTTATTGTGAAGACATAACCTTACCGCAACCTCGATACTCTACCCATTGCACTCATCACCCACGATTAACCTGTTTTTGACCTGTAGTGACCGGCGCAACCGGCGGTCTGGGTTTACAGATTGTCAAAGGCATACTCGAATCAGGAGCGGACGTGCTTGCCATCGACAGAGTGGACACACCGAAGAACAATCCCCAATGGGGTAAGATCGAGTTTCAACAATGCTGCCGACGCGGCTGACAAGGCCCCAAAATACAGACGAATTGACAAGAACAGCCGACAAGAACGGGACGATTTTGACCTACCACAGATGCGACATTTCAGATCCCCACTCAACAAAAGCAGCGTTCAACGAGGCGGTTTCGCATGCTCGACATCCGCTTCGAGGCCTCGTCAACTGTGCGGGTATTGGCACAGTCGGCCCGTCAGTCAGTTTTAATATGGACGAGGCAAGAAAGATCATTGAAGTCAACCTCTTGGGCACGATGATCTGCGCACAAGCAGCCGCCAGACTGATCCAACAACAGAACCACAACTTGCCTGCCAGTTTTGTCCTTATTGCCAGTATGAGCGGTTACGTTGTCAACAAGGTGAGTTTGCTCTGCGAACAGACCAGTTGTACCCCATGCTTTTAGGCCCGATACCAACATCTTCACATAGGGAACACCTGTCGCAGCCTATGCAGCATCCAAAGCAGGTGTCCAGCAGCTCGCCCGGAATCTAGCATCAGAATGGGGAGGGAACACAGAGGTAGCCTTTTGCAATAGCACCAAGGAGGAGGAGAAACAAGCAGAAGGATCATCTGATTTTCCTCCTTCCATTATCCGGGTCAATACAGTCAGCCCCGGTGTCATAAGAACTCCAATGACTGCTGGGGTCCTTACCCATGAGCATCTGGAACGTCTGTGGACGGACCAGACTATGCTGAAACGCCTGTCAGTGCCAGAGGACTATGTTGGGCCAGTGCTGTTTCTGTTGTCAGATGCGAGTGCTTATGTCACGGGGGCGGATCTGTTGGTTGATGGTGGATATACACACTGGTAAGCGGCCATCCACGGCTGCTCTGTGCTACCAAAGCACCAGGTACTGGGACCCTACAGCGACACCTATGTACTTCTTCTATCTGTTCAATTAGAGAGAAAGGGGTATTGCCGCAGTTAATAGCAGTATTTGGGAGACTACCTGAAATAGGCTTAAAACTAAACAAAACCCAATTGGAGACAAACCCCGCTAAGCCACATCCACGTGACACCCACCGCTATGCCCTGTTTGTCTGCCCCAGCCGTGCTCGCACCTACCGTTGTAGCTCGGTCAAGCCGCAGCCGGGCCGGTCTCCATCTCTCTGGCCACTCACAGTCACTTCTCGTCACTCGTTCAGGGCGGCTTCCCACCCTTCAACCTCGCCTGCGCTGCGCTGCGCTGGGCTGCCTCCCGGCCAACAAGTCGACGACATCGCTGCTTGTCTCATCTCCTCCTGCTCCCAAGTGCCGGATTACATCTTACCTGTTCGGGACGCGTTCTGTCTCTGTCTTCATCCACTCTACTCGATCATCAACACAGGTCGTTCTGCGGTTCCCTCCCTCTCTACCTTACGATTGTCGCGTCGCCGCTGCAGCGTCTCGAGAGCCTCCGTTCCACCATCATCGCGTTACCCTCTCACGCTCCACTTGAACGGTGTGTATACTGTCCTGCTCAACCCCACACGACCACCCTACACCAACCTCGGCCTTTTCTTTTTCCAGCACGACCGCCGTCCTGGCCATTAGACATTTCTTCTGATGGTCCCGCGCATGTTGTGCTGTTTATACTGACAGAACTTGTTTTTACGCTTAGACGAGGAAATCAATTGGCCTCTTATCTCGGCGACCGAGCCTCCATCGCGCGACACATACCCAGCAGGCATCATGTCCGTAAAGTTCGAAAAAGAGCAGGTCCGAGCGACGGCGCCTTTCGTGCCAGGAGGCCGCGATGAGACCACGGCGCATAAAATCGGGGAAGCCCTCACGGGCGGGAAGCAACAAACAGGTTATCTTGCTGTACGCGTGCCCGCCATGTTGCGATATTATCAAACCATCTTTGGGGAGGGAGTATGAGCTCATTGCTCACATTTATTATAAACAGGCATATCTCAAGCAGCTGCAATCGAATCCGCTGCGCACAAAGATGTTGACCTCGGGCACATTGTCGGCATTGCAAGAACTTTTGGCGTCGTGGCTCGCCCACGACCGCAGCAAACATGGCCATTACTTCAGCTCACGAATCCCCAAGATGGCCATTTACGGCGCCTTTATCAGCGCTCCCATGGGCCACGTTTTGATCGGATTTCTTCAATGGATCTTTGCCGGTCGCACCAGCTTGAAGGCAAAGATCCTCCAGATTCTGACCAGCAACCTGGTGGTATGTTTATGACAACTCCTTTTTCTATTCCATGGCGCGAACAAACAAGGAACTAATAATCACTTTTTGGGAAATATAGATCGCTCCAATCCAGAACACCGTCTATCTGGCCTCGATGGCCGTCATCGCCGGCGCACGTACCTGGCACCAGATCCGTGCCACCGTCCGTGCTGGGTTCTGGCCAGTCATGAAAGTCAGCTGGATTACTTCTCCTATTGCTCTGGCTTTTGCCCAGAAGTTTTTGCCCGAGCAGACATGGGTGCCCTTCTTCAACATCGTCGCCTTTTGCATCGGCACCTATATCAACACCCATACCAAGAAGAAGAGGCTCGCAGCGCTGAGAAAGAAGGTGAGCTCATCCTGTTCTGTGGTCCCGCGCAGTCCCAAGGCTTGGAACTGATCAACTCACTTTTTTGCTTTAGCACTATGGCGATGGAAGGAGCTCAAGTGGCCGCCCTGATGACCGATTCTGAGCCGTCTTTATTTTATACTGGTGCCAGAGGAAACTGGGGTACAACTTGAATGGTGGATCATGGAGCCAAGTCTTTCCCACTTGTTTGGCCTTGATAGTTGCACTGCTATAACTGAGCCGCCATCCGCAAGGATTCTGAGGACTGGACTGGGACTGGGCGGAAGATCAACCACGCAGGCTTACTGCAAGTTGGTTGCTTTGGTGCCATTATCAATGTCTTGGAGTCGTGGCCTCGTTTTTCGCCGAGCATGAGACGGAGTGTAATTTATGCGAGGACAGGTGAATATTGTGAGCAGAGAATGAGGCTTAGTTGTTCCTTGCCCGTGTTACTCCTTTTACACACTAGTACATGGTGGTGTTCTCAACCCGATACTGCCTATCTTCCGTTGAATTGCCTACGCGTACAATTATACCCATCTTGTCAAGTGGTGCCCTGCAGCAACAGATGTACATACATGGCTATGCGCACTTAGCCATCAGCCAGTCAGCACCAGCATGCGAAAGTAGTCGGCACGTCCGGATGAGCGCGGTGTGTTTCGCCAAACTCACAATGAGACAGTCAATCTTGAGTAGATACTGCAGGTATGTATTCATGTCTCGTTTCCATCCGTCTACTAGTACTAACTAAGAGTAAGAGTCTTCCCGGTACAACGCCGTCACCAAGAGTCGTAGCATACTACTGATAGTAGCATTTCGCAATTTGTTGTCACAACCACCGCCACCATCACGCCATCACCAACACCAACACCATAACAACGTCATCGATCGTAAGATAAGATATGCATCTACCAGCAGTATTTATCCAAATACAGAGACACGGTATCGGTATTGCAATTCCAGTCATTCGCTACAGGCATGCAGGAGGGGGAATGAAATCGTCAGTGTTATGCGCCAGTCCAAGAACCCAGGCCAAGAATTTCCAAACATGACCAAGACCAAATCGAAATCAGGCAACATATGAGTACGTGTTGCCTTCTTCACGCTCCATGTAGTCTTTCTCAATGAGCCTAGAGAGAGAAAGAATGTTAGCCATGAAATATTGAAAACTGTGCCGTGGACTCCGAAATTGACCAGTGCCTTTCTTTTTTGAAAGGTGGGCAAGCCCGGAGGGGGAAAAGAGGAGGAAGAGAGAAGAAACGACAAACACTCACTTTTCAATGTTACGCTTGATGTCGGCCTGATCCAGCACGCCGCGAGACATAGTGGCCTTGATGACCTCGACGATGAGTTCGTTGTGGGTGATTTTCTTGCGGGATTTCATGATGCGCACAATGGCCGCCTGGGTCTCGTAGTGCCGATCGGCCGCGACACGTTGATGCGTCTCCTTGTTCTCTTCTTTGGTTTCCTTGAGCTGGATCTGATTGATCTTAATGCGAAGCTTGGCGTCCGTGAAGCCGGCGTTGAAGGTGAATGTATCGGTCTCGTCGACGTCTCGACCTCGAGGATGTTTCTGGAGAACTTGGTACTTAGCGCATGCGAGGGATTGGAGTGTTCGTTTTAACTCGGCATCGACTAGACCGGTCGAGGCTTTGATTTCCGTATACGACAGATGTTTGTCGGCGGGGATATCGTTAAACAGCAGCAGCACCACGGCTTGGAATCCAGATACCACAAGTTCCTTGTAGCCGCGAGGGAAGTTCGCCCGGAGCTGACAGTGCGCGAGGGAGTGTTTCCACGACAGTTTCCGCCCACTGTGTTTGGACTTGTAGTGCGCTTCAAAGTCCTCCATGACCTTGGAGATCTCGGGCGGGATGTTGACTGCTACATCCGGATACGTGGGCCAAGCAGCTGCCGAGAGAACATTGACGTTGAGATCGGGAGTTTGCTTGATTCCCCGGTCATCTAGGAGTTGTTTATACGACAGCATTTCCTCGCGTGCGAGGTCCATGTCTTTGAACATGGACTCTAGGTTATGTGTGAATGCCGCGCCACACTCGTTCTTCAGCCGGGTAAGCATGTTTCTTTCGGCGTCGAAGGAGGCGCTTCTCCCCATGAGCAAACGTCGAGCCAAGTCTTTCTTGTAGAAGGCCTCAAACACCGCCTTTCCGTGCACGAAACGAAACAGATCCAGAGCGTTCGACAGGTGTTGGTTGATCTCGGCGTCTTCGTCCGCTGGTGCATCGTCAAAGTCGTTCTCCTCTTCGGGCTTTTGTTTCTGTAGACGTGGAACGGCCTTGACCCCGCCCTTTAGCAAGAGATCGACGTGTTTCGCTATCATCTCTCCCGGTTTGGCATTGTCAGTGTCCCAATTCGACTGAGATTTCTTGGTCTTGTTGATGAACGTCTCGAACGATTTATGCAGCGCATTTCCAAGCGCCTCGTTGTTGTGGAACGAGTACTTCAGGATCCGGTCTAACCTGCTCTTGAATTCCAACAGCCTGACCACCATCTCCGACTCCCGCTTCTCATCGAACACGATCAAAGATCCTTCTGTCTCAACAAACTTGCTGAAAGTGGGAGCAAGCATCTCTCCATGTCCCTTACGTTGTAGAAGAGTGTAAAGCCGTTCCAGCTCTTGATATTTGTCTTCCTCTAAAAGATCCAAGACGCTGTCATCGTTGGTAAGCAGGTCAACTTCCTCTTCAATTAGAATGGTGTCAAAGAGATCGGCAAGGAGCGTTCGCGTGCTTCGATCCAACGTCAGGAAATCGCAACGCGCCATCTCTCGTGCAAGTAGCTCAGTACAATTGTTGACATAGTCCGCCAGGTCGTCCTTGTTGGCATCTGTCTCACGCCAACTTCGGAAAAACTTCTCGGTGGTGGACACGAACACAGGCTCAAAGCTGCTAGTGTATATGCTCAGCTCATGCAACGCGTCCACCGACTGACGCAGAAGACTGGTGTCCTTCTCATTCAGCTGTCCCCGCCGGTCAGCGTCGATGAGACCGACAACGCCCGACAAAACCTTCTGCTGGATGACCTGATCTTGGAAAACACAAGATCGGAACTTGATCAGACCCATCTGTGTGATACTCGGGTTCTCCGCGGAGCGAAGCAAATAAGTCTGATCCAAGTAGTAGAATATCTGCCGGACTGTCAACAACTGCTTCTGCCAGGTAGCCCAAGCGCTGACGAAGGCCCGAAGCACTTCCGGGTCTGAAGAGTGTTCCTCATCCCGCCGAATTCTATCCCTGACATTGTCGGTAAGATGCGATTCGCACTTCTTGCTCAACCGGGAGTAGAGTTCAGGAGCCTTGCCCTGCCGACAGACATTCTCGGCACCCTTGTAGAGTTCCTCCAAAGAATATGGCTCTTTCTCATTACTGAAGATTGAATCTAGGGCCTTGTCCTCCTGCGTCCATATCTGCTCGAAGTACTGCTGGGGATCTATCCGAGGTACAGTCCGTAGGTTCTTGACCACGAGTTTCTTGGGGCCTTGGTGAGGATTGAATGGAGTTTTCGGGCCCGCAAATGAGGCCTTTCTCTTCTGTGATGACTCCGGGGACGATGGGGACGAAGAGGTCAAATCGACGAGGTTGCTCGTGGCGGAGCGGGACGGTGTGAACGAGTACATGTCGGCATAGGAGGATTTGCCAGTGCCGCCTTGTTGCTGTGATTGCGGTGCCAGAGTGCCCATCCTTGTCGAGTTGCCGTGCTTGCTTCTCTCTCCCTGCCCATTCACAGTGTTGTCATTCGATCCACTGCTCTGCTGCGACGAGAGAAGGTCGGCAATCGAGATTCGATGCTTCTTGGAGGTGTCGGATGACGTGCTCTCCTCGTCGCTGATTCTTCTCTTTGAGGATGTTCTGGACAACGTCCCTCGTTCCGCAGCTTTGCCTTTCCCTGGTGTAGTCATCTAAGAATGTGTCCGTCGGTTGATGGGCTAGGCGGAGAGGAGAGATACAGGCGTTCTGACGACGTCGACTTGCTGTGGATCGATGAATGAGAGCCACAAGACGAGTTGCGGCGATTGGCGGACTTAACCATTTGCCGCAAAAGTATCGAGGCTTCCGGAACTGCACGTAGCGTAGCGTAGCGTTTCCATAGGGGCCACTACGAGATTCTGGATGTGTCGTTGAGCCGCCTGGTAAGCTCCCCGCAAGGATCAAAACAGCCTAATGCTCCGCTGTATGAGTTTCACCGGTCAAGCATTCCCTCTAACGCGTACTTTAAAGTGCGACACGTCCGACGCGTCTTGATCCCGCTGCAGTGGACGAAAATACAACACAGCGAACTTGGACGCCGCAATCAGAATAACAGGCACCTACCACTGTGCAGTACTACCTCGTATCTTTCGCCATTGCAATCGTTGTGTTCTTTCGATCCTGTACAGTTTTACACAGAACACGCAATCCAACCAGACAAGCACCAACCACCCACCATTCTACGGTCTCCTCCAGGTCCTGGTAGCAAACAACACTTCCACTCTCAATCCATCACCCTCTTGGACTCTCCCATTTTCAACATGGCCAGTTCCATGTCAACACCCCGGATCCTACCCGGCCATCTCCACGCATTCGCACCAGGCGGCAACTCCCACAACACCGTCCGCATGCTAGGCACCATCACCACGGTCAGCGGCGACCAAGCAACGCTGACCTGTGGGAGCGATGCAGTCACGATTCTTTTGAACAGGTACAAACATACCCCTCCTCCTTCCCGCTTCCCCGTCCCTCCCATTCAACTATCCAAAAGCTAACAAAATCTCACAACAGAGATTCCCATCTCTCCGTGGGTTCATTATACGAGATCGTCGGCAAAGTGGTCAATATCGACGGAGGACAGGGTCTGGGATTGCGCGTGTTGAGCAGTACAGAGTGGCCGCGGAACGAGAAGGGTGAATTGCCGGATATCAAGTTGTTCGAGGCCGTGGTCGACGTCACACACCGGTATAAGAGCATATTCTACGACGATGGCGAAGCCGGTGGCGCGGATGGAGGGTATTGAGAGACAGAGCCACACGGTTCAGCTCCTCCTCCCTTTCTGAAGCACAGGTCTGTTTACGCCAATATCATGAATGATGTTGAACAATCAAGAAAAGCCCATGATTTCTTGCAGATGGCTACCTATGGAAGACAGTGTATTGCGGGATGGCAACGGGCTCACCCTCCGCAAAAATGAACACTTAACGTCGGTTCAAAACTTGGGCATTTTACGCAAGAGGTGTATGCAAGATAGAGCAACTTCACAAAAGGATGTTTGGTTTTGCATTAATTTCTTAGCTCGGCCATATAGGCTGGCACACTGATGTTTTTATCATTATCCACGTGAAAAACCACGATGCTGTGAAGGATCTCTTCCGCTGAGAAGTACACCACTCAAGTAAAACACATATAATCCAAAACATATGTCCGTTGGATGGACATCCTCCGCCAGCTCAGTCATTGTGCTGTTTCCGCGGACTTCTTCGCCGAGGATGAGACATCTTTGCTCCCGCGGCAGTGTCTGGATCTGGATAAGTGGAATGCCCATCATGAGGATTCGCATCCGCTGCAATGATCTCGTCCCACAAAGCGTGCTCATTGGTATCCAGGAAATTGAAAAGACCTGGAGGCGGTGAACTCGGCATCGTGCCCTGGGTCGCGAAAGGATCTGGGCAATCGCTGTTCAAAGGGTCGGTAGTCAGTTCAGAGAAGCTGAAGTTGAGCAATTGGTCATGCGAAATCGGAGAAGAGTTCTTTAGAGACGGTAGGTCGGGAAAGTCGAAATTGAGAGCCTTATTCGGCGAGTTTTTCTTCGACGATCTGCGTAACAGCTCCTTCTCTTCCTCGGGCAAATCCATTGGTAGCGGAAGGTCGCTGGTCAAGGCATCGTGGATTGATCGGGTGAATGGCGTCATCTCCACCACGCTTTTGTGTGCAGTGCCTAGCAATGCGGCCAGTGCCGGATGTGCTGATGATTTTGCCTTTGGAGTGCGGAAGGTGGAATGTGATTCATGATTCGGCGACAAAGCAGCACCGAATTGTCGTTGAGGGGTCTTTGAAGGCGTCTTGAGCAACAGGCGTTCTGACCGTCTCTTTGGAGTCGGTGTCATAGGAGGAAGTTCCACCTCAGCAGGCCCTTCTTCAAAGAGATCAGCCAGGTCGTTGTCAATGACTGCTGGTGCTGCCACCGGAGCAACATTCTCCTTCCCATCCACAACTACTTCAACGGCGCCTGCGGGTAACGCGAAAGCGTCCCTCGTCTTATTGAGTCTTGGACTTCGCCGAACACATGCCGGGAGGTTGGTGGCGGATTTGGAGGTCAGTGCGACCGGACCCGGGTCAGATCGAACCTGTAGTTTCTCTGGAGATGGGAAAAGTTGCCTTCGTACTGGTTTTGGGGTAAGATCGATCTCAATGGGCACACCTTCCGAACCCTGTGCTTGTCCAGGACTTGATTGTATCTGTCTGCCGGGAGCTCGATGGCGAAAGCTTGTCTGCAATCCCCTTGGCCCAGGGTCGGCACTACTAGCCCTGAACGTATGTGGCATCCGAGGCAGTTGTGGTTCAGCATCATCAGCCACGAGATCTTCGTTGTTCATTGCCTCGTTTTCGTTGTCATCAGCATCGAGGGCTTCGGTGGCAGTATCGGCCGGTGAAGAGTCGTCACTAGCGGGAGTCTGGGCATCACTCTTCAAGTTCGTGTTTTCATTCGCCTTTTTCGGAGCTTTGGTTGAGTTGTTGTTTCTTTTGCGCTTGCCCTTCTGGTTGGGATCCTTCTTCTGCCACTTTTCCGGCGGTCGAGGGCATTTTTGCTTATGGAACCATAGCCCGCAAGCTGTGCAAATTAGTCAATGTTTCCCGTCAAAGCTTCAAAGTACTTACGATTGCACAACGTGATGGACACCCACTCATCCTGCTCATCTCCCGCCCTCCTCTCCACTTTGTACCCTCGAAACTTTTTCACGCTCCCATCGGAGTTATGCTCAAGGATCTCCTTGTAACAGCATTCGCCCTGGTCTAGAGACGTTTCCACCTCGTCCCATGCGCAATGGAAGGTCTTAGCGTAGGCACGTCTCCAAGCTGGGGTTTCGATCGATCCACAATTGTCACAGAATGGTGGCATCTCTCCATTGGCAATTGCAGCCTCTAACCTGGCCTTTGTCTGCTCTTTGCCCACCTTCTTTCTAGATGCCGCTTTGGCTCGGGCTTCCTCCGCTGTAGGTGCATCGGACATGAGTGCGTCACTATCGGGTGCCCATGTCTGCGAGCGTTGGAAGGTTCTTGATGGCGGGTCGCTCTTTGGTACTGGCGCCGGGGCTAGTGCTTTCATGCGCTGCTGGTCTCGTTGTTCTTCCATGATCTGGCGCGCTCTTGGAATGGGCGCTGGTGCCAGCCTAGGGGATGACATGCTGGGTCGGAGCGCTGGGGCGTGTGATTGTGCTCTTGCTGGAGGCCGTGAAGCGGCGGGAAGGGGAGGTGGAACCATCCGAGGCTTTTGCTGATCCGTTAATTGACCTCCGTTCTCTGGACAATCTTGGAAGACTGGCGGGCTGATATCAGCCGTCTTATTATTTTGGTCTTGGTTTGCTCCCTCGTCTCCGTGTCTATCAATTATGAAATCGTCGAAATGCAGAGTCTGGTCGTCACCGAAAAGCTCCTCGAGATTCCCACTCATAAAGCCCGAATCAGTCCCGTGACCCGTCATGGGAGGAAGAGCAGGACTAGTGGCCATGGGATTATGTTGTTCAGGCATGACAGGTGGCGAAGACGGTATGTTTGCGGGGGTGCTAGATACACTGCGCGCTCGTGTGTCTTCGGGGGAAGCGATTGGCACATTGAGAAGCTCAGGCTGCGGTGCTGGTTCTGTGGTGGGAGAAGATTCTCTGACCTGGGATCCACGCACGAGGTTGCTTGGAGGATTCTTTCGTGGTCGACCTGGCCGGCCACGCGGTTTGCCTGACTTAGTTGCGGGTATCGGGGTCGGCGGTCGGACTGGTTCCTCCGACGAGATGCCTCCTTGGGCGGCGCTGGCGGGATTGATGGCAATCGGACGGTGGAGACGCACACTGGAAGCAATGCTGGCCGCCACTCGTAGTGATTCAGGCTGCCGTTCGATGTTCAGGTCTGACTTAGTAGGCCAGTCAACTTTGGTGATTTTTGCTCGCTTTCTTGAAGGGCCCTCCTCAACAACCTCGTCGCCACTATAGTAACCAGAGTTGAAAGAGTCTCGCCTGGAGTGAGAGGTCTGCGCCATTCCGGCTCTTGAACTCGGACGAGACATGTTTCCACCGTGCCTCGCTGGCGCATTGAAGGTCTGCGACGCGTCTGGTGTTCCAGGTCTGCTGATCGGTCCAGCAGCCTGCGACGCGTCTCGACTTAACATCCTCTGCATCGCTTCCAGACCCATCACATTTACAGGTGATGTTGAGGAAGCCACGGGTTGTGTCGTAGCCCCGTTACCCCATTGCGGTCGAAGGCCATCTTGAGAACAGACACTTCCTGAGCGATGCCTCCCGTGTGAAAACGTGTTCACCGGGCGAAGGCGAAGCTTTACTTCGAGTAACTCCTGCGCGTTCTTTGAGAACAAGCCCATCACATTCTTGGTGATCCTCCCTGTCACCATAGCTTCAGTATCTCCGCCTGCACCTTGCTCTTGATTGCTAAGTGTCCTCGACAGCATTCCCTGTCCAACCAATGGTGTATCAGGCTCTGAGTAGTCATAGGCATAAACCGTGTAGTCATTTTCGGGATGCGTCGTAAGCTCTGGGCTCGCGGTCGTAACAGCTTCCAAACACGTCCGGAGGTCGACGACGCCAATTTGATTGACGTCGTCAATAAAGGCAGTCTGCACTTCCAAGGGATGTGGCCACCGCGCCAGGTGGATATCTTTTTGTTCGACATCAAAGGTGTACAAGACTTTAAGTCTGATCGTCCGTATTGAGACGCCCTCCACTGGTGAGGACGCCATGGCGAAGCTGTGGGATGGGACGCGATTCCACGGAGGGAAGGAAGTCCCAGCCACGCGAGTCGTTAGAAGGACTTTAGAATTCTCTCATCGCTTGCAAGGTAAGAGGATTATGTAGACCGAGAGAGGCGGTGGTGTTCGGAATCAAGTTTCGTTGGGGTGTTTGCAAGCTCGCGTAGCAGGTCGATCGAGAACACCTTGAGATGGATTATGAGTTGAGTGCTTTTTCAACCGGCGCCCATGCGATGCTTGTCTAGCTTTGAACGCAGTGACAAACCGGACGAGAAAGGATTTAATGTTCAGACGTTACAAAGGAGAGTTGAGAGGATATCTAGTAAGAATGAATGGCAGGGGGAAAGGTCAATGAAGGAAGAGTCGGGTGCAGCTGCAGGCTTTTGGGCATTGAACGCGTGAAGCAATGCGGAGCGTGTTGCAGCGCGACCTCGGAGTGGGGATGATGCAGTGCCAGCCAGGGACGCCGCAGTGGTGAATGGCAGTGGCCGGGCGTGAGTCCAGTTATTATTTCGCGGCGTGCGTAAGCTTCCAGAACCTCGACGTGCAGTGGATGATGCAACGCTCAAGCCACAGGCTCTGAGCGCAAAGCCACAGCAACGGGACGTTCGCGAGTATTTGACTGGCAGTTTGGAAGGTGCAATTGTGCCAGTGGCAGGTACACAACTGCAGGACTCGGAGTGGAACGTCGGTGGTGGACCATACACTAGTCCGTATATGGTTTAGGGACAAATTCCTCCTAAGCGCTCTTGGAGTATACGCAAAAGGGAGCTTTGCCGAGCATAACAGATCCTTGGCGCAGGCTCGAAAACGAAGAAAGCAGGACGACTCTCTGATATCGCCCTGTTTGCGACCGCTGGGAATCGACGCTCTTTATATACCTTTCACGCATTAACAATATGGCGGACGCCTCGAAGATCCAGTACGTGCTCCCTGCTCCAGGCGACATGACTCACCACCCCGGTCGTGCTTATCTCCGCACTGGCATCCCAGACTGAGGTTCCTCGCTAAGTTAGCCAAAGAAGCAATCTGCTGACATGATGGGTTGTTCACTATAGGGAATTGCTCAATAAACCAAAGAGCGAATTGACGTACGTGCAACTGCCGAGATCCTTGTTCAAGTGTTGAATGTTTCTTCCTCGTCTCCGTCTTCTCTATCCGGGGACGCAACCACCTTCCGTGGTGTTGCACTCCGCTCCGCGCTCAACCTCCACCTCCACCTCCACGTCACTGCTATCATTCGCAATCACCATGTCGTCGTCGCTGTCACAGATCTATGTTTCTTTCCCTTGATGCGCGCAGCCACTACAATCCAATCCCGTTGTTCTGGTGTCGGTCCCATCTGAACATGACGCCACTACTATCGACTACTACAAGTCGCATGGATGAATGGTCAGCAAAGAATATCGAGCGTCTACTAACAGTGATGTCCTTGTCTAGCGAATATGAGGTCTCTCTTCTCGAAGCACACGAACTCTCCACCGGCCCCCTCTCGATCCTGATGACCGCCACCCGAACACATACCCAAGTCTTGATCTCATGCCGGAATAACAGAAAACTTCTTGCGCGAGTCAAGGCGTTCGACCGCCACTGCAACATGGTGTTGGAGAATGTGAAGGAGATGTGGACGGAGAAGACCAAGGGCAATTCCAAAGGCGTCAATAAGGACAGATTCATCAGCAAAATGTTCCTCAGGGGTGATAGTGTCATCTTGGTTCTTTTGAGTTAAAAACAATAATGGCGGTTTAAGGGGATGGATGGAATGAATAAGAGATTCGAAGTCTTTCGTGCGTGCGTGCAAGCCGAACGATGCGCCACAGCGCCAATATGCCACAAGCCGTGGCACCATGAGATTATGAAGCGCTGTCAGAGGCAGTGGCATGATGTCCGGGCGGAGGTCTAAGAGATCAATTTGCCCGGAAAGGGTCCATGGTCGTGAAACAAGGGCGTTCTAGAGCAGGCAGGCCCGAAGATTAGGTGCATGCGCCCAGACACTCAAAACAAGATACCCAGCGTCAAGCAAAAGATGGATTTGATTCCCAAACTTGAATTATCAAAATGCGCTACGTAGTGCTTCAGTTCAACTTCTCAAGATATAGCTTCCGATTTTTCTTTTCTGTGTCCAAGTCTTCCAACATCTAACAGGCATCAGCCAGGCCTACCAGAAATTCCTGCAAGCCCCAGGCACCGGGATCGGGGATCTTGCCGATCCATTCGCTCTCAGAGCCGACATATACCGTCCGGCCCAGGCTGGCCTTCATGCTCTTGGTCTTCTCCGCTCCTTCTCGGGCAGCGGCGGCTGCCTTCTTGACGTCGCCCGTGCTGCCGAGTGTCTCGACGAACGGGACCAGTGCGTCCATGAGGGTTCGATCACCCGGCACTGCGGGGGTATATTTTCCCAATGACTGGAGACTGGACTTCAGGGCCGCGGTCCAGGTCTGAGTATCGACCGGCTTGGAGGAGCCGGTGTCTTGTTCCCGCAGGCCATGGGCCAGGGCATTTAAGAAGATGGCGTAGATGGCGCCCGACGTCCCGTCCATGGCAGTCTCAACGACCGGGACAATCTTGTTGACAAAGGCAACCACGTCGGAGGGCAGATCGCCCGAGGAAAGTTCCTTGAGGACGGCCTCAGCGCCTCGTTTCAGACCGATACCGCAATCGCCGTCACCGACAATGGTGTCGAACTTGGTGACATCCCGCTCAGCGGCGATCATCTTGTCCAATCCGGCCTTGAGGATCGCATGGGCTTGCTTGGGGTCGATGGTCAAGTTGCTGGGGGCGGCCTTCTGCGACTCAATCGACTTGTCCATGGTTGCAGAGTTGTCGGCTTCCCACGTGGACTTCTGCACTGCAGCGGCCCAACCCACAGCCTCCGCAGGGGTATCGAGGAGTTCGAGCATAGACTTTCCGGGGCCGAGACCCGTGTCCTCGAGCTTCAGTAGAGAGACGGAGAAGCCCAGTCCATTCAGAGAGGTGATGAAGGTGCCGGCAATGACTCGCACGGGCACAATTCCCCAGTCTTCTTTCAGTTGCTTGTGGACCTCGGCCACGATGCCGCCAATCTCTAGGTTGCTCACGCCGCCCAGGTTGTTGATCAGGAGGACGACTTTGTCGTTCTTGGTGATATCCACGTAGTGTCTATCCTGGTCATTGGGGTCGATTAGCTGGGCCAACATTGTCTTGATCAGCTCCGGCAAGGTTGCAGACACGCGGTGGCTGCCCGGTTCGTTGTGAATACCCATTCCAATCTCGATCTCTTCGGTAGGGATGATTTCGTCCGAGTTGGGGTCCGGCACAGCACGGCCAGGAACGTGGACATGCTCCATGGATGCTCCCACCGACACCAGGTTTCCAGCAGCCTGTTTGGTCAGGTTGTAGACTTCTTGCAGGCTGCCGCCAGCCTCTGCCAGTGCGCAGATCATCTTCAGGACCAAGATGGAACCACCAATGCCTCGTCTGCCGACCTTTCCACCCTTTGCACGGCCCACGCCAACATCGTCGCCGATGGCGTAGAACTCGGTTTCGACTCCGGCGGCTTTCGCCTTCTCGGCCGCCATACCAAAGTTCAACACATCCCCGGTGTAGTTGAATGTTACAATGGCAAGTCCTTTCTCTGTCGGCACTCTGGTAAGGGCTGCGCGGCGGACTGCTTCCGCGCTGGGACTGGCGAAAATGGTCCCTGCGACAGCGGCGGTTAGGAAACCTTTTCCAACGAAACCGGCGAAGGCAGGCTCATGGCCGGAGCCACCACCAGAGATGATGGAAACCTTGGGCTTCTCGGTGAGCTCCTTGGTCGGCCGCCGGTAAATGATTTTGTGTTCGGGGTCAAAGGCAACAGAAGGGTTGGTGAGCGTGAGACTGTGGAGCGCAGTCTGCACTAGGTGGGTAGGATCGTCTATGAAGTGCTTGGTCTGCATCTTGAAGGTGTTCGAGAGTCAGGCTTCGAATCCCAATGCCAGGATCAACTAGGGGTGACCGGAGTCAGTCGTAGAGAGTAGGCTTCAATGGAGGACGACAACCAGAGACAGCTTGCGGATCGCGTCGAAGATATTACCGCGTAAAAGCTGACAGTGACTGTCTTTCAGGGGGATGGAGAGGGGGAAAGGGGGAAACGAGATAGATGGCACGGAGGGAAAGAGGAGAATATGAATGGTACTTCAAGCTGAAGAGAAAGATGGTCAACTCCCGGCCGGACCTCAAGCGAGAGCGGTGCGGGCGACCTCAAGTTCAAGGCGGGGAAAATGGGATCCTGCAACCAAAAGTCGGCGCCCCACCACGAGAAAGCGTGGAGTGCATCTGGCGACAAGGTAACACCGTCAACCAGGTCCTAGGACTGCCAGTACCGGGTGGGTGGCCGTAGGAACCACTCCGAGCCTGTGCCGTAGGAGAGCTCCTCCTCCGTCGGTAGTACCGCTCCACCAATCCGTCACGCGAGGCCGTGGTCAATTGGACTGGCTCAGCTTCAAGCACTCACGATACACACAGCCTGAAGAACTGGTGGCGCTCTCCCGCACGCACCTCGGTTCCAGACACCGAATGAAATGGGATATATCCTTGAAAGAGCAGAGAAACATCCCCACGCCAAATCCTCAACTGCTGCGCTCTATAAGGGCGAGCATCCTCATCATAAACTTGGAGGCCAACAAGATTTCTTTTGCCGACACAGGCATCAAATGCTCATGCATCGCACAGGCTCTATGTGTGCCTGGCGGGGTGTCGGAATGCCCTTTCCGGAATACCGGGATTCTTCTGGTTTGAGCCTCACATAACTATCTGACAGGACAGTACGCCGACAGGGCTTTACCATGGACAGGAGGCCGCAGAAAGGTCGACTCTCAGGCTGTAGAAAGTCCTCTCTAGTCTGATCGTGAGGCTACACAGTACCCAACCCACTGGCCGCGGCGATGAACCGATTACGAGAGTACCGCATCGGCCCCCACCTCGGTGTTTCGCCGAGCTTCCGAAAGTCCTTGCGATCTCTGCCCTCTTGCTTGAGATCTGTGCACAAGATCACCTTTGAACGCAACGGTGCCGTAATTGATTACAATAGTAATATATGAATGATAATGACAGCACAGTAATGATATGTTTCGAGAAGGGTCAGGCTGCACTTCTCGCTATGAAGAGAATCTCTCGAGTTCCTGGGGGCATCCCAGAAGTGGGGGGACCTGGTTCGGTCTGTCAGCCTGACAGTGGGGGATGTCGAATTGCCGTGGGGGCCAGCCAGCCTCCACGGGCTGTGGCTGCCTGTGCCGCTCTATGATCACGTCTCAAAGCTGGCATAAGCTGGCACTTGAAACAAGGGAATATCGACGGCCAACTTGACCTTCATCGTTGTACAGAAGTCGAGCGCAGAGCGGTGCTCGGCCGTTGGTGAGTACGGCTATCTAGTGGTTTTTCATGAATGCATGGTGTTTCAGAATCTGTATTTCTGGTAGGTACAAACCTAGGGCCCAAGGGAATATATCGTGTCTCACAAGAGACTGCATGCCTTCTGAGATGCATATCATACCATCTTACCATGACGGACCACTTGTCTACTTGTCCTGCCCGTTCAATTCAACAAGATGCCTAACGATATCCAAAATTCCCCCGTCATCGCCGACAGCGCCAGGCGAATCAATACGCTTGGTCAACTCGTCATCCAGCAGTGCACGCAGCCGCGAGACCAGGACTCCTATCCGAGCCCAGCCGCGCAGCTTCAACCAGCCATCGACCAGGACGCCTGCACCCGAAGTCTGCACCTCGACGGGCCCGCCGAACAGCAAGAGCGCATAGGCGTTGAAAGGGGTGAGGTCTCGGATGAAGGTCTTGCTCGTCTCCATTTTGGTAAAGTAGCTCACGAACGCCGCGGCGCCAGAGAAGCTTTGAGCGTCGAAGAGCACACTGCTCGGATGCACAAATACCCGTCCGTTCTCCTCGTTGAAGTACTTGATGGTGCGGGCGTCCGGGTCGAGCTCCTTGGCGCCTGTCATTGAGGCAATGTATTTCTTGTCCGGCATTTGAATGCGCGCGAGCTGTGGATTCAACGCGCCGGCGATAAGGGCGCGGAGGAGCATGGTATTGCGTTTGTTGCGGTTGTAAGTTTGAGTCTGCGGACCGGGTGGCGACGACGACGACTCGGCGCGGTAGCCGGGTGGCAACAGGCCCGTCTCGATTAATGAGTCAAGCAGCTGGCGGCGCGTCGAGTCGATGTCGCGCAAGGTCTGCTGCGAAAGGAACCTCGCCGAACACCAGTCCTGCATGTCCCGGTAGTTCTGGCCTAGACTCAACATCTCTTTCCACTGTTCGAAAGCCATACAGTCGAGCAACAAGTCTCCGTCCGCGACGCCGAACGATGCTCGTGCTGCTTTCGCTTCGTCGCGTTTCTCCCGTGGAGAGACGAAAGGGCTCTTTGTGGTCAAAATCGCGGCGATAGTCAGACAAGGTTCAAGACAGTCAAACAGGACGCCATATACCAGTAGCTTGGCGCATCGGAGATCGGCCGGGATCATGGCCAAATACGTCCCCAAACCGGTGAGGCTGTCGGTTTCCAGCTCCAGTGCACCCATCCGCCGCAGTGTTTTCATTGCAGTGGCCACCGCACGGCTATCCGGCGGCGAGATGGTGCTGGCCAGGAACGCCTCCACGTTGCGATCCGATCCGGTCGCTTTGACCGAGAGACAAAGTTGTTCGAGCGGCGTGCGGTGCATCTCGGGCGCCGCCGCCGGTGCCATGTTGGCCTCGACGTTCTTGGTGAACAATTTGTAGCATTTGCCTGCTTGCACTCTGCCTGCTCGACCGCGGCGCTGCTTGCACGCCGCCTGGGACGCCCATACCTCTTCAAGGCGCACGATATTGGACGTCGGATCATAGTGCGTCTCCTTGACTTTGCCCGTGTCGATCACCGCCACGATGTCTTCGATCGTGATCGAGGTCTCGGCAACGTTGGTCGCCACGACGACTTTCCTCTTACCCCGAGGAGCCGGCCGGAACACAAGTCGCTGCTCCGCGGGTGTAAGCGATGCGTGAAGCGGAAGGCCATGCATCCTAGGAGAGTCGTTTAGCAGCCGGAGGCAGCGGTCGATCTCCATTGTTCCGGGCATAAAGATCAGAATGCCTCCTGTGGTAGAGGTGCCCAGTTGCTCGTCAATGACGTGTACTAGAGACGCAATCAACTGGTAGTTGATGCCCATCCCCAAGCTTTGGATGGCTCTGCCAACATCAGTCTGAGAAGAGGACTCCGGGTCATATGTACTCGGCTGAGATCCTATGCCCACAAGCCGCACCACATCGTCGAGGTAATAGTCCTGAACTGGGTACGTACGGCCTTCGATATGCACCCGGTTCACGACATTATCGCCACCGAAATATTGCGCGAAGGTGTCTGCATTGAGCGTTGCACTCATCAACACGATTTTGAGCTGTGGAAGTGCCGTGATCGCGTCTCGCAGTAGAGCAAGTAAGAAGTCTGTGTCAAGGGAGCGCTCGTGGACCTCATCCACAAAGATGTGACTGATATTGGCCAGCGCTGACTTGATGCTTGTGGAGCTTTGCAGTCGGCGAAGAAGTACTCCGGTAGTCATAAAGGTGATTTTGGTCCTTGACGACACCTTGGAGTCGCCTCTTATACTGTAGCCAACCTCGTCGCCTTCGGTCGAGCACCTTTCTGAGCTTACACGGTCCGAGAGAGACAGCGCAGCAACCCGCCTTGGCTGCGTGCAAATCAGGTTGGCCTTAGATCCCTTCATACTTTGGATGGCATCGTCCAGGATGAACTGGATCGCCTGAGTACTCTTTCCGGACCCTGTCTCGCCGGTGATGAGTGTCACCTGACCTCCCTTAACTGCCTCGATGATTGCGTCTTTCTTCGACCATGCTGGCAGAGATCGCCGCCCTGTATTCATTTCCTCTTGGGCTTCCGAACGTTGTCGGGTTGTCCAGGCGTCCAGGATTGCTTTATCTGTCCTATGATCCCTGAGTTGTATCCGTTCCCTCGTCCTCGTCTGGGGAACTGGAGCCTGGTCTGGAGGCTCGGTAAGTGTAGCTTGAGCTTTCAACGATGGAGCAATGATTTGCAGGTCACTCAATCGGCCCGGGTCTGCAATGATGCTTGGGATGTTTGTCTCAAGCCATTCCAACAGACTAAATATCATTTGGTCCCCAAGAAGATTTTCCTGGGCGTAGGTAACTGCCTTCTTCGTAATGCTCAAGCGAACGTAACTTGGCAACGTAGGAGCCTTGACTAGTATAAGAGGTGGACGTGAACTTGGATAGCCAGTCGTCGGACGGCGAAACTGAAATATTGCAGGGATGTTCAAGTTAGGATCTGCTCTGATCGAACATTGATTTGGGTTGTCCAAGGTGAATCTGTCGTCAAGAATGGCTTCTAAAGTGGTCATTTCCTCGGTCCAGATGTCCTCAGCTGATGCAGTAGTCTCCAAAGCCGATGATGTGAGGGAAACAAGCTTCATTTGTAGCGCTTCTAAAGCCAGCCCTTCGTTCCCGTCATTGTCCCGTAGGGCTTGGATAGCAACCTGGGTCGGGTAGCCACCCTCCGTCAAGCGCTTTATTTTTGCGTCCATTGCCAGGTCGCTGCTCACCAAACTGACACCGGCACTATATCCTGGTGGAAAACTCCATGCCGGCAGGGAGTCTTCGGGTACGTGCGTCAGCAGCCATTCCACGGCCTCCTCTCTGCTGCCACAGTAGTCCAGAGCCTCTTCGACATGCTTGGGTTGAAAGCCCGACTTGGTTAGATCTGACAATATCAATCTCTTCGATGCTTCTGTCATCTTGACACCATGTGGATTCCAGATACTCCGTGATCGAATAAAGGCTTCCATACGTGTGCGGACACTCTCACCTAACTCGATCCGTGGTGCGTTATCCCACCCTTTCACATTGCCAGTGGAAGACCCAGGAGCCACAAGGCTTGGGGACTCTAGTTTCGGGGCCTGTTTGGCGTGGTCCTGTCGTCGTTTCTCCATGCTCGTCTTGATTTCCTGTCTTTTTGCTTCAGCAGCAAAGGGGTCGGCCTCATATTTCCATGCCCGTCCTTCCTTGACGTCCTCATCTTTTAAGCGTTGAAACTCTCCTTTCCAGAGATCCCGATACGTCGGCGGTAATGCCATGGCTAGATTCTTCATGCTACACACCCGAAATAGCGTATAGGCCGCGGCAAAGTGGCGAGCCTCAAGAGCAGTGGGCTGATCCGCAAGGTGAGCGTGGGAAGCAGGAAGTTGAAAAGGAGGTAATCTCGTGATTTCTTGGGTTTTGGTATCTGTCTTTGAGAGCACCACCCACGAACGGTGCATTTTTTCTCCATTGCTACCACTCGGCACCTGGCGGCTTTGATAGTCGGGCTTGTTCCATCTTTGACGTTGGCAGTGCTCTGACAGAAGATTTACCGGGAGTTTACCCGTCCATGAAGCGCCGCCGATGACTTTGCGCGCATCTGGCCGCGGAGGTCCTTCAGGCTCTTTGTTGTCTCGTTTCTTCTTGTCATTTGGCTTATTAGTGAACACAATGTGTTCACTGTCAGGAACAGTTGGCGCCGGCTTCTTAGAGGATGGGTTTTTGCCGGCGGCCGCGCCTTTCTTCGGCGCCATGGGCCTTTATGAGACCTTCTGGGTGAAACCGGCAGTGCAAAGTGGTCCCCGCTTACCTTGCGAAAGACAAATGTTGGCAATGCTGTCAAGGCTGAATTCGTTTTACAATACACCGCCAAAGACAGCGCGAATTAGTGATATTGGCATGGGTTACCATCCTCGATGGTGACTACGGGTCGAAAGATTGAATAAATGTAGGCCGTGGCGAGCAAGGCTCAGGAAAATCTGTCGGCAAACCTACCCAAAGTAGGATCGCCTGGCAGCATTTCACTCAGCCTTGCCCCCCTTTCTTGCCAGCCTTGCGAGTACCGTGCCACGTGATATGGCACCTGGCTCTTCTAGTTCATCCGACAGGAAGCCCGGGCCCTGGAGAAGATTCAAATACAGCTCATTCCATTGATTAGTGTTGTGAGAGGGATTTTGATCTCGTGTTTGTTAGTCCTATTATTTGCAATGATCTCTCACAGCACGCTCCGATTGCTTGCCAGCCTTATGGCTACTTATCACACGGTGCAGCCCCGTAACAGCCGCATAACTCCCGCTGTCCGAATTGCCCTGGTCCAACCCATAATGACTGGCCCCAAAGTCCCCTAGAAACAGACACTTCCGCCGCCCCTTTGGAGCGCCATTCCCAGTGATGTAATTCGACGCAGTCTTGGTTCGCAGCTCCATACGCCCCCATTCCATGCAATGATGCCAATCAGTAAGTCATGACGTCGTGCTTTCTCGTGAATGTTCCTCGCAGAAGAATGGAGAAACCATAAAATAAAATTTGAAAGGCGAACCACCGACAAGAATATCCGAAATTCCCGGTATGTGACCGTACAGGAGTCCACGCCAACTCTAGTGGACGTGCCGCCCTCCAGTCTCCACAACGCCGGAGCACACCTTGTCGGGCGCTCGTTGCGAACAGTTCTTGCCGTTGATCCGTTTGGTTTGAAATGCACTATGCTATGCTCGGAAGTAAGAAAGTCCGTCATAATATGTTGCGAGTTGCGGCTGGGGTAGGGATAACATCGCAGCTTGATCCGGTAGACGAAATCCTCTGTGTATCTCAGTCTCGACGAAAGCTGATGCTCTCTTGTAACGTTTATCAGAGTATTTGTTGAACACAGCGTTGTGGTGCTTGCGCGGGTCGTCGCAGCATTCCAATAAGAGGCTAACCAGGGGTTTGAGCTGAGAATACGTGTAGCCGGAATAGTGAACGTGGTGTGGTGTCTGTCTCAAAGTTAGCAAAAGGTCTTCTGGAGATCGCAACTAAAAGACTCACCCAGGTCCCCTTGCGAAGCATCAGACGCGCAAGGCAGTGGGATGCTGCAGCTGTAAAGCTAGGTGGACTGCCGATGAAGCGTTCATCCATGAGGGTCACCTCAAGGAAGTACTTGGCGAGCGTCCTAGTTTCCAGGTCGTAATCGTCCGCCTTGCTAATTCTGCGCAGAAAGCTCATCGGGCCGGGCCAACCAAGTTCGAATTGGAGCATAGTGAGCATGAAACGCTCGGCTTTGAGTATTTCATCCATGCTGTAGCCGCCATCAACCATGTAGACAATCTCCTGAACCGAAGGACAGTTGATCTCCTCATACTTGGCCGCGATGAAGATGGCAGTTGCACCAACCAGCTGCAGCTTTCCCAGCGACACCACCTTGCAGGAGAGGAATCGATCAATGTAGTTGACGCAAAGGAACAGCGTCTCCGGAAGCAAATTGAACCGCAGATGTACCTGCACCAACCAGTCCATCAACACCGATCGCATTGACCATTGGATTTCGTGCTGGTTTTCCATGTAGTGAGGATTGGGGAGCATCTTCAACTCGAGCTGCTTCATGTATTTGAAGATTTCGTCGCCATATTCTGCTACCATGCTCGTATCATAGCATTCATCTTCGACCTCCTCCGGAGAACGAGTGGCCTCGACCAATTGTTTCGCAGCCGCAATCTCCTTCCTGGCACGCTGATTCATTTGGGGGAAGAGAACAGCCGTGGCTGCGCCGGTGGTGTTTTCGCCTCGCGATCGGAATGATCTAGCCGTCACGTAGTCCTCCTCTTCGTAGTTGTCGTCATCTTCGTCGTCCCAGTATTCTTCGTGCTCGACTCGTCTTGCAAGGTAGGTGTGATGATGAGGGATCAGAGGAGGTACGGCATCAACGGGGTTTACAAGCTTGGCAGCGGGCATTTTTTGTGCATCGAGCTTCTTGTCTGCTGTGGCGTTGGCCTCAAGCGGAGCTGGCTGGAAGTTGGAGGACACATCGGGAATTTGTTGTTGCTGGCTTCCGAAATAAGCAGAGGGGTCTGAGATGGTAGTAACAGTCTCCTTCAAGATGGATTCATTGTTTGACTCGCTGGACAGACCACGACCTAGGTTGACCTCGTCGATACTTGGCAAGCTCGTCTCGGTACGCGGCTCGTGGTTGTCCTTGATCGGTTCAGGGACGATGTGCGACCGAGGTGCTGTCAAACCCAATTGACCACTGCCATTGAGCTTCGATGCTTCTGCATTAGTCTCCTGCTCTCCACGAATCTGTGCAAAGGATCCATCGGAATTTGTTGCATCCAAGATTGGGCAATTCGCCTCCTGAACAGCCGTCAATCGAACGTCTTTGAAGACAGTTGTATGTCGCTTGCTCAATGTCTTCTTCGTGATAGCAGCCTGCGGTTGCACTTGACCATTCTCTGATGTGGTATTGCCAGGGTGATCCGCTGTCACATTGTTATTCGTCCCTGTGATGATGTTTTTCAACGCGGAAACTGATCGAGGTCTCTGGGGTCGAATGAGACCCATGGATTTTCTCTCGTGTAGTGGTTGGGCTGCGCGAACCGCAGCTTGCAGGCTCGGCTTGCCATTCAAACTGGAGTCGTCTTTGCTGGGTCTCGTTCCCCCTGCGATATTGCTAACGTCTCCGAAGGCTGTGCGCTTGGGTGCGGCCTTCAATCCTTGTTCTCCAGCCATAGTTGTCAACGCAGGAGAGGATTTGTTTCGGTGGTGGATCGTCTTGGCCACATGGCTGTCAGGAGGAAGGTTTTCGTCATTTTTCACGCGTATGCTGCGTAGCGGGCGTTGTGGCTAGTCGAGATTTGTTTGTTAGTCGAGGACAACGTAGGGGAGGAAATTTGGGAGGCATAGCTGGGAGGACGGCCTGTCCTCGCTTTCCGCCCTATCGAGCCCAAACTCGACCCAGAGACTTGACTTACTTTGACGTCCATGTTGGTAACTCGAGAGTCGAGACGGTGTCGTAAACAGTCACTAATCCAGGTGCGAGGCGCGGCTGTTCCACGCTACTGCTGATCGAGGCGCTACGCCCCTGGGTTGTTCAAGACGCGACGCAGTCGAAAGCATCAGTCGAGAAAAAAAAGACCAGACAGGATGAGAGCAGTGAGAAGAAGGTCAACGCCTGGTGTGTATCAATGCTGAAGCTATGCCTGGGGAAGATGAAGAGTGCACGGCATATTGTGGGCCATAGCAACAAAACACAGGCAATGTAAACAATGGAGACATGTCAATCGCAGCCATGGTCGAACTGTGCCAAACCGGCAGCGGCTCTTGCCGCTCTTACACTAGCATCGCGCCAAGACCCTCTAGCCCGTTGCGGCGGTATCAACATTGGGTCCAGACACGGTTATCGAAACCACCTGCTTGTTTCATTTTCTGGTACACCAGTACGTACGGTTGGATCTGCTTTGCATAAATTGTTCTATGATGTCTTTGTGGGCTTTTTCTCAGTGTGGTCAACTTTCCTCATATTTCTGGGACGATTATGGGCGATTATTGCAAGACTGCCATTATGACGTCGACGCGTCGGGCTACAACACGAAGTCACATGATCGGGCCGGTGTATTGTTTGTCGTATCGCACCAAGTTTTTGTCTCATCGATGAGGGCAGACTGCTGAGGCATGATAAACCCAAGCCTCCTTCATCTATACTGGGAGTATGGTGCGTGGTTAGTACCTCGCGCGACATCTCTGGGGGTGATCACGGCGATTGCACCAGTACTCCGGCGTAATTTGGCTTTTCTGGACACATCATTCTTCGGAGACATCGGCGCTTATTCAACATTGACGAAGATGCCGGGAGTCCGTAACCCACCACTCTTTTCAAGTCGATTGGATTAGACCCTCGTGTTGCACACAAAGGCTGGCGCTTGCTCGGCACAAGAATTACTTGATCCAACAAACATTTCACAAGCCGCGCAACTCCTACTCGGCATCCATCGAAACGAGCACATCATCATGGGGTTGAGCTGCTAACCAAACCGGACAGCAATGCATTGACCATCAATAAAAGCAATGTGGTTGATCTCGAAATGGAGTAGTTACAGAAGAGAAACAGCGGCGCGAAGAGGTCTGGTTTTGTCCCAGCACAAACTCTAATTTATATAATCTTACCGTCCTTCGTCTGTTGGTACGGGAGGCTTCTCGGGTTGCTGATTGAGCATGCTTGCGCAATACGCACAAATTCAAGAGTCGTCGAGTACGATACCTTGTTACGCCCACCACAGGTCTAGGACTGCCATGGCGAGGCGGATATGGTTTTCAAGATTTGATTCATGCTGGACCATTCCGTCGATCGTCCACTGCAAAGATATGGAATGTGGGGGTGCGGCGGTTGAACGGTCAATGCCAGAGGCTTGACGTTATTCATAATCTCAGGTACATCTGACAACATTATTTGGCTTATCTAGGAATAGCAACAAGCTCCTGCTGGACGACGATTTCAATTCGTATGAGAGCCCGGACGTTGCACGTGCATCAGGAGGCCATGAAGCCGCGAAATTGCGCCGGTTCGTGCTCGCAGCCATCCTGCCAAGGATATTGCTGATCGGTGTAGGGAGTATTAGTACTAGGTATGCAGGTCAGGCCCTGATAGAAGGATTGGGATCCGCTCACATCAGGGCTCTACTAGTACGTTATTGTCGGTGTGGATGGGAGAGTTCCAACAAAACCCGACAACGACCGTTTAGCACGGTGCTCGCTGCAACAACCGTATCCAACAGAGCTCCCATGCGCCAGAGTAGGTTGGACGGGCGACTCCAATTCCCCGTGAAGAGTGCGGTTTGTGACAGCCAGTGCGCCAGCCCACGTCCGACCAGCCGGGGATTGGGTGGAATGGTTGGATGGCACGGCCTGTGTCTCTGAACCTCAGACCATGGGCTTTGAATGGCACCCAAACCGGCAGCCCGAACTCTCCACCCTTTACGGTTCCTACGCTGACGCTTTGCTACTTCGATCGTCCTCCCCGTGCAGACCTCGCGGACGCGGACTTTACTACTGTACATCGGCCGCATATCTCGAGCGCCAGTCGCAGTGAGGGGTTTTGGTGTGGTCAGGTCAGGTCAGGTCAGGTTGCGTTTTTGCAGACCGCAGCGCCTGGTCTGGCTCGCCTCGTGTCCTCACTTTCCGCGCTGGAGTCCCGAAGCGTCCCTTACAGCACTGCCCGGCGCCCGCTGGCTGCCTCAAACCTCAGATCGTTTGCCTGCCGCTTTCTCTGCTCTGGTGGCCATCACAGGGATGCCAACAGAGTTGCTCACACCTCCAAGTGACGAGCGGGAGGACAGCGCGGCGGGTACGATTGGTCGCAGCTGGGCGGCCGTCCATCACAAGATGGCGCGGTCAATGCGATCGCGATGTCATGTAGCAATAGTGGTTGTAGTAGTAGGACGTTGGTCCTCGCTTGAGGAGGCAAGATGGCACCAGCGCCAGGTCATGCACTTTCACCGCAGTACATTTTGATTCTACACAGTGCAAGACTGGATATCCAGGCACTATTCTGTCTAGCAGATGTACTCAATTCGAATCAATAGGAGTAAACATTTATTCTGTAAGCCATTCGGGTCAATTGGCCCTTCTACACTGTTCGAAGCCACGTTCCTGTGGTACAGTACGAGTCCTGTACCGGGGTGAAACTTGAATGACCCACTGCGCCCAAGCCAACCTGATCGGTCTGGTCACCTTCGCACCTTGCTTCTTCACCACCTCTTCTCCTCCATCCTCAGCTCGTCCAGCAATCCTTCTGCCCTTCGAATCTGTGACTGGGAGGCTGAGATCCCTATCTACGCCTCTGAAGGGTTGTCTGGTAGCAGAGCATCTTCAGTCCGGTCAAACGCTATCGTCGCAGCCTCAGATCTAATCGTTGACCATGTCTGGACGGTAGATCCGGATAACAGTGCCTTTCTCTTTGCGCAGTCTCTACTTTTCTTCAGATTCATGCCGACATTATCGCAATAACTAGCGCTCGATCCTGGAATATTTTTACATTGTGAGTTGTGCATCGATGGCCGCCAGAGCGACTGTGCCGCATGGTTCATCATCCCCAACCCTTCAAAGCCCAGGTCCTGGGCTACCTCTCTTTCCATCTCATCCCAAAAGACCTATACATATATTGCAGCAACTAACCATTGTTATATAGTATCCTCTTGCTCGATATCGATCTTACCTCCATTGATTCTTCCTCTCTCTGCCGAGCGAACCGAACCGTAACAGTGGTGGAGGCCACACAAGGACGAGGAAGATTGTGATATATAGTTCCACATTCACAAGTCATGCAGGTTTCCAGCCTGCTATCAGCAGACGAGAGCAAGACTCCAAAGATGCCTCCCGCAAAGTCCATCTCGTTCGAGCTTCTGCTTGACGAGGGTTCGAAAACAAGAGCACGGATCCCCCTCAGAGTGGTTTTGAACACTCATGACAGCACTGAGTCCATCATCACCACAGTGAAGAACTTTTACGGGATATACGATGGCAATGGCGTGAGCTTTGAAGATTCGTGGGGAAACACCCTCATACCCTCCTACGACAATCTTGTACCCGACTCTACGGTCTATGTGCGGATCGTGCCGGCTATCCAGCCAGCCTCTGCCGTCTTTCCACATGGCGCACATGGACTCGAGAATGGTTATGAACCAAGGCGTCGGCCAAGCCTTGGGGAGCCATTCCAGATGTTGCCGCCTCATATGAGGGAGCAGTCTCATTCTCCGTCGAGGCCTTCGTCGAGGCTGGCGCGGAAGCGTAGCATTTCTCCAACCCAAGGGCGAGGGCGCAGGAGTGCATCGCAGCAAAAAGGCCCAGGCATTGTGCCTCTCAGCCGTGGTTCTAGCGCGAATGGAAGCTTTCATGATGACAATGGCTACAGCGATAGTGAAGCTGGGCGCAGTTCCATTTCCGGCTCCAAGAAGGCCAGGAGTGAGCAGTTTGCGAGCTCCGACATCAGCACTGCCAATGTTCTACAAGATGGGCGACGAGGGCAGTCTATCTTCGACAGCTCGGTAAGTGCTGACGAGATCCAGGTTTGCTGACCGTTTGCTGACTTTTCGGCAAGGCTCTTCCACTTTTTGTTCCTCCACAGGTCCCAATAACCGCATCGCAATCCTCTATTTCGCCTCAGAGACGGTCACTGCCCCAAGAGGTCCCCTCACCGTTTCATCCACCGGCCCAGAAACTGTACGGACTGCAACAGCACCCGATTCTCTCTCCACAAAGCTATGGCCCGAGTCACAATATGGACGCCCCTGCCGACCACGGCGCAGGCGCCGGCATGGCCACGCCGGTTCCTCAACATCATCACCGTTTGCGGGATAGATCTGCGATGCAGCAGAATCAGACCGGAACGCAAGGATATTCCAGGAACGGCGTGCTTCCTACTCCCGATCCCACTGTTGCGAGTTGCATCTCGGATGAAGATGTCGCCAGGACCTTGATAGCATTGGGTGACGCATCCAACTACTCCCATGGTCGAACCTCGAATTCCACCATCGACGAGACCTTCAGCGGCGCAGCAGACGCTGCCTCGTCGACCGGTGCAACCAGTGACAGTGACGAGTATAGTGACGCAGAAGGGGGACTTCCAAAGTACAGGAAGTACCTTGATGATGAAGATGAGCAATATGACCAGGCCAATACTGAGCATGACGTCGATGAATACGATGGCCCGCCCAAGACGAAGAAGATCAAGACCAAAATGCATGATGGACCTACAAACGGCTACGCGACAAAGGCCGATTCAATGAAGAACAACAAGTCGTCCAAAGCCCGTTCCAACACTCTCCCAAAGGCAGCGAAAACCACAACTCAGCCGGGTTTGATGAAAGCCCCTTCGGCGCCGGCCTCAGGTGGACAAGCCAGGAAGTCTTCTGGCTCGAGCATCAACTTCCAACACCAGCTTGCCGCGGACGAAGAAGACCTGTCGTCCAAGCCCAGATGTCAACGTTGCCGAAAGAGCAAGAAAGGATGCGATCGTCAACGACCTTGCGGTCGATGCAGGGACGCGGGCATTGGCATAGAAGGCTGTATCAGCGAAGATGAGGGAGGTTCTCGGAAGGGCCGATATGGCAGACATATGGGAGTCCCAGTCAAGAAGGGCCTCGACCAAATGGGACATGAAGAGGACCCAGATACCACAATGACAAGCCTGCCCGCCGAAGGTGTGGCTGTCCACGGTAGTCCAGAGAAGAGCAAGAAGCGGAAGCGATGATGCCTGACTGGCAAAAGGAGCGTGGACCGGTGAATATGGCAAAAGTCTATGACACGGGACCAAGGGGCGAAGAAAGCGCAGGTATAGAATGGAGCAACTTAGCATCGACATTCACTCCTTTGGTCGCAAGGCCTTCCGCAGATGCTATCAGACGAGAAAATGGTCAGCCTTCGACCCATGTCTTACCACAGAGATACGGTTTCGAGAAGCAGGAAGTGTCAGGGGAGCAGTGGGGTGGGCAATGGTGGTAAGGTAGAAAATGGGGCGGTTTCTGTCTCTGTTTCCTTCTTTTGGTACTATGGAAGAGAGAGGCCGGGGGCGAAGTTTATTATTAACCTGCGATGGACTCGGGAGAGGAGTATTCCTGGCTGCAGCAACAGGCATGAAGATACGAATTTGAACTTTCTTGTGACACCTTTCGCTCTCGACTTAGGGTACTGTATAGACACGATTCCATGTTCGCATTTCGCAACTTAAGGCCAGGGGCATTGGCTTACAATGTAGTGATCTTGGTTCATCACGTGACGGACTTGGTCTTCGCCGCTTTTGCGACAGACTCGGAGCGGGGGTTTGATCGTTGCCAGTTCAAGTTCTCCAAAAAAATAATTGCGTCTTACTTGAGCGGCCTCAAAGAAACGTTCGTGAACCGCCGCAACCTTTCCGAGCAGACATTATTGCACATTTGAAAGAGATCTGTCGCTCTTGAAATACTGGCTCATCAAAAAGACCATATCCCAGTGTCTCGAGCCAGCCTTAACAACATCATTAACATATCCACCCTGCGCGTACAGTACACTTTCGCCGAAAGCCGCGGTTCGAGTTGACCTACGTCCTTACTACGACCGGAAAATGCGCTGAAGACCGGTGAACTGGGCTGATACTTTTCTATCAATCTATCGCGAGCCGCGCAGTTTCTGTTCCTTGTTCGTTACTAGATTTCGCTCTCCACACCCCACACCATGCCCGACCCCCCAGCAGGTCAGCCTGCGAAGCCTGCAGCTGCTGGAGCGAAACCGACGACGACGGGGCCGAAACCGAAACCACGCGCAGGCGTGGTGCGCAAGACCAAAGCGGAACGGGAGCAATTTGCCAAAGAAGAGGCGGAGCGACAGAAGGCCCGGCTTGCGGAAGAAGCGGCAAAGAATGCCCGAGGAGGCGCGCGCGGCGGTCGCGGTGGCGCCGCAGGTCGTGGAGGCAGAGGAGGCGCCGCGGGCGGTGAAAGAGCCAGAGAAGGGCCCGTCAGTGTTGGCAGTGGCGTGTTCGGCGCAGGCAGTGGATTGAGGCCCGGTGCCAGATCGCGCATGCAGGTCGAAGGGCACAGCGAGATGCTGGATGGACAGCCAGGATTCAAATATGACGAGTCTCAATCGGGAATGTTGGCAGGTGGTTCTTCTGGCGGTGGTGGTGGTGGTGGAACACGAAGCGGGGGCGGCGAAGGATTTGGGGAGGACGATGAACTGGACGAGCCGAAGCGAGATATTGAGAGGATTTGGATCTCTTCGGGCGAAGAGGAGGAAGAAGAAGATGCAGTAGTGGCTGATGATGGTGATGATATCCATAAAGGCAAAGGAAATCAAAAACAAAAACAACGCAGACGAACTCATCGGCCGCCTACCGGTCTCAGACCCGTCCGGGCGCCTCATGCAAGGAGAGAAAGCGAAGAAGAGGCGGCAGCAGCAAAGAAAAAAGCAGCAGGCACAACAGCTGCTCGCTCAACGACCGAAAAGAGAAAACCTTCTGTTACTATCAAAAAGAGAGCCTCTGATGCACAGGACCAGGCCGTGGCGGATGATCATGAAGGCGCAATGGATGTGGATCGAGATCCAGACGTTGCTGTGGAGGATGATCCAGTGTTCGTCAAAGAGCAGCCATCAAGTCCCGAGATGAGGAGACGCAGTTTGAGAAAAGCATCCTCGTCCACAAAGGCCAGAGATGCCCGGCTGGCCATTGAGACGATTGAAGAAAAGGCCGAACGACTACGAGTCGCAGACGACGCGGACAAACTGCGTGAATTCTTGCTGGCTGCTCCACAGATTACAGAAGACGAAAACGTCGATGAAGAACAGATCCTCGAAGATGGGAAATTGTTCTTGTTCCAATTGCCGCCGATGACTCCCTATCTACTCGACGCCGACCTGGTTGCCCAACAGGAATCTGTCGCCGTCAAAGCAGAACCGAATATCGACGCCACTGTTTCTACGGGTGGTGGTGGTGCAGAAGTCAAGAAAGACCCCGAGACCGGTGATGTCAGTGGTGCTGCGAAACCCAACCTCGAAACAGAAGGCTTGTTGACGGCGTCGGAGCCTACTCGTCTCCCGTCCGGTCTGGTGGGCAAACTCCGCGTCCATAAATCGGGTAAAGTCTCGCTCGACTGGGGCGGCACTGATATGGAAGTTCGGTACGGGGCAGAAGTCGATTTCTTACAGGACGTGGTCATGGTCACCCCGCCAATCAAGACGGAAGAGAACGAGGAACAGAATCAGGTTCCAGACTTGTTGAATCCCGATCAAGACGCAAACCAAACCACAGCCAAAGACAAGGATAAAGGCGCCGGCAAGGCATATGCTTTGGGACAGGTCCGGAGGAAGATGGTCTTGATTCCGGACTGGGAGAAACTGTATGCGTAATGGGTTGATTGATTGTTGAAGCCGGCAAGCGGCACTGGGTGGCTGATTATGATCACGTTACGTGAATTAGTACTATCACTAGCAGGTTGATGAATCCATGGAACGAAAGTCGAGAAGCTTTTGACCATCTCGAAGGAATGAACATGCATCGTTACAAGATGTCCCAACCAAAGCAGTCTCAAGATCCAAAGTAATTTTCATACTTCTGTGTGTTACGCTTCGTCCTGTTCTTCACCTTGTTCCTCGTGCCAGTTCAGACCGACCCTGTGTTGGTTGTGGGCAGACAGCAGTTGGCCCCGTACGCCCACAGCCCACAGCGCCGAGTCATCCTGCGCCTCATAAGCCGTGGCCAACGTATTTGTCCTTAGGACGGCCGCCGTACGCTTGAAATATATCAAGACAATTGTTTCGGCGGCTACTCCGAGCCCCTTTGAGGTACCCAGGAGGCCGCCGTACTCAAGATCGAGGTGTAAACAGTATGGTTCGGTAACCTGGACTTGTTGTGCGGGCGGCCGCCATATACTTGAAATATAATCAAGACAACGGTTTTGGCGGCTACTCCGAGCCCCCTTTTCTGGACTTATTATTCAGGCGACCGCCGTGTACTCAAAGGGGGCCATGGGGGCTCGGGCGAACCGCCGAACAGCTGCCTTTGAATTGATTTCGAGGTATCCAGGAGGGCGCTATTTGCAAAGACTCTCGAACTCTTCTTCCTGGCGACAGTGCTTCACGCTGGCGATCATTGCGGTTGTTGGCAGTGCGGCGCATCTCGTCTTTTCCGGGTGACACCATATGCCTGCTACACAAGTAGAAATCCGAGTGGACAATACCAAAGGGTGATTTAAGAGTAAGCGTGTGGGGGTTCGGTATTGTGGGACAAAATCTCTTCCTGAATCATTTCAAGGGGACCTGGTATTCCCAACTCGTTGTGGTGGAGGCTTTGAGTTCGAGCAAGATGGTGAGATCATGCTGGACAGTTGTGGACAAAGCATGGCAGAAGTGGCGGCCGGGCGTTTCTGAGTTCAGAAACGACCAGCTCTTCCCATATGCGTGTCGCGTCTGGGAGAAAGCAAGATATGCGAAATATAAATTCTGGTCCGGCGGGTGTTGTATGCTTGAAAGTAAAGAAGGAACCAGGGCGGGCTGCGCCGAGCCACGTCTGGTTCTTGGAGAGAGTAGAAGAGCCCACCACGGTAGAACAGGTGCTGGAGCATGCTCGCACCACAAGACTCGGAACACTGGTGACACTCACGGGGCCACACTTTGATTGAGAGAAGGTCACAATCGTAGTCTGGATGCGGGATGAAATGACCTGCTTCAGACACTTGCCTCGTATGTCACCCAGGGATTTCCGTCGGTCCTTCCCAATTCTCCTGGGGAATCATGATCAAGAGTCGGAAAATGAGGGAAGCTCATTGAGCAGAAGGAATGGATGCCACTCTCCAGATCTTTCCATACACATGTCTCGTCCAGCGTGGAATACGGACAGGTAGCCCGGCTTCCTTGTATCTTTGCGATTGTAGTTGAGGAAACTTCAAGCTATGGCTGCTCAGTCTTGCTTCGTTCAACTCACCTTGTATTCCCGAGGACGAATCCATATACCCTACGCGGTCGGCATGGAAGCGACTTGCTCGATCATGGATCACTAGGCCCTTCCGCGGTTGTGTGGTGGGTGGGATAAAGGACGTCTCAGGACTGATATATCAGCCTCGTCTGATACAGTGCATGCATGGTGACGGGTCAAGCCGAATACTGGGAATGAGAAAAGTGACATGCTGGGGAAATCATGGCCATGGATAAACTCAGTCGTGGTCGAACGAGCAACTTCATCGTAACAGCCAAGAATTTATTTATATTTATATTCAACCTTACATACCAGGTATACTGACATGTCACGCCGTCTTCCCAGGCGCCTTGCCCACATCTCCCTCAGCCAGGTATCATTCATACGGCTCTCTTCATGGGCTAATGATGCACATACCTTCGATGTCGTCGACAAACGGTAGGGCGCTGGTCTGATTGTAACTCTGCCGACGTCCCTTCGCGCGCTAATTGTTCCCCTAGCTGCTGACCATGATCAGCAAAAGGTAGGTAAGCAGATCGCCCTGATCAGAATCAGAATCACAATTACTATCTGGCCCGACAAAACGACTTCTGGCCATGAAATCAAGCCGTCTTGCATTTTGCTTGAGGGCGGTCTAGCAGTACCAGAACCAAGAGAAGTGCGACCTGGAGCTACTGCAGCAGCGAACAGATTGCAGCCATACAACCGGCCGCAAATGAGAACTCTGCTCAATGTCCCAAAGCGGCGACGGGAGACGTATACTTCACAAGAGAGCTAATGTAGGTACTGTATGTTCCTACATGCGGCTTTTCCGGACCAGCCGAAGCCGAAGCAGAAGCAACAGCAGTCCAAGCCGAGCGCCGTGCTCAACGGCAGCAGAGTAGCACCATATCATTGCAACCCTACCTATGGCGCCAAGTACATATCTTCCTCTACCTACGTCCTGTCCATCACATCCACAAGAAAGCGCTGGCCAGGCCCAAACAGCCACCTTCGCCCACCGCTGATGGTCGTCTTGATACCTGAAAAGGAAGACATGGCTGCCGGACGCATGCCTCAACTCCAATGCAGAACACAAGGCCGCACAGCCTCCCCGGAGATATTTTCGTGGAATTCGGCTTTTCTATGAAGAGAGTCTATTTTCCAACCCAAACTGCGATTCTTACTGCCACCGTTCAAAGGTAGGTGCGTTGTTGAGAGCGGGCCCCCGAGCACCTTGAATGGGGACATAAGGGGCGCGGGCGAGCCGCCGAACAGCTGTCTTTGGATTATTTTCGAGTATACGACCGCCTCCATGGAGATATCCTCCTCGAAATTTGGAGGGTGCCTGTTCCATCTACCTACGACCACCCCGAGGTCAAGCTACTTTGCTCGTATCACCTGAGAACACGTCATCGTGGGTGGTCTCCCGAGTACCTCCAAAGGGGCCCGAGGCAGCCATAGGGGCTCGGGCGAGCCGCCGAATGGCTGTCTTTGAATTACCCCCGAGTATACGACGCCCTCCTGCCCACCAACCCCTGGAAATGTGGTTTGACGGATCGACTCCTTCGTCACCCGCTTCGCCTCTTTGTCTCCTCCCGGCCTGCACAATTATCCGACGCCGGACTGCCCACGAGCCTGCCTGCTGGTGTCGTGCAAGCGCCGGGTGGCGTTTCCTCCATCATGGATGGGTTTATGAAAGAAGAAGAAAAAGAAGTAGGGGACAAGGAGGAAAAGCCTGCTTTTATTGACCTGCAAGAGCAACCTCTAGCCCACTGTGCCATTTACGTAGACGAGGATTAGACACTCCGAATCCATCTACTATTCGGAGGTATCACTATCGGGCTGATGTCCTGCAATAGTATCTAATTTCTGGGTTCCTTTGAAGCAGCCAGACCATGCTGGCATCACGTTGAAGAGAAAAAAACTTGGGTATCATTTTGTATTATTTGAACACTGGTGGATTGCCGCCTCGAGGTCCGATGCACCATTCTTCCACCAAGCAAAATGCAAATCTGTGCTTTCTGCCCACCGAAAGACCGTCATTACTATGTCCTCGATCCCTCCATCGTGGCGCCCGAGATGTGACAAGCCCCGAAAGTATCAATTGCACAGCACCTGTCCATCGACCACTACGTCAGCCTGGACGGAGTCTCAGACCTTTGTCGTCTTGACCACACGGGTGTCGATGGCATGACCCCAGCCGTAGAATCGACAGTCTTCGCCGTACCAACATCCGTTCTCGTCGGGCTTGTTTTGCGGACAACGGTGGCCGTAGATACATTCTGGGTCGGAACAGTCCAGCTTGTAATAACAGGGAGTCATGCGCGCCACTTCGCGCAGAACACTGCGCTCGCCCTTGGAGAGCGGATACGTATGTGAATGGGAGCAGTTGTTCGAAGTGCAGAACGACGGTCCTTGAAGATAGAAGATATTGCAGAGCTTGAGCTTCTTGATCCGTTGGATCTCGTGGTTGGGGATGGACGAATCGACCTTATCCACCCGCTGGCCGTACCGGTTCCGTTCGATACCTTTGGTGACTGGTTTGGATACCACTGCCTCAGGGCTTCTCATCGATGTCGGAGTAGACGTGCGGGTCGTGCTGGCTTTGGAGGCAGGAGCTGACGGGATGAAAGGTTGGGCAGTCATCGTCGCCCAGGTCATCGCTGGTGTACTCGAGCCCGAAGCGGTCCCGCTTGTACCATTGGACTCGACTCGAGACAACGCCGGAAGAGTTGCAGTAACAGCCTGTAATGGACCTTTGGGCATCGGACAAGGTCCGAGTTTGGTGTTTCGGAACACATTTTCCATTTTTAACGTCTTAAAGTGGTCTTTGAGGGCCAGAAAATCTTTGTCGAACGGCACACTCTCGAGAATTGTGACGTGGTCCAAAACTGTCGCATCTTGTGCAGTCTCTTCAAGCAGATTCGTGTAGTGACTGTCGCTGGAGCAGCCCAGAATGATCTGGTGACAGTGGCAATTGTAAAGATGCGAGTTAAACTGATCCCGCACTTTTTCCTTCGAGCGAGATCCAGCATCCACAAAATCAAACGACAGTTCAGCACTGTTGAGACCTCGTGCAAATTCGTCGAGAAGCGAAGTCCGCTCAATGATTTTCAGCTTGCTCAGTGTCTCAGAGAGTGACTTGACGTTGGCGTATATTCTTGTGACAACATTGGGCGACCGCAGATGAGGCAAATGCTGGGCCACAAAGGCGTCGACTGCGGAAGAAATATTGCTGGCCGCCTCTTTGCCCCCATTCTCGCCTTTGCATAACAAGTCTTTGGTGAATATCATGCCGTCGCCGTCGAGAAGAACCATGATATAAGGGCTTCGGTCCTGGAAAGGAGTCAGAAACATCTTCGCAAAGAAGTAGACCCAAAGAGAGCCTTGCGCACCATTATCGTTTTAACCTGCAGTAATTGCTCGTGTAAAGCATTTTCGCGTATTTGACCCTCTCGATTAAACTGAGCTTCCCTGCTGTGATCGAGCTGGAGTCGGTCAAGCTGGCTCTGGGTAGTCTCGAGTTGAAGTAAAAGATCCTATAGCCTAATTAGCACTCGCATTCGCATTGGCCTGCGACCGGCGAGGGTCCTACCTCGATCAATTGGTTTTTCTCCTCTTCGAGTCCGCGGAGGCGTTTATTGCGCTCTCGAAACGACAGCTGGGGAGCAATCGCACCCAGGTCGGCCCCAATCGGGCGATTTCTGAATGTGCCATTTCGCGAGCCGTAGTCAGGACTTGAATTGAGCAACGGATGATCGAACGTTGGCGAAAAAGGATCGTAGCGGGCCATGTCTGGCATTGAGAAAGGTCGTCTGCTCGATCGAATGTACAACGAGGTCCAACGGGGCTTTGAGAGAAAGGAGATTGAACTGGGTTGGCGGTGAAGAGGAATGCAAGACGCAGGTGAAGACGCAGGATGCCAGTGCAGTGCCAGTGCCAGTCTCTCAGGCTCGTACTTTTTTGTGACTTTCTTTGGCGCCCAAAAGTTCGATTCTGGGGAAGGCAAAACGCGTACAAAATGGCGCCGTTAACTGGATGGCATTCTTTCAAGCGGGTCCCCTAGCGCGTCACTCTCTCCTCTATCTTGCGCCTAGAGACCATCCACTTTGCAGCCTAAGGAGCCCTTATAGGCGCCACTACCGGCTGCTTAAGCGGGCGATTCGCTGAGCATCAGCAGCTGCTAGCACTGTACGCAGTCGACGATGATTGGCATGGCTAACAGCGCTGCGCTATATACACAGTACCTAACTACCTCATAGTAGAGCACCAGCGCCAGCGTTTCGATAGATGCATTGGACAGAGAGATGTAGGAGCGTTGCTAACATGACTAGGTCGTAGCTACGGCATCATTCTCAATCGACTGTTGCTGCGCTGTTGCAGCAATTCTGGGCATAAAAATAGCCAACAGAAGAGCCCGATAGTGTTCATGCGACCACTGAACTTGACAGCATCTCTACAGAGGAGGCTAATAATACGCGGATAATCGAGCAGGTATGCCGAATGCGCCCCTGATCAGGGAGCTGGCCTTAGGTAAGCCTAAGCCACCGCTGGCGAGACCAATCCAGGGACAACTTGCACCTAAAGACCAGCTGCAGTGAGCTAATCTCCAACACACGTCAAAAACCACCCACCGCAGCGCGATACGCTGTCCTTTCTTTCTCGACCACGACCACGACACCACTTCCACCAGCTCGATTTCTCTCCCTTCCCTTCCCTTTCATTTTCCTCCATTGAACCCTATCGTCAGGCAAAATGGGTCGCTTCTTGAACCTGGCACTTCTTGCCTTTGGTTTCCAGGCAGCAGGCACCTTTGCCCAAGCCGCACCTGTGAGCAATCCCACAACCCCCAATCCGACCAGAACCTCCCATCTGGTCGCGCACAACTTGAACCTCAGCTAACAGACTGGGATAACCAGCAGGAAGTCGTTGAAGAAGTTGAGGACCCCTCCACGAGTCCTGCACTTGCCGTCACGGTCGAAGCATCCTTCCCCGATGCAGAGATCTTCGGCATCAAGCTGGTCAATGGCAAGCCCACCGAGGCCGTGCTCTCCTTCCTGAACGAAGAGCCCGAGCCGGTCACAGTGCAATTCATCGGTGGCAGCTTGTGGACGCTTGAATCAACCCCTCGCATCGTCCGCAACCTGACCACGGCCCAATATGCCGTCGAGATTCCTGCCGGCGAGAAGCAAAGCCTGCCCTACCGCTTCCAGACGAACATGCACCCGCAAGATCTGAGACTGAACCTGGCTGCCGTTGTCAATGCCCAGTCCACTTTCTACACTCTGCAAGCCTACAACGGCACCGTCTCTGTCGTCGAGCCTGATGCCAGCATCTTCGATCCGCAAATGTGAGTCTAAAAAGCGTGACGCAATGTCGGTCCACGACAGAACCCCGAAAAAAGCAACCTCCAATACACGTATATCTGGTTATCATGCTAACCATTTGACACAGTCTCTTCTTGTACTTCTTCCTCCTAGCATCTGCTGCCGGCGTTGCCTACTGGTTTTATACCATCTGGGTCGCTCCTTACTTCCCGCAGAAAAAACGCCCAATGAAGAAGACACCGGTCAAGAAGGTCGACGTTGGTGCTGTCCACTCCGACACCGAAGGCCCAGCTGTGTCCACCGGCTCCAAGGCATACAACGAGGAATGGATTCCCAGCCACCATATCCAACGTCCGGAAGCCCGCAGAGTTAAGAGCGGTGGAAGGCCCAAGAGCCGCGGCAAGGCTGAATAGACCAGACGCATTCCAATTCCGTCCACCTGTATGCTGTACCGGGTCTTACCAGGAACAAAATTGTCTCCATAGAAGCGACATACGCGGATGACAGAACCGACATTTGAGCTCCACGAGCTAGAAAGCGGAGACGGACGACATGGAAGTGGGGCAGTCAAGATACCCACGCATGAGACCGGGATGGGTAGGACAGGAATTTGGACATAAAAACCAGGACAGGAAAGGACGAGGGATGTTTGGATCTCTAGCAGAGGGGGAAATGGCCGTCTTGTTAGGGTCATCAGCTAGGCCTCAACCAGCTGGATACCAGGGTTAGCATTGATGACATCCCAAGCTCGAGTCACTGTAGAAAGAAGAGAGGCCACAGATCGCTGCTGATTGTTCAGCCGGCCGACGCGACCTGCCAAAACCGGCCGCAATAAAGACAAAAAGCACAAGTTCAAAAAGACGAATTGAAAAGAACCGCAACTCTTTAATTTCAGGCCCTGTTCAATTTTGCAGCAATTCGAACCATTAACCTCTGATCTGTGGACCGATTGAATAAAGCTAGTACACTAGGGATGTGGTAGTACTGGTCTATCATCCTCCACCAGCCACCGGGACCAGCACCTGGAGCGTAAGGAAGCAAAAAACAAACCCGACACATAACCATCCAGACATAAATCCAGCACAATGACAGGAGACGTCTCATCCACGAATCGATCCATCTAGTGGAGGTCAAGCCGAACCCTTTCATAGAAGTAAGTACCAGGCGGGCAGTTTGGAATCAATCGCCCATGATATCATCGTCGTCCTCCGCAGCGTCAGCATCGGTCTCAGCACGACGGTCTTTCTGGGCTTCTTCGTCCTGGTGATCTTCGATGCGGTCGTCGTTCTCATCTTCCAGCAATTCGCGCTGTCTGTGTGCCTCTTCCTCGTCGTGCTCCTCATCATCATCGGGATCTTCAATGTCATCGTCCTCAAGAACCATTTCGTCCGAGATGGGGTTTTTGAGCAGCGACGACCTGGTCGATTTACCCTTTGCGCCATCACCATTGTTTTCGCCTGTAGACTTTGCTTTCGCCGACGTCTTTCTCTTCTTCTCCTTCTTCTCATCGAGGTACGACAAAAGGGTCGAATAGTTCTTGCCCAACTTGGTGCGGTTCAGCATCAACCTGTGTTTGACATTCTCGGCATCCGAGTCCTTGATGGCGCCTCCAACCAGGGCAAAGATGATCTTGCTCGTCAACTCACAGAGATGCTGTTCGGCGAGCAAGGCGGCTTGCTTCTTGGCACTGCGGCCTCCTGCTGCTGCTGCCTCATCCCCGTCATCCTCGTCCCCAGAATCAGAATCATCATCATCAGCTTCATCGTCAGAATCCTCCGGCGGCTTCTCGATCTCTTCTTGCGTTTCTTCGGGGGGAGTATCGGCGTGCCTGGTCTTCTTCTTGTCGTGCTTATCGCTCGTCTCGATCTTTCGGCGCGTCTTCTTCGCAAACGACTTCTCCAACCGCTCATGAGTGACCATGACTTCTCGCAGAATGTCCTCTGGAACACTAGTGATCAAGCTATGGAGGTTGCGTTGGACATCTTCGTCCAGCTCCTGGCCGCCCTTATCAGGCTGCATATTGCGGATGGTCGAGAACAGAGCGAACAGCTCCAGCACGTTGACAATCGCCGTGTATCGCACCGGATCCAAGGGGGACCGCAGCAGAATGATCGGTGCAACAGTCTCGACGAAAGTCGAACGTGTCATCGCAAAGCTGGTCAGGTTCCTCGTCGTCAGCTCGGCCTTGTCGTTGGCCGCAATGGCTTTCTTCAAGCCAACTACTTTCCATCGAAAGTAGCGGGAAAACAGCTCAATCAATGCCATGCACAGCTGGTCTTCTAGCTCGGCAGAGGCCGGTGTTGTTTCCTCGTCCGGCTCACCTCGTTTCAAGAGCTGAAGCAAAAGGTCTAGCAAGGTCGTTGTCCCAGCTTGGCTGTTCCTTGCTGCCGCGTTTTTGCCCTTTTGGTTTTTCTTGGATGTTCCAGACTCCAGATTGCCTTCGATGATGTGCGTACAGTCGTATATGCCGGCTAGTTCGGCCAGACGTAGTGTGGTGTTGACGACTTCACTGAGGATGGATTGGTCAAGGGAGCCTCTCGTTTCGACGTCTTTGCCGCGCAGAAGATTGGCGAGCGTGGTCACTGACTCGGTCCAGATTTCTTGGACTTTGGCGTCTGCGGCTTCTTTGCTCTGCTCGTAACTCCTGGCGTTGCGGAACGCCACACTTGCGGCCGCCAGCACTTTCTTGTCCGAATGTGATGTGAACTGTTTGCTGATATCGTCGAGGATGGCCGAATAAGCCGCCTCGCCGCTCTGCAAATCATTGATCAGACCGATGTCGAGCAACTGCTCTATTCGAAGGACTGAAGATGCCGCCTGTGGCGTACTGCTATACTTGCTGAGAAGTTGCGGGATGATGACGGTCAGGTTTTGGGCGGCAGTTTCTTGCTTTTGCCGAATCTCGTCTTTACTTGCGTTAGTCTTTCGACTTGTTGGCGTGTCCATGATTGACTGCAAGTATTGCTTGACTGATGCATAGAGGACATCAAGTAGAATGATGTCTTCGCCTCCACTTAGCTTGTAGATTTGTTGGATCTGGAGGCCAATGTCTTCGTCGTTGGCTTCCGAGGGGATCGAAGAGTGGTCGTAGAGAAGATACCCTGCAAGGGATTCCCAATGCTGCAGTTCCGGCATATAAGGATAGATGGCCTGTGTGGCTAGGGTATAACGCGAGTCGACGGTAAAGTTGAGAGGTAGAGTCTGAGCATTCAAACCATCCAGAGATTCCTCGTCGTTGTCGTAGCCCGCAAGGATGGACCCCAAGCACTTGAGCTTGATCCAAGCTTGTGTAGGGACCGTGAAATCGTCCACTTCGTCTGGTGCTGGTAAGGCTGCCTGGTATTGTTCTTCTTCCAGATCTTCAATGCTTGCCCGGTAGAGATCTTCGATGTTGGAGACAAAGAACTTGGCCACTGCTTTTCTGACACGGGGCTCACTATCGAAAATCAACCGCCCAACAGTGTCGATGTCGTCCGGCTCAAGCAGTTCAGCATCTCGAAGTCTGTCCAACAGTTCGATCGCCTCGACCCTGACACTGATGTCGGCATCCCTTGTTCCCATCTCGACCAGTCTGGGTCGGAAGCGGTCCGTAAACGCCCTCAAAGCGCCAATATTCTTCTTATTCTTGAACAAGTTCTTCAACTGCTTGATGTCTTCCAGTCGCGTGGCAGCGCTCGTATCGTTCAACACCCATCCCAGGTACCGGAGATATTGTCCCTCGAGGAACATCTTGCGGTAGAGCACAATCCAATTACCCAAGGCGGCGACACACGGAGCTCGAATTCTTTCCTCAACATCGCGGTATCGATGCACGTAGACAGTGTCGAAGGCGTCTCTCAGCTGAGCATCGATCGCTTCCAGCTTTTTCTCAGCGGACGCTAGACTCTCCTCGATCGTCTTGACACGACCCTTGTTGACACTCTTCTTCTTCTTTTCCGCGTCAAGCTGCGTCTTGAGTGTTGCCATGGTCTCCTGTAACTCCTTTGCTACCTCACACAATGCTGTGCTCATGGCCAGGGATATGACGGTGGCAGTATGTCTGAACGACTTGTAATTCGCTCCCGACATGGTGGCTATCCACACATGGATGTTATCGTAGACCTCGGGTTGGTCATAGAAAACAGATGAAGTATGCAGGATCTTGATGATGGCCTTGAAAAACTCCTCCAACACAGTCTGAAATCCCGCATATTGCTTTTGCTTGGAGACGAGTGGATAATCGGGCGGTGCTTGTTGTTCGTATTCTTGAAGAATATCTCCAAGCTTGCTGGGGACAGAGTCCAGGTCTTCGATATCCTGAGACTCGACTTTGGAGTTGCACCCGATACATTGCAGAACAAAGTTGATCAGATCGCGTATGGCTGCGACGCTGTCTTCCTGTAGGGATTGAAACCACACAGATGCCGCGTCTTCGGGAGAGCGACCTTTTCCAAACACTTCGGCATACAGTCCCTGTTGATGCGCCTGGCTGGGACGAGCGCGTGCCCTTTGGGCCTTCGAAGCTTTGGACCCAGACTTGGTTTGTGCATTGACGGAGCGAATGGCTAAGGTCGTACTAGGACCACTGGCCGTCTTTGCTCTCTTCGTAGCAGGCTTCGCGGCTGGTCTTCTTGCTCGTTGCGCTCGTCGCTTGGCCTTGAGTTCTTCCTCGTCTGGCTCACCTTCGCTGTCTCCATCTTCGGTCTCCGATTCTTCGTCCTCTTCAATCTGTTCATTCTCGTCATCGTCGTCATCACCGCCCGCCGCGGTAGCCTCGGTTGTTCGCTTCCGTTTCGTGGCGCCGTTGCGGAGAGTGCTTCTGTCGTGGTGCTCTTGCGAGAAAAGGTCCGGTTTGCGCACCACTCTCCCGGACTTGCGGCGCGACTCAGCTGTGCCGTTGGGGGGACTGGAGGCGACCTCCATGGTTTGTTAGGAGGTAGAGTGCTGTTTATGCACACGCGTGCTGTTCGATGGTCGAGGGGCGCGCAGTCAATCGGACTCAGAGATTGAACCGACCGCACGACGACAAGACCAAGTACAATTCACCTCGAGATACCACTAGATGTCTTTCCGGATTGCGATGCGCCAGGTCCAGGGCAGGCGGTGTTATGATTGAATGGTGAATGCTGCGGACTTCAGGCCATGGACAAACTGGACACGCTTGAGAAACGCGTGACGCGAAGGCAGAAGTGGAGGTGGAACTGGAGGGCACCGGTACCCTCGGGGTCTAGGCGACAATTATTGCCGGCGCGAGTTGGGTAGGAAACTTAGGCGAGTTAGGCTCCCTATTAGTGTGTTTAGGGATGTCTAACGATGTTCACGGGAGCTAAGCTAAGCATCTCTATTCTCCGCCATCGTTGCTTCAACCCGTGGACTCCAGCACCAATGTGGCCGCCCGTATAATAATGTAAGTCGTGTGCTTCTTCCTTCCTACATAGATACGTCTGGTAGAAGGCTCCTGTTTTGTCTTCCTCATATCCTTCGACAAATTAGATTGCCGACGCTATGGAAATTGCTGGACTTGCGAAACTGTGAACAACACCATTATGCCAACCTGAGCCGTCCATCTGATGTCGCTTCCTCGGTCACCATTTGCGCCTTCAGCGTCTCTACCAGGCACGGGGGAACTGGTACTTTGCCTTCTTCCTCCCGGCAAACAGGTGCTACGAACGTTCACTTACCAATACCCGCTGAAGCTCATTGCGCCGGACCCTCACCACTCTGGCGATGACAAGCACGTTACCATCGCTTTCCTCCTGACCTATGGAGGAGGGCTTGTTGGGGGAGACCAAATCAACCTCAAGGCCGAACTACAGGATGGCACTCGTCTCGTCTTGCTCACCCAAGGCAGTACGAAGATTTTCAAGTCTCCCAACAAAACCGTGGTCAGCAGACAGGTACTAGATGTGAAGGTGGGTGCTGAGGCGGCGCTTTGCTATCTTCCCGATCCAACCCAGCCATTCGCGGAGAGTGTCTACGAGCAGAGACAAACTTTCTATGTTGAGCCGGATGGCAGCAGCAGCCTGGTGGTGCTGGACTGGGTGAGCGAAGGTCGGCGAGCAAGGGGAGAGAGTTGGACATTGTGGAGCTGGCGTGGAAGGAACGAGGTCCGAGAAACTGATGAGCGCTCTAAGGGAAGACTTCTTCTCCGCGATGCGGTCATGCTACACGAGGATGGTCTGGGTGGCACAGGCATCGCGGACAAGGCTGATAACATAGGCATTTTCGGCACGTTGATTGTCTACGGCCCACTGTTCAAGAAGCTGGGGGACTTCCTCATGCACGAGTTTTCCAGTCAGCCGCGCATTGGAGCCAAGAACTGGACAACCAGCGAGACAGCCGGAGGGACAGAGGGCGCGAAGCAAGCCGAGCTGGCCAGGCAGCGTGAGCAGCAAGACGGTCTCTTATGGACTGCCGCCAATGTGCGCGGATTCGTGCTAGTGAAGTTCGGTGCAACCGAGCTGGACGGTGCAAAGCGATGGCTGGGAGATTTGCTGAAGAAAGAAGGAAGTGTTGAAACGATGTTTGGTCACCAAGCGCTTCTATGTCTCCGCTGAGCCTGCCAGCGTCTGCCATACCCAACATGCCTGAACTATAGGGAGAGACTTCACATTCTATTTGCCAATGGTGAGGAAGAGACGGTCACCGATATCTCCCAGACCAGGCTTGATCATTCCTCTGTCTGTCAACTCCTGGTCCACCCCACCCACCCACACCTGTGTGCCCTCTGGCCACTCCTCTGCGGCTCTTGTCACGCCAGGGACTGCGCCCAGAACACTGAGCACTACGATCTTCTCGACGCCCCAGTCCTTTAGTGACTGAATGGCTGCGACGGCCGTCTGGCCTGTGGCGATGATAGGGTCGACGATGATGGCCAGTTTCGCGACGGAGCCCTCTGATTGAGGTAGGTTGTTGTAATATTCAACCGGCTGCAGGGAGAGCTTTTCTCGAAACAGGCCTAGGTGGTGGATGGAGACAGGTTCGGGAAGGACAGTTTGAATGGCTATGGCCGTGTTAATTGCAAGTCGTCCACGAAAATGTGGGAGCATACCTTCAACCATTCCTAAACCTGATCGCAGGATGGGAACCACAGTAATCTTGGTGCAATCAATGGACTCATACGTGTACTCAAATCCTATGGGTGTTTCATCCTACAGCAATCAATGTCAGCCTGGTCTGCGATCAGCAAACGGTGCCAGACAAGATAGGACAGACTTACAGTCCCAATGGTCTCGAGAGTCAGATCCGAAAGTGCTTCTGTTCCCAAAAGAAGGGCGATGTCATGGACCAGAGCCTTTGTCTCACGGGCGTTTGTGGATTTGGAACGCAACTGCGATAACTTGGCCCTTAGGCATGGGTGTCTAGAGATATGGACGTTGGAGGGCAGATCCGGCGCCATGGTACGATCAATGTCACGCAACAGAATAGATACAGGGACGCTCTGGAGATTAAATGAACCAGAAGACTCAGACGAGATCAAGAAAGTCAAGTCTCGGTCAGTGCCAATGTCGGACAAGGGAAGCATCTCGAGGCGCGTTGCATTCTCCGAGTCTCTCGTCAAAACAGTGCTACAGTGGTTATGGGCGGGGTGCATTGAGTCGCTGGCAGTGACTGCGGAGGTAGCGATAAGAGACCGAGGGGCACGGCCAATTCCGCGGCGCCTTATCAGTGCCTTAGGTAGGCCGGGTCACGGTGTGCTGTAGCCTGAAAGCTCCCCGGCTTGAGTAGCGCTGGGCTCGAGGGGCCCCTAGGCCTAGTAAGGTAGGGGAGCCCAGCACTCGCAGTAGCGATGGGATAGGGCTCCTTAAGCCCCCTCGGCCCTCGAGCTTTCCGTGGCCGCGATTGTCTTGTACTCCTCGTCTCCGACTGGAGGCTCAAAAAGTGTACACTGGTGCTGCTCATGGCATGACATGCGGTACTCGATCCGGCTGTCGCCAGCAGAAGATGCCGGCTAATAAGTTCTATTGTGGCTCTGTCTTTCTGTTGACCTGGGACAACTCCGCAGTCAAAACGCTTCCAGGCCGGCGTAAGGGGGGTTTGCGGCGCCGGAGCATCGCCACTCCAATCATCACACTAGGATCTAAGCAAACTCCACCAAACACAACATCTTGGGTTCAGCTTCACATCTTTGGATTCACCACGCCCGGATTGTCCCAAACATACCTAGCCATGCGATGGGTGGTCGGGGGCTCATGTTTTATGGGCGCCCCCTTACTGCAAAATAAATGAGCCTTTCTACTGCAGCAACATCTTTCTCGAACAATGGCGCATCCTAGCCAGACCCCACAAGGACACCTTCGCGAGCGATGGACGAGAGAACATTTTCCCGAAAGCGTTGGCGCCGACTATCGACTTTCAAGCGAAAATCCTGCCGAGCGAGGTCCCGGCGGCATAGACGATGAAGAAGACAGTGAGGAAGCGATCGAAGATGACATGGAGTTGAGCGAGGTAGCGGTACCTCTGCCTTCTCACCGGGACGATCCCCGACGGCCATCCTGGGAAGATGCGGTGCGATTCTCAAGTAGGGACTCGCACGAGCGAGGCGACCGGCAAGGGGATATGAACTTGACCGAGCTGACGATACCGGCGCCTGCGCAACCAGAGAACCCACGAACACCCTCTTTGGAAGGCGTCATGCGCAGACTGAGCAGTCATAAGAGCCGTGATCGAAATGAACAACTAGGCGAAGTTGCAGGGCTCGAACCAGTCGGCGGTGGAGAGAAGCCATCTGACGAGGAAACGCCTGTGGACTCTTCGAATCAAAACAGTTTGGAAGAGCAGCAGGATAAAATGTCGGCAACTCTGGAGTCGCCCGCCGTTAAGCCCTCGCCTATAATGTCAGAGGTCATCACAGTCGGATGGCTAATATTCTTTTCGTTGCTGGGGACATTGGCTCGGCTAGGGGTCGAAGCTATCACCCTGTATCCCAATTCACCGTTTCCTTCCCGAGTCCTGTGGGCAAACCTGGGCGGATCGTTGTTCATGGCCTTCCTGGCCGAAGACCGCCGTCTCTTTCGACAACCAGAGACTCCGCCCGATTTACAAGCCGCCGATGCTATGCACAAAAAGGTCAAGAAGACCATCCCTCTCTACATCGGGCTGGCCACGGGGTTTTGCGGTAGTTTTACATCCTTTTCGTCCTACGTACGGGATTGTTTCTTGGCTTTGACAAACGCCCTTGAACCTCCCTCGCCGACCTCCCCATACCACGTTGACTCGAACATTGCATCGAGGAATGGTGGGTTTTCTTTCCTGGCATTGCTGGCTATCATGATTGTCCACCCTGCCGTATCCATTGCGGCTTTGCAGGTCGGAGCACAGCTGGCACTCTTTCTGCAACCTGTAACCCCGACGATTCCTGTGAAATTTGCCCGGATGGTTCTCAATCCATTAAGTGTCGTGCTCGGATTCGGCTGCTGGCTTGGAGCTGTCTTCCTTGCGATCTGGCCGCCGGGCAACGACATCCATTGGCGGTTTCGCGCTGTGCAACCCTTGGTTTTCGCCCCGGTGGGTTGTCTCATGCGATTCTACGTCTCGAAGCACATGAACGCTCTTGTTCCATCATTTCCACTGGGAACATTCACGGTTAACATGCTCGGCACAGCAGTGTTGGGAATGGCATTTGATTTACAGCATGCCCGGCATGTAGGAGCGTCAAGCGCCAATGCGTGCGCTGTGCTGCAAGGCGTCATGGAGGGATTCTGTGGGTGTGTGACGACCGTCAGTACGTGGGTAGCCGAAATCCACGGCCTGAGACGTCGCCATGGCTGGATCTACGGCCTGACCAGCGTCGGGGCCGGGCTGGCCATGATGGTGGTGATCATGGGCAGTATGGGGTGGACGGTGGGATTCACGCCGCCGGCATGCAGTTGAAGTACTATATATCTATGAGGTGTTTGATCATGATATATACAGTTCTGTCTGCCATGCCACGTCCATATCCTGTGTATAGACCTGCATATATTGAGTTGAATTAACAGAGCCAGATCCCATACTCTTTGAGCCTTGCCCAGACGGCACCTCATTCCTTCGAAATTTGCTTTGCATCCGAGGCAGCCTCCATCAGGACAAGTCTACCATTGTGGTTCCTACAAATGTACTACTGTACGTACTACCAAATGAAGGTTTCAGCCACACAGGCTGATCATTTTGGGCGAATCGGCATATCTCAGCAGGATTGTGTGTCCTGCTCCACTCGCAGACCCTCTGTTTTTCGGGACGGGCGCTGGGCGTTGCCTTTTGATCGAATCATCAATGCAGCCGTCAGCCATTATTATGTGCTTTCCACAACTTGAGGCCCAATCCATCCACATGCCGCTCATCCATCGATCGTGTGTCTGTCGCCTCGCTTCCTGGCAATCGCTTGACAGGTCTTGGTGAAAGCTGTGACTGGTCGGTTCCTGACTTTATTCCCCAGTTTTGCTCAACAATGGCACAACATCCCTGCCGCTATTTTCTTCGTCGACACAGATAGGACTGGTATATCTTTGGGGCCGCTCGATCCATCTTGCTATGTAACGCGTCAGCAGGCATTTCATTCTGGTCCTTGTTTCGATCTACTTTCTGCCTCTCTCTGTCTCTTCTTGTATAGCATTATTACTACTACCACCGCACCTTCTCTCTGTCTTGCTGCTCCATTTGGCGGCTGCTGCTCTGGCCTTTTATTTTGTGCTCTCTCCTCTGCGAAATTGTTGGCAAGGACCGCCAGCGTTATAATTCCTTTTCCGGAGACGTCTGCAAATTGACGGATGACCTGACTTGACGATTACTTTCCAAAAGACTCTTCATCACTTCTCGTAGCATAACCCGCCCAAAATGCCAGAAACTGCAATCACTTCAGTTCTGCTGCTTTCGTCTCTCCTAGCCCTCACCACTGGCACCCAGGCTTCAAGTCCAGGGGACAGCGTTCAAGTCGCGGACTCGGACCTATACCCTGCGGTGCCGTCCGACCTTGACACGAACCAATGGGCACCATACACGACTCTCGAACCTGTCGCGTCCACCCCGTCCATATCCACGCCCACGGCCACTGCTTCTGCAGACGATAGTGTTCGTATCCTGCCCGCCCTCGACGCCAATGCCATTCCCGAAATCAAAGAACGTCAAGTCACGGGCCAGGGCACCGCAGCGGCAGCAACGGCGATCAAGCAAGTCTCGCCCATAACGACATATTACATCGCCTCGGAAATCTCCGGGTCCCAAGTCCAAGTGCCCGTAGTGTATACGCAGACGTTCCCCGTGTCGTATGTCCAGTGGGCGAGCCCGACTGCAGGCGAGATTGGCTTGGGGACGATCCAGGGAACGATTGGGGTGGTGAGGACGGATCGGAAGAGAAGTTTGCCCACGCAGGCACCGTTGGGCGAGTTGCCAGCCTTGGAGTCGGCGAGCGAACCGCCTGCTGCGGAAACAACGCAAAGTCTTGACGACCAGAGGGAAGAACAACAAGGACACCAGAAAAGTGACGATGGCCACGCGTATTCGTCGAAACTGAGCAAAGTCGGGTCCTCGATTCAGCATGAATTGGCGGAATGGTTGAAGTTTGCAAAGCAGCAGAAGGACAAGGCTGAGAAAGAGGTAAAGAAGCCATGTGCAAAGTGCGGCATGGATACCGACGAAGACGCTGTGTCAAATGACGCTCACATCCTCAAGGCGGGAACGGTGGCCGCCCTCGCTGTTGGCGTTGCGACTTTGGGTCTGGCTTATCTGTGAGACCATTTTCAGGTACTCAGCATCCCTGCACCATGGGGAGGTCCTAGGGAGATGTTCTCTATGGGATATGCGCGTGCAACGATTTTGGTCAAACAATCCGGGTCAACAAGATCTTACCGTCTCTGCTTCTTGACTATTGGTGCGGTAACAATGCACACGCGTTAGCCAACGTGCACAAGCAGATCAATGCATTTTCGAGTTCGGAAATGCTGCCTTGTACAGTACCATCAGATGGAGCGACAGAGTGAAGTTTCTCCCACTTGGAGTTCGAAGGGAAACAATATACCCATAACGCGGCATATGCGTGGAAAACGGCGCGATCCCAGAGATGTCTTTTTGGTCCAGCGCAACTACAGCCAAAAACCCTCAACAGAGCTGGAGGTCGGCAAGATTTCCAAACATAGAGGCAGGGCACGACGCATGCGAGCTGCCAGGGGGGCGCAGATCATCCCAATCAAAATTCAACAAGCCGGGCATTTCCATTGTTATCAAGTTTGGGAGTCGACGATGTTCTGGCCTCGAAGTTGATCAAGGTCCGTTGTTGACAGCGAACCCCCGGGCAATGGCCGGGATCATGCATGACGAATTCATGAAGTGGAGAGTTAGCAGGCGACGCGAACATTTTTTAATCAAAGGAGTGGGCTGGGCTGCATTCAGGTCGCCAACTTGCCTCAAGGACGCAACCGGTTGTTCGGTCAACCTCGTCCCAAGGACAGCACTGCCGCATCCACATTCTCCCGGTCGCCTCGGTGGAAAGGTTGTTAGATTGAAAACTGGGTTGATCTGACGTGGCTGTTGACCTAAGCCCACGTATCTCTTACGCTGAGCTTTTCGATTCATTGTGATGGAATCGGCGTTGTTGAGATGTCGAGGGATATGTTGAGGAGCATCCCAGGTTGATTACTTCAATCTAAGAGTATCAGTTGGCCCAGGTGCCTCAGCCTGGGGCGGTGTACACAATGCAGTTGTTGTACACTGGCACTGCACTACAGATCAACTTGTACATGTATGTATTCCGAATATTTGAGCACTCTTGGCTCGGTACTCATGTAAATCAACGCAAGTCGTGCAGCAAGGCACTACTACATAGTAGTACAGGTAGCATTTTCGCCTGGACCGCCCATGATCTCTTTTTGCTGGCATACGAACCCTTGCAGTGCCATTGTGCAACCACTGCAGCAGCGATAGTACTACGCCTGGCCTTCACTTCTCGCGTCTGAGCGCGACCGAGTCCCTTTCCCAATTTAGACACGCGCCGACCGACAGGAAAAAGGGTGCAGCACCACCTTGAAGGCTGCGCAGGCAATGCGAGTGCCGCCCCGCTGGCTAGTCCTTCGCTGACTGACGACTACTCCAGCATTGTCCCTACAGACATTCAAGCTTGCTTTCATGGATCCTTTGAGCAAGGTTGAAGATGAACCCCCTTACCAGGTCCTCAATTTTCTCCACTGCGAGGATATTGACTCTTTGTTCCAAGTGGTGTGTCGTGGCCGTCGGTTCCACGTCAGTGTCTCACCGAGTGACTTTCGTGAGGGCGATTCTACAGAGTCGTCAACGCCGCCCTCGTCGGCTTCATCACACATAGAAGATCAATACCAGCGTTTGCTCGCAGCTGTACGCGACGACGATCCCTCGAACATCGAAGATCTCAATCCAGAAGGCTATCATCCGCTTGACGTGTTATATGATTGGATAGCCACACCCTTCTTCCCTCTGTTCCGGAAGATACCACCATTACACAATATCGGATCTGGGCCAGGACAGCGCCTGCAGAACCTTGACGAGTACGCCAATCCTTCCACGCAGTTCTTCCGACTCAAGTGCGTTGAGGGTCGAGTGACACCAATTCGTTTGATTGATGGTGAGCATGACGTGGTACCACGGCCTTTGTTACGGTTCCTGGACTTGTCGCCCTCATGCATTCGCTCGAACGTTCCTATCTTCTCGTCGCGGGAGATTCTGATACCCTGGGACTCGCTGAGTGAAGGTGCATTGTATCCCCAGGCCGTCTTCCTGCATGGCCACCACAAACTCTATCTCAGGTCGGCAATGGACTCCAGATCAGCGGAACGCGAAATCGACCATCTGCTTCGTATCCAAGACTCGGGTCTGCATAACATGTTGCTTCTCCCGAAGTTGCATGGTTACGTCGAGGATGCAAGCCAGAAACGCATCATAGGCTATCTCCTTGAGTACATCGAACACCGAGGGACTCTCGACCATGTGGGAGCTGCCGAAAAAGCCCCACTGGCGCTCCGTCGACGTTGGTACCAGAAGATTGCAGAGACTTTAAGCGCCCTTCATGATGTTGGGATCGTCTGGGGAGATGCAAAGGCCGGCAATGTCCTCGTGGACCACGAAGACAGTGTTTGGGTGATCGACTTTGGAGGCGGCTACACTGTTGGCTGGGTGGATGAAGAACTGAGAGAAACGGTTGCCGGAGATTTGCAGGGCTTGGCCAGGATCAAAGAATACTTGAAATTGACAGAAGACGGTGTGCTGGACACTTACGAGTCAGGTTGATGTCTTAGATGTTCATGAGGTTCGTTCTACTATCCTTTGTTATGAATACCCTCGTGTTGATTGCAAATCCGTCACCTAGTCTTTGCCAATGATGCTTTGCTCCAAGGCATACATATCCCAATCAGTATTAGTAGCGTCCCCATGTAAACGAGAGCGCATGGTCAGTGCTGACAATGATCTAAGAACTATATTCCAGGGTGATACGGCCCTGCGCCTAGTTTCCGGCAAGATCATTGGGCCGCCAATGTCTCTCTAGACACACATGCGGAAGCGACACGTAGCGAACGTTGGAACTGACTGCGAGGCAGGATGGAGCTTCAGAGCAACGAGCTGTCAAAAGTGAATGCAACGTCTCGACGACGACAAATCGTGAGCTCGATCCCGCTTCGCCCTCCCTTTTGGGGTTGAAACAGGCGAATAACGAGCCTTGGGTGGGTGCAGCCGTTCGTTTCTGTGGGCATCAGATTCGACCGCAACGATAGTACGGGATAAGTTTCCTTTCGTCTGGCAACCAGCCAAGGTTCCCAGTACTTACAAGGGTCTTTCGTACAGTTTTGGCAGACGTTGTGGGCACAGGCACGACCTTCGCAATGACCGTATTGGTTACCTTTCTTCGCGCAAGTGCAACAACGCCATTGTCCCCCAAGCACACTCAACCGGCAACTATTCGCACCGCACACCTGGTCCTTTTGCACTCTCGTGGTATGCCGCTGTGTTGTACACATGACCTGACGCTTGCCGTTGCTTCCCGCATTTTCACAGTATATGATGCGGCCCTCGTAACCGCTGTGGCCACAGCGGAAGACGGCCTGAGTTCTGTGGCACATGGGACAGTTCCTAGCTCGGTGGCGTAAAGTGTGGTACGTCCTAAGAAGCCATCAATTATCCTGAAGCAATGCCAAAACGTTCATTCGGAAGGGTCCATACGCTTCAATCCAATTGCAAGAACAATCCAGGGACCAAATGTCTTGCTTACTCGTTGAATATGGAAACAGAATAAGGCCCCGAGTTCGAATCCAAGCCCGAATTGCAGCCTTTATAAGGAAGCGAGACAGACCACTTCAAGTGACAGTGCCGTTCGCAAACATACCTTATCAATGGTTGACTGATACTCCCACCTCACCGGCCGGCGCCCAACGGCCAGTGCTGCGTGCCAGGCATTCTCGCACCCAACGGCCCGTTTGGACCTGCTGACCATCTCGTATTTCCAGGGAGGCTACCTTTTAAGGGGGCGATGGAGCGGTCATCCATCAGTCCACTTGGATTCGACGGCGAAATCGAAGATTGAAGGGAGTACATTTGTTGAACAGCAGGTTGGTGACCGGCATGTTCGTGCGGCACGATCGCACAGTTTGTGGTAGAGCCAACTATTGGCCGTTGAGACGCCGAATGGATCACAGTGTGCGCCCAAACTTGTGCCCCGATGAACATGGGTGATTGAGCATCCAAAGTCCAGCAGACCGCTGCGGGCTGTTGTGGGTTGTGACCGTGTACAGAGAGTTGCGCCCGATGTTGTGTCACCCATCGCATCAGCACCACGGCTTCGCAGAACAGCCAACAAGAACACGCTGAGATGGACTTATCATTGATGCCTCAGTTTCCCGGCAATGCATGAAAGCAGAGCAGAACTCGTGTTTGGGCATCGTACAAGCCCATATTTCCTTTAGCGTTCTTTTGGAAGGTCCCTTTGTCGTTTCAAATCCCTCTACGGACGTTTTGCTCGAGAAGAATAACAGAGTTGACCAGCTGCGCTGTCGGTAAAGTTGCCATTTTTCGTCAATATTATCCAGGTATGTCTCATTGCCCACGCCATGTTGGAAGCGGCAATCTGTTGAGAAGAGGCTGATAAAGTATCTTCTTTTAGTACGTACTTGTATGTGGTCTGCGAATGACGCAAAGTTGTTTCATGTCTTACAACGTTGTACTTCAAGTTGGGGCCTTGGTGATGAGTCTGACTACCTGGTAAGCCTCGACTGCTCGCTTGGCACCTACATGACGGCGTTACAGTAGGTGCCAGTCAAGTAGAGCAAAAGAAGACAGTCAACTCCGTTATGGGAGTAGTTCACTTACCATAGTATCGCCCAGCTTGAAGTACCGTTCCACCGCGGTGCACTGCGGCATCCATCTGATATTGCCGAGGTGGATCGGCTAAGGAGACATCCAATCAACCGCTAACTCCTACTGATACAGCCTTGTCTCACACTATTCTCAGCCGCGGAGCAGACCCCGGGAAGTTGGAGGACCCCAACCACTGCGGAGGAGCTGATCTCTACTACCACTGTAGTGGTACCACGGACTACTACAATACTACTAGTCCTTCGCTCACTCCCCGGGTACAGTACTTAACGATTGTTATTTTCAGTCTTCCGCTTCCTCCGTTCCTGATTGTTGCTGGTGTTATCTATATCCGGCTTGCCGGTAAGGGTGATTCAAGCTGAGATAAGCTGAGGTGACCTGGCTCTGCTCTTCGATTTGAATTGAATACAAAGATCGGTCCGGATCTCGTTTCATCTCTCATATCTGACACCCCAACCTTCATCTGTCTGTTTATCTACTGTGCCCGTCTATTCATCCGTCTGGTCCGCATATCAAACCGCCATTTCTATCTCACCGAGTGTCATTATATTCTATTCATCTACTGCACGATGCCGTACTCATCACCCCTGCCACGCATCGACATACCAAAATGCAACATCCTATCATACCTCTTCCCACCAGACAAGCCAGTCCCTCCTCGGCCGCAATGGATCGACGCGGCGGACTCATCCCACAGTCTATCAGCAGCACAGATGCTGTCATGGGTGAAACGGTTCGCAATGGGCCTCGACCGGCTCGGAGTACGCGAGCAGGAAACCATCATGGTCTTCTCGCCCAACCACCTGTACGTGCCGATGGCGTACCTCGCAGCCGCAGGGTCGAAACGAGTATTCACGGGCGCCAACCCAATCTACACGGCCGCCGAGGTGGCGCACCAGATGAAAGCGATTTCCGCGGCCGTGGTCCTAGTCCACCCATTGCTGCTGGAGACGGGAGTTGCAGCCGCGACACAGGCCGGGATCCCTTTGGATCGAGTATTTTTGTTTTCGGCGGAGCATCCTCCCAAAACCACAGCTAACAGTGCCGTACGCGACTGGAGAACCATGGTGGCCTCCGAAGCCGAAGCACAATCCTGGCAATGGGACACATTGGAGCGTAACAACGCCGCCGAGAAAACCATTGCAGCCATCAACTTCTCCAGCGGCACGACCGGCCTGCCCAAGGGCGTATGCATCACGCACCACAATCTGATCGCCAACGCGTCACAGTGTATCTTTGCTCGCTTCTGGGGAATCGACAACCCGCCTCCTGAACGATGGCTTGCCTTTCTCCCACTGTATCATGCCTACTCGCAACTGTGGACCATCAACATTGCATGCAAGCTCCAGATCCCCGTGTACGTGATGGAAAAGTTTGTCTTTGAGGATTTTCTGGCATATATCCAAAAATACAAAATCACCTCGTTGCAATTGGTCCCGCCTGTCCTGGTCATGTTGACGAAACGGCCCGAAACAAACAAATATGACCTTAGCAGTCTCAAATCCGCAATGTGTGGCGCCGCACCCTTGTCAAGTGAATTGCAGAACGAGGTGTTGCGTCGGTTCAATATTGTTGTCGTGCAGGGATGGGGTATGACGGAGACCACGTGCGGGGGTATTATCATGCCCGGCGTGCAAGCAGACCATACGGGCAGTATTGGGTATTTGTTGCCGAATACAGAGGCCAAATTGGTCGATGAGGATGGTCGCGAAGTCACGAAGGAAGGAGAACCAGGCGAGCTGTGGGTGCGGGGTCCGCAGATGTTGCTTGGGTATTGGCGCAATGAACAGGCCACGAAAGAATCAAAGACCGATGATGGCTGGTTCAAGACTGGTGATGTGGCCGTCTGTAAGGGTCAAAAGTTCTGGATTGTCGATCGCAAAAAGGAGCTGATCAAAGTCAATGGGTTGCAGGTTGCTCCTGCGGAACTCGAGGCTGTTTTGCTGGAAAATCCGGATGTTGCGGATGCCGCGGTTGTGGGTGTTGTCGTCCATGGCGAGGAGTTGCCTAGGGCCTATGTCGTGCTGCAGGAAACTGCAAAGAGAAAGGGTACCACGGAACAGGATATCAAGGACTTTGTTGCCGCTAGGGTCGCTAAACATAAGAGGCTTGAAGGTGGTGTCAAGTTCATTGATGAAGTGCCCAAGTTGGCTAGTGGAAAGATTGTCCGCAAGCTTATGAAGGAGTGGGCTAAGAGAGATGCGAAAGAGGTCGAACGGACGGTCAAGCCGAGACTGTGAGAGAGATTCGTTGAAGAGGGGATAAAGGAAGAAGGTCAGGTTAGATAGGGATAGGGATAGGGATAGGGTTTGGAGTTGTTGAGATTAGTTAGATATTTTACAGTAAATGTATGATATGCGGATGTAAGCCTCACGTCGGGAGGAACGAAAAGAATCGCGAAGAATGGCCGCTCGAACCCCTAGAGAAGAAATTTATCAAATTGCCGTATCGATAAACACAAACTCTCGCAGAAACGCACGCCTCTCCTTTCAGTGCTAACATCTGTCCACTACTGGCATGTCCATCCCTTTCCTTGGACTTCAGTCATCGCTCAACACCCAGCGCACCAACGCTTCGAGTTTCGCATCCAACTTCTTCGCCGCGTCCACCAATTCCTGCGTGGCGCCCTCATAGCCCGCGACCAATCCGCTGGGACGGTACCACACGCATTTGGTGCCGGTAGTGATGGAGCCGGGGTCTGCCTCCTCGACGAGATACAACTCGACAGGCACAGACAGACCGGCGTCGAGATCATGGCGCAGGAGTGTGATGGCAATCAGTGGATTGCCCAGAATGAATCGGATGCAGCGCAGATCTCTTTGCTCGGCATCAGACGTGGTAATGGTCGAAGTTTGTGGTCGAAAAAGACGCAGCCAGCTGCCGTGGTTGAACTCGGCGAAATACGCGAAACCATGGGGCCCGAGATGCGACTCGACCATGGCCACGAAGGACTCCTTGTCCCTTGGTCGTGCCGCTGTGGCACCTTCACCAGCACCGGCACCGGTATCGTCGCCGGTCAAGTGAGTCCATTCTAACGGATGGTCCGCCCTTTGTATAGACGACCTCAATCGGAACTCTGCCGTCTCGAACGGTACCGAGGAATGGTACCTGAAGCGGTCGACAGATACGGCTTGACGTTGTGTGCTAAGCTGCATATTCGACAAGAAAGATCTGCTTGGGCAGTGCAAGATGAACAGCCGATACACCTGGCCATGCAAAGTGCTTGGAGCCAGAAAAGAAACACACGAGCATGAGAATACCACAGAATAGACCTCGATCTATATGGGGGCCAGAGGGTGAGGGGCAATCGGAGGAATCCATTTCGGGCAAGGGACTGTACCTCCATGCATCATGATTACTGAACAGCAGGACCGCTCAGCTGTAGTAGTGCCAGTAATGCCGAAGAGTGCTGAGCTCATGCGCTAATTGCCTTCGTCTCCTTGCGTTTCTTGAGGTTCGCTCGAGGGTAAAACGACATCGTCTCCTGGCAGGGACGCCTTCCTCAACGGACTCGGCGTGGCTGGTGAGGTAGGTTGTGAAAGAGACCCTGACGGTCTTCGCCCGGTACGAGTATCAAGGGCTAGCTTCAGAGGCTGCACGTTCTGCGGAGAGCCGATCTTTGTAGTATCAGACTTGGATATGTTTGGGGTGTCAGATAAGAGTGCCTCGTCTCCAGAAGGTTGTTGCCCTGTGAGCGCCAACAATGCCATATTTCTTTCGAGTTCCCGCCGACTCTCTTCTCGTTCTTCTCGTTCTTGACGTGACCTTTCAATTCTTTCCTGCAAGGCTGCCATGGTACCGTCGTTTCCGTTTGGCTTCTTCATCGGTAACGTGTGCTTAGGCGGTCGAAGCCCGAGCTTCTGGGAACTCGAGGGCATCGGGATCCTGCTAATACCAAGCCCTTTCAGTGCTGGCGAGCCAGTGTTGGATGCAGGAGCAGCACGTTTCGGTGGAGGAGCATTCCTCAACTGTTCCATGATCCCATCAAAATCCACCCTGCCAGGGCTGTCACTGCCCCGGACATTAACTTGAGGCGATTCAAAGGGTTGTCGGGCAATGTCAGGCGGCGACACGCTGAGCGAATCTCGCAGACGTTCTAGATGTGCCTGTGAAACATCGCGCAACAGCTCTTTAAATAGAACACTCTCTCGCGACACCGATGACGACGACGAGTAGGCAAGCTTGGAGTTGCGGAGTGGAGTCCCTGGACTTTGCCGATTTCCCAGAGATGAGGTGGCATCCGACATCTCATGCATTTCTCGTCGGGTTCCACTGCTGCCGGACTTTGCTCGTGATACTTCGTGACTCCAGGTCGATGAGGAAGAATCCCACCCATCACTGAAGCCTTGCGAGTCTTCGTCGCGTTGGAAGTGCCACTGTACTCTCTTCAACTCCTTGTATGTGTCGTCTAATTCTACTGCCTGCTGAAATGATCTCAAAGCACTCTCGTGCTCTCCACAGACGTCAGCAAGAAAGCCTCGTACGAACCAGCATTTGGCGACCAAAAGGCTGTTCAAAGGCCGCTCTCTTGACATGCATAATCTTTCTGCTTCTTCCAACGCGGCCTTGCCTTGGTGGAATGAATCTTCCTGAACGTCTGTATCATCGCACGCCGAAATGAAGAAAGCCAAGTGTGCTCGACTTAGAAGGGTTTGCACGTAAAGCTCGATCAAGCGCTGTTCTAGAGAGGATGCGCCGCCTGCGTTTGCAAAGCGACTGGCTGATAAAGTACCACTTGAAGGACCGTTGTCGCCGTCGGTCGTAGACATGTTGTTCAGGCGGTCTTGTTGGGAACGCCTGCGTGTGGCAGCAAGTTGCGGCAGTTTTCTGGCCACTTACTCCAATGCAGGGCCGGAATATCATAGAGTACTTGAAAGTACACGAAGTTTGATGATTGCCTACGAAGTACATCTTGAGCAGTGTTGATTGTTGGCCTTGTTGGCGCATTCAGTCCGGATGCAGAAGGTAGACACAAAGAGAACAATGGTGATGACAAGCTGTTGTTGTAAGTGACCCGTTTCCCGCCACGCTCCAAACAGGACAAAGACTGGAGTGAGTTCTCTCAACCCGGGAATCCATTGTAAGCCCATCAGACATGGCTAGGCGTGTATAGATGGCTTGACCAAAAGCACACAGCTAGCGATAGCACGAACATGAAATGAGAGCTGCTTACCACAACACCTCTCTCAGTCAGTCATCACAGTTTGTTCCTTACCTGCATTCTCCGAAGTTCTCCGTGGCTGCCTTGCTAAGTAGGAGCTGGAGGTCACATAGACATTAACATCAGTGATGCTCGTTTTGAAGATTCAAGCTGTGAGTTGGCAAGAAAGAGAAGAGACCTTCAAAGTTGCTGATGCGAAGGTTCATCACGTGATAGAATTCTTCCACGTGATCAGATCATGTGACCGTGTCACTTTCGCTTTGTCTTGAGAGACTCGTTGAATTCTTTCCTCTTCACTGCTTTGAAGCGAATTTGCACCTGACAAAGGCCCGGGATTTCCTACAGCCCAACTGCTCAGGTAACCATGGTCTGTATCTGTTGTCCATAAGCTATGCTGTTCTAGCACCCAGAGCTTTCAGGCCCCTCTTCTGGCTGTTCGGCTCACGGCAAGTTGTTTAACAACAAGAGATCCCGCTCGAGATGTTAAGTCGATCAAGGCTGCAAACACCCCATCCGAAATTGGCGTGCTGCGCTCAAGATGGTTACACAGAGATACCTAGGTACATTGCTGATTGGAAAGTCACGCTCAATGTGGGGTAAGTGGTTAAGGCCAACCAAGAAGCCCAGGTTGATGATTAAAGCCAGCATTTGACATGTTGGCTTTCAAGGCCAATGCACTTCTCGGTGAGATGCCTGTTCTGATGGCCAGACTGCATAACGTTGCAATAGAACTTGAGAGCTACAAATCGTCAAAGCCGCTGCGCCTCTGCAAATATGTATGAGCACGTCCGGCGAGCAAGACCCAGAAATCCATCTTTGGTGGCAACAGTCGCCCAGATGATATGAGCTAAAGGGCAATGGACCATAGTCGACCGCGGCTACATGGACGGTTCAGCTCCCTTGCATGTCGGAAGGAGTCGATTATAACGTGTGCAACGACGAAAGACATCGGTGGCGATATGCGGCCCCATCCGCAAGCTTCTCCATGTGCGATCCCACATACAGTGGCTAACAAGGCCGGCGACAATCTCACTAAAGATTACGCATGAGTGTTCCCACAGCCTCGGCGAGAATCTCTCGGTGGAAGGCGTGTATGATTTCGTTGATCACGCCGCCATTTTCTTCACCGTGTGCCAAATTGTATTAGGTGATGAAAAGTTGTATACTCCTTGTATATTGACAAAATCCGGAAGAAGACACGATCGTCCCCTCCGCCTAATCTGCTACCCCAAGCTTTCTGGCCCGAGCGCTGGAATAAGTGTACAGCAAAAATCCAGCACGGACAACAACAACCAGGGTTTTGATGTGGTCACAGGCCTCCCAAGCCTTCTCCGTTTTCGAAATCATGGTAGCTCTCCTGTGGTCCTACGTGGGACACAAAATTAGCAGGGGAATTGCAATGGCTTACCAGGTAAGTCCGATGCTTTTGAGACATTATCATGCCTGCTTATCGCCCCGCCCATGCATTCTGTAAACCATCAGGTTTGTCGGCATATCGATCCATCCGCTCCGAGGTGCTGCTGCTTGAAATGGCGCCTAGCCCCCTGTCCTGCTTACTTGTTCACAGCATTGTAAGGTTGCTAGTACATTGCAGCCGCACGGGCATGTTGTTGAACGCAATGTCCTTGACATGGCCACCCCTTTGGATTCAGCACTTTGGTATCACTCCAGGGTACCTGCGTTGCATGACGCATGGCTTTTGGTCTCCAAAAGTCTGCCGCATGATAGATGGCGCCAATCAATACCGTTGGCACCACTTCGGATAGCAACAGCCCCCCAAAGTCCGCATATGTTACTCGGGGGCAAAACTGGGAATAGTTTTGAGCCTCCCTCACGTCGCGGTGTGTTACCAGATTGATCTGGGAGGCACCCGCGCGTCGACCCATGATTGGTGGCTGATAGCAACTCAGTCTGGACGGCTAGAACTATCACAGCTGACGACTAATGATAGTTGGCCGGGGGTGGATCCGATATCAAATCAGCTAAGCCTGAACAGGGCAAAATATCACGCTTCGATATCAATCACCCTCCCATCTGGCCTCCATGCTTTGGGCTGCTGTGCGACCCTGTTTGCCTGTGGCAGTCGGCATGCTCATCAACGCGACTCTACTCCCACGCTACTCGCTACTCTAACAGCTAGACATGCAAGACAGCATACCGAAGGTTAATCCTGGTAAGCTTTCTGTCCCTTGACAGGACGGTGAGTGCAAATGAGTGTGTTGCGATGGGACGATGCCGAAGATTTAAATGAGAGCATTGCCCCGGGTCCAACCCCGGATAACTACAGCTAAAGCCCCTCCTCCCCTCCACTCATCTCTGACTGTGTACCGTTGTGTCTCGAAGCCGGCCATCCCTCAGGTTACAGCAACCATGGCTCCTGATACAGAAAAGTTCGCGCTCTCCGAAGTGCCTGTTGATGACTACGATGGAGAAAAACTAGGGAGAACAGGTTCTGCAATTGTCGGCAGCATCGACGATATCACTATCCTCGACCAGCTGGGTTACAAACCCCAACTACACCGCAACCGGTCTATGTTGACGCTATTGTTCCAATCTCTTGCCATTGCCGCCATTCCTTATGGTGAGGGATCGCCGTTGGCCAGTGCCATCTACGGTGGTGGCCCTTTGTCTATCTTCGTCGGTTGGCTCATAGTGCTCGTCTTGGACGAATGCATAGCTGTGTCGTTAGGCGAGCTTGCCTCGAAATATCCCACCTCGGCCGGACCATACTACTGGTCTTTCCAGGTTGCCACCAAAGGGAAGACCGTGTTGTCCTTCATTACCGGTTGGACCTGGCTCATTGGCAATTGGACCATTGTCAGTTTTATCCTAGCTATGATCTTCTGCTTTGCTGGGAGTAATATACTGACTGTTACATTGTCGTCGAACAGACACTCTCGGTCAATTTCGGTTTTGCCTCACTCCTCGCCGGCACAATAGCCATGTACCATCCAGATTGGGTGGCCCAAGATTGGCAGCTCCTCCTGATCTTCTACGCCATCTGCATAATTACCTTGTTCATCTGTACATTTGGTAATCGATACCTACCGATGGTCGACACGATCTGCGCTGCCTGGACAGCCCTGAGTATCGTTGTCATCCTGATCGCTCTTTCGGTCAAGGCAGATGCTGGCAGACACAGTACAACTTATGCTTTGGGCCATTACGACACGTCATTCTCAGGCTGGGGCGGGTTCACGTTCTTTATTGGCCTCCTGCCGCCTGCGTACACATTTTCCGCGCTTGGAATGGTTTCAGCGATGGCAGAAGAATGCGCCAGTCCTGCACTCAAATTACCCAGAGCGATGAGTCTATGTGTGCCTGTTGGCGGGCTCGCAGGCTTGTTTTTCATTTTGCCTCTTTGCTACACACTTCCACCATTGGAAGACATTCTGGCTGCCCCTTACGGACAGGCGCTACCATATATTTTCTACCGTGTGATGGGCACACCTGGAGGCGGACTGGGCCTGATGTTTCTGGTCCTGGTCATTACACTCTTCTGCAGCATTAGCATCACCACGGCAGCCTCGCGGTGCACGTGGGCATTCGCCCGAGACGACGCAATTCCCCTTGCGCGACTCTGGTCCAAAGTCAATCACAAACACGGCGTGCCCGTTTATGCTCTTCTGCTCGTGACTCTGGTGCAACTGCTGCTCGGAGTGATTTATCTGGGCTCGACCTCGGCATTCACGGCGTTTGTCTCCGTCGGCGTGATCGGGCTTGCCGTCTCCTATGCCATCCCTATTGGAATCAGTGTTTGGCATCGACGCCGCGAAGTGTCGACCGCGCGGTGGAACTGTGGACCCGTTCTTGGCCCCATCGTCAACGTCGTCGCGCTGTGTTGGATCGCCTTTGAAGTCGTCCTGTTCAGTATGCCTACTGCTCTGCCGGTCACCAAAGTCACCATGAACTATGCAAGTGTGGTTCTGGTCGGATTTCTGGTCATCTCCGCCATCTGGTATGCCGTCTATGCTCGAAAGGCATACAAGGGTCCTCCGGAATCGGATGGCATTGCTGCGTGAACAGCCGGGCTGGTCCAAGATGGAGGGGGTGTATCTGATTGTCCAGTCAACCTTGGCTCGAACTCGGCCAAAAGTCCATCGGAATCTGCAATGTATCCCGGTTGTCTTAGAACAGCGTATATAGTGCCCAGAAATATATCGGACTGACCATGTGATCCCTTTGCCTGTTACCAGTGTTCCGCAGCAGCCTCGAACTCCACCAAAGAGCCCGAACTCGAACGGTGTGCAGGATGGACCACAACGGACGGGTTCTGCCGCGCTCCACCAGTCTTGCTTGTTTCGACATAAAGATCATCACGACAATGACCTACTACTGTAGTAACCTGGAGGTAGACAAAGAGCTCGAGTTAACCGCACTTGTTGCATGTGGAATAATGTTTAGAGACAGGTAGTAGAGGCACAGTAGCATCAGGAACTCGAACCGGAGTCACGGACGCAGTGTGGAAGCAATAATGGCACTCGTCGTGATCTTTCTCTTTTGCCATTATTGCATTGCTCACTGCAGGGGAACAACGCAATAATGACAATGGGCTCGTGTCGGTGTTGCTTTGAACGGGCCGAGGCGGCCCTGACAATGATATGCCGCCGCCTTCCTTGCCGCAAATCAAAAGCACTATGTGAAAGAAGGACAAGGAGCCCGGCTTGATTTTCTCGATGGCTGCGGCGACTACTTCACCAGGGAAGCCATGCATTATTGAACAACTTCGAGTTGAAGACGAAGATACAACAGTATGTTGAGTAACTGGTACTCGTAGTAGGAACTCCAGGGACCGACACCCAACCATCCTAGCATCCTAGCATCCTAGCATCACCATCACGACCACCACAAGCACTCTACAAGCACTGGAACACGAGGTAGTAGTAGACTCAGTTGTTTTACAGGCCTTCTGAGAACCGAACCTCCATCCCACCTTGATGATATCACCTCTCCCCAAGGTGTTTAATATGCAGAAACAGATGATTACCCAACGTAGAAATCCATCAATCCGTCAACCTTTCACCCCAAAATCCTCACTTCACTCAAAACAAGATACAAATTTGTGATGGGGTGAAAAAAACAATCTCTTCTCAAACTCCAACCTCAAGGGTTTGGTCGTCCATGAAAAGAATGAGACAAAAGGCCTGTCAGAATCAGCCCGTCGGCACCTCCCACGCCGGGCGGCACGAAGCCAGAAACCCCGGACGCAGGTCAAAGATCATCACCACTCTCTGTCTCGAGAAAGCAGAAAGAACGCGAATTCCATTCTGGGTTTCTCGAGAGCTGGCGAGAGTAAACATAAGGCTTCACTCTAGGGTGCCGAGGGCTTTGTCTCGTCAGCCAGGTTGAGGATTCTGTGGCTCGTGTGAAGAGCTCAGAAGAGGACGTTTACTATAGAAATGATTCTATGAAGTCTGGAAACAAGCAGTCAGTAAGAGATGCCCAAATCGTGGGGGCTCGGTTGGTTACTCACAAAGTCGCATGAAGAAAAGAAAAAAGAAGAGACAGAGGTGCGAGGGCAGAAGAGCTATTTGTACCCTGAGAGACTGCCTCTGGGCTTGGCGGAAAGCAGAAAATTTTGGTCGCCGATCATTGGTGGGTTGCGGTTAGCGGTGAGAGGTGCGACCAATTAACTACGTTGTAGTAGTACTGCGGTGGATTTTCTGCAAATTTGGATGCTTAGTCAGAGGGACCCTTCGAGACACTACGACTGCCACTGCCACTGGCGGTGGGCACTGCTAGGTACTACTGCATTGCATGCTGTGGGTATAGTATCTAACTGCTGGAAGAGACTTGATCCCGGTACTACTGCAATGGATGAAGGAAATTTCTTCTACTAGTAGTCAGACAATAATATGACGGCAGATAATCCACTTGAACCAGAACAAGGGCAGAAGGATTGGACACAGCCGTAGTAGACTGGAAGCGCTGCGTCGAGAGCGCCGGCTGGGACCATTATCGAACAAGAGTACGTTATCGGAGAATGTCTCCGCCCCCTTTCAACGTGATAACATGATACTATACTTGTAGCATGTACCAGGGTAGCGAAAACAACGGTGGCATCTTTAATGGTGACTTTGAATTGCCACCACTTCAAGTCGTATGACACCCCGAGTATGGACTATCCAATCCAGCACGCGGTCATGGCAACGCTGCACAGCCTCCGCTCCGCCCTGCCGGTGCCCTGCTCTACTTGTAATGTCATTCCTTCGGTCTCCCCTTCCTATCGACACGGACGTCTCTGGGATCAAATCCACCATTTCCCCAAAGAGCCCACTCAGCCGTCTCCTTGCAGTAATCCTCGGGTCTGAAGTCGACACCTTTATCAAGAAGCTCGAAGAAGCGATCATAGTCAATAACAGTATGCCATTTGCCGTTGATGCGGAAGCGGTTGCTAGCCAAGAGGACACAACAGCTGTGAGCATGTTCGGCGGCGATACCGTACTCGAGACCCCGTTTGGCCAGGGCACGGTCGAGAGCATTGACAAACTCGACGACCTCATCGTAAAAGGGGACGTTTCCCATGGTGAGGCCGGCGTTGGCAGAGACGCTGGTGCCGCAGTAAGTGACACCCTTGACCTCGATGAAGCAAGGGAGACCTCTGGCGACGAGGTCGGCATAGCCCTCGACCTCGTCGTCGACGTTGAAACCCTTGACCAACGTCAGACGGAAGACGGTGCGCTGCACAAATCGTTTCTCGCGTAATATGTCCAGACAGGCCTGGAAGCGTTCCCAGAAGTCGCGGTGCAAGGGCCGGTCGATCTTGCGCAGGCTATCGCGGTTGCTGGCGTCAATACTGACATACAGCTGGGTCACGCGGTGCAAGTCGCGCAACTGTTGGGGGTGCTGGGCATTGCAGACCAAAAAGCTCGATATGTGCTCGCTGTGAAGGAGGCCCACAAACTCGTTGATGCGCGGGTAGAAGATGGGCTCGCCCACCAGACTCAACGCGCAGTGGCGGATGCGCATCGCCTCGGCGAACCGCTCGCTGCGCACCCCGGGCACGCCGCGCATCATCTTGATCTTCTTGTAGTGTCCTTCCTTGGCCCCATTGAAGATCTCCACCGGGTCGTCCACCTGCCACCGCCATGTCGTTGACACCGGGTTCGTTCCGTGTCGCCAGCAGAAGACGCACTTGTTGCTGCACGACAGCGACGGCGTCGTCTCCATGCACAGGTGCGATGCGATACCGTAGAACGAGTTCTTGTAGCATGACCCCCGGCCCCGGAGCGCCGACTTGGTCCACCGACAGATCTTGACCCCCGAATGCGTTCCCACAATCGTGTATCCTTGCTTCGTCAGCGCCGCGTGCGTCGGCGACTCCTTGGGCACCATGGCCTTCAGTACACCCGACGACTGAGTGCCAGCTGCGGGAGAATATGTTGTGAAGTCAACAGCCAGTGTACTAGCGGTCCCCTTTCCTCCTACATCTTCCAGGTCCACAGTACTAGTAGCTGCAATCTTGCGCCTCTTGTTGCGTCCCGAATCCGGAAAGTCAACCTCTTCCTGCACCTGAACCTCTGCTGTGTCATCGTCGACATCATCAATCTCGTCCTCTTCTTCTTCGTCGGCACTCTCGAGCGCGTCACCACTGCCACGGACGCCTTCGCCGAGGTTTCCCGTCGCCGCAAGCTCCTCAAGCACGTTACGCACCCCGGCGAGCCAGTCTTTAAGCGCCCCGTCCAGGTTACGCTTGACATCGCCCAAGCCCAGAGGATACGCTCTCTTCCTGCCCGTCAGTTTGGCCATCCATCTATCCACCTCGATCGCCTGAGCACAGAACCCCCTATTCTCATCGGGCCATCCTTCTTTGTCCCCGACTCCAAACACCGTGTATCCAGCCAACGTGGACAGAGGGGACGTATCGATGCGGAAATCATTGTGCGTCTCGTCGAGGTGCGCGAGGAAAGTGTTGAGAATCGTGTCGATGTCGTATGACGGAAGCAGGAGCAGATAGAAGTAACGGATGTTGGCCTGCGGGACTGGACTCTTGGGCCCCGTAATAAAGTAGTCGTCCAGATCGATATACGACAGATCGTGAACTTGGGGCTTGAGTACCGTCTGAGACTGAACCTCAGACTCGGAGAATGCCTCGAGGGCGGCGACGACGTCCTTGGCGAGCCGTTCGGTCGTGCCCGTCAAGGACGTGAAGAAGACCAACGGCTGGATCTGACATGGCTCTGCTTGTTCTCGCTGTAGTATAGCACGCTCTGCCTTCAACCCCCGCGCCCCTGCTTTTGTGCCCGTCGGTTTCCGCCCAGTCACTACCCGCGCCGCCGTCGGTCGAGTAGATTTGCGGCCTTGGTCGGGCTTTTTCGATGGTGACGCTGTCCGCGTGAACGCGGTCGCGGTGTCATTATTGCTTGATTTCGCAGGGTTGGCTTTCTCCGACGTCGTCGTTGTTGTTGTTGTCGATGAAGACGGGTCGGCCTTCTCCAGCGCTGGCGAAGATGGTCGAGCCTGTGCGAGTCTGCGCCGCCGCCGCACCCAGAGTGTCAAGATGCTCAAGACAACAAGTGCCGTGACTACGACTCGGTGGTCATGCCAGACGGTAAGCGACCGGTCCAGCCAGTCTGCCAGAATCACTGGCGCTGCACCGCCTTCGCCCAGATCCATTGCTGCGGGCTGGCCAAAAGAGTCGTGTGCTGACTATATCGGTTTTTCTCCAGCTGGCGATTCGTGAGGATGCAATAAATGCACCGCTGCAGTGGGGGACGTTTTTGCGGGAAAACCTCGGCAACATCAAGTAAATGGCAAGTCTGTGCAGTCAACAACCACAACATATTAATACTACCTAGGTATTGCTATTCATGTGTTGTGCAGATTCTGCTCTCATGGGCGACTTGTTCGTATGAGGCGAATATGGAAACTATCCATAACCTCTGTATTGTCCAGTCCCTCAACTCTCACGTCTAGCTTGCGCGTGCCAGGTATGTACATGGGATATTCAACTATGCAAGTGTCACCGACCTCGCGGGAGTCACGCATGCCCCTGAACGACCCTCGATGAGAATACTGCAGTGGATCGAATACCAAAATCTCACTCAAAAACCCGAATCAACTCGTCGCACATGATCGTAATGGCCTTCCTGCCGGCCTCTAGGACACCATCCATGGCGAGAAAGGGGTGTGGCATGCTCTCCATGACCGTCACTTTCACGGGCACGCCATTGGTCTCCAACTTCTTTGCATATTCCATGCCTTCATGTTTGAGCACGTCCAGCTCCGCCAGGATGATGACGGCAGGAGGCAGTCTTTGAAACACTTCGTCCGGCGCCAGAAGCGGCGATGCCTCTGGGTGCGACCAGTCGGCCTTATTGGGTAGGTAATGCTGCCGGTACCAGAGCATTTTCTGCGCAGACAGACCGGCGGTAAACTCGAACGCCTTCCAGGTAGGATTCGAACACGGGCAGGCTGTGTTGTCCGTGATGGGGACCGCCAAAAGCTGTGAACGCATCGACGCTCCTGGTTGTGGTCGTCGGGCAGCCTTCTGTGCAATCACTGCAGCGATCTTTGCTCCGGCTGATGCTCCGGAAACAGCCATCTTGCTGATGTCCAGGTTGAGCCTCCTCGCGCCGTGCGATGTCGTCCAAAGGTACGCCTCCCATGAGTCTTCAATCGCCGCCGGCCAGGGTTCCTCGGGTGCGAGCCTGTGGGCGTCAACCAAAGTTGTCAGATACATGCTGTGACCGGAAGGACGAGATGCCCCAGGAGAAATCTGGCTCCTATAGCTGGAGAAGCAGGAAAGGCTAGGGGCGAAGAACGGGCTAACCTATAGTTAGTCGTGACCACCACACATCTCACACGGACAGTCATGTTTGTGCAAACGTGATTCTCGCTATCGAGATTCCCAAAAACCCACCCTCCACCATGAAAGTACAAAGCGACAGGCCAGCCGGATGCCGGCGGCTCACCTGCCGGAGTGAAGCATCGGACCTGTACGTCCGGGCCGGAACTTGCTTGTCGGGTTAGAGTGATGTCTTCTGTTCTGCCAACTGGCAGTGGAGCGCTACTGCACACGACGGCATTGCCCCCTTGGCGGGAGACCGCGATGGGCTGCAGATGGCTGGGCTGCTGGTGTAGGAGATGCTTGTTGTAGAACGAGACATAGTCAGGATGAAGTCTGTCTCTCACACTGGGATGCAGCGGGTAAGGTGGTTGGTATATTTGATCTACCCTCATCGAGTCCAGATATAAGTGATCTTTGCTGGTCCACAGCTCTGGGAGGTGGAAAAGGGTTTCTCATCGTGAAGAGGGGGAGCAACGGCTTGTTGTCGCTCAAATACAATCACAATGTGGGACAAGACTTGCTGACCGCGAGGCATAGCAACAGCGGGTCCCGAACCAACCATCACCCGCGTCGTATCGGCTCCTGCGCTGACTGGTGTTGCGGCTGCAAGGATGTTCAAGCCCAGCTCGTCGAAGACCACGACCGTGAGATGGCGAACGAATCACTGCGCTTTGCTCTGGACTGGTCATGTTACTGGTCTTCTATGACTTCTTTGTGACTTCACCTAGATGCATCCTCCCAGAGCCAAAAAGGTCGGCAGCTGTGCGTTGCCGGCCTTGGACTAATTTCGCGGAGGTACAACCAGCCGGTCTGATGCTGCACCACGCTATCCACCATCTTGACCTAGTCTCTTGAAGTTGGACAGACAGTTCCAAGGCGCGGAAATGCAAAACAAACGTCCCGCCACAACCTTAAGGACGCCGGTCACAGGCTCCCGGCGAGGGCACGCAAGCTGAAGAACCCACTCGGCCAATTTGCAAGTCCAAAGCAAGGCGACCAGCAGACATACAGACATCATTCAGCGTTGTTAGCCGGCCGACAGTAAACAGCAGCGGGAGACTTCCGCACAGATCGACAAGTAACGATGGTACATCAGCATTCAATCGTGTGAGAGGGAGCCTAGTTGGACCGCTTCGACGACTGCCATTAGATCCGAGACCGGTTGGCTTGGATTACCACCATCGCCATCAAGCGAGACGTTCCAGACTCCCAACGCCGGTCCAGATCGAACGGCAAGTGGCTATCAAATACCTCTGTAGTCATTGCGTGGCGTGGTTAATCCTTGTGATAGACACGTTCGCTGCTCAGATGGCGGTTCAGTGCTTACAGCCCCCAACTTGAACAGACGTTAGCTGGGATCCGAGAACCATCGCTAAAGAGCCGGCCAATAGTGAGACAGGCCATTCTTTCATACCCCTGGCTATGGCGGCAATCCCCCCGGGTCATGGCATGGATCTTGTTCCTATCCGGGACTGGATTGTTTCAGTACCACGTTGCTATAATGCCAGGCTTGCCGCGCAGATAGAGGAAACGGGTCTGGCCATGTGTAAAGCTGTCGGAGGCCCCAATCGTCAGGCCAGCGTCTCTAGGCCGTTTTCAACATTCAGTGGAAGCAAAACTGTGTTTGTAAGCTAGAAGCGTAAATCATTAGAAGGGCTCTCCCGAGTTCGACCGTTGACTCCGTCGTTGTGTACTATGGCATGTCTATTTTCCAAAGCGTGCTGCCGCCGGACAGATCGCTGGCGAAGGTGTTCAAGTATATCGCAGCACCTAAATGGCTTTCAGCGAGCCTTGCCGCTCTGGAGTTTGCTGGCTTTATGTCTGCCGCCTCCTCCCAGCCGGTTGGGCGAGGGTGTCAGAAACCTGACGTCCTCGACCGGGCTGAAAGTGACAGACTTCTTCACCTTCTCTTCAATGGCGTGTGCCGCCTTGGAAATACCCTTCTGAACTGAATGCGCCACACCAGTGTCCCTAGAGCTTTGCGAGCTTGCACTATCTGCCACACTGTCATCGGCGGTCCCATTCCTCGACGGACTGCTTGGGTCGCTGTTGGTACGGGTGGCATTGATTGCCTCAAGTTCATAAACATGTGGGTCATGACCGATGCCAGGTGCGACAAGAACCCGGGGCTGTTGCAATCGAAGTGCACCACCACCTTCCACGCTTTCAGCTGGAGATGGTGCGCCTGCCTCCTTTTTAGCATTCGCTCCCATGGGCAAGAGATGCTCCAAGGTGTGAAGAGTGGAGCTTTCCTCGGGCTTCACACCCTGGACAGCAGGCGATGGCGCAGCGTCTACGCCATTGCCACCGGCAAGAGATTCTGCATCCTCTTCTTCGATCACGCCGAGTTCTATTCTCCGTCCTGACGACGAAGAAGCAGCCCCATCGTCCTCCAGATGGGCGTATGGAGATGCAAGCTTGTCCGCAGGCAATACTCCACGATGCACTCCGTCCCCATAAGTTTGATCCGACATGGTGAATGACGGGTTGATGACTCCATTCGAACCATAAGGTGCTGTTGTATCGCTCGTTGAAGTGGCGCTAGTTGACTGGGATGTGCCCGGCCATTTACGGGACGGGACTTCATCACTGGCAGATTTTGAAGCTGGCGAGGACCGTGCTGACGAAGTTCGGTCACCTTCGCCTTCGCCTTCGACATAAGCAGCATAGCCGTACTTCGTTTCTGGTTCGATCTGGTTGACATCCCGGGCTTCTATCTCGGGGATAGGTTCATTCGAATCATAATCACTGTTGGACGCGGCCGGATGTGTATCCATACTTACGCCATCCACATGTTCGTAGGCAACGCTTCCCTTTCGTCTCATCTGGTGCATGACGCCATCGCGAAAGACCCGTCCCAGGCCAGTTTCTGTTGGATGGGACGGAACTGGGCCCGACTTCCCCAGATGAGGCCTGGAGAAGTTGCAGGCGGGTGTCTTGGCTGGTATCGTATTGTCTCTGACAGCCTTCTCTGTTGCAGAGACCGTGGGACGATATGTCCGGACAGGAATTTCAGGTTTTGGAACTCTTTCTCTACGACGTGAATGTTCCCTCAGCTGCGGCCATTCGTGCGGGGCCTGTTCAACATCACCGGGCCTGGGGCCGCTAGTCTGGAGAGGACGGTTTACAATCTCCTCCAGGTGCACGGGACGTTGCGTTGATAGTCGCGTCTTAGCGGACTCTCTGGCGTATGCGAACGGCAGAGGCGTGGAATAGTCACGGCGCGGCACACCTTCAGGAGGTGGATGGTTGGAAGTGGTGGGCTCAAGGTAAGCCATCGGTAAGATTGGAGAGTTATGATTAACGTCCTACCCTTGGTTCGAATCCAGAATGGGCATCTGTCTAGTCTTCAGCTATGCCCACCTGTACTGACCACGAGTAGGAGGAGAGGGACGCATACTGCCCGGCGGCATTGATATACCGCGTCGAGAAAGACTGACCTAGAAATCATGAGGTAAGCGAGCTGCACAGATAGGTGTGACAGGCATATCGCTCCAGGATCTATCCCTTGAGATCGTGCACATTGTCATGTCAAGGATCCTTGTCCGACTGCGCGTCATGGCCAGCGCAGCATCGCCACGTCAAATGTGACCGGGGCTCTGTATGGAGGATCTTGAGGATTTTACTTCCATTTCCATAGCATCAAAGTACCGACGAAACTTGCTGCCCCTCCATCACCTTATCGAGCGGTTGAGATCAGATACTCCGCTTGATTCGACAGGGATGAGTTGACTGGTGTGTACCTTAGGTACGTGAAGTTCGTGGTGACAAGGTTTGGTGACCTGCACAAAGGAGTAAGTGGCTTCGTGAGTAGATGACACTCTGACATGTGAGGAAGCGGACATAATGATCAAGGATCGGTTTCTGCAAAGCCTTCACGGTCTGGTCAGAGGCATGTCATTGCTCAGCTTGAGAATCATGTACTCTGCTACAGAGGTCGGTAGAAGTAACAGCACTTCCACCACTCCAGCGGGCAGCCAATGGGAGAAGAGTATAGCACGTGATGTAAGCGGAAGAGGTCGCTTACATACACACTAACGTGCGCACTCCGACTGGTCGCCGGCACCACCAATCCGAGAGCAAGGCTGGATTTTTCAGTCATCACGTGATAGGATTGGTCCGACCGCGGAGTCATCCAGACCCCTGGCACCAAAAAGTCAATGGAGACCATGAAACACCGTGTCAGTGACTCCAGACACGGACACCTGGTGGACTTGATTCTGTTCGAACAATTCCCAAAACCGTGACTCTTGATACGGTCAGTCCGCGGTCAAAGATGGCGCCCAACAATTCCAAATACTCCAGCACACGGTACCATGACCCGTCGGAACGCGAGTTCTTCAGCTTCGAGGAAGTTGTGCTGAAGGGGCTGGCGTCGGACGGGGGACTGTTCCACCCGCACGAAGTGCCGGACGTCGGATCTCGGTATGAGGAATGGAAGGACCTTTCATTTCCCGAGCTGGCATACCAGGTGATGCGGCTGTACATTGACGAGCATGAGATATCCAACTCTGAACTCAAGTCGATCGTGGACCGCAGCTACTCGACGTTTCGACATCTCGACACAGTGCCGCTGGAGACTTTGGACGAGCAGAAGAACCTGCACTTGCTGGAGCTATTCCACGGGCCAACCTTCGCATTCAAGGACGTGGCACTGCAATTTTTGGGCAACCTGTTCGAATTCTTTTTGGTGCGCAAGAACCAGAACCTGAAGGCTGGCGAGCCGCGACACCATTTGACAGTCATTGGCGCCACGTCCGGCGACACGGGGTCGGCGGCCATTTATGGTTTACGCGGCAAGAAGGACGTTAGCATTTTCATCATGTTCCCGGACGGCAAAGTGTCGCCTGTGCAGGAGGCGCAGATGACGACGGTGCTGGATCCCAATGTTCACTGTCTGAGTGTTCAGGGAACCTTTGACGATTGCCAGGACTACGTTAAAGCCCTGTTTGCAGACCCAGAGATGAACAAGATCCACCATCTGGCCGCGGTGAATTCCATCAACTGGGCCCGCATCCTCGCCCAGATCACCTATTACTTCTACGCCTACTTCCAGCTTATCAAGAAGAATCCGAGTGTTCGAAAGGCTAAATTTGTCGTGCCCACCGGCAATTTTGGCGACATTTTGGCCGGATACTATGCTTTGCGCATGGGTCTCCCAATAGCCAAGCTGATCATCGCGACGAACGAGAACGACATCCTCCATCGCTTCTGGCAGACAGGCTCGTACTCGAAGAAACAAAAGCCCGCGGCCGAGCCTCACGAGGGCATCAAACAGGACGGCGCCCAGGCCCACGAGGACGGCGTCAAGGAGACCTACAGCCCCGCCATGGATATCTTGGTCTCGTCCAATTTCGAACGTTTGCTATGGCATCTGTGTCTGGAACGTGAGCGGGAAGTAAATCCAAATACAAAATTCGAGGAGTCGGTCAGAGTCGCCGGCGGCAAGATCAACGGTTGGTTCCACGAGTTGAAGACTACTGGTTCGTTCACGGTCGACAAGGAAATCCTGGCAAAGGCTCGTGCCATCTTCGGCACCCATAGAGTCAGCAATCCGGAGACCTTGGACGCCATTAGAAGCTGTTACAGGGGTGAAGCTATTTCGAAGAAAGGTTATGTCTTGGACCCGCATTCGGCCATTGGCGTGGCTGCAAGCCTGCGTGAGATTGAAGCAGCCGGCCAAACAGGCGACATTCCCACCGTGTCTCTGGCAACTGCCCATCCGGCCAAGTTCGCTGGTGCAGTCGAGCTGGCCTTGAAAGATGAAAAGGACTTTGATTTCAACTCGGTCCTGCCTGAACAATTCGTTGGTCTTGGTGACAAAGAAAGAAGAGTCTTGAAGGTCTCCAGCCACGAAGGTCTATCGGGTATCCGCCAGATCATTACGAGAGAAGTGGAAAAAGAAAAGGTGCTTGGACAGAATGGTGCTTGAGAAGGAAGGTCGCTTTCGGGTTTCGGTTTTCGCCTTAGACGCGCCCCATCTTACGGGCCCCTCAGGCCGTCTGTGCTACAGTGGTAGAACATGACATGAAAAGACGCCCTTGTGGATTGGGATACCAGGAACAGTCTCGGACCGACGCCACAGAGCTACAGTATAACAAACAGCATCGGACTCTCTGTACGGTACAAGCCTATCCCGGTCAATGCGCGCCGTGTCTTTCTTTATTCTAATCTTTAGATGCCGTGTCAGCCCTGGGAGCTGCGTCCTTAGTACTTGTGGGTACTGGAACTGGCAACAAGAGAGGGATTTGAACGCCACAGTGGCCCTTCACAAAGATGATTGTTCTTCATAGTGTCTGTTACGGTATGCGCCATGTTCCTCACTGGACCGCATTAACACTTCACAACACCAATAGCAAGAGTCGAGGATATAGTGTACAATCATCGAGCTTTGAGGCAGTTCACCTCGCCCACATAGTGCGTGGTATTGGAAACCCATCTAGTTTTGCATTTCGACTTTGATCTCTAGATACTGTAATGTGGCGTTTAGCCTCAAGAGGGCAGACGCATACATGCTCAGGCAATGCCAGACGCCGATACATGCTTATTTATGCACACCAAAATGCTGCGACAGTTTTCCCCAAAAAGACGCTAAACCAGACTCCGGCGCTATGCATGATATTTGGTTTCTACGACTCAGACATAGTCATTACGCTCGTAATGTGATGCCACAGGCCCCTCGGTCCTTCCACCTCGCTCAAGCTCCTAAGCGTGCGGCGCAATGCTTATCGATGGGCCGGAACCGTCAAAGACGACGAATTGAGACTTGAAGAACACGTCTCCGTAAATGGCGAAGGGAAGACCTTGGTTGGACTGAAGGCCACCGAAACAGACTAGAGAACAATTAGTAAGGGCCAGGCGGTTCAGTGAAACAAAAGACTCACAATCAGTGCCAGTCTGGGTATCAGTCCCAACGTTGGCAAAGTTCATCTCATCGCCGTTAACAGTCGCCATGTACGAGTTACCGATGGCCACTTGAAGATCTGGCAAATTGGTATTGCATGGGAAGATCACACCACCAGCTTCTTGACTCAATTGCGCTCCGTCGACGGTGTTCCAGTATGCCACAAGCATTTCGTCAGGCACCAACATGAGAGAGGTGCCGGTGTCGATGATAGCCCTGCCATTGGGGATATTCACCTTCTGGCCTTGGACAGCTGCCGAGGCCGAATTGACTTCCCAAAAGCCCTGGGACGAGTCCACCGCAGCGGTGGTCAAGTTGCCCTTGAAAGCGGTCGTGTCAATGTTGCCAAACTCGTAAGCACCAACTGCACCACCCTTCAGTTGCGCGGTGAACACTGGCTGGGTGAGGTCGGACATGATGTTGTCGAAGAACGTCTTCTGGGGGTTGGGTTGGATGGTGTTTAGCTTGCTGAAAGCGAGGCCAACAAGTCCGTTGGACGCCGACTCGGTTATGAAGCTGTCACCGACAGTATCCGGAAGACCAATAGCCTGAGCCGCTACAGTCGCACCTCCGATATCCACCTGATCAACTCCCACAGGGCCAGAGGCAAAAGACCCATCGCCATAGGTAATATTGAAGGTGCCGTCAAGATTTTGAAAGGTCGTTGATTTTGTGGGGTCGTAGATTGTGTGACCTTGCTGAGCCGACTTTGCAAGGTTGGTGTTGAAAACCCAGCTAAAGAGTACAAGTCAGCCTGACATGCGGACAGTATCACAAGGAGGAGGGGCTGTCCTACAAGTCAGAAGATCCGCTGTCAAAGTTCATGATCAGTTCCTGGCCGCCCACCGTCACCGGCGAGAGGAATTGAGCATCGTTCTGAGTGGGAGATGCTGTGGTCTCGCCATCTTCGTTTCCCGTCGCATTCACAGAGGCAGCGGTCGCTGCCCTAATCCGGGTGGCCACCTCGCCATCGGGTAAAAAGCTGATATCGTTGAAACCGAATTTATATAGAGCTCGTTTGTAAGCTGCTTTGCCGTTTGGCTTATAGTTTGCATTGCGTATGCGAGGGATTTTGAAAGAGCGCTTTTGTTTTTGTTTTTGAATAGGGCTTGCAAAGACTGTGGTCAGGAAGACAAGGGCGAACAGCAACACGAGGATGCGAGGCATCATAGCAATAGGGATCGACTGGCGACGGTAAACGATATAGAACTGAATGAAGGGAACCTCGTCCTGCAAAGCTGTCGAAAGAAATGATGGAAAGAGATATTGAAGGACCTGCCCCCAGTATACAAAAGGAACGATGACTATGCAAGAATGGAAGAAACCAGGCGTCAAAGCCAGCAAGGATAGAAAAAGTCACCAACCAGGCTGAAAGCGAGCATTTTAACAAGACAGGTGAGATGTCGAGCAAGTGTTTGCCCATGCTGGGGTACGTAGCACCATGGCATGCATACTGCGTGGCCTCGTCTCGAATTGTGCTAGACAGTGCTCGGCCACGCCAGATGCATGTCTCAGGATGCTAGTTGACAACTCAACGATGAGGCTCGACCAAGGTTTGGAGCCACCGAAATGGATCTCATGTATCAGAGCGAACTTCCTCCGCCATGCGAGGGGCTGTATGAGTGGCTCAACTGGAGTGAACCAACGAATGCCCAGGACAGGAGCGCAAGGAGTGCTTCGGCTGTGAGTCTGACAGCAGGGCGACTGGCCGGGGAGGCTCTCTCAGAGAGTCGACGGTCTGTCTTGAGGCTGAAGGGCGCCATGTGGGTAACAGCCGATGGTTGGAAACGACACGTCTGGTCGAGTTGGCGAAGGGTTGCGGGAGGATTGGGAAAGAGTGGAAAAAGGGGTTGACAAAGACGGACAAGTCGGAGAAGTGAAACGCAGGGGGTAGAAGCAGTTGAGGTTTCAAAGCCGCCAGAAAAGAGTTTTGACTACTCGGCACTGGTACTAGTAGACACCTGTACCTTTTGACACGGACTCCGGACGTCGAACTGGGGGCTGAGGCTGCGATCGGGCGGACACGGTCTCATCTCTCACCCACATCCACGTTCCAGGGCGAAGGCCGCGCAGGCAGCTTTGAAGGGTGCCCAGCCTGAGGTGAGAGAATGCGAAACGCGAAACTGCGCTCATATTTTTATTTTTGCTGCATTATTATTGGGGGGCAGCGACGCGCAGGCGAAAATGGGCGCATGCAAGAAACGGCGGGGCAGATCTCGACTTCATGTTCACTGCACGTTGAGGCCAGTAGTAAGTCGCTCTCTACAGGCGCCTGCGCCATTCTCATTCTCTACAGGTACAGTACTTGGCACCCCCATACCTCTAGGCTCTTCATAGGTACCTCTCCTCGCCCTTCGTCCTTCGTCCTGCAGCTCCTTCATCCAACTTGAAGTACTCCTCGTAGTCTTATTCCTTCACTGACAGCAGTACTGCCATGGCCCACTTGCGCATCCAGGGCATCTCTGCATTCTACAGTTGACCCGCAAGCCACAGGTACTTCTGGCTTCAGTCTCGACAGTAGTCCGATCCTTCTCCCGACCACCGTCCGTACTTCTCTTCGCCGGCGCCCAGAGGCTCCACCAGACCCAGGTTTCTGACCTCCGGGCCCTAGGCCATATCTGACCTGTCTCACACCGTCTGCCATACGCGGCCTTCTCCCTCTAGTCAGACACGATAGTCGAGCCTCGCTTGTCGGCCGTCTCGCATCGCCTACCGGGCAGTTGCTTCGCTGTCGCTGTCCAACCAGCTGCTGTAGCTAGTTTCGATGTGGACAACTTTGTCACAGCTCAGTTAGGCTAGTGGACTGCCTCTCTGAAGGTCAAATGTGCAATGCTGCATGCACGTGTTGGATGAGGTCGTAGGTCTGTTTCGAGCAACCCAACGACCGCAGTGTCATGATAGTTGCAGAGCGCTTTAGTAAAACAAACTGGGTATCTTCGTATCTCATATGGGACCATCAGGTAACACATCATCAGGATCTTCACCGATCAGTTTCCCGACCGTCCTCACCACTTGCCGTAATGCTTTGCATGCGGGACTATCAGGGAAACTGTCCATGAAGCTCTCTCCAAAATCGCATGCCATTCCTATCCGCGGATCGAGCGGCACTGAGCCCAGAAAAGGAATGCCCATGTCCTCGCACAACTTTTTACCGCCACCTGTGGTGGCTCGGAAAACCTGGGACTCGTGTGTGCATTTCGGGCACACGAAGCCAGACATGTTTTCAACCAGACCGAGCACCCGGATTCCGGCTTTCCGACAGAAATCAATCTCTTTCCGCACGTCTAATAACGAAACCTCTTGGGGCGTAGTAACAACCACGGCTCCATCGACGCCGGATTCTTTCAAGAAGGAATTAACCGACAGGTGTTCGTCCGATGTGCCGGGAGGTGTGTCGACGATCAAATAGTCCAAGTCGCCCCATTCAACATCTTTTAAGAACTGTTTGATAAGCCCGTTCTTCTTTGGACCGCGCCATATCACTGCATCGTCTCGATTGGGTAGCATAAATTGGACACTCATGACTCCCAGATTATCGGTCACCCAAACGGGACTCCAGCCGGCGTTACTGACATGGATGGTTTCGCTTTCCACGCCCATCATTTTAGGTATTGACGGTCCGCAGATGTCGGTGTCCATTATACCCACTGTGGAATCGGGATTCGCAGCAAATGCGTGCGACAAAAGTGAAGAAAAGGTCGATTTGCCCACTCCTCCTTTTCCTGATAGCACCAGTATCTTATGTTTTATTCCTGCAAGTCGCTCTGTTATAACGGGGATGTCTGGGTCAGGGCCCTTTGGCGCGGAGGCGCAGATGGCTTGATTCGGGCAGCCATTGCAGGCATCACCTTTGCCTGCTTGATCCGATTCGGGACCAGGACAGTGCTCTAATGCAGATGGTTAGCCAGGCATCGCACAGTTAGGTAGACGATCACAAACCTGGTTCCGGGGCAACAAGATCTGGTTTGTTCTTGAGCGGCCCTTCCAGTGCTTCGGGCAGCGGTTCCACGAGAGATGGTGCCATCAGTGTCCTTGACAGGGTGCTATGGCAGTGGAGATAGTCTAACGGTACTATATCATTTGAAGGTGATGAGGATGAGAAGTCACTGGGATGATGGCAAAACCTGGGCGGCGCAGTTGGATTGGTAATGCAGGCATAATGAATGCGGGTAACTGATTGGCGTCAGGGTCCAGAGCCGCAGCCTTGTCGGCCCCTCCAGTCGCCTTATCAGATCTGACTGAAAGTCTTTTGTAGTGCTCCTGCTGTACCGTAGTGGGTGGGGCACTACAATGCACAGAAGCAGTGCTACCTGGGTACACACAGTATTAAAAGCCGATCCTAGATACTGGAAGAGCATCTTCATGACTCTTTATCCTTAATGTGGATCTATACGACCTCTTATTGCAACTGCTTATCGAAAGGATGCAATATCATATCTTCAGCAGACTCTTGCTTCAATCTCTGATGCCACTGCATCGCGTCATGTTCTGCGGCCTTCGCTTGACAGCGATTGCGTGCAAAATCGGAATGAGGGGCACGTGAGAAGGAAGGTCCAACCCTCGTGCAATTTCTAGTCGCAGGCCAAGCTCCAGCTCCAGCTACTAACGAATCCCTTCCTTTTACTTCTTCCATATTCACTGCTGTGTGGTTTAAATGTTTGTTGACCTCGTCTTGTTTTGATATTTTAGGAAGTGTGATCTCATGGATGCGCTTGCAACATATTGTGTTAGAATACTCGTTCAAAGACATTTCGCGGTGATCGCGCTGTGACAATGACCGGAGAGACATCTACAGATCCGGCTACAGAGGGTCTCCGTCATAGGAATGCGCCCATCAAGACAAAATCGGAGCAAGAGGCGAGGCAGACTGTCTTGGACTTGAACGCTCGCGAGGAGAAATCCTCCAAAGCCGAAAAAGACAGGAAGACCTTCGGTCGAACTCCAGATGGCACCGGTAGGTACCCGTCACGTACCGTTGTGGGAGGAACGCTCTATGGCTAATTTGTCTTGTAGTTTTTACTGTACCACAGACACATGATATGGTGTCGCAGCTTCTATCGCCCTCGGAGCGCAAAAATGTGTCGGACCTTGTTGTCCTTGCAATTTTGGCCTTGCACATTTTGCTGGCATGGATTCTGCCGTCTCCTTACAAGAGACCAACCCTCGCTGCCATATTCTTATTCTGGAGAGCCGCTTACAATATAGGTATTGGCTATCTCCTCCACATGCAATCCCATCACAAGACGCTCGTCCGGTGGGCCCGCAAGTCGAAGCTGTTCCCTGTTGCCTCTAATGGCGAGAATCCTCATCCCAGACTACGCGCCTTTATCAAACGCGAACTGGAAACGAAAATCCCCGAGGACTATGACTTTGACACAGCACCCCCCGAGTACAACACCTGGTTGGTCTTTCGCCGTGTTGTCGATCTGATCCTCATGTGTGACTTTGTCTCCTACATGCTCTTTGCCATGGCTTGCGGTCATAGACCTGTCGGAGAGTCTGTGTTCATGACCACCTTTCGCTGGTCCACGGGTCTCGCCTTGTTTGCATTCAATCTCTGGGTGAAGCTGGACGCTCACCGCGTGGTCAAAGATTTCGCCTGGTATTGGGGTGACTTTTTCTTCTTAATCGATCAAGAATTGACCTTTGACGGCGTCTTCGAGATGGCCCCGCATCCCATGTACTCGATAGGTTATGTTGGCTACTATGGCATTTCCCTCATGGCTGCTAGCTACAAAGTTCTCTTCATCTCCATCCTCGCACACGCTGCTCAATTTGCGTTTCTTATCGCGGTCGAGAGTCCTCATATTGAACGCACATACAACTCACCGCCTCCCCGAAAATCGATGATCGGAACTCAAGTCGGCATATCGAGACCTGAACTATCTTCAACAGCAGAGACGTGGCCAGCCCTTTCCCACAAGCAACCACCCCAAACGCACAACCTTCTGGGCATTCGCAATGTCGATTTCTACCGGACCACGGATCTGGCCGTCCTTATCGTCCAACTCTATATCTTTGCTCTGACTATGCTGACGCCGAATACCCCACTGATCCAGACCTATTTTGTGCTCAATGCTGCCATCTGGCGTCTCTGGTACTCGGCTGGACTGGGCTATCTGCTTAATAGGCAATCCACGAAGAAGAAATGGACTAGACACTTTTTGAAATATGGTGAGAGTACTTGGGAGGCCTGGAGACAATGGAAAGGCATCTATCACCTCAGCATGTTCACCTGTTATGCATCATTCGCGGCTGCTGCTTGGAAGATGTATTCCCTGCCCGCCAACTGGGACTATGGCCTCGTCTTGCTGAAACATGTCATCGGCGTAGGCCTAATTTGCCTCCAATTCTGGGTATCTTTCAGCATCTACGACCAACTAGGAGAGTTTGGGTGGTTCTTTGGCGACTTTTTCTTTGACCAGAATCCGAAATTGACATATGGCGGCATTTACCGCTTCCTCAACAATCCAGAGCGTGTTCTCGGTCTCGCCGGTGTCTGGGGCGTTGCACTTATCACCAGCAGCAAAGCAATTTTTTGCCTGGCTCTTCTGAGTCACACACTGAGTCTGGCATTCATTCAGTTTGTGGAGCGGCCGCATATGCAGAAGCTCTATGGCAGAAGCCTTCGACAAGACGCCGGACTGGTCAGAAGTCTGAGGAGGTCGTTACCGCCGCCTCTGAGACAGTGGCAAGATGGTATGGACAGGGTATTAACTGAAGCTGCTGATGTTCTGGAAGAATTCTTCGATGCAGCCAAGCCAAAACTGGCAGCCGGCGTGACCGGCATTGTCGAAGACACCAAGAAACTTATTCCCAAATACCCGGCGAGCATTGCCGTTACCAAGGTCGATCCTGAAATTGCTGGACTAGACCCGAGAGAATACAGACTAGACATCGAAGGCACCCCAGCGTCATCTCTTGCAGACTCTCAACGGTTCAGTGACAAAGAGGCAGAACAGGCCAGGACTCCAGCAGTGCGAACCAGCGACTTTAAACCTCTTCTATTCGAATATGGCGCGCCAATCAAGGTCAAATGGACTGCGCCTCTCAATCATGGAAAGAAAGATTGGGTTGGCTTGTATATGGTGTCGGATAACAGCTCTAGAGAGGTCACTCGAGTCGCATCGGCTGGTAGATGGATCGCCACGAATCCGGGAGAATATGACATAATCGAGTCAGACGCAGGAATCGTGTCTAGCGACATCAAAACCACCATCACGTTGGAGGACGGCACAGAGAAGGAATGCTACACAGGGGAGATGGTCTTTTCCGGTGATAAGCTTTGGTGGACCCAGGGCGTCTTCGAGTTTCGGTACCACCACAATGGCAAGCACAACGTCATGGCAATTTCGCTACCTTTCGAGGTGCGAATCCCACGTTTCAGTGATGAGGAACTTGGAGATTTAGATTCCAACATCCCATCTTCGAGCCCACAGACCGATGCGTTGATCCGGAAGGCGATCGAGAAGAGTCTCCTCCCGGTTGTGCAGAACTGCTTCGACCGTGACCCGGAAATTGCGCCACAAACAGCGTCAGAACCCTTTGGGAGTCTGGTCGATCGCAATGGAAAATACGCCAAACGGGTGGTATACGCCATTCATCAAATGTTTGGCATCGAGTTTGCGCCGGAGGTGGTCAAGGCAGATGGCAAGGTGGAGAATCTGGCCTGGCGCATCTGGGAGGCAAAGAAAGTTCTGGCTCCTTTCAGCATGTCAAAGTCTCGAGGTACGAGCACGCCGTCAGAAGGGTCATAGTGTGTCCTGTTCCAGCCGGATCCTCAAGCGATTCTAACGTGTTGATTATGTGGGCGGGCATTATGTTGGAGTAAGCCGAAAGGGGTCGCTGTGGAGTGAGAAGCATGTGTTGAGCGTAACATGAGCATGAACAAAGGCTTGGGGATGATGTAGGGATGGTGGTTGCGCAGATCAGAGTGCAAAAAGTTTGGAAAACTCAATCATTGTTCTGAAGACGGAACAATAAATATAATGATACTGTGAGAACAAGACCATTAGGAACTCTGAACGATTTTTGCCCGACTGTGTAGTCATCCTGTAAGTGTTCTATGTCGCTTTCCTCGGTCTTTTCAACAACGCCAGATGTGAAATCCACCAGACCACCCAAACATATGATCTATAACAGCAACAGTTCACCAACCAACCCGTAGGCACCGATATATTCCAACCAGGCCAAACATAACACTTTTGAAGTCTAACCGGCCCTATATTACAACCGAAAAAACAGGAACCGAAAGAGTCGGACCGAGACCAGGGAAAAGCACGAATTTTCGTTTAGTAGAAAATGGACCTGGTGCGATGATGGGGCAACATGCCGTGAATGTCACCAGAAGCAGGAGGAGGAGGACCACCAGTACGGTGATGGGACTGGGACTGGGAGCGGGATTCCATCTCCTTACAGGAATCGTAGAGGAAGAAATCAATGAGCACGGCGTTGATTTTTCCCTTTGCTTCGGGATGCCTGGATTCGATTTGTCGTCTCAGCAGCTCGACGCACCAGATGCTGCAGCCGCGGATCTCGACCTCCATGTCCTCGCCCGGCCGCAAGAGTTGCAAGCGACGGACGCGCGACTCGAGACGTGGCGAGTACAGCAGACAACCTAGCCCTTGCAGCATCTGCGGGATACGGTAGTCGGCAAACATGGTCAATTGGCCAATGTCGTCGAAGTGGCCGTACGAAACGCCGTTGAAACAGGCCCACAAGTCGGCGACTAGGATCTGCGCCCGCTTGTACAGGCGTACCTCGCGCCCGTGGAATGTTGTGGTGTCGCGGAAGTTGGGGAAGGTTTGGGCAAGTAGGTTGACGAGTCGCGAGGCTGAGTGTTCTGCTTGGGAAATCAGGGTCACGGGTCGGCCGTGGAACTTGTCGCTGCATAGGATGTCGCCTGCTTCGCGGAGGATTGATATTCGTTCCGCGAGTAAGGGGATGGGCTCGGCTGTTGCGGATCGGAATATGTGTGATAGAAGACTGTCTGGGCTGGAGTGGCGGTCGTGCCAAAAGGATGGGGTTGTGATCGGGTAGCCTTGTTGGGAGGGCCGTCATGTCAGTACGATGATGGATGATGAATGGACAAGGGTCGGTTGATGTAAAGAGAACTTGGGCCATCGAATTGCCCTTTTGAGCTCATGGTTGCCAGGAGGTGGATAAATAGGGTGGATAAAGGCGTATAGTGTATATTGCTGGTGGTGGTGGTGGTAATAAGTGATGGTAAAAGTGGTAGTAGTACATACCTTCATCTAATGCCCTCTGCAACGCCGCCACCAGCGACCAATACCCCGTCCATCGGCGGCCTCGGTAGTCAATGGCAAAGCGCTCTTCGGGAGATAGCTCGGACCAGAACGAAAAGTTGAGCAGGTTCATGGTGAAGATGAAGTTGACCGTATTCTCGTCCTTGGCTTGCGGATGCAGTTCGTGCGACGACCACGTTTCGGTCGAGTAATGCTTTTTCTGCATCAGTTGCCATATCGTCTCTGCGGCCGCACGAGTGCCGTCAGGCGAAATCGCCACGTCGATGGCATTATCACAGATATATTCTGCTGACTTCAACACCCCAGTCGAAGATGGAAGAGCCTTGCACGAGCCTGGCCCAAGCCCGAGAGACTCGCGGAGAAGTGCCTGTAGTTCCGGGTCGGCCTCATCCTCGGACATCCTCCTCCTCCTGTGCCTTGAAGACGAAAGTGGACGAAAATGACGATTCTGTGGAAATATACATGTAGACAGCCTGAGGGACCTCGAAGGGATAGAGACAGTGGCCCAGTGACTCGTGCTTGACGTGAAATATTTTGTTGTATATCGAATTATCATGTCGGATCAATCTTTCTCCAGTTTCCGGCCGGGCTGGCATGTCATGTGACGTCGATCATGCGGTGCCCCTGCCGGGCACCTAACCACTGGCACTGGCAACCTTGTGCCTTGGGTGTTACTATAACCTGAGTAAGGTACTGCTGTATTGCGTGGTTTGATGAGCAGCTCCCTCGCTAGGTATCATCAGAGTTGGGTCTTTAGGTGTCCAGCATTGCATGTGCTCCTTCTAATGAGCCTGAAATGCTAGTGTCAGGACTGAGGCACGCTTTTGGCCCCTACCACCAGCAGTAGCTTCAAGCTGAGCTGCAGGCGAACTGAACTCCAACGGCTTCTGGCCGGGCTGAGGATCCTTAGGCGTCCGTCACGGAAGCCTCCGGCCAACCAGTCGCCCTGGCAAGCCGCTTATGATGCCTAAAAGAGCCTCAATTCCCCTGTCTAGAGCGGCGTCCTAGTAGTCTTTGCACAGCGCAGCCAGAAAAAGGCGCTGGCACCTGCCATGGCCTACGGGCAGTAGCGACAGCGAGGTCATTTATACCTACTCTGCTGCAGTACCTATCTGGGTAGATAGTAGTAGTCCAGTAGTCATCCCTACTAGTACTGCTAGGAACTCTCTTCCATCCGTCACTGCATCCTCAGTTCAACATCGTTCTTTGTGCATGATCGCAACCCGTCGGTCCCTTAGGTTTGCTGACGCCCGGCAGGCAAAGGGTCCTTTCGCATTGCCTGCCCTCACTTTACTTTTATTTCCAATTCAATTGATCCTTTTGTTCCACCATTTTCTCTTCGTTCACATCGTTCAAGTCCCGTCAGGACCCTTTTATTTTATTCCCTGTACCATAATCTGAATCCCACCCTCCTTTTCGTGCCATGTGCCTCGCCGCCTGACTGGCTAGTTCTGCTTCTATCCTGCCTCATTTGCGACGAACAATCATGCCACGCGAAAAATATGCCAGACAGTCCCTGGGATCCACGTACCGACTGGTGAAAGAGGTAAGGCATTGATAACCCACTGCTGCGTCCATACGACTCTGACGGTTTCGTTGCGCAGAGTCGCGTTCTCCTGGTGGGCGCAGGCGGCATCGGCTGTGAGCTGCTCAAGAACCTCGTGCTCACCGGCTTTGGCGAAGTTCACATCATTGACCTCGATACCATCGATCTAAGCAACCTTAACCGGCAATTCCTTTTCCGTCAGGAACACATCAAAAAGCCGAAAGCTTTGGTCGCGAAGGAGGTTGCTCAAAAGTTCAATCCAAATGTCAAGCTGGTGGCGCATCATGCGAATATCAAAGATAAACAGTTCAACCTGGATTGGTTCTCTAGTTTCAACCTTGTCTTCAATGCGTTGGACAACATGGAAGCGAGGCGACACGTCAACAAGATGTGTCTCGCAGTTGATGTACCGTTGATTGAGTCCGGCACAACTGGATTTAAGGGCCAGGTGCAGGTTATCAAGAAAGGAAAAACTGCCTGTTACGACTGTACGCCAAAGACGACGCCCATATCATACCCAGTGTGCACGATACGAAGTACACCCAGTCAACCTATTCACTGTATCGTTTGGGCCAAGAGTTACCTTCTACCGGAGTTGTTCGGAGTGGGTGAAGAAGAAACCGCAGAGGTTGACCAAACAGGAGACGGTGACGATGCTCAAGAGATCAAGAAGCTGAAGGAGGAAGCCCAGGCGCTCAAGAAAATCAGGGAGTCCATGGGTTCTACGGACTTTGCAAAACAGGTCTTTGACAAGGTCTTCAAAGAAGATATTGAACGACTCGCCAAGATGGAAGATATGTGGAAGGACAAGAAGCCGCCCGAGCCCTTATCTTATGATCTACTTGAGGAGCAGAGCTCTTCTATCGACAGCTCAATAATACAAGACGGTCAACGGGTGTGGTCAACAGCCGAGAACTTTGTCGTGTTCAAAGACAGCCTCAGACGATTGTCAGAACGGTTTGCCGAGGAGCAGTCCAAAGCAGCAAAGGCAGGCGAATCGCCGCCCATAATCACGTTCGACAAGGATGACGATGATACTATGGATTTTGTTGCCGCAGCCGGGAATCTACGAGCAATCATCTTCGGCATTGAGACGAAAACGAGATTCGACATCAAACAAATGGCCGGTAATATTATTCCTGCAATCGCCACTACCAATGCCATGGTCGCCGGCTTGTGCGTGATGCAAGCGTTCAAAGTGTTGAAGGGAGATTTCGCACGGACGAGGTGGCTGTGGTTATGGAATGGCTCCCTAAGGACAGATCAGCTGGAAACCCCCAACCCAGAATGCCCTGTTTGCAGTGTTGCTATGGCCAGAGTGCATGCAAACCTCGAGAAGGCCACCTTGAATGACCTGGTGCACGAGATACTGCGGACGAAATTGGGGTATGGTGAGGAATTGACCGTGCTTAATGATGCCGGCGTTGTCTATGATCCCGATCTGGAGGATAATCTGGATAAAAAGCTCGTCGATTTGGGTATTGATGACGCCAGTTTCATTCTCATCAAGGACGAAGAAGACGATAATCCTCGAATTGACCTTCGGCTTGCGATAGAGGCCAAAAAGTTACCGGACGAGTCAAAGTCGGTTGTTCTCGTGGAGAAGGAAGGCGAGACGTTCGACATCCCGCGAAAGCCTGCAAAAGAAGCTGCTGCCGATGAAGATGGCGTCGACGGCGTTGAGGTAAATGGTGCTGTGATCACAAATGGCAATACGACGGCGCCTTCGACAGGAAAAAGAAAGCGGGAACTTGACGACGACGGCGACGCGGGTGAGGCACCGACCAAGAAATTGCAGGGGCCTGTCGCCGCAGATGTGGCCCAAAACTCGGCCTTAAACGCCATTGTCATTGACGAAGATGATGGGACGCTTTTGATTGCCGACGATGATTAGACGGCCGACGAGCGGGCTGGGGGCAGGCACGTTAGCTAGCTGCTTCTTGAAGCCATACATCCCTCATCAAGATCGAGTCTGTTTTCACCCATCCAGCGTCCGAACGCCTTTCGATAGACCAGCGAATGAAGCATTACTGGTGGAACACAGCACACCTTGGATTGGGGCTCAATGGTCAGACTGTCCAACGTTGCACTCTCAACAAACATGTGGTTCGTTGGATGAGGAAGCCTGTTACCAGAGCGTTTGAGAAGGACTAAATGACAGGACGGTTCTGGATACGTGTCCGTATCTTGCAATCAGAGCGAGGCTTGAAAACGTGTGTAATATCAACAAGACATGAGTATGAATAAGACAATACCAAGAAAGAAAGGAAAGGCAGACGAGGCCAGGCCTTGCAGTGTTAGAATACATATGGAGCTTCAAAGCATCAACCACTGGCAGGACCTACATTGCTGCATTGTGGCTTTAACTGCACCATGAAACATCTTGCCCGGCTGATCTTTTGGAAATGACCACTTGGGAGACCGATCATGCAGCATACTAGTACGAGGGTTTTGTCTGTAGTCGTATTCACCTCCTGCTGCTGGTGCTATTCACCCATCGGCACTCTTCAGGAACTTTTTTATCAACTTCAAGTTGTGGAGGACGCGACACGCGTTTCTGCCGCTTCTCGCCGCCTTTTCCCCGTTTGGTACTCATTGGCATGGCAGTCCACTTAAATCAACCCACAAACTGGAACTCTCCCTCTTCTTATGTAGCTGGTTGCATATCGCTTCCACGCCGCCGCGACCTTTTCTCACAAAGACTTCGTGTGCTCTCGCACTCACTTGAGCACATCTTAGTGACGAGCAGCTACTACTAGTTCCGCGAGATTTCAAAAATGGCTACTGTGAACGGTAGTACCCAGACACCATCTCCGTTCGTGACCTTGGTGTCGTCCGACGGGTTCGAATTCCACGTTCGACGATCTGCTGCGTGTGTGTCTGCGACGATTCGGCGCATGTTGGATTTGCAGAGTATGTTTGTTGATCCCCTTTCGCGTTGGACTTGATTGTTCGGGAGCTGTGCTCGAGGGAGCTGTTTCTCTGACTTTTATGTTGTGTACTCTTAGGCAACTTCAGCGAAGCACAGACCGGCGTGTGTCATCTTGAAAACATCAGCGGCATCGTGCTCGAAAAAGTCGTCGAGTATTTCTATTATAATGAGAAATACCGCAATAGCGAGGGTGTGCCGGATATGGATATCCCGTCGGAGTTGTGTCTGGAGCTGTTGATGGCTGCGGATTACCTCATTACTTGAGACGATGGAAGAAGTCTTGAGAACTGAAAAAAACGACCTACACGACTTGGACATGGCAGCCTACAAAGAACCGATGCCCAAGGTGTCGTGCAAGGACGAGGGTCTGTCTGCTCGGTTTACACGCTTGCCAAAGGGAGACAAACGTCAAACACTGGACAACCGGCGATACCAGTGGAATAGCCTCAACCAAACTTCTTTGCGCCTCCCTCATTCATGTTGACCTCGCCACTATCCACATATGAACGTGGCGACGTGTCCTCGCCGCACACACAACGTACCCGGGCATACAGGGCAGACCAAATGTCTTGGACAGCGAACCTTTCCAAGCGGCATCAGGTCGGGTTGGCGAGCCAACTTGGCTCACGTTGGCGAATCTCACTGTATGTCTACGGGACATGCAATCTCTTCCGGCCGACGATGATGTACATTGCATTCGGCAGTCAGCAGTCAGCAACACCACATGATGTCTTTCCTGTGACTTGGCGAAGCCGAAAGAAAGGATATCAAAATTGTGGCTTGTACTAAACCACAATATGTCTGACTTAGGGCGAAGCAGGGCAAGAGTTCGGGATGACTGTCACTCACTTGAAGCAAGTTTGCTCAGCGTGTGGCTCAGCCTGGTGGACCAGGATGATACTGTCCAGAGAGGGCTCTACAGGCTCGATCTGCTGCGATGCTTGGTCTTTCTGAACCGTTCACATCCGGCCAGTGTCTCACTGCGGCAGTGGCTTTCTGGCTGTTGCGTCACCGAATGACTGTCCTCAGAGATCTACGTCTGGAAAGACCAATTTTTCATGACCGAGAGGAAAAGGCTGGCCATCAAAACCATGGTTATTGTCCCAGAAGGACAGAGATGCATCGTGGCTGTTGGATTGTTTGATGGGAATCTGGACCTGAACAGAAAAGGGCAGATCAGCCCTTCAGCCCCGAGTGCTCTCGTTCATGACATGAGGTCACACAGGGCTTGTCCCAGCTACTATCAATTCAAATAAGTATTGCCCTCCCCAGTCCTGCCCGTCGCAAATCCTTTGCATCCTCTTGGCTCGAATGGTGTCTGCTGTTCAGATCCATTCATCGATTCCCCCTTCACGGAATCACTCATGGGAAGGTCATACACCCTTTTCGACCCTGCCATTTCCCCTCCTCTTACCCTTTCCCGCTAGACAATCTGAATCCTCCATCCACAGATTACCAGACTCTCAAATTGCAACTACACTGTTTTGCCTTCTCGCGTCATGCCATATTACTGTGCCTTGATGTTTTATCCACTCTTCTCAACATTCCACTTACCTTTGATACATCCATTATCCCATTCCTCAATCTCTCGCACGATAACTCATCCCACACCACCCATCTCAAGCATATACGTCGCAAAGCCTGCCTTCTTCCACAGGCCGACGTCTATAGAAGATGGAAGATCAGACCCTTCCCTAGATCATCAGGCAGTCCGCCTGGCTTTTCTCCATGCTGATGAAGCGGACGTTCTCTCAAGGGGATACAAACTTACAATGGCGAAATACACAAAACAATGCACAAACACAACCCATATATCGTACCCACCATGTAGATACCTACCTGTACATTCAAGGTACTTACTACTAGGAATTGACTTTTATTCAATGATATAGAAGCAAATGATGGACTACATGTATACCTAACAACTATCCGGGGTATCACATCTATAAAATCAAAAAGTAACAACATAGAGACGAACGCCCAGATTGATATCTCTATCTCCCTGACAGAGCCTGCTTGAAGTGATTACACGGTTACGACATTGGATGCAGGGCCACTCAGCCTCCTCCCCTCGTCTGTCCCGGTAATCTTTTTCCTCCTCTACCGGCACCACCGCCGCCTCTCCCTCTCCCATTTCCTTTTCCTTTCCCCTTCGACCCAGCCCCACTGGTTTTTTCCTCAAACAATTTCTCCGCGCCGAAACAAGCATCACTCAGTCGCAAGTAACTAGTGACGCCCATGTCGACGACAGCAAGCAAGACATTCCTACGGCCATGTTTGATGCGCGCCTCCAATCTTGCGCCTGCTCCATCTTTCTCTTTGGACAAAACATCCTCGGGCTGCGAGTCGAGAAGATCCCCGATCTGTGTGAGTGTAGGGAGGGAAGTGGTGCGTGCGTCGATGACGGCGATGCGGTAGTCTGGTGGAGGAGGCGCGGTTTTGCGGTAGGAATGGGATACGTTGGGTTTCCAGACGTGGAAGTGGACGCGGAAAGGAGGTCGAGGTCGTGGTTGAGGTTGAGGTTGAGACGGATTGGATGTCGTATATCTGTTGTTAACACTGGAGGAGTCATGGTAAGGAATCAAGGCGAGGGCGCGAAAGATGTCTGCGTAGTTTCGGTACAGGCCAGGGGCGACTAGTGGGCCTAGTGAAGGGCAGGAAGCTCCTTGTCGAGGTCGGAACAGCCATGATACCAGTCGGTGGATGAGACTTGCTGGGCTGGCGAGGAATGATAGTGGCTGGGACGTCGTCGGTGATTGTCCATTCGAATGCGGTTGAGTATGCTGGGGACCGTCGATGGAACCGTTGCCGTTGACCTCGTCGACATCTGTATCATGCCACGTCGGGGCTCGTTGCACAATGTATCCTGCCCGCTTCAGCCCTGCGTAGACACTGTATCGCTCCAGCGTCAGGCCGTCTTTGCCGATGAAGCTGGCATATGCGCCTTGCAGACTCATTGGGAGCTGGCCAATTCGCGGTTCGGAGGCGCCGTCGGAGATTTTGCGGCTATTGACCTGTGCAGGCTGTTGTTGAGATGTTGATTCGTCTGTGTTTGTCTCTGTTTCTCTCTGATCGCCGTGCTCGATGGCTTGGTCTTCAGGGGCAGTAACCACATCTGACTTCCTGTTGTCTGCCTCTCCCTCTGCCTCGTCCTGACTTGCTTGCGGCTGATCTTGTGCAGCAGTAGTCCCACTTGTTTCCTCCTTATCCGTCCCCTCTGCTTCTTCATCCTCAGGAATATCCGGCCATCTGATATCCAAACTACCTCTTTCCAACAGAAACAAAGCCTCTTCAGGCAGCAACCAGACCCAGTTATTCCTATCCGCCTGTCCCATGACCTTCAAATGTGTGCTCTTGAATTTCGGCACCACGACACATCTGCCATGTCGACCACCACTAACGGTTTCTTCCCATCTCCAGTCTTTTGGATCGGCCAGGTACTGGCCCACAAGGTGACTTCTGCCCGAATGTACCCGCACCGCACTGAGGGCAGTGTGCATGGCCAGACGAGCGGCATCGAGAGCCGACGCTTGCGATCGAGTCGGATTGGGTTCAAAATCCTTGGTCCCTCGTTTGGGGATAATGGCCTGTCCAGACGTCGAGGACGAAGCAGACGTCAATTGGGCCAGGAAGCGGAAATCCTGGGTTTCGTCTTCGAGGTCTTCGGCTCCGGAAGGCATTGTTCGGGGGATCGCATCTTCGTCCGCGTCCGCCATCTTGGCTGGCTGGGCGTACTATGTGACCGAAACGCGCCGCGGTGAGATGATGAGACTGACAAAGCAGCTGACTGGGAGTTAAGCAGGGTTGCAAGCAGAAGAATGTCAGTAGTGAGGCGGCATGTGATACCGGACGCGAGTGCTGAAGTCCCAACATTTGTACTGTGCAGTGTTGTACACCGACGGTGTTGTAGAGCCACGGACTTTTGCTTATCTTAGCTTATCTTAGCGTCGTTTTGCAGCCTTGCCGGACATCACGAGGCTGAAGCTGTCCATCTTCTTTGTCTTCCTCTAATCTTTGGAGCCAGAACGAGCGTCCATATTGCGTGGACCACATCCTAACTAGTGGCACCCCCAGGAATACATTGTTGAACTGATGTTGTCGAGAAACACAGTCTCTTCACTACACGACAATAACAACCGGAAGAATTCTTTGCTCATGACCTAAGGTAATGTACCTAAATCCACTACATCAGGCAGGTACCGGAACCCATCTGCCAGGCGCACAGTCTCTGGCATCGATTATCTTGAACCTTGAGCACCAAATTCATTCAATCTACCCTGAATGCCGGAGCAGAAGAGAGCAGAGCAGGAAAAATCAAAACAAAACACCGCAACGGGTTCCGCGATGAGCGGAGAAGGAGATCACTGATACTGTTGATTGTGCCGTGGAGATCTACCACTTTTTAAAGGTCAGGGTCTTCTTCGAATGATAGAGACGAGCAGCGGGGACGGAAATATGATGGACACTAGGGGAAATGCGACTACGTACGGCAATGGGAAAGGGAATGCAGATGTCGACGTCGACATCGAGATGAAAGGCGAAAGCGATGCAGAATCACAAGCACAAACACAAGTACAAACACTCCTACTGGACCAAATCGACGCCGCTCTCGATTATATTCGGTCAAATCTGGCGAATATTCTGCGCACCTGGGGCCGAGAGAGTCCGCAGTACAGGGATGCAAAGGAGATTATGCAGGCGTATCTGGTGGAGAATATGGAGAGGTTCAAGTCTGCAACTGCTGCCGCTGCAGATGGCAGTGTTTCGACGCCGGGAACTTCACGTACACGACCAGTTGCTGGAGATGGCGACGTGGAAACAAAGGAGATGAAAGAGGAAAATCTCCAGAAGCCAGGACAGAGAGAAAGGAAAAGGGAGCGGTTAAAGGAAATTGAAGACGGGATCGAGGCGTTGATGAGGGACTTGAGACTTTGAGTCTGATGTCACTGCACTGGGATCGGTTGGGATATTTGGACGAGTACTATCGTTGCGATTGGGTAGGCGGGAGAACCTGGGATATGAACGGCGAATGATGGGTTCAAGCGACAATACCCGGATTTGATGCACGAACAAAAGGAGGTCATTTCTTCCATCATACCGTACACCGGTCTCGCATTCATTATCCTATCTCGTGTTTCATCTCAAAGCCACGCTATACCAGCGTCCGCGCCCCACGATCTCTCCAATCCCAGCGCCATGCAATAAAATTTCGGGACAAATGTGACAATGAGGCAAAAAAGCCCAGCAACGGCAGCCAACGGGCCACATTCGGCTTGCCCCTCACTCAGATAGCCTGATTTCTCCCAGCCCTCAGGCGAGCTTTATAATCTCAAGCAGTTGTTGCACTGCAATGTTCATGTTCCGATCGCCTCCTTTTTTCCTCCTCAACGCCCATGTTGACATGGTGAATCTGACTCCAGACGGCCCTCCGCCTTGGCTTGCTTTGAAAACGAATATTGGTGTTTCATTGCTCGGCCTTGAATCATGACTCCCCTGGCCCGGACTGGAATGGGATCGCACACATTTAACGTAGCTGTATCCACAAAAGGCGGCGTCCTCTGGCCGTGTTGAAGAAACCCTTCTCCGCATGAAAATCAGGAGCGGCAGGCGGTCGCGTACGAACTCTCCTGTTGAACGTCTTACTGCCTTGAGCCTTGCCCAAGGGAAGGAATACTTTCCTAGTCGAAATTGGACGAAAAAGCCCTCCATACCTCACTCAATCAATGGTTTCTTGGTCGATCCGACAAGTGCGACCCCAAGACAGCTCATGGCATTGGGATCTGAGGCGCGTATAATGGTGGCCAAGGGTAACATTGGATTATCGGCATTGACATGTGAAGCGTCACGGGCGGCTTGTTCGATGGCCTCCATTTCCGCCTTGCACGCGGCATGATCCAGAGGACATACTACGATTGGCTGTTTGAGAATAATGTCTTTGGCACCATTCATAGAAGCCTATAAGCGCAGTTAGCCTCCGTCAAAAGCGAACCCCGACATTTAAAATATACCTTGATGGTCAAGTAGTATTCCACCTTGTACAAGCCTGCGGTTGTCGTGAAGCCCGTGACCGCATATGTCGGAAAGGCGGCCCTGCCACGCGGCATGATGCCATCAGCATCGCGAAGATCATTAGCAGGAAAAACAAGTCCAAGATTGGTAAAGTAGCCGGCTTCAGGCATCTTGACCCCGACGTTCTCCGTCTTCTTGACGAGACTCTTGGTCTTCCTCTGCGGTTCGTCCCCTTCATGGTTATAGATGACTTCTTCATCGATGCCAATTTCGATCTTGCGAATCGTGACTTTGCGCGCCTTGCTCAACCAATCTGGGTTCGGCGACAGTTTGATGTACACGCTGACGGGATCCAGAGGCCCATACGACCACCTTGGCAACGAAATGCCCAGGGTGACCAAATGATCCGAGACTCTCTCTGCTGTTTCGGGACGATTGTACATGCCAAAGGTGGACAACGTGTCGTATCGCGCGATCGGGACAGGAGTGACATATTGTTTGCGATCACCAGACCCGTACCCGACCGTCACCACCATCTCGTAGTATGTTTCGGCCGTTCTTCTGGGCAACTGCAAACTGGCGGGCGGGACTCGTCTGGCAGTTTCCTGTCCTCCTCTGCCAAAGGGAATGAAGATGACAAACGGTAGGTCCATGTACATGATCTCTTCGGAGTCTCTGTTGGCCGGACATCGGAACAATAACATTTCCTTCCCAACTGTTTCCGTCGATTCCTTCCTGGGCGCCGCCAGGTGTTTCTTGGCCACCGAGTCTGCATGAGGGTGGATGCTTTCTCGTCTCTGCAGGGATATGGTGACGATGGAGATGTTCACCGGGCTCGAGATACCGGTCGCGGGGCGGATTTCTACAGTTCCTTCGATGCGAGGCTATTGCAGGTCAGTCAGCAGCCCTACCTAAGAGAGCGAGCATTCAACGCAACAACACCCGAGTAGGCGACTCACCAGTGTGGCAGATATTCCTGGGTATCCGACCAGAAAGTTTGTGTTCGGCCGACCAGATATTCGCACAAATGCGCTCATCTTCTCACGAAGCTGGGATATACTTTGGGCACATCAGGCTTGGTCAGGCGTGTTTGTATTCTGGGCGAACCGTGACGGCATTCAGGTTGGATGGGACGCGGGGAGTGAAGCGGCCTGGTCAGCAACACTGCGAGGCCCATAGAGACGTCCTCCAGCGTTGCTGTCTTACAGGCAGGTGAAGGCTGACCCGCGCAGGATATTCTTTGTGAGCATAGCAGTAGGAATGATGACGAGTATTCGAGGCCGCAGTGCTTTGTGTTGTCGAGGGTCGCTCGTGGAGAGGCCGCTTCGTGGCGTCTGCCTACGAATAGATGAGTGAGTAGAGAATGCGATAATAATAATGTCCACCAAGTCCTTGAGGAAGAATGCCCAGGTAACTATTGTGAAATAAGCTGGTTAGAGTGGGATGTGATGTTGTGTTGGGGTGTGTGAGCGCAGCGCGGCTCGTGGAGATCAAGTTGTCGTTGCAGACGCAAGCAGCGCAGGCGGATTCGGAGGGGATCCCAAGGGTCGAATTCCGCCCGGACTTGGAGCGGACACCAACAAGTCAGTCACTCGGATGAAGTCTTGGATCCTGGGTAGGACAACGACAGGAACAGCACTGGAGTACTGTATCTCCTCTTCTGCTCTGGTCTTGAACAACGCACTCATAAGGTAGCATTGTAGTAGCAACGATTGACTACTAGTCGTACCGCTACAATACTGGTTGCTCAGGCGCTGAGCATCCCCATACCATCCTTCAATTCTCCGTGAGGCATCCCGTCAGCCCCAGGAATCGATCGATTGCAAGCTTACAATTGGACACATGCACGTCAGCCCGGGACGCCGTCGATCTGGTGCGTCGGAGTTCTGATGCCATCATTGCACTACTAGTAGCTAGTAGTAGGCGGAAGAATTGCATGATTCATTTCTTTCCGTCGTTCAACCCCTTCTGAGTCTGCATTTCCCGACGAGGGGTGATATGACGAGAATTGAGTATGTCGACTCTGAAGCAGCGGGTTGGTCTCTTGAGTGGAAAGCATTCCAACAAAGTCCTACTCCCCAGCCTTGTTCGATTTGTGGTAGCCCCTCCTGGCCATTGACCTTAAACACTGTGCGATATCTGAATGCGCTCCCACAGTAGCGACTTCAGTCCTTCTCCTCCGCGTAGTTCTTTTCCTCGGACTCCAGAGCGCTTTGTGCCGTTTTCTCTCTGCAGTCGATGGAGCGCCAGTCAACTGTAGTACGCAGCGCCTGACAAGAGCTCCACGGATATGAGGAGAGCTAATAAGGTACCGTCAGAACATGTCAGACCATGCCATGACGCAGGACCCCGTGAATTCGATGATACCAACCTCGAGCCCATGATGGACATTCATCTCCCAGGCCCTGATGGTATCGAGGGTATTGCCACGACATAACCCTGAAGAGCTAGGCGTCATGCCTTGCCTGAGAAGACAACAGTTGCTCTTCGAAGCACTCTGATCAGGACCCGCGCTGAGCTCCTAGGTATGTCTGTATGCGGAAAACCCCCTTTTGCCGAGGGTTCCTCGTCTTCTCAGGCAGTCAAAGGTCGGACGATGGGCCGGGCGACAGAATCCGATAGCATAAACAACTCTCCCTCTTTACGTCCCGTCAACCTGCCAATGGACTCGCATGTATCATCATCTCGTCTGCTCAGGCAGTCAAAGATCGATCGAAGGGCCAGCGTAGAATCCAGAAAATCTTAGTCTGCCGTAGCTCTTGTGCATCAACCCGCCAACGGATTCGCATGCACCGTAACCCTCTCCAGCACAATCTTCTCATCCTTCGGTCTGAACTTCTTATCAACTTTCACAGCCTCCATCTTTTCCAACGCACCACCCTCTTCCGCGCCATCAATGACCCGTCCAAACACGGTATTTTTGCCATCCAAATGCGCCGCCTCCTTGAACGTAATAAAGAACTGGCTCCCATTCGTCCCGGGTCCCTTGTTCGCCATCGAAACCATTCCTCGCCCACTATGTCTCAACGCGGGCACTTTAATCTCGTCCTCGAAATACTGTCCCCAAATCGACGTGCCACCTTTAGGAATCGGATTCTCCTCAGTGTTCCGCGGTCCCAATGATGTGTCTCCTCCTTGAACCATAAAGTCTGGAATCATCCTGTGGAAGGGTGTGCCGTCGTACGCTCCGGACGCGCATAACGCTAGGAAATTCTCCGCCGTTTTGGGTACCGATTCGCAGAAGATTTCAATCTTGATGTCTCCGTGGCTGGTATGTAACTGACACACACTAAGTAAGCCCGCGCACGCTCGCAAGAGATAGTAGGTTCTCACTACTTACTGTGACCGACATGCTGCGGAGGGATGTCCATGAACAAATGGCGCAGCCCAGTACAACAGGAGAATAAGAACCCGACCCTGTCAATTCAATCAACGAATAAACCGGTCCACCTCTGTTTCGCGAGGAATAGTCAAATAAAGTGACCAACGGTTGCTGGGTGCCCAAGAACTACAAAGTATGAGACTCGTGCAACATGCAACGCGGAACTTGAACTGGCCGCAACGGAAATGATCTAATCAATCGGTCACGTGATATTTATGTACATATCAATGGTACGACTACAAGTAGCAGATCCAGGAGCACAGCCTTGTGTCCGTCGAGGTATACAATGTCACAGTATATGCTTGACCAAGTCAGAACGGATGATCATCAATTCCAGCTATTTCGCCGTCCCCGTTCGTTACCAATAGTTCATAGGAAATTCGCCCGGCACCCTTGCCCGTCCGACCACCTATTGACTGCATTCCAGTTCCAGTACCAGCAATTCTGCATGTGTGCAATAAGGTGTTTGGTATCTCCGACTGCGCCATAGTTCATTCCAGGTATATAGTCATCACAAGAGAAAAAGAGTCCCGCCCTAGTGGTACAAGTTGAGCTTCTGCTCTAACATGACAAGAATCGAAAGTGTACAAGGATGATCAAATCCGTTGATGGGCACTGTATCATGACTGAGATCGACGGTCGACCTCACATCGTGGCCGACAGTAACTTTGTGTTCTTTTTGGATATCCAGTGAAGCAACATGCCATCCAACTGTGACTGCATTTCTGCTAATTTGGTCCGCTCATCCGAAAAGAGGTTGTGCATGAGCGGGTGCTCGGGGCCTACAGGCACGACGTTCGACTTATCATACACAATGATGAGAAGATCCTTGATGTCTTGATCATTCTCCATGTATGTTCGAAGTGAAGCGTCTGACCATGTCGGAGTAGACCTCGATGTTGAGGGAGTATGAGTAGCACTGGACGGGGACGGTTTCGAAGTGCTGACGGTGCCTTCCGAATCCGTTGGATTGGAATCCAGTGGTGGAGGAGAGGATGGCAGAGTCGTAGATTGAATCGCCGAATGTCCGTAGTCTCCAAATTTGTTCGGTGTTGAAGGTTCGATGGGTGAAACTTGCATGGCGGAATCAGACCTGGGTTGTAACACTTGCACGTTCGTGACTGGTGAGACACTCCGCCGTTCCTGATCTTCAGCCTTAGGAGTGACATCTTCTGCGTCAGACTCGCTGTCGTCGATTGCAAACCGCTCCTTGGCTCTCTTTGAGTAGGTCGGCTTCACGCCAAACCCGGCATCCGTACTCGTGGTAGGGGCAGGCTTCAGTGCTGTGGTAATAGACGAGAAGATGGTTCTCTTTTCGGTGAGAGAAGGGAACCTGTTGACTTGAGTGGATGTCGGAGACTCCACCCGCTCATCGCCGGCCTGTTCTTCCGCCAGCGGGGGTTCGGCCTCTACTTTACGTACCGTCGTTGGTGGTGCAGGCGCAGGCTCTGTCGGTGCAGGAGGTATTCCAGCCTTGGTGGCGGGTGTCGTTGTAGCTGTGTCTCGTTGTTGAACTCTCGAATCCGTGGCGGCAGCAGCTTTGGGTGAAGTTGGTGGAGGTGTCTTTTGCAGTTTACTCGGCTTCCTTTCTGGACCGACTTCTGACTTGTTGGACAGCGACTCCATTGATTCTTTCGATTGCGGCGCTGGTCGAGCATCTTCCACCACTCGTTCGCCCTCTTCGACCACAGACCCCTTCTTCCTCTTGAAGAGACCACTGAGCATGCCCTTCTTTTCTTTCTTCTTATCCTTATCTTTGTCCTTTTCTTTAGCCTTGTCATCGATCCCGACAACCTTATCGAAGGTTTCCAAACTTGGCCGTTGGCGGATCTCTCCATCTGTTGTATCAGCAGTGTCTGAGTCGCCTCGTAATAGTCGTGGGGTCAAAGAAATCTTCTTGGTCTCGACCGTGTCATCTCTAAAGAAAGAGTCCGTGTTCCTGACCACGCCTTTTCGTGAGCGTTGCGTGGAATCCTCTGATTGTGACTGCTCTGGGCCGGTATTCGGATCTTGTGACTTCGTGGGGCTCGTTAACGACTCGTCCCTCAAGCTATCCTTACTAGCCGTCCGTTGAACACCGTTTACAGTGACGCCTTGACGCTGTTCTTGAGATTCCTGCTCTGCAGAGGCTGCAAGTTCCTGGTCCTCGGCGATATCGCCCTCGTCAGAAGTGTCTAGACCGGTATGTTCGAGCTGACTCTCCTCGTCCTCCTCGTCTTCATCAGAGAAATCGTAGTCGCCCGGTTCATAGTACGTAGGTGGGGCGAATTGGACCGTCTTCGCATTTCTCCTGCGCATGGCCTTTTTCAAAGGATTCTTGGACTTTTCGGGATTGTCGCCAAGCATAGACGCAGACAACTGCAATCAGATTAGCGACGAATTCGAGATGGTGGTGCGTACCTACGTCAACATTTCGGTGTTTGTTCAAACGAGCCAGTCGTTCCGTGGGTGTCTCAATATGCTCCGCTGGTAGGTAGCCTGCAGAAGTTAGCTAGCCGAAGTCTTCGAAACGGAATGGTTGCTTACCAATGCTCCCATCTTTGACGACTCGTACAAGCCACCAGTAACTGTTACTGTCGTCAAGCAACACCATGGTGTCACCTTTCGTTGCATTGGCTTGACCTTCAACGGTTGCGACAAAGGTATGCAGGGCATACACAAACTCGAAGTCGATATCCTCTATTTCTCGTAAGCATTCTCCTCCCCAACCAGAATCAATGAAGCGGTTGTCAGGACAGAAATGAAAATCATCGGCGTCATCATCTGAGCTCGATTCGGAATATTGCAGGTAAGTTTCGTCATCTTCCCAGCCGTCATCGTCTTCGTACCCGAGGTCTCCATGGTAATCGTCGCACGCAGTGGTTGCCTCTGCCAAGACTGGGTCGTCCAGCGGCAGCAAATATCTTGTGAATTCTTGCGATTCAGAAAGCGGGATTCTGTAGTACTGAGAGGGTGACCCAGTATGTCGCAGTGGTGTAGGGCGATCATGCTCGCGTCCAGGATCTTGATTACTTCCACAACGCTGGTTTGTGCCAGCGTATGCCTGCTCCTCCTCATACTCACCGTGATGACATGCCGATAGTGGTTGTGAGGGGCGTAGGGGGAAGTGTTCAGGGGTAGAAGAGAACGGTGAAGAAGAAGGAATGCCTCGAGTCGGCGTTGAAATTGAAGCCAGGGAAGCTTCAGAATCCACGGAATCCGCTCGCGGGGGCCAAGGGGGAAGGGTGTATTTACCATCTTCGATTGACGGTGAACTGGAGATTTTGTCCATAAGATCGTCATCCAAGTCCTCATCCTGGGAGTCACCGCCTTCTCCGTCATCCAGGTCCTCTGGGTGGTATCCATTTCCGATGGCTCCATTTTGGGATGTGATGTGATCGTCGTCTCGCTCGTCCTCCAGGTCATCGTAGAAATGTTGATCGGGCAAATATCCACCATCGGGCCCATCTTCCGACGCCCGAGGGCTAACATGTTGCTGTTGAAAAGCCTCTTCCTCGGCGTGTCTTAATGTTTGTGCTTGATGCGGCGCGGCTGGTCCGAAACCATATGGAGAAGGGTGTGCTGGTTGTCGTGTATGGTCCTTGGCGGAGGGCGCATCGTGATCTTGTAAGTCGAGAGTATCTACAGGCATTATGTGTAAGCAAGTACATGTCTTAGGCGGCCATCGAAGCCAAAGATTTTGTGAGCATATCTCTTACCAGCTCTCACAAGCTGTGGCTTCAGGGTGGTCATTGCGCGCACCATCAGTGCGGGAGTCTTTGGTGTCGCGTTGAGTGTTCGCCCACCACAATTGACGGGCTACGCGATGATTCAGGTCGCATAGATGGGACGGGTGTATGAGCCCAGCCCGAGGCGAGTGAAACGCGGAGGAATTGTGCTGCGGTTTTGAGCGTGGATTGATGCAGGGATGCCCGGGGGCGAGGCCAACTTTCTTGTGGTCAGGATGAGGCGCGGTAACGACTGGCGGATGTGCACTGAGCCGGCTCGAAGATGTTGCTTGAGAGAATGACGCGGTGCGAAGGATGCAGTGAGAGAAAGTGGGAGCAAACAAAGTGAAAAGGAAGGACCAGCTGTAGTCAGTGAAACCAGTTCTGGATGCGCAGGCACACTGGGTGAACTCGAAGAGTGAGAGTCGGGATGGTGTTGTGATGGTTGTACTCTAGTACTACTGAACGGGCTCGAAGTGGTGATTGGAAAATAATTGGGACGGCGGGAGGAATTGGACTCTCTGGACTCTCTCTCCCTGCAACAGGCCTAACGTCCGTCCACCGATCGACGCCAGAAATCCGGCTGTGAAGGAGGTGTGTTTCAAAAGCTGGCACACGCTGCAGACGGTCCCCCAGCGCTGGGTATTCATTGCTGCCGCTACTGCACGGGCGTCGAGATTCAAGTTTAGGGGCTTCAGGGATGCTCACTTTAGCGAGTTGGCGCTTAGACTTAGCAGGCGGCTGGGGGCCACAAGCGACTTGTTATGCAGCGGTCGGAGGCTCCTTAGACCGGGGAGGCTGAAGGTGCCGCATGGTAATTGGGCGGTCACGAGAAGGCCGTCGGGCTTTGCTGTTCACTGACAAGCGGCGTCAGGGGTCGAGCATTTTACGCAGATTAGCAGACTTCTGGGGCGCCAGTTTCATTTGTTAGTCCTATCGTGCTAGCAGAGGCATTTCAGGCCTGTTGGCTGAGTTCGAGCTGCCTTGATATTTTGTGGGGGAGCCACCGGCTCTCCTGCTTTCACTGGCTTCAGCGCCCAAGCACTCCACCCATCACCCGCCGGTGCAGCCCCGAAGCCCGACGTCCGATGCCCACCACAGGCCAGGAGGGACCGTCTCTGCACCTATAACCTGCACCCAGTACGAGCAGTGGACGGTGTGCTGCAGGCCAACCGTCATAGTCGGATATCGACTCGGAAGACCGTCATTTGTCGCGTGCAACACGCAATAAGATGGGATCATTTCTTGTTCTGGGGCTTCAGGTTATATCAACTCTTCTTTTCTGATAAATGACCCATTGACTTTACTCGGCTCAATTCTAGCCATGGGCACGCGTCAAATATATGCATTTAGACATCTTGGTTGAGTGGTCTGGTTACAGACGACCAAGTACGCTATGATAGCACTGTATGGCTGGTGCCCAGTGTCCTCCGCCCAAGCTTCTTGGGGGGCACGATGCCCGTCTGATCATCCCACTGCCTTGACAAGGTGCTCTGCCACTGGCAATGGATGCTCCATGAGGTTGTGTGTGACCGCAGCGCCCATCCACCATCGGCTGCAGTTAGTGAGTGCACCAACACCACCCACGAATCCAAATGCATGCAAACAGGTAGTCCAAATAATTTATCGTCACCTCGGCCACAAGAAGATCTGCCTGTCGATAGCCTTTCGCCTCGCTGGCTGGGGAGCTCAATTCTCATTCCCAATCTCATTATGTTATGACTGTTCACAGGCAGTGCTCGACTGGAATTTCAGGCGCTCAGGCTGATCTCCGCTCCGTACCGCCGTCAGACTCGACGCCCGCAGTCTGCCTTTCATCCTTGCACGTGGGTCTCTGAAGTTTTGACTCGCACCACTGCAATTACTGCATTACTGCGCTGCACCGCACCGCACCGCACCACCGCACACTTTTGCGCACCTGCTCGACAACTCGGCCTCGACTCCCACACTCCAGACTGACATACTTCCAACAGACCATGGGCAACACCTGCTCTAGAGATTGAGACGACAAGTCTCAGAGTCTACGCTCTTGCGTACTTCAGAAAGCAGTGCACTTGTGGCCCCGATTGCGAAGCGAACCGACCTCATTCCTTGGAGCTCTTCGCTGCCTCTGGGCGGCGCGCAATGGCGCAGGCTGACAATGTCCACCAACTCGATCACCTGCGCCTCAACTCGGATGACGAAGAAGATGTCGCTCTTGAGTCAGAGGAGGACACTTACAACATGAAGCGACCTTTTGAAAATTACTCGGTGCACTTGCGGCCGTCCCTTAGAGGATCGGCCGCAAGTCAAGACACCATCCGTGCCACTGCCACTCCACCGATGGACATACCGGCAGTCAACGATGGACCTGCTATCTTAGGCGAAGCTTCGAATCCGTCGACGTACATCGACCATTACATGCGCCATCGGAACCCTTCCGTCAGCTTTAACAATGAAATCAAGCTGGATTCCGGTGAGAGCCAAAGTATGGAGGAGCCGCTGGAGAAATCCTCAAAGCACGTGGGACGTGGCCGCTCGTTGATGCACGCTATTGAGCACGCGAGAAAGTCTTCGAGAGCGCACAGTGAATCAGGTCGTTCGCACTATGACCCTGTCACTGGTCGCTTCTTGGACAAATATTCACACAGTCCTCCGCGGGAGCAACCTCGCGTGGGCGAAGGCCGCTTCCCTCTCTTGCAGACAACAGTGGACGAAATGGCCCGAGAATCGGAGACGAACCTGGTGCAACCCATGTCCATGACGTCCGAGTCGACCATGTCTCCTCCCAGCGAGGCGATATTGACGCCAGAAGATAGTGACAATTATCTGCTCTCACCCCCAACAGACTCCCCTATTGCCCAGGCATTTTCGTACGAGGAACCGAAATCATTTCGGCGCACAGCATCACAACGATGGAGAGATGGCGATTTCAGCGCATCCCCGCAAGATTTCTTTTCCCGTGCAGGCAGTCTACGCAACAAAAGCATGCGGGATATTGCCGGGCGCGCATCCCGTCGCGACACTTCTGGGTCTACACGATCCCCTCGTTCTGCGGCATCGTCGTACTTACGCGGTTTCTCAATGAGTAGTGGAACCAACGGTGACTCGGCCGACCCAGGGCCCATGGCCTGTGATGCTGAGGGCCAGACCATCGGCGATGATTATGTTTTAGGCAAGCAGATCGGCTATGGCGGATTCAGCACGATAAAACAAGTAACTCAGCTGCAAGATGGCAAGCAACGCACGCTCGCCGTAAAAATCGTCCGCCGACAGATCGAGAACAAGTCGGAAGCCGACAATGAACAGGCTCAGGCCGAGTTCGAGCACGAGGTTGAGCTGTGGCGCTTCCTCAATCACCGCAACATTTTACCTCTGGAAGCAGTGTACAAGCTCGATGAGGCCACTTTCTGCTTCATTCCGTTAAATACAGGGGGGACGTTGTTTGACCTGGTGCGGGCTAACCGGCAAGGCGTCCGTCACGACTTAGCCAGAAGCTACTCGTACCAACTTGCATCCGCGCTCCGGTATCTGCACCTCGACGCGCGGGTCGTGCACCGCGACGTCAAGCTCGAAAACTGCTTGATTGAACCGAGCAGCAACGGCGAGCCCGGTCTGCTGCGGCTCTGTGACTTCGGAATGGCAGAGTGGCTTTCGACCGACAGCAACTCAGGCCCTCCCAGCCCTCGTTTCAACCATACCGACCGCCCTCCTCAGAAGCACATTGGCCCCGCGGACACGTCGACATCGGCGTTTGCAGGTGGAAGCCTCGAGTATGCTGCACCCGAGATCGTACGAGTTGCGGAACGTATCAAGCACTCTGATCAAGCCGAACGCGCCATTGTCTCTCCCGCGGTCGACATGTGGGCTTACGGAGTCTGCGTGTACAGTATGGTTGTCGGGTCGCGGCCATTTCAGAACTCATTCCAGCCCCGTGTGGTCATGGCCATCCTGGCCGGCAACTGGAATCGTGACCTTTTACGCCAAAAGGGAGGCGACAAAGTCTACGAAGTTGTCGATGGCTGTTTGGATATGGACGAGTCTTCGCGCTGGGACGCCACAAGAGTCGTGGACTCGGCATGGCTTGAAGAACTGGCAGACGAGGACGACAGTCTCCACAGCGGTGTGAACGGTTGGCGATTGTGATGATGCTTCGCTCTGCCACCCCATTGTCACTCAATAATCCCGAACCGCCCTCCGAGTGGTTCCCAACTTCCCGATCGCTATGCTACAAAGTCTGGCTTTCCTAGTCGATGGACGACTAGCGCATCCCTCACTCCTCACTTCAATTATATTTCTACTCCTTTCCGACTCCAGGTGCCCAAGCCGTCCGGGACGGCGATCGATCTGTGCACTCAAGGTTGTCACCGACTGGGGCACCAAGAGGTGAAACCGAGAACCAGTTTTCTTGTCTCCTCTGGTGCTGTTCGACAGCTAGGCAGGCACAGAGCGAGACCAAATGAATTGCGCCTTTTCCCTTCTTTTTTCCTTCCTCAATCCAGAAGAGGTCATGACGACTATTACGATACGATTCCGAGCAAGAAAGACTCTCGTTTCTCACGACTGTTTGTGTGTGTCTTATGCGACTATGTGTCTATGTATGTGTGTACACTTTTTGATTCTTGCAAGGCGTTGTCGGTTGCTTCTTTTTCTTCACTCGGGGATTCTGTTCTGTGCAGATTCAGTTCGGGCGGTCATGGTTATGACTATGGCATGCGTTGCCGGTGGTGGACCCGTCAATTCGCGGCCTTTCTTTTCTTTTGCGTGCCAGTGCGCTCGTTTTCAAGCTTTGTTCGAATTGGGCAACCGAGACTAGGACAGCGGGACTTTAATGTGTTTGGTGTTTCTCACCTCAATGGCACTCACTACCTTAGGTACTACTGCTGTTACTGGATAATCGAATAGGTATTCAAATCACAATCACTGGTTTTTTTTCCATCAATTGGCAAACTTTTCTTTGATTTCTCGATCAAAACAGATCAGAGCGGCGCCCCGGCATTGTTGAGGCTGAACGTCAATAGCGGCAGGTGCTCTTTGATGCTTCACGAAGCAAGGCGCGAGGCACTTTGCTACCCGCGCCCGAAGCCGCCTTCGCCGGCGTTCTATGCGCAGTTAAAGGCACCACAGTCCTAGTGGAATTCTGTTCTGTTGCCAAGTGATTCTTTCTTCTAGACTTGAAAAAAGGGCGGCATGAGCTGTTCGTAAGGTCCATCATGGGAACGTAGAGTTTCTCCTATAGACACACAGACGTGTTCCATTGAATTTGTTACTCGTACATACTGTACAGTGCCTGCACAGGCATTCTACCTGCTTTATGTAAAGTAGATTTGTGATGTCCTTTTGTTGTTCTATCACAACATGCATCTGGCCATCTATCAGCGCCGCGTGTCACTCTTCCCCAGGCCCATTGAACTGCCGTGCAAGAGAAGCTATCGTGCAAGATTGGGGCGAAAAATGGCCGATTCTTGTCCCGTTCTGTTCTGGCCTTCGAAGAGATTGATTCGCAACAGAGTGCAAGGTGTCCATGAAAAAGCGGTTCGTACTGCATGCTCTTCTTTCTGTTCTCTTCCAATGTTCACAAATCGGCCATCTGCAGTGGCCTGATTCATTCGGTCCTTTGGCATCACACACTTCCAGATATTTCGACTTCAAACAATCGACCTGTGCTGCCTTCGTGACCGACGTGAGTCAACCGCCCATTTTATGGACTCTAGGACTCTCTTCACCCGGCCAAATTGTTGTCGCAGCGAAACCCGTACTCGTACAAAACACATAATTACTCCCCTGTTGCCGTTTCGTCGTAATCATTGAACAAGACCAGCCACTTTGACTCCTTCACGCCCAACATAATACGATCCGGAACTTCTTTCTTTCGTCCAAACCAATGCCAAAACAAATTCTTCGGAGTCATATTTTGTGCTTCTTTCAACAGGGCAGGCAATAATGCCTGGATCAACCGCAACCGCAACCGCACCGCGCTCGGAAAAAGAGATCCGACGAAAAATATGCAATGCACCGTTGCTATGTATGTGGGTATCTTTGTTTCGTACTCAAACTGTCGAGAATGCCCGCACTTTCGTCAATACAGTACGGAAAAGAGGATGGTGACCAGACAGAGGAAAAGAAAATGATATGGTGCTAGCAGAGTCTTCGAGGGACTGGCTCCGGAGCCAAAGTTCCCATCGAAGGGGCTGCCGCCACCGCTGTCGCCGCTGTTTGAACCTTGGGAGCTGGAGGATTTTGTTGATGATGCGGCGGCAGTCGTGCTCGAGGTGCTGGAGGTGCTGAAGGAGGCTGAAGTCGAGGTTAAGAGTGTGGTAGTTGGGGATTCGGACGTGGCAGTTGAGGATGCAGAAGAAGATGATGATGATGTCGATATCAATGTCGATTCTGACGTGCTCGTGTTGCTTCCTTTTGTCGCCGTGCTGGCCGTACTGGTGTCGGTCGCGAATGACGCTGACTTGGTATTCGATGATGCCGGCTGAGAAGATGCTGTGACCATCGAAGAAATTGAAGCGGTAGATACCGTCTTGGTCGTTACTGTTGACACTCCTGCTCCGCCGCCATTGTTGACCGTACACAGATAGCTCACAACGTCTCCTGCGAACAGCTGCCCGATCAATGAGTTCAGAGGCGCTTGTTGGCCCTGACACGCTCGCTTCACAAGCTCCTGGGCTGACAATAACGCCTCCTCGCATTTCGTGGAGCAGGATCCTGTCCCGCCGATGGCTGGAAAGTCGTTCAGGTTGCAATTGGCAATAGTGGTGCCGTACGCTTTTGTGCAGTAGTCCGAGAACCCAACCACAGTCTGGATTTTAGTGAATGAGACCGAGGCAGACGCACTGTGGACAAGAGTGGAAGAAATTATGGCCAAGGCCAGCTTGCGCTTGATGCGTATCTCCATGCTTCGACGCTGTGGTTGTGAACTGCACTGTAGACGTCAAGTTGCGGAGGATCAAGTGCGTTACGAGCAGAGAAGGACTCGGAGGTGTTGGTAGAGGAAGGAGTGTTCAACAGTCGATTGTTTGTTTGGGTCCGGCAATATTTCAATGAAGTCCGAGTCTGGTTCACGGGACGATAACGGTTGTTGCGACGCGACAAGGTCGGAGGTGTTGATGTTATGAAGAACGTGTTGCGTCGCTGGAGGCCACCATTGTACTCAAGCTCGTAAAACACTGTCGGATTACTTGCTTCTGCTCAGCCCTGCGTTCCCTTCTGAATCAAGATTCCAATTGTTGTAATCGAGGAGTTCGCGCAGTGTAACGGTGCGACTTCCCAAGCTGCGGGACGTTGAGCTTTTCACTTTTGTTGGACGTTCGATGCCCGTCCTTTCGTCGGACCCAGTCCTCAATGGCCTGATTCTATGGTGGAGCGACACGGTCGCCCGAGGACCTTCAGACCTTCTCTTTGGTGGAAGAACACAACACTCAATGCGGTCCTACGTCAATCGGTGCACCCAAGGCCAGGATTGCAGGAGCGTGCGATACAGTCCGGTATGGGGTTGACAACAGATCTCCGTCGATCGCAATCAAATCTTCGCGGGCTGGTGGAAACGAGATCGTCGGATGATTTTATCTTCAGCGGACCCCACGGCTGGTCTGAAACACGACCGACGTGAGCACAGATGCCGGCGGCCGTGTCTCGCGACTTATACCTGCTACTCACTCCCTTGCGATGTCAGATTGATTGTGCCGTCTCTTTGCTTCCAGAAGAGCTTGGTCTGGCGACGTGGTAGATGGCGCGTGGGGCTTACGAAGAAGGGCTAGAGAAGGATACTTCCTGGAGCAGATCTGTCCTGCAGTCAAGCGCCAGGCTTCGCAGAGGAAAGAGACTCGGGTCTTGCAAAGGTCACAGCAAAACAGAACAAGGGAGAGATAGCGAGGATGCGTTTGGATGAGCTGCCTTCTCGCTCCTCAAGTTGAGCACACTGCGGCCGGCGGTATGATATCTGCCAAACCGCGTCATCATGCGCTCTTCCTCCTGCTCTTGCGTAAGGTATCCCATTACCGAGATGGCCATCACCCGGGGCGGTTGGTCAAGGCCCGTTCTACAAGTTGCAATGGAAGATGGTGCGGAATCTGTGACAGCGTTGACCCTGTGTCAGGGTTGTAAAGCACGAGGCGATGCTATGAACGGCCCTCGAAGGGAGACAACCTGAAGCAGGAGACGTGAGATCGACATGGGAGCCCGTTGACATGATTGGCGACATGGGCTGCCAGGGGCCAAACGCTGAAGCGCCGCCCACAATCGCCCACAGTCCGGCGCTTTGAAGGTGGAAACCGAAGAGGAGGACAATGGGGCTATCGAACCACGGTGATATACCCATTTACAGTACAACGTTGCAGCTGCTCCCGGAGCATTCCGGTCAGAAAAGCGCATCACATCATTTATCATTTATCATTTGTGAGTGTGGTAGCAGAGAGTATCTATTCGATCCGAACTTGAAGGATTCCGGGCATTGAACCATCCGGGCGCAGGCCACCACGTGCAGTCACGTGATGTCACATGACCACAAGGGTGGTCCATACGGCTGACACTGACGGGCGCTTATACAGGGCCGTGGGAGGCAACATTCAAGGGATGAGCACGCCTCGGAATCGGACCTTTCCAGCGACCATCTTCTCCAGCGCTTCGTTGGCCTTGTCAAGAGGGAATTTCTCAATCATGACATTGACCTTATGCACCTGGGCAAACTCGATTGCCTCCTCGGAGTCGAGAGCATGACCGCTCGGCCAAGCCGTAAGACTCAAGCCTTTCTGGATCATCGAAGCGGTATTGATCTCGACCGGGGCAGATGCTGCCAGGATGAGTAGCTTGCCCAATGGGCCAAGGCCCTGGAGCAAGGATGGAATGAGTTTCTGGTTCGGCGCCGTGAAGATGATGCAAGACGCCCCGCCCAGCTTCTGAAGCTGTTCACCAATATCACCCGCGGAGGCGTCGATGTAATCGTGCGCTCCGAGCTGCGAGGCAAACTGCTTCTTCTCCGAGCTCGAGGAAATGGCTACTGTCCTGTATCCCATCTTGCTGGCATACTGCAAGGCAAGGTGCCCGAGGCCGCCCAGGCCTTGAACCGCCACGACCGATCCGGCAATGACGTTCTGGCGTCGCAGTGCTGTAGAAGCATCTGTGTGTTAGCGGCGTGCCCTGGGATAACAGATTGCAAAATATCCTTACAGTTGAAGACGGTGACTCCCGCACAGAGCAGAGGGCAGAACTCGGCCGGGTCCACGTCCTGCGGAACGGACACAACTGCTTCTGTGCGGAGCGTCACGTATTCTGCGTACCCGCCGTTTTTGGTGACTCCGTTGATCAACTCATTGTCACACATCTGGTATAACCCGCGTTGACAAGATTTACAGGTTCCTATACACCATCGCCGTCGGTCAGCCAGCGGATCCCAGCAGACAAAATGAGCACGACCCGGCGTTAGGAGTTGTTGAGCAAAGCATCAGGGCCACTGCTCCAGCGAGCCTTTCCTGGCAGTTGATCAGACAACACCGGGTTCTCCTGATGCTCATTTGCTTCACTTTGCAGTAAGGTATGCATTCTGCACGGAGCATGTACGCAGGACTCGAATCTCTTACCATCATGGCCGCCATGCCAGGGCGCGCTGCAAAAGAGGAACAGTAACAGTCAGCTTTTGCCATGGTTCAAGACTCGCTGAACGGTTGAGGGTATCGTGGGGACACCGACACCCGTACCCGCCGCCCGAAGACAGGATATCAACACAACTCCAAGACCGTAGGCGTGTACATACCCAACACGATCTCCGATCTTCCAGCGTTTCTCCGAATCAGGCACCGCAGCCACGTCGCCAATGACTTCATGACCCGGGGTGATTGGGAACGAGTTCCCAAAGAGGCCATGCTGAACAGCATTGTCCGAGTGGCAAACCTGCATGACATTATCAGTCGCGGTGATCCAATTCCAAAAGGCAACGTCCTAGACAGTGTCTCGTCAGGTCAGCATTGCAGGAGACTATCTTACACCACAGGCCAGCACTTTGACTAGCACCTAAAAGGAACGAGACACAACTCGTCAGCTTGAGAAACTACATCTGCGTGTTTTCAAACATACCTCGCCATCCTTGGGGAGTTCAAGTGGGACCTGCTTGAATGTCAAGGGCTCGCCTTTGGCCTCGAAGACACCGGCCTTATATTCCTTGGGGAGTTGTGGTGCCATCGTTGGTGTTTGTCTGCTTTGCTTTGCTTTGCTTGCTAGGTAGCTACGGTATCTGAGCTGCGGTTGAACGGTTGTTGGTGGTTGACTAGTCTGGGCTAGGAACCGTGCACTTCGAGAATGACTACTCTGTATGCTTATATATACCCTTCAATGCGAACAGGAGGTTGCAGCCATAAATCCGGCTCTGTGCGGGAGGTGAGAGGGGCAGCCTACCTACCTATGCAGTACTTCACGTAAAGTTTGATCTACAGCGGTCCGAGTCCATTGGTTGCATTCTCTGGTGGTGGTGATGTCAAAGCGGAAGCTTCGATATCGCATCCTTGTCGCTCCACAATTGTCATTACTTCGGATACGGGGGGGCCTGTTATATATCTGTTCCACAAGGTACCTACCTTACCTACCTAGTTCATGCCCACCTGCATGCAGTGCTGTACTCTAGATTGAACAGTACTCTACTAGTACGGTACCACTGGCATCTACCTTAATATACAGGACTGTCTTATCTTTTTTTTCTTGCTGCTACAGCTGAGTGTATCTAAAAAGAAATAAATAGTAATCAGTCTCCCTGGCGCAAGCTTGAACCCTGCGGCCGAAAGAAAGACTCTTTCTGACCAGATGCTTTGGTCAAATCCCGGCAACCTGGTCTGTTGCCAATGACTCGTGACCAACGCATTGTATTCTCCTTTACCGACCTGAACATTCTCCCGTCCTGTACAACCTACCTAGGTAGACAAGTAGCTCACCCTGTCAAGAGTTGCCTCGTGCAGGGTTTTGTCAAGGAAGCGAGTGGGTTGGTGACAAGTGTTGATCAAGCATTGCTGCTGCTGAATAAGCGGTGTTTAAAATTCTGCCCACGGGTCACCCTCGTCGCAGCGCCTGAGAGATCTCGCCACGCTACTAATCAGACTCGGTGATCGATACATCTCGGCTGAAGTGTCCACTACCTCTGATCGGAAAGCATTCCAATACCAGTAGTTGCAGCGGAATTAGAGACATGAAAGGGGGGGAAAAATCTGGTTCGGCATGAAGGTTCGGAGAAGGAGATAAAATAGTTCCCGATTGGGATTGATGGTGGTTCTTTGGGCTACGACGATCGGGGTTTAACTCCGGATCATACTTCCACAGAGAACCCGCTACTAGTAGCCGACTCTTGAGGTCGTGAGGGCTCCGGAATGCAACGAGCAATGTCTTCGGGCTGGTGTCGGTCATGGCTCCCCTTGCGAAATGCCAAACATTCCCGTGGGCACCTTCATGCAGATCGACCCGGACAGAGCCTCGGTTTGACTCAAGGCGGCAACTCTGGGCATCGGACTGGCGCTGCCAATCCCACCGACAATTTGTGAACTGTACATCTCTTGTGGGCGACAACCCCCCCACCCCCCCC